TGTCAGGCGTCGCGTCCTCATTGCAGAAAATGGGGGCAGAGTCAGGACGGCAACTTACTGACAAGATCATTCCTTCCTCCTCTCGTTCCTCCTCTTTTCCTTCTCTCTTCGTCCTGGTGTCTTCCGTGTGCATTCGAGCCACGCCAGCATTCGCTGGCGTGGTCTGAGCGTGTACGCTTGATGCTGGCGAGTCAGTGTGTCGCGTAGGTGTTGGCGTCGTAGATGGGATGGTGGTGTTGGTGTCGTGGATGGTGGTGTTGGTGTCGTGGATGGTGGCATTGGCGTCGAGGATGGTGGCGTCGGCGTCGTGGATGGTGGCGTTGGCGTCGTGGATGGTGGCGTTGGCGTGAAAGCTGGTGGTGGTGCGAGTGCTGGGCGCACAAAGATAGGCGCTGGCGACGTGACGCGTATGACGTCGTCGTTGTTGCTGGGGGTAGAGTCTTCAATGTGAGTACTCACTTTCAGCGTGCCCAAAGTCTCGTCTCCTCGAGTTCCTCTTTCCTCCTTCATCTCTATACCATCCCTTCTCCCTTCCTCGATTCTCTTGTCCTTTCGTCTTCGCGTGTCGTCCGCGTGTGTTTGCATCGCGTCAACACTTGTTGACGTGTTTCGGGCGCGCGCGCTGTGAACGTGGAGTTGGTGGACTTGGGAAGGCGCGTTAGGTGCCGGTGTTGGTGGTGGTGCCGGTTGTAGCGTGCACGCGGGAAGTATGGCGTCCGCTATTACTGATGCAGGAGGTGCTACCATTTATGGAAGGCACGGGTATAGCTGGGGTACGGGTAAGAGCGCGGGTCTTAGAATCCCGACCCGTACCCGTACCCCAGTAGTACCCGTACCCGTGACCCGCGCGGGTTACCCGTACCCGTGCAGATCCCTAGTGGTTACTGCTGCTCTCTGGGACTTGGTGCAATTACTTGGAGCGCACGACAGCAAAAGACCGTCTCGCTCTCAACCTGCAAAGCAGAGTACATCGCAGCTTCTGAAGCCGGAAAGGAGATTACCTGGATACGCATGCTTTTGGACGAACTCGGATTCCCACAGACTTCCGCTTCCCCCTTGATGTGCGATAATAATGGCGCGATCGTTCTGACCGAAGACGCCTCCTACCACGCTAAAGTGAAACATATCGACAGGAGGAGTATTGGCGTTTGACACACATGACAACACGATGCGGCTTAGCGTCGGAGTCACAGGAATTCAAACTCACTATATAGTCATTATCTCTCGTTTGCCTCCCTTCCCTCAGTTCGTTGTTCTACGACTGAGGGTACGTTTACCGTTTCACTATATGTTACCTAGACACTAACGCAACCTCTGTAGTCCATCACCAAAATTCCCCAAGTCTGAACTTGCCTTATGCGGACATTTTCCCGCGCCACACACTTGTGAGAGCCGACGGTGTGATGACGTGTGATGGCAATGAGCTCGCACGTTGAACACCACTCCCTCAGACGTACAGCAGCACACTTGTGTGTTCCTAAGGTTCCCGTCAGTCTGACGTGCCTCTGGTAAGTTCAGATATTATTCATGCTCCCCAGATATGTCCTGATCTCAATCGGCCAGTTGGCCAACATGTCACATGCTGTGACACTTCTTCATGGCCCGGGACTCGCGGTTACTTAGTGCAGTGACCTTGCCCTTTCATCTCGCATTACCCTCATGCGGTCAGCTCAATAGACCCTCCGGTTTGAGTGCCACCACAAACTTGGGGATCTATTGTGCTTATTGCGTGACCAATGGCCATATTCAACTTGGAATGACAAGGTGAGTGATTCTCCGTTATTCATATTCTGAAGTTCTGTCTCTACATAAGGAACCGACCTTTCCTCTCCACATGGTGACCTTATGGCTGCTGAATATCAGCTCCGACTTGGAACCTCAGCACTCCAAACCTGTGAGTTGATTCCCTGCCCTTCATATTCTCAAGTTTTTGTTGCAGGCTTTCGCCATGGACATTCCTACTTGCATTGGTTGTGGGAAATCTTACAAAACACAGAAACAGCTCTCCAAGCATGCCTCGCAATGCCAGCAGAACCGCGCATTCACCCTGGAGTCAGTTCTTGCAAAGCGGGAGAACAAACGAAAGTCGCAAGCCAGAGACAAGCTCCGCAATGCCAAGAAGTCTCGTTTACCTACCCCCGTTGTTGAGCAAGAACTCGACTACGTCGACCTTGATCAGAACATTCCGTTTGATGATCCTCAGGCTGCAGGGCCTTCAGGTCAGCCACATGATGTAGTAAGTTCATGACTGATTATATGCATGTATCATAGTAATTTCTTTTAGGATGCACCTGTTGCAGGACCGTCAGCTCAGGCACTTCCGCCCACCCCACCTCCACCCATTACTTCAAAACGTTCGGGGCGTGCTATCCGCATGCCTCGACGGTTCATCGACTATCTTCCTGGCTCAGATATACCCCTGGCACACATGCCACGGCAACAACCCGAGTATCACCCATCTCCTCCACGACCTCCATCTGAGCCTTCTCTCGATGAGCAGCCATTGGCCAAACCATTCGAGACCGAGCCAGATTCCATGGGCTTATATCGAATCTACCCTACGCACCCCACATTCATTCCTCCGAACGACTCATCTCTAGTTAATCGAACAGATGCACCAACACTAGATGGAGAACGAGCAGAGTCATCCGATGTGCATGCATCTACAGGATTTGCACCACCCGATGTGGATATAGATCATATTTTTGATCCGTTTACCAATCCGACGTGTGGGTTGATGATGACCTGGCGCTACACTGGAACTAATGACAAGTCCGATGCTGAAGTTAACCGACTATCTCACTTCCATCAGCACCCAGCCTTCAAATTGCAAGACCTGCTTGGCTTCAACTGCGCTCGTGAGTCCAAACTGATGGACAAATATCTACAAGATAAGACAAATCCACTGCGAGAAGAATTTGGCTGGCGTCAGTCAACAGTCAGAATATGTCTTCCGAAAGAATGACAGACATGGCCATCTGAGAAGGATGCACCAGAACTCGAGGTGCCAGGCATTTATCACCGCTCGATAATGTCAATCATCCGCTCAACGTTCGAGGATGACATTGCCAAGACATTCCACATGACTCCCTATTCCGAGTACTGGAAGGTCTCTGACACCAAAACAGTCCAAGTTTTCTCCGAAGCGTACTCCTCACCTGCCATGCTCGATGCCTATGCCGAGATCAATGCCTTTCCTCGTGAGCCAGATGACGACCTCGAACGTGTGCTGGCCCCTCTCATGATGTGGTCTGATGCGACCCATCTTGCCAGTTTCGGAGACGCCTCGCTATGGCCATTCTACCTGTACTTTGGCAACCAATCTAAGTACACCCGAGGAAAACCAACATCTTTTGCATGTCACCACCTCGCCTACATTCCCTCGGTATGTTTTATCTTCATTACTGTTTATATGGCAGTTGAGTTATATATATTACAGCTCCCCAACAATCTTCAAGAAATATATGTTGACATATTTGACGAAGCCACAACGGACCAGGTCCACACATTCCTTAAGCGTGAACTCGTCCAAGCGATCTGGAAGCTGTTGCTTGATGGTGACTTTATGCACGCCTACGAGCATGGTGTAGTCATTCATTGTAGTGATGGAATCACACGGCGCGTTTTTCCTCGATTTTTTCGTATTCTGCAGATTATCCTGAGAAGTGTGTCTAAGTTTTTCTTTAATTGTTGTACTTAGTAGCTTATTGTACTACTAGGGTTCTTCTTGCAACCATCAAGTTTTTAGGCAACTGTCTATGCCCACGCTGCCTCGTCAAGAAAGCTAATGTCCCTGATATGGGCACCAAGCTTGATATGAAATGCCGAGAGACTAGGCAACGGGTGGATAATGAACGGCGCCGACGTTGTGTAGAAGATGCTCGCAAACTTATTTTTCAAACAGGTGCATCTGTTGATGGTGCTCGTGTCAAAGCGCTTCTCAATGCTGAATCTTATGTTCCTGTTCGTGTGAGTGTTTGTCTTTTCCGTGCATTCTCACATTGATACTCAATGAACCAACATAGAATGCATTTTCAGTTCAGCTCGCACTATTCGACTTCAATGTGTTCATGATGTTTGTGATTGATCTACTGCACGAGTTTGAACTTGGCGTTTGGAAGGCCATCTTTATTCACTTATTGCGCATTCTCCATGCTCAAGGTGGTACAGTGATTCAGGATCTAAACGAACGGTGAGTAATTACATTCATAGCCTTTTGTACTGACATTGATACTATAGAAAATTATACTATGGTTGAAGGATGCTGTAGAGTTCAGGATGATCGAAGATAAAGATAGCGATGACGAAGCTGATGAACAAGCCAAGAGGTATTTTTTCGCTTCTTATTAACTTGAATGTACTAACATATTCTGACTTTGTAGTGAATCACAGCCTGTCGCTGAGGATCCAGACACTACGATGGTCTGTGAGCCAACACCGGCGTCCAGGTAAGTTTTTTTTTGATCCATTATTGTGACATTGGCTCAGCTCTTATGGTGCTTGCAGGGACTCAAACATGCCTCAGCGCATCAGCGCAAAGCCTGTTGTGCTGCATGTCATCCCCACGGATCCTCCCAGCATCGTCCATATACGGAAGAAATTCCAGGACGAGCATGACTATACGTGGCCTCCCTGCCGTGGGTTCAGGGAAAGCTCTACCACAACGCGAATCACTCAGATTGATGCACTCATGACCTTACCCGCAGCTGTAGAAGCCTTAAAGCTCGATTAGTTAGACTAATTTTTTTTCTTCGTGCACTGTATCACTCTTTCGCAGCACAATATTGCAGGTTGTCGTGTTTCATCGCTGTCGTGTTTACTTTCATGGACTAATAGTAACGTAAATCACTCGAGTTGTAACTGTAGTATTAATTTTGTACTTCTTGTTGCGCATATAATCACTGTTGACAATGGCAGATTCACGTTAACATGTACAAATAATGATTAAATGATCGTTCATTGCTTAATGTTAACATTTAACATTGTAACCCTTAACCATCATGTCTTCACATCGTCGTCCTGGCGTGGCGTCGAGCTCCTCTGACCCCCCTGACTCAGATTCAATCTATGTGCGTGGTTCTTCAGTAACATCATTCGATTCTTCTCCCCAACCTGTCAAAATTGGGAAGCGCAAGTCAACATCAGAGCCATCGAAATCCAGCAAACGGAAACGCAAGGCTCCAGAAAATAGTGGAGAAGAGCTCGAAATACACGATGTCAAGGCTAAGGCATCTAAACGTCCACGATTGCAAGTTTTTTTCACTTATATGCACGCATATATTGACTGATATCGCATATTAGCCATAGAAAGGATAATCGCAAGGAAAAGTAAGTTTCTTTAATACTTGAGACATTGATTCTGATAAGACTCGAACATCTGAAGGGGTGCTTTAACTCCACGGGACCAATGTCTTCACTTTGCTCTGTGGATCCCTCGAGGGATCGACATGTTTTGCATCCTCAAGGACGTCTTTCGCATTGCACCCATCATCGAGGATGCACGTGCTCACTTGGATGATGACTCCGACGCAGATGACATGCACGATACTCTCTTAGCTAACATGTAAGTGATATTTTTTGCGTTTCGTGACTTTATTACTGCTAACAGTGACTAGATCCAAAGATACGCAGGACCAGATGCTCCGGACGTTCAAGAAGATCATTACAGGTGCCCCTTACCTTCAAGAACTCATAAGAGGTGGTCGCAAAAAATCGGATGGACTGCAGGAGATCCTTGACGAGGTATGTGCGCATATATGCACCTTTCAGTTGACTAATGATCAAACAGATGCAATATTTGATTGGACAGGTGCGATCCGAAGATGCGGCTCATCTGAAAAGGAGCATTGCACGTTATGCAGTGTTTAATGGAAAAGGTCTGGTGCCGCCCGTCTTCCCTGATACCAAGGAATCGCGTGCACAGATGGGTCTCAACCACCCTCAACTCGCTCGCATGCTATGCCCCATAAAGTTTCTTTCAGAGTATCAAACGGACCCGTCAGCGTACGTACTACATTATACTTTTTTCTATATTTCTATGAACTAACATCGCCTAACCAGCACAAAAGCCAAGCTTGAGGCTGGCACTATCAAGATGGATGCACGAGCTTGGCCTGCCCTGATGTATAGGGCTGGAGCCACTGGAGTCGCTGGGGAGGACTTCGACATAACAAACGTACAGGACGGCCTTTTCGAAGGATTCCTCATTGAACGTGTGAGTTTCCGTATACTGGTATTCATGACAGGAACTCACTGGCACATTATTCAAGGTAATGAAACATATACTCACCGGCCCCTCATCTGCACTCGCTGGAGACGACTTTCATGTCTCAAACTCTTGCAATGCGGTACTTCACAGAATGATGGCTGTGGAAGCCGAAAACGTCGCTTATTCAGCTGTCCAGGTGAGTTATTCCCTTGAAGGCGATATACTGATTCATTCATTTTCTATAGGCACGCTCTGCAATTACCTCTCGTGACAAGTGGTCCACGGACAATGGAAATTTCTCATATCGAAAATTCTATTACAGAATTATCGACGTCATTCGCAATCCACCGGACAAAGCATGGGCTATGGCGACTCTGCAACATTATAACCTGTATGTCAAAATTTTATAGTAGTACATGCACTGATTGTTTTACTTTTTAAGGAAACTATTCAAAGACAAGGCTGGACGTGCTGCTGCCCTCTCGACCTCTGCAACCTCTAATGTCGGAGAGCCGGACGAGGACGAGGACGACATTGCGCTGATGTGCAAACAGTTTGCCCTTCGATCTGCGAATCCCTCGAGTGTAGCGAAACCTGTCTCAACTCCTCCTGTTCCAGCAAGTTCTGAGATGCTTCCCCCACGGCTGCCCTCGACCAAGGTCACAAGCCCGCCTGTTTTGCCTTCTCCAGAGCCACCCTCACCTGCTCCACCCACTCCCAAGCCACGTCCCATTCCTAAGCCACGTCCCATTGCGAAGGTGCGACTGGAAGCTCCAAAGTCACCTGCACCAAGTCCACCCACCCCCAAGGAACGTCCTGCTGTGGAGGCACAAGCTCCGAGCTCACCTTCACCTGCTCCAAGTCCACCCACTCCCAAGGCATGTCCTGTTCCCAAGGCACGTCCTGTTCGTAAAGCCCCATCCGAGGAATCCACACCACTTCCCCGCAAAAAGGGAAAGGTGGCCCCACCAGAAAGCCCACTTACAGAATCCGAACCATCGGATGAGGAGGTTGAGACTCCAGTTCGAAGATTGCCTCGGCAAGCTCGACCAAAGGCCGGCCGCAAGACTGCCGCATCCGCTAGCGCACCAAAGAAAAAGAAGGGAAGAAAATGACCTGTAATGATTTTCCATTGTCTCGTCATTGACACTGATTTTCTCACCTAGTGTGTCTCATACTACCGCATCTGCCTCACTCCACGTCGCTGTTCGTCGTTGCATGTTTTGCTCTTTTCGCATGTCATCCTACCTCTAGAGTCCTTCTGTCATGGGACGCTTTGGCGCATGGGCGCACTTAGATGTACTTTTAGAACCTGCTCTGTCTGGAAAGCCGTCACAGGACGGCAACACTAACAGCCAGAGGATAACGTGGATGAGCATATGAATTGGTAAGGTAAAAGAGAGATGGTCTACTGTTGTCTACTACTGCGGTATATATAGGGAAAAGGTCGTAGGCGGTGTCCAATGATAAGACAGCGTATAACTATGACGTCGTTTTGGTGCGTCATCGTACTATGGCGTCATTTGTGCTATGGCGTTGTAAGCAGCATGCTTACACCCTTCCTCATCATGATTGAGATCTTTCTCTCTCCCAGGCATCCAGCGCCTCACAATCTTCCAAGTCCCTCCGTGGTAACCATTCGTCGTCCTCTTCTCCAAATCCCACCCAACGCACCAGGTACTGTGTTCCTCGGCCCCTCCGACGTTCGTCAATGATCTTTTCGATGAAGTTCTCCAACTGTCCGTCCACCGTGACAACTGGTCCTGGACGTGGAAGTTCTCGCGATGGGAATAGTAACGGGTCATTCGCGCGATATCGCCGAAGCTGGCTCACATGAAACGTCGGAAAGATGTTTGGCGAGTTAGGGAGGTCGAGCGTGTACGTCGAGGTTTCGGGGTGAGCGTCGGTTATTGTGTACGGGCCGTCATAGCGAGGCATGAATTTTGCAACTCTGTTGTCGCCCTTTTGTATGTATTCTCGCCTCCTGTGTGTTACGACTGGGATGAGTCGAGCTATCTTTGTCTGAGTAGACAATCGGCAGGATGCCGGATAGACGTAAGTCTACTCTCGATTGAGAGGTCAAGTATTCTGGCTAAGGCGAGTGTCGCTGACTCCCTTAGAATAGTGGTTCTTAGGCAGCAAGGTTGGAGACCTTGCTGAAGGACAATGTTCCAGGTAAAACCCAGTAGATTAAAGTAAAGAATACAACCGTAGGTAGGTAAGTTTATATACCAATGTTCAAGCGGAGCTTGTAAATGCGTTTATCAAGATAGAAGAAGAAAGAGGCGGACAGCCCGCTTGGTCAAGATAAGAGTCAAGATAAGAGATAGGCATGATAAGAGATAAGCGTGGTACAGACGGCCCATTTGGAAGTGAAAGGAAAATGAGTATAGGGGTTTTAAATGTTACTGTAACACTGTGCTTCATTGCCAACATGACGCGATCACCAGTCTGTAGGATTAGAGCGGGCGCTCGTGATTTGTTGACTGCTGTAGCCTGTGTTGTTTTTGCTGCCAGGAGATTATCTTGCGCCTCCATGACGTCCTGCTGTAACTTGGCAAGTAGAAGCTTTGCGCGTTGTTGTTCTGGTTCGACAGCGAGAGGTTCGTCTGACACGAGTGGTGCCAGCATACGAGGGGATCGGCCGAGGTGAAGCTGAAAGGGTGAAAATCCGGTGCTGGCGTTGAGAGTGTTCATGATGTGAAACCACACGCGGGGCAGTGCCCGGACCCAGCCTTTGTGGTTGCGATCGACGTAGAAACGCAGACTTTGGTTAACGGTCTTGTTGGTGTGCTCACTCGCCCCGTCTGTTTCGGGGTGATACGCCGATGACATCTTGATTTTAATGCCAGTTAGTTTGTGTAATGTGCGCCAGAATTTGGAAAGAAAAATCTTATCGCGATCTGATATAATCTCCAGAGGAAGTCCGTTTTCACAATACCAATGGTCGAAGAACAAGGTGGCGAAGTGTTCCGCCGTTATATTGTCTTTGCAGGGTACTAGCCGCACGTCGGCGTTCAAACGGTCTGTCATCGATATTAGCATGTTGTAGCCACCATCTTCTGGCAATGGCCCAATGAAATCGATCGCCACTGAGTCCCCACGTCCGTCTGGCACAGGGAGTGGGTGAAGAGGCCCCGCCGTTGCCGTCGTGCGTGACTTGTTCCTCATGCAATCTGTACAAGAAGGAATGTAAGCGTCAACTAAATCCTTCCGCATGTTCGGCCAATAGTAAGAGCCACGCAGGAGCGCATATGATTTGTCAGCCCCGAAATGACCTGCAGCATCATGCGCCGCATGAAAGAGCTCTTCACGCAGGTTGTCCACTCGTGGAATGACCAGGCGCCCTGCGATATAAAACAGACCTCTTCCATCGCGTGATAGACCCGGCAGTGACCCTACAAGACTTGTTAGCTTTTTACACCATCCATCGTGTGCGTACCCTTCAGCAATACGTTGTTGGACCTCAGGATTTGTCTGGAGGGTTAGTATGGCAGCACAAGGTAGAGGCTCGGACAATGTATCCGTCCGACGAGAAAGGGCGTCCGCGGCTCCATTCAGTTCACCTTTGAGATAATGGATCTCGAAATCATACTGGGACATGTATTCAGCCCAACGTGCCTGTCGGCGGGATAGGTCACGCTGTGTCTGAAAATTTTGCAATGTCCGATGGTCAGTGTACACCTCGAAATGCATACCCAGTAAGTCTGAACGCCATTTCTTCAGCGCGCGCATTATAGACAGTAGCTCCTTTTCGTGTACCGGATAGTTGAGTTCTGCTGCACGTAGTTGTGCGGATTCGAAGGCAACTGGTCTAGATCCTTCTCTCGTCGGCCCCCAAGAAAGAACAGCACCTGTTGCGTAATCTGACGCGTCGCACGTTACGAATATCTTGTTTTCTCCAGGGCTATCATGGTCGATCGTGGTTAGACAATGCAGGCTGGTGACAAGCCGTTTTATTGTCGTGAAAGCTTCCTCGTGAGTTGCTGTCCACCCTGGCCAGTGTAATTCTGCAACCTTGGTCGTCAGCGTCGTCAAGATTCGAGTGTGCTTAGCAATATCAGGGAGGTGTTCGGCTAAGTACCGCACCATCCCTAAGAAAGACCGTACATCTGAGGCCTTACGAGGTACCGGCCAATCCACGATGCGCGCAATCTTCGAACTGTCCGCTTCAATACCCGCAGATGAAATGTGGTGTCCCAGGAAATCGATTTCAGTATTAAATAGCGAGGTCTTCTTTGTTGAACAATATAATTGCGCGTCTCGAAGAGCGCGCAAGACTAGACGTATGTTGGCCTCGTGTTCCTCCAATGTTTGCGACCAGATGATGATATCGTCCAGGTACACGTGGCAGACTTTCCCAATCAGATGTCGTAAGGCCGTGGTCATGCGTCGTTGGTGAACGGCAGGTGCGTTACGCACGCCCATAGGCATCACCGTCCATTCATATTTTCCAAACGGTGTATGTACGGCGAGGTACTTCATGTCGTCGGGGTGCACGCGAGTCTGAAAGAACGCATTAGTCATGTCAATCTTGCCGAAAAACTTCCCCTTGGCGCAGTCCTTCAGTATCTCATCAATCCTTGGCAAAGGATGATTATCAGCAACCGTATTTAGATTAAGCCGTCGGAAGTCGTTAACCCAACGAGGGAGGACAGTGGGGTCAGCCTTTGGGATGATGAACGAGGGTGAAGACCACTCGCTCTCCGAAGGTCGAAGACGTCCACACGCAAGGTGTTCATCCAGTAGCTTCTTCCACGCTGCACGATATTTCTTCGGACAATCGTACGACCTCTGTTGAACGATTTTATTAGCGTCTTTCAGGGTGATGCGAAACAATACGTCGCGCGGCATAGTATCATTGTGGGGGATATCCACAGGGAATCGATCCTTGAATTCGTCTTTCATCCGTGCATCAAGGTCTTTAAGGCTGTCCTGATACACCAGGTTCTCGATCTTAGCTTGTACGGCAGCCACAACGTCGATTTGTCGAACAGGTTTGCACTCGCTGTCGACGATGTCCTTAAGCTTGGGCAGAACCTCCTTCAATTCCTTGATGACATCGTGCTTCATCCAGAACAGTTTTGGACCAGATGCCGATATGCGCGCTGGCTTATCCGCGAGAGATGCACGCTGGTCTTGCAAGAGATCATAGTTAGTGTTTTTTGGGATGCAAGTACGTAGCTCATGGTCAACAATAATGTGATTGTGTTGAAGAAACGGGCCCCCAAGTAACAAGGGTGTACAAAGGTTGGGTGCGATGATCGCACGTACAGTCCGAGAAGTGTAACAATTATCGAGCGAGGTGCACGCTAACTTGACATAGTGCGAAAGAAGAAACGTTTTGTTCTGAGACATTGCGAGGGAGACAGGAAGCGGTTTGTGAAGCTTGCGTCGTCGGAGTCCGAGCTTGGCGACAAGTTCTTCACCAATCAGAACTAAAGCAGAACCATGGTCAATAAGCGCTGAAACAGTAACAGGAGAGGTAACCGAGGGTCCGTCAACCAGACAGTTCCATCGAAGATGAGGGGTCTGTAGAGGAGCCACACACTCTTCACCCGAGTCAGTACCATTACCCAGTGCCGCTGATGGCATTACGACTGCAACCGTGTTTGAATTTTCATCCTCCACATCAACGGCCGCGATGACACCAGTCTTCTGCTTCGATTTCTTGCTGGCAATCGATGCTGCTGTGAGTGCTTTATACTTTGAACCGTCCGGGAAGCCATTCTGGCATGCTGCTGAGTTGTGGCCCGCAAATGGTTCCCAGCACTTGAAGCAGCCATCGTTATCTCGGAGTAACTGCCTTTCGATGTCAGAAAGTGGCGGAAGGCGGACAAAGGGTTTGGATGACGTGTTGTTGGACTGTGTCGTGCTCGGCTTATTCGTGCTGCGAGGGTTGAAAGGAATCTTCTTATCCAGACCAGCCCGCGCACGTTCAGCTCGTAGTGCCGTATCAACGGCGTCCTTCTGTCTAGTGAGGTATCGCAGGCGTTTCTCGTCAAGTAGGCGTACCTTCTCAATCCATCTGCGAATGTCTTCCTCGGCGATATTTTCTGCATAGTAGTCTGCGGCGAGATCTGAATTCATGTGTGATTCAAGGTGGTAGAGGAGGTTGACGTCGTCAAGGTGGGAAGCGGTGTCACGCAGCAAGGTGTTCTGGCTTTGGATGTCCACAGCCCACTCACTGAAAGGGCGTTGTCCCTGAACAGATGATAACATCTTGCGCCTGACCGTATCCGCCCAATTCGTCGGCAACCAGTATTCGTGAATATGAGTTACGAATTCCCTGAATGTCAGTGCATCAAATTCCTCCTGATTATTGAGATACCAGTCCTGAACGATCGGATCTTGCATGCCCCACGCAATCTTCTTTACCTTCTCAACCTCCTGTACTTCCTTATGTAAGAAGAACTGCATACAACCCATTTCCCAACTGCGCAGCACTTCGGGCGTGATCTGACCCGCCGTGAGGAATGGCGGTTTACTTGCCGAAGCTTGTTCAACCCGTGCGGTCTTCGTGAAACTCGACATGGCTGGGATACCTTCGTTCGAGTCCGTGGAACTAGACTGACTGGATGTATGCGTGTCTGTCGGAGACGAGGGACGATGGTGGGCAGAAGATTCTAAGCGAGGGATAATGATTGGTGCGGGAACACTTGGTTCGTCAAGGTTCGCTACCGGTGCGTCGCGGTTACGGTTGGCAAGGATTTTACTGCGACTACGTGTGATTATCGTCGCAGGTTGAGCAACGCGAGTCTGGCGGCGAGGCAGTTTGGAGATCTTTCGGCTAAGGGATGACCGAAGTCAAACCCAGGAACAATAGGTATGGTAAACGGCAAAGGTTTCGGAACGGCAATACGGCGGTCGTAACAGTAGGCGTTGCACGCTCAGCTGTACGTTAAAAAAAAGTGGAAAGCCGTCACAGGACGGCAACACTAACAGCCAGAGGATAACGTGGATGAGCGTATGAATTGGTAAGGTAAAAGAGAGATGGTCTACTGTTGTCTACTACTGCGGTATATATAGGGAAAAGGTCGTAGGCGGTGTCCAATGATAAGACAGCGTATAACTATGACGTCGTTTTGGTGCGTCATCGTACTATGGCGTCATTTGTGCTATGGCGTTGTAAGCAGCATGCTTACACTGTCCTTGTAATACATTACTGCAATGAAATGGTCTTATCAGATTTTCTCGAGTGATCAGAACTTATCAGAACTTTCAACATATCAATGCTTCTAAGGTCACAAACTATGCTAAGGTGCGAGTTACCTACTCAACTTCCGTCATCTGGCCTGAAAAAGCTTTTATCAACCAGACCTTATATGTTTCTTTACCCGCCTTCCGTACGCTGATGCACCTGGTCCACCTTTTCTGACCTTCCGCATCCTGGCCAGCCCTTAGCAGCCCAGATCCGATTTGGGGAATTTTGGTGATGTCTGACGTTGTCTAGGTACATACTAATATCAGTTCGTTGTTCTACGACTGAGGTCTGACGTTGTCTAGACTCTATAAACCTAAGTCGATTCAAATCATCGACTCTCTCGTGTGAACGTTTTCTAAATGCCACATGTACTAGTAGCTCCGTTACACAACCAAAGAGTACGGTATGCATGTTTATCGACCACCATGAGTTTCTACTGATTCTAGATCCAGTGCCGGACCAGGCAATGGGTATACCCAGCTGTATACTGGCACACGAGGAATACACGAGGAGTCAGCCTATATCGAAGTGACGGAATATTTGTGTTGGGTCAAGCGCTTGAGGCCTGAGTACTGAGTGTTGGCCATCGATCGAGACGGTCAGCATCCCGATCTCAGGTCACAGGGTCCACTAAAGGGTAATGGTACATAATTGTCTCTTTAGAAGCACGGTGGCTTTGTACCAGCGCTAACTAACCGTGCTTCCTCCTTTCATTATCATTCAGTTCGAATCAGTCTCGGTGTGATCGCTCCATGCCTCCATACACCCTCGAGCATTCCTAAGCCTGAGACAGGCACTATTTTTGACCCACATGTTTTCCATTTCATAACCAGCTGGGCGTACGCGTGAATAACTAGTATGGGTGCTACACGAGGATACCTCCAGGCTTCGGCGTAGCTAACGCATGGCCCACACTTGGCCTCCAGATAAATCCACCATAACGAAGGAACGTCTTCCCTAACTCGAACAAGGATACAGCATGGCTAGTTCCCTTGACACTTCAACGCCGGTTTCCCATCTCTACATCTCTGGTACTAGTTCATCAACGGAATCATCAATCCCACTGAATATATCCAACAGGTGTCATCGTCGATTTCAGCAACTCCAACAAGAATGTGGAGTCTGCTGAAGTACGAATTAGCCGCAAGTCGCCCACGCCAATCAAAGGCGGGGCTGGAAAGGCTTTGCGACAGATGTTTTCTCCACCCATGTAAGGACTCGACCCCGACAACTGTACCTACCTGAGGTGTTATCGTGTTTGATCATAGGAACCTTTCTCTCGAGGATACATTTTCCTTGCATGTACGGTATAAGAGATGGTATGGAACCGAGCATGAAGACATTGCTTTCGAACCGGTTGAAGACATGTTCCGCAAGTGTAGTACAGGAGACAGACGAGGTGAAACAATAACTATTGCGCTCTCCCCTTGATCACTCACGGATTCCATCTCACATACACAGAATACAACAAGGTTCATAAAAACATCAACATTCTTGTCGAACTTTCCGGGAATCCAACAACCGAAGTAAGGCTCTATGTCTTCCATCGGAAACCATCTAAGTGGTATGTCAGCAGACCGAACATGTTTTCTCTTCTAATGAAACCCTGGAACTCCGGCCTACCACTGACGAAATATTTCGGAAGTGTCCTCAGTGAGTTTGGATTATAGTAAAGTGCTGTTCTTTAGGTTGATGTCAGGGGCTTTCAAGGTTCCGAATCCTGGTGATAGGCAAGGTACCAGGTTTTCGCTGATCTCAGGCCGGTGTTGACACGGTATTTCCAATAGACTGGTGTTGGCAAGTCTTCGTTGATCAACCACGCATTTGGAGTACAGAACGCGGTGGGTTGACCCGACACTACACGACGTCCAGCTACTCATACTGTCAATAGACCGCTTCGCACGCACAGCCAGGCGAGGCCACCATCGACCAGGAGTTCATCTCACCGCAGAACGACAGGTTCATTCTTCACGATAGCAAAGGTTTTGAGCCAGGGGAAAAAGACAACCTCAACATTGTCCGAGATTTCATTGGCCGTCGGAAAGCAATGCCTGATTTGAAAGATCAGCTGCACGCTGTTTGGTGGGGCCTCCATCTTAGTGCATCTATACGGCAAGCTGATGACATACAAGGCTTTGCTTTGAAATACCCCGCGCAGGCGGGCGTTTACTAGAGACCGGTGTGGAACAATTTCTTACATCGAAACGCGAAGAAGAGCTAGGAGAAAGTATGTTGATGGATTTCTACCGTTCTGGCCAGATCACAGCTAATGCATGTCAAAGTTCCCATTGTTGTCGTTTTCACCAAATACGACACCCTCCTCGACCGCATGGAGCGAACTCTGGACAAGTCCTTCACCAAAGATTTGAGCAAGGAGGACTTCCAGGAACTCACGAAGAAAAGCGCAAAAGACAAGCTCAAGGAAGTTTGCATTGCACCCCTGGAGAAATTTGCAGGGTCCGATATGCCGCATGTTACAGTTTCCAGTGGGTGTTACTGCTGTAATTGTCATCTGCGTTTTCAATACAATTTTGAGCCCAGCAAAGGGAAACCACCACGAGGAGACCCTGGCCCATTTGATCCGAACCACTGAAGAACTCGTTTGTAAGCATATCGGGACCGACGCGTCGGTGATGACGTCCGTCGCTCAGCGAGTGGATCCTGGTCTCAAAATAAAGGCCTCCATAGAGTGAGCCTTACTTGCGTCATTCTTATCTTACGATTTACGCAGCATCAGAGTTGGCAAGAGAAGTCTGTCTCGATTTTGTATTCAAAAATACTGAACATAATCTGAGCGTCATGTCTGTCTTTCAGAATACTGGAAGGCGCTCGCATCAAGCGCACCATTCAAGAACCGTTCAATGTGGGACTGTTTCCACGTGCTTCACACTGACATCGTCAATGTATGGAACTTTCAAGACCCTGATGGCGTAATGGTTCTCTTGTTTATTCGTTGTCGCATATTCTGACGCCGTTTACGCGCAGCACTTGTGCAGCCCAGAGTTCAGGACAATAATGACGAACATGGTCAATGAGCTGGGCGTTGGACCCACTGCTGATCCCAACAAGAACCTGTAGGGCAGTCTTTCATGGGACGGATGGATTTCATCTAATCCAATGTTTGCAGTGCATTTGGGCTCTCCATTGTGGGTACTATTGCGGGCATCCTGTCTGCCTTGGCCGGACCTGCCGCCCCCATCGTAGTGCCAATAGTGGCGAGTGTTGTGGTTGCGCACTGGGTTTACGAGGTGTATCAGCGATCGTACGTCCTGCTTCTTATCCTTCATCCAGAGAATAACAACAGGTCTCTTCTTAGTCGTTCGGCGCTCCAACGCTTCATGAAATACATAATCGACTTGACTCTTGTGTTACAAACGCTGTATCTTCTGTCGGAAAACCGGAAGCTGTCTCGTAGAGCCATCAAACTTGCGGTCAAGTCCTACCACGACTCACCAATGAGCGGAACAGTCCATGATCGGATTCAGCAGTACGACAAGCAATCGACCTTCTTGGAACGCGCGGACCGCGATTCATTGGATCAATTCGTCAAGCTACTACAATCATATAACATTAGTGCAGAAGAAATGCCGGGTCTTCGGGACAAACTTCCCGCTGTGGATTTATCATCGGATGAACCATGGGACACGAAGTCTTAGTACTTGATTCTTTCTTGTGTTTGCTGGTGTCTGACTTTTGGAGTACCTACGGGAATCGTGGCGTGTCCTCACTCGCACTATGTAATTGGAGTTATGGCTGGCCTGTACTACTGTAGAGTGCCCTGATGTTCCGAGGTAACCCTGAAAAGCTTTTGCTTGAAATAACCTGAGAAATCCGTTTATCCTCCCGAGACACAGCGCATTGATTGCTACCCCCATGATCCGGACTCGGAGAAATGATAGTCTTGTAATGAAAGTGTCATCAAATTGACACGACTCAGGCAACCCTACGAAGAAATAATTATATCCCTGCCAGGCCACTACACACATGGGAACATCGAATGTCTCACCGCGCGTTCCGTATGTGAGTCATACATCCCTGAGTTCCGTAAACTGGATAGAATTGTCCGACGTATGTAGTATACCAATGAGGATGACAGCCTAGTCAACGCGGAGGTAAGTAGTGTCCCACTGTGATTGTCGGATGACTCTCGTACTGCATCGTCGCCTCCCCTAAGCAGACCTGGTAGACAAACGGAATCTTCTCGTAACCCAGATATCACGCGCCTTGAACCTCAACTGACCTTGCCTTGTTTGTTGTAAAATGTCCGAAGCAGTGGTAAGAGAAGCATGATTACTGAGCGCTGAGCTTGAACAATCGTAATCGGGTTGTTGGTCCCAAGGTGGATTTTCGTGCGTTGCTTCTTTGCGGTTGCTAAATATACCTGTCGGGAAGGGGTAATGCAGACTCGGACAAACATTGCCTACTCGATGGAGAAGGAACGACCATCTTTACTATATCATAGTATATGCATCGTGTAGAACACTGAGACCAAGAGAAGCGTACCATTCATGGGGACTGATGGTTGCGAGAATCACAAAGCTTCGTTTGAATATCTATGGTCATGATAAGCCGTCGTGACGGTATGATCAGTCACCAAATGGGCCTGCGACAGAACGATCAATCACAAACAGTAAGGTGTCGGAGAAGCTTGTAGACGATTGCTTGCCATCGAAATTTAAAAGCCCTTGGAGACGAAGAAATATAGACCACGAATGTTAGTACACTGTGGAGGCTCATCCTTATCTGCAGCGTGATAAGTTTAGAAGGTGGTCTGGCCAGCTCTAGACTTACCTTTGACTGCCATATTGAAGGCCCATCTGCAGGAATAGAAATGTTGAAAACCCGCATGTGAGCGAATATGACGCTAGTTCTGAGTGACAACACGCAATGTCAAGCGCGGAGTCCACGGACTTATCGAGAACAAGTGAGGACTTGTGGGCTGCTGTGGGGCACTGGTAGGCTAAAGTAGGTCGGTCATGAGAGACAGGAACGAGGTCAATTTAATGAATATCGTGGTACCTACGGTTCGCCAAGATGCGAGTTGATCGTCGGGGTGAGATTTGGTTCGTGTCGCGTGGTAGAAGTGATCCGTTGCAGGGAAATTGCGTGGTCCGATAATGATGCAACACATGGGCATTTGGGAAGATCGACCAACCATATGAGTTGACCTGAAGATATAAAGTTCAGTAGTACAAGTTAGTCAGAAGAACGCGATGATGATAAGGTTTACTAAAGGTAAAATGAGCTGCTATAATAGCCTACCATCGCTTGAACGTTGTAGGATACGATGAGGGCCGATGGAACGGAAAGTAGACAGGGTTCAGGGAGGTTCAGGGCTGGTGAGAGCTCAAAGGAGCTGAATCTAGGACTGATTGCCACGTGTGTGGGACCCGTGTTGTTGGGTTGCCATGTCATAAACCAGGTTTGGGTTGGAACGTGGTTCCCAGCCAGCAAAACAATAGACCATCGATTTTACAAAGGTCCTATCAAGATACTCATCGTCATCATCGTTGACGACGACGAGCTCGACAATAATGGACCCAGCCACTTACCATCCTATCACAGCTGGCTATGGATACGCTGACCGTGACAGAGGTTATCATGAGAGAGACAGATTGTAAGTCCTCTTCCAGCGCTCCCACTTCACACAGGAAAAGATCGTTCCAATGTTACGGTTCCGCCTACTACTAAGGGCATCAAAGTTAAACGTCCATCACCGTTCAACTTCGTATCAGATAACTTACTTCTATCCCCCTTGTCTATATCATCTTTCTCCTCACTGACATGTTTAATCGTCCGCACAGGGAATATGAGCTTACTGTCAGGCAGGAGCCAAAACAGGCCCGTATGTGTGGTGTAGGAGGTACGTCAGCTACCTTTATTCCTTTTCACACAAGCTTATCCTCGCTTAGCTGACCGACGTCCAATCGACCCACCTCCCATCATTCAACTTCGTGTTATCGACCCACAAACTCGTCAACCTCCTTCTCCAGCTCGCCTAGATGGCGATGATTCAGACCCAAGCTACGCCCACAGCTTCCTTCAAAACCCTTATTACTTCATGTTTGCAAGTCTGGCAAAACCTGACGACGACACCGAACTACACTGGCTAAAGGTCAGTATATTGCCGTCATCATAATCTCTTTCTGATTGCCAGCTGTCAGGATGGGAAAACGCGGTGTACGACAGGTTCAGTTGTCTCGTCCCTCTACCACCTCAAAGATACCGAAAATCGCAATGAGGATGCTGGCTTTTTCGTTTTCCCCGATCTAAGCGTTAGAACCGAGGGTTCTTATCGTTTGAAGCTCAGCCTCTTCGAAGTCGTCAGGTGAGTTCGCTGACCAACCACCCACCCACGTCCCTAACTTCTCCTCAGCAACACCGTCCGCCACTGTAAATCAATATACTCTGCACCATTCTATGTTTACACTGCAAAGAAATTCCCTGGTATGGAAGGTGAGCGTAAGGTTTAATCATGCAAATTAATTCCTCAACGCTTCCTTCTTGGCTGATTGTTCGTTGCATAACTGACCTACATTCATCAGAGTCCACACCTCTTTCATGTTCGCTAGCCGATCAAGGTATCAAGATCCGGATCCGCAAAGACATTCGTGTTCGCAAGCGTCCTATCGCTGCACTCACTACTCCGATCGATACCGAGAACAACAATAATGAAGAAGATGAAAACGATACCCCGGTTTCGGCAGTCACTTCTTCCGGTCATTCCAAACGACCTCGGCACGGCACAGTGTCTTCCAATGGTGCACCAGACTTGCAGACTCCTACCGGGTCACTAGTGGGGCTACCCGCATGGCCATCATCAACAAGTTTAGATCCGATGCTGGGTGCTCCAAGTGCACCGGGTGGCGTCGAACTTCCTGCGCCGACTCACCCTCCGCCGTCTGCTCCTCCAGGTGGAGCCATTCCACCACCTCGCGGCGCCAGCTATGAAAGCTCGCGTCTGGGAGGCTCCATACCCCCGCCACCTGGGGCGCAACTGATAGCCCCGCCTGCAGCAGCCGTGTTTGAGAATTCCCGCAGTGCACCCCCATCCATTGCGCCTGCATCCTCTGCTGTCTCTCAACGGCAAACTATGCATCCCCCTGCGCAGACTGCACCTTTTTCACCAGCCGCTCCCGTGTTTAACTCGCAAGGCAGAGTAACATACGAGGCTTCGCGCACTTCCTCATTTGATTCGCCACGGTCTGCTTATGAAGGTGGTCCCAATCAACGACCGCCGTTCGAGAATTCAAGGGGAGCATATGAGCAACCAGATCAGCGGGGATACGAAAGCTCACGAACAGCGTATGAGTCTCCACCGCAGCGCACTGCTTATCCATCCGGTTATGACGGTCAGAGCGCGACATCCAGCACTTTCCAGGAACCATATCCATCTGCTGGACAATATAGCAGTCAGCCAACTACTTCTAGTCAATATCAGCATCCATCTTCATCTCACCAACAATACCCTTCATCATCACGGCCTCAGTCGCAGTATGGAGCACCACCGTCCAACACATACCCTACACCCACGCCATATTCACAATCACAGTCTAGGTATGAATACCCACCCCAGCAGCCGCAGCAATATGCTAGCCCAAATGGTGATTCGTACTACGAGTCATCTCCAGCTGCCTCGTCTGGACCCTCTCACAGCCATGGACAACCATCCTACTATCCCTCCAGTCAGTCCTCCGCTCATCCTCCATCATGGAACACCCCTACCCCTACCCCTCCCGCTAATCCACAACCCTACTCATCATCCGCACCATCTCATACCCAATCATACGAGTTCAGCCATCAACAGCCCTACCCGAACTCCAGCGCAAGCGACTACTACCAACCATCCAATTCGACTCACTCCCAGGCCCATCCCCCTCGCGTTACCTCTCCAGCTCCCTCTCGATACGCAAACCAATCGTACACGGGCCCCTCTAACGAACAAGCCTATCCACGGCACCAACAGTCCACATACGCCTCTGCATCCGCTGGAGGGTATAGCCTTCCCCCACCTCCGCCTTCCCAGCACTCAACTACAGGCTCTCACCACGAATGGCCCGTGGCCTCCCCCGCATCTACATGGAGCAACTCAGCTAGCGAGCACGGGCTCATTCAACTCGCACCGCTCCGCCAACACCCATCATCATCAGCCCGCCAACACGCGTCTTCTTCCTCCTCATCCTCATCTGACGCCTCATCGCCAGTGGCTGGGAACACGAACACACCAGGCGGAGGGGGAGGGGGAGGGGGAGGGGCGTACCCGCTGATCCAACTGTCGCGCGCGCCGTTCGAGCATGATGCGCGGGTGGGACTGCAGGGGAAGAAAAATGTATTGAGTATCGGGAGTATCATTTCAGATGGTGCCTAGTGGGTTGCGTTTAGATGCTTTGGATCTTGAGCGCAGCGAATGTTTTTGTATATCTTGTAGTTGGCTAGTGATACCATATGCTTCTTACTCCTTCGTTCGTTCGTTTGTGCCTTGTTGTTACTGTTAACTGATCGCAATTATTTTTCGTCCTTTTGATTTTCCGTCTGACTCTGCAATTGAATCTTGCTGTATCAATCATGTTCGTTTCCGTCTTGCCGACGCTGCAAACACTTTGTCTATTATGCAGCAGACGGACCACTTGTTTGCATAGAAGAAAATAAGAAAGCGCCATTCGTCTTCGCGAATTCGGTTTGTCTTTGGACAGTGAGCATGTTGTGCATCGCGCACGTGGTTATACAAGTCAACTCACACAAAGTTCTCTTCAGAACGTCATAAGACTCAGACTCATTACAAGGTCAACCGAAGGAGTGCTAGCCGAGGACTTCATCTCATATAATTACAATGCCCTCGAATCCACGGGACTAACAAGCGTCATCTTAACCCGCCCTCTCTGAGTATTTTTATCCTTCTCAACCTCAATCCTCACGGTCACCTTGTCGAAAACAGATATCGTCACATCCGGTCGCCCGATATCAGAAGAAGGGACGCTGATGGTATAGTTCTCTGCGTCAAACTGAGTGTCCCGCTTAAACATCACCAGACCCTCGAGTCCAAGTCTAAGTAACAGTAAGTTAGTTTCGGATGCCTTCAACAACTGACCATGAATGGAACATACTTGGACACAAACACCCCGAGACCATTCCGGAATGTCCTGATGACGAAGGCATCCTCGGTCACCTCCTTTTCCCTCTCATTACGACCCTTTAGGGCCAGTCCAACGTAGAATTCGACACTGGCACGACCCGCCATCTGTGCCATCCGGTGGCGCCTGTTAACAACTTCCATAATGCGCTCAACGTGCATTTTGGAGTGAAGAGATGGGTGTAGTGGTGTATAACCAATAGCGGCAGCAAGCTGGCGGTGCACGAGGATATCTGAAAAATGTAAATGTAAATACAAAGAAAGTGGCGGGTCACATACCCGCGAAGCGACGGATAGGACTGGTAAAATGTGTATAGATTGGGCTTGCAAGACCGTAGTGCCCGAAGGTATCTCGAGAGACACTGCCGGAGTTGAAATATTCCGCAGACAGCATACACCTCGTCGCCATTATGCGCACTAATGTATTGAAAGCAGGTTCTTTTGGATCCTATGACAGTGAACAATTTACAGAGTCGTACAAACGACTGAGAACAACGCACTAAGCATTTGTCGAGGGAATCTGCTAATGCAGCCGAGCTGGACACGTCCAGTTTGAGCCCCTTTCGCTTTTGCAAGATATCTTGCAATTTCTCAAAGTTTGTAGGTGGAGGCGGCAGATGCCGTCTGTGAAAGGTCGAGAAAGTGCATACAGCAGACAAGAGAAGCATACCTTAGTACTGATGTTTGCGGGAAAGATTCTTGAGTCTTTTTCGCTACGCTGGTATTGGCCAGCAACATGAATTCTTCAACCAGAGAGTTGGTCTCATGTAACGCTTTTTGTTCTACATCTACCGGATCGGATGACTCGGAGCTGTCAAGGTGAATTTTGACCTCAGGTGATGCGAGATTGAGCGCGCCAGCCGCCATCCGCTTGGCTTTCAACTTTTGCGCAAGGGAGTTCAATAGTCGAATGCTTTGCGTGAGGTTGTCGTTTAGTTTTCTACAGTCGAATCTTCAGCTTTATAAGAAAATAGGTCGAGAGGTGTCTCGCTTACGGGTCATCTTTTCGAAGTTGCGCCTCTCCGTATTCGAATGCAGCTTTGGAAGCGATAACAGATTTTGTGAAACGGACGTTTACTATTTCAGCATCTACAGTCATTTCCTATAACAAGTTCAGTCAAATACCGCAGTAAGCACATCATAAGAATTTGGCTAACCCAGATGACTGAAAACGCTAATCGCTCAACATGCGGCCTGAGGGAGCAAAGGTTGGTGCCAAGAAGCGCAGGTAACATGTCGATGCGCTTGTCAACAAGGTAGACCGTAGATCCACGTGCAGCAGCCTCATTGTCCATCGCAGTCTCCGGGTGGACAAAGTGAGACACATCCGCAATATCTGTTGACAACCATGAGAGTAAACTAGGAACAGCAAAAGTAAAACTTACGAACGCCAGCTTCGATATTGCCATTCGTCAGACGACGCGCATGCAAGGCATCATCAATATCCTGACAACCTGATCCAGGAAGTCAGTAGACCTATTTTACGCAGTATGCAATAAGCATTACCTGGGGGATCTATACTGCAGACAATGAGATCTCTGAGGTCTGTACGGTCTCTCCATTCCGGATTTGCTGCACTCTTAGGCGGAACAACCCATTGCTCGCCTTCTGGAGGCAGACAGTCGAGAATCGCCTTTCCGAAGGGCCTATATGGCACCTCAAACTCTAACAAGAGACTTTCTTGTTCGGCCTCTTTGCTTTCTGCCTTTCCAAGCGTACGAACAAAGTGACCCTCCGGATAACGAGAGGTGATTTCCCACCGGTCGATTGTTACCAATATTTTATTTCCAACAAGCGACGGTGCTTGGCGCGTACGTAGCCGGATGCGAGGGAGAAGTCTTGAGACTGGAGTAGCAAACACTGTTTGAAGCCCGAGTGACGTAGCATTACTTGAGGTGAGACTTGTAGAGTCGATGTGACAAACATATCTGTGTCAAAAGTATGTGTGAACCTACTCGATATAAAAGTAGGGGAGGAACGTACGCTCTCCAGTTGCGCTTGATGATGCCGACCACTCGACCAGTCGGTTGCTTTTCTGCAGGAGCCTTTTTCGTATGCTCGGCGCGAAGAGCCTTGGATTCATGCTCGTGCACCATCAGGTCGTCACCCTCTTCCTCTGAGTCCTCTGCATCATCGTTCTTGAGTGTTGCTGAGAAGAAGAATTAGCATTTAGTTGGTCAGTCTAACTAAGCTGGCTTGCCTTCCTGGTCGATGACCTCGTCAGTCGGTGCTTTCCATTCTCTTTCGTCGAACACTTCGACCACCACGACATCACCTTGGACTGCTCGGTTCATGTTTTCCCTGCCCACTAGAAGGACAGGTTTCGTGAACGCAGGGACAGGAACGGTACCCTGGAAGAAATCAGCACTGGCATGAGCGGAGGCATTCGTCATAAACCTCGAGATAGTTATATTGATTTGCGTTGAAGTGGCCTTGATGAAGTTGACCAGCTTTGACTCCCGCCACGAGGGTAGACATAGGAAGATACTGTAAAACGCGATATAAGTATCAAGAAATTGCAAAGCCATATTCACCGCACATCAGCATAGAGCGCAGTACGCCCTGCAACAGCTCTGGTAGGCTCCACTTCGTCTGAGCCAGTCGCCGAAAGTAGATCGAGAAGTTGATCCGAGTTCTTCATCCCGTCCACATAATCGCGCACTTCAAGACTTCTTTGAGAAAGAAAGCGAGGCAAAGTATATATCAGACGATACATACCTGAAATGCATGGGATTTTCTCCTTGTCTGCTTTCTGGCGGTTTGCAAAGTCGTCTGTGATCAACACAACCTTTGGTAGCGCTACATTTGGTTGACCTCGGATCGGAGGGTGCGCTAGTGTTAGATGCGCGTTGTACCACTCTGCGGCTTTCCTGATACCTGTGTGGTTTTTTATTCGTATGCATAAAGATACAAATCTGGGCATTACTGACCTCGATCATTCCGGTCGTTCGGCGTCTCGTCGTCTTCTCGTACGATAGCAGTCTCTCTATGACGCATACATCAGTAATGAGGGAAATTTGCGACACTTCATGAGAAAGCCATTTGAAGGACAATATGGAACACGACTTCAAGACCAAAGAATGGGCTCGGTGCAGAACAGGAGGTGAAGCAACATATCGTTAACCGCAACAGGGAAAAACTCGACAATATATGTGAATGACTCACGACCTGAACTCATTGTAAAACACCCATACTTTCCGCTCGTCAGTTGTCGTGAGGGCCTTGAGGCGACTATACAAGGGTAACGACCGATGACGGACTTCCTCCATAACGGTTTGTAGGATGATGATGGGGGGCGTGAAGTAATTAAATTCGATCAAGTCCATCTGTAAAGTATCAGCGCCGTGCGCGACCTCGTACTCGTATACATACCTGTGCAAGAAATACATTGGTATCGGGCAGGATATAGTGCCCTGTGGGGAAATCTTTGTGGGTGGTGTCCCCGGAACGCGAAAGGACAGTCTGCGCTGTCGCGTTGCATGCCCTACAGCCGTTGACGCCACAAGATATATCATCTCGAAGGTACCGTTCGCGTAGAACTAAGGAGAAACGGCCTTGAATGGATGAAGCATCGTGATGAAATGAGCCCATGAGGTACCTTTGATAACTTTTCCTCGAGCAGTCTTTTTGAAGAACATCCGCTGAGTTATGACAGCTTCCTCCCTCGGTCGCTTGAGAATCGTAATCTCAGGCATGTTAGATGCTTTGGGACTTCAGAAGGAGCAGGATGCATTACAACACTAATCACAAATATTTCATACAATATCACGTGACAACTATTCATATTTGTACTGCAGTTGCGGTGTACTACTAGTTACTCCCCATCCCAGCATGGAGAATAGTAATCCCTCGCACACCAGAAAGCCTATTAGCGTGCCACTGTATATCAATGGCTCTGCCCATCGCTAAACTCCCAGAACTCGCATAAAGGCCAGTCCAGGAATGTCCGGCCTAGGAAAATCTGCGTGCCAGGAATAGAAGGCGGTACTTGTATGGCTAAACCTCGTCGCGTGTGTTCAAGGATTGTCAGTTCTTCCTGGAGTCATTGAATGATCTTCACCTGGATTCCTCGAGTTTCCAACGCAAGTGCAGCATGAATCACTGCAAACTCTTGGCACGGCTACACTCCCTCCGTCGATAGGAGAAATTGAATCCGTGCGATACTCCTAGCCAATTTCACTATACGTCGTCATGATATACCCGTACGCTCCGAGTCTTTTCAGTAGATTCTGTACTAGAATCCATAGTGTATATAGGGTGGGTACGGGTCTCCTGGGTGATTGTAATCTGGATTGGTCGAGTGAAAGTGGGCTCCGTAAATGTTGATGGCTCATGATATGCACTGTGCATCAGCCCAAAGCTAACACTGGCGATGATAAGAAGTGGTGTCAAAGTCTAGAAGAATGTGAGACTAAAAAGAAGCGGCGGCGTAAAGTGCGCACAGAAATCTGGATAGCAACATTCATTGCCACGCCGAAAGCATTGCTGCTGGACTGGTACAGAGCGCACACGACCACTATGCTACTGGTATAGATCGCACCGGACCCGATGACAGCATATATGGCAGTTTTGTAGAAATTGTGACTGGCTAGACCAGATACATCTCGGCTCGCCCGCCAAAGACGATATGCGATTCCGGACGTGACACTGATAGTAAGAGCAAGATCGCATGCGCAACTAGTATTTCCCAAAGCTATGGCAGTATTCGAGAAGATGCGATTGGTTATGAGCATGACCAAGTTTGCGACACCAGTTGCTAACAGGGGTAATGAGTATTGTGAGTGCTTGACCCGACAGCTGACAAGCCTACCGAATTGTGTAGCTTCCAGAATTAGCTAGCGGTACCGCCGCTCGTCAAAAGAATAACGAGTAAGATGAAATGAGATCTCTTACCATGACAAAAGCAACGATCCACCTGCAATTCCAAACCACACAAAGCCTCCAGATCTGTTGTTGCATGTGTTAGGTTCGACACCTCGACACGCCAGTAGTTACTCACCAGCAGTAAATTTAGAGCGAGGCCCTGAAAAAAGTAACGATGAGACGCGATTTACGACAAAAATATGATATGCACGTTGAGAAGAAACAAACCCCCCATCGTCTCCGTGAAAGGTGTGCTCTTGAACAAGTATATGATAGTTCCATCTGGAATTGATACTATAGCAGGATTTGTAAAGGCCTCCAGAAAGAGAAGAAGGGAGAGGATGTTGTGTGCTGTCGCGATTGAGATGTGGAAAACGCATAAAAGAGTATTCAAGATCCTGATCCAATGGTGAATGCTGGCGAATGATTTAACAAGTGATCACACGAACCAATGCAGCTGTTTGGGCGCACTAAACAGGGCATACATACATACGCCAAAAAGCACGCAGCTGTTGATGAAAATAAGCATAGTGGGAGCCTGTCCACTGCGAACTCACTTGACTCCTGTCAGGTGTATTAGCACTAAATCTGTACGGTGCCAAGAAAAAGGGATGCATACCATAGAGAATAGACTCTAACAAAGCTGCGGTTATGAACATGCGATTGATGGCCATTGGTGAGTTGATGACCGCAGAGTGGATGACATGGACACGTGAAATACGGCCTTTGTAAGCTAAGATCCGTGCTTCGAGCACATGTCCAGGGTGGGCCCCAAGTGCGCCTCGGTGAAGGTTTCTTCTCCTTGATCGAGTCGCTTTCACGTACTCGGTCCCTCCTGCACTGGCTCCCACACACGAAACCTCGTCTGAAAGCCCTTACCTCGTTTCTAGTACTCTCGCTATTACCTCTCTGCAGATCGAGCGACAATACAAAGGATGCTAAATTGGTAAAATAGGAGGTTGCCATCCGCGGCCAATCGCGGCCCAAGTTGAGATTCAAATCTCCGCTAGTCTTACGACAAATCGAAGAACTGCTATACACCTCCCATCACCTCCATCCATCATGCATCGTGCATTGCTAGTCTCAGAAATACTCGTCCAGATATTCATCGATTTGAGTCAACCCCTGGGTTCAGAAACATTTGGCTGGTCTCTATCATCGACACGCAAATCCTTTGCATCGCTCGCCTTGACATGCACAACCTTTCACGAGCTTGCGATGGATTTTCTTTGGTCTAACATGCATGGGTTAAGACCACTGTTAGGCTGTGTGACCAGGCTACATTCAGCCATATATGATCCCAAGTCCAAGGTCGGTACCGAGTATTGAAAGCAAGCTTATCGTCCCGTGTTCGTTCGTTCGCTGATTGAGCATCTAAATACAGTATTCCTGGTCCCAGTACGCTGACCCATTAACCGAGCACGAATTCCATCAGTTTTTGCGCCATTCCGCTCGTGTGCGCCATCTAATCATACCAGCCAGCAATTATTTTCACCTTCTTACGGCCCTTCCCATCGAGACATGTGTATTTCCGAATCTGCTGTCGTTATCCTGGTTGGTTCAACGCACGGAAATAGGAGACTTGCGCTTTTTCCTGCCGCCAACCTTGCGCCGTTGTTCTGTATCGGAAGTCCCATTAGATATGAAATATATTGGGGCACGCTGTCCTGATGTGGAGGAGTTTACTGTTCATGAGGATACCGACAGGGCGCAACTCTCTGAAACCCTTCGTTCATGCAAGAGGCTCAGACGTCTGCAATGTCCGCCGTTCGACTCGGCAACATGGATGCACCTTTCTACCATCCCCACCCTTCTCGAGGTGAAGATTTCCACACCACGCACGATTCATTACCCATTGGACAATCTTGATTTTGCAACTTTCCTTCACCTCACGACTCTTTCGCTCTCTGGCATAGAAGCGGCATACGCTGTCGCAATCATACAACATTCCAAATTCCCTTCGCTAAAGGAGTTCGAGATGCATGTCTGTGTATTACATTGGGCACAGGCTGAGCAGCTTTTCCATGCACTGTCACTGTGCAAAGCATCCCAGACTCTTGAACGCATCAACATTTCTTCCCGCAAGCAAACTCAGGAGCACACAAGCGACTCGTTGACGGCAGTCAGACAGTTTCTTTGCTTCAAGGAACTCCGCACGCTGGGGCTATCTGTTCATTACCCCATCTACCTCGACGATGACCTTCTTTTTGAGGCCATGACAACTTGGTCGCATATTCACTCCTTCCAATTGATGAACTGGTATCCTTCTCCAGCTACCCTGACATTTCGCGGGTTGTTCGCGGCGCTTCGTCTGTGTCCGCAGTTGCAAGAGCTGCAAGTATCGGTCGACGCTCGGAATATCGATATCGAGCCTGAAGTCGAGTCATTCCAACATACTTCCCTGAGAATTCTGACCGTGGACTCGTGCGAGCTCGAAGTCGTGAATGTTGAAGCTGTTGCTCGCATCATTTACTCCATGCTTCCCGCCGTCAGCCAAGTTATGTGTTCAAATGGCGGCGTCCCACGACTGTGGTACAACGTCAACAAGCATCTCGAAATGCTTAGAAACAAAACGTACTCGGCGCCTGACCCTTGCATCACAGAAGTAGCGCTAACCCTGAGTTAGGGTACGCTCTTGTTCAGACTTATTATTGTCAGATATTAATTTCATGTTTAGAATGAGGAAGTCGCGCCGGGAATACGCAAGACATGTCTCTGGGCTCATCCAGCTGTACTCATTTTTTGATATATGGAAACATCTGTACTTTTATGCAATCTTTGAGTCATCTGTACGATCTGTATCAAATACTTCAACCAAGCCACCGTAACCTGGTATTCAAAAGGATTGACCTAGCGTTACAGAACTAGGGATAATGTTATACTCATTCTTGCATACACCTGACAGGATTCTACCCGTTTACAATTCACACGGCTACAATATCAAGGACTCGTCGGTTCACCGATGTACTTGGTCCAGACCCATGCCTCTCCTGCGCTGGCCCAAACCTTCCCACACACAAACCGAATCAATATCTGACGAAACCTCGTTTCTAGTACTCTCGCTATTACCCCTCTGCAGTGCAGTTGTTTCTCTACTTCGTTCACTCATCTCTGTATTCAATACTACTCTCCCCACCATGATTGCTATTCTCTCATCTTCGTCGACAATACTTAGAGGTCGCAACTCACCACCATATTTACCTTGACGACAACATGACCGATGCGAACAAACCCCCGACTCGAGAAATTGTCCACGTCCATGTCACTCACCCAGACCGCGACAATCTTTTCCGCATCGCAGCAACTCCCAGTGATTTGATCAAAAAGAATGTGAAGATTTTCGGCGTACAGTGTGCGCAATGTCAAAAAACATTGGATAAATTTTTGAAATGTTCAAAGGTGCTGGTGGCTGATATATCTAAATCTATCACAGGCGCTTATCACATGTTTTCGTAGTGCAAGGGCGTCTGGTATTGCTCAAAAGAGGTAAGATCTGCGACTTGGACAAAACAAGGGGCTGACGTTACAACTTATGTATCTTCCTGTGATAGTGCCAAAAGAAACATTGGTGAGCGTTCTGTTCACAATCAATACACAGAGGCCTCACTCCGGACCCGGACTTGTACTCCATGATAAGCCCGCTCACAAATCAGCATGTCACGACGTTGAACGCTCTTCAGGAGCCCTCAAATTCGTACGAGTGTTCTGCGCAAACATAACGCTCATGATGTTCCTCAAGGTCGCCATCATTTATGACTGTGGTTTGCTTGACAATCCTCGGCTCGGGTTAGATGTGCCTTTCATGGCCCGTGTTGACATCGCCATTGAGCCAACTGATATTCTCGACTTCGCGAGACTATATCTCGATAACGGGCCCATTGCAAAGAAGCTTAAAGGAATGGTGCAAGTCAATACTGTCTCTGCGTGGGATCCGAACACACATCCTCCCCTCACGCCAACGCGGCTGCGCTTATGGCGCGAGGCTCGAGCACACTCCACCGCATCAGGTTACGGAAAAGATCCTGTTGGACTCATCGAGTTCCTCAATTATACAGAGAATTCTACCACCGCTGCCACGTTCCATATTTCCAGCTCTATCCTTGACGTCGCGAGGAAACGCGAGCCCTTCTTATGTTCCTCTGCCATTATGGGCAATCATTTTGAGAAGCCTATGGATTCCGCGACATGCATAGAGTGGGTTATTTGACCCCATATTGTGGATTTCAATAAGCGCGGCCCCTTACAATCGCCTTGCATAGGTATATCAACTTGCATATTCGGGCCGATGAACAGGATCAGTTGCTTTTACGGACTGTGATGACAGAGCAAGACAAGGAAGTTATTCGCGCTGCAGGTCGCAACGAGAACTCGCTTCCCGTCTCTCTTCTCAATTTCAAGATGCAAAGAGAACTCCTCTATGCTATGTAGCATAATGGAGTCGAGACGCTAGCCAATTACATCCTCAGGTGTGCGTTTTCGTTTTTCAGAGCGCTGAAGTCTTTCTGATTGTAGCATGTAGACAGCGAACGCCGGCTGAATATGTTCTCACACAAACAAGGTTGGATTGACTGAATGTTTGCAAATCATGTATCCTTGCTCCGTGTGCTTGTAAATTTGGATATACTATATTACCGATTAGTTCAAAATATCATGTCACTTTTTCGCGCTCATGATGTACGCTCTTCATTTCATCATTCTATCTTCTCTTTAGTTTTCAAAACACAAAAAAGACCCTTGTTTCAAACTCCTTGGTGCAGCAGTCAAACATTGATCCGTCACTTGTGCTCTTTCAGCACCTCTTCGCATCGCACTAGCAGATGCAACCAATGCAATGATCATTCTGATTATTGGCAACTACATGGTCAAAACTACGAGACGCCAAGCTGGTTCTTTCTGATACAAACAATAAAAAAATCAACCATGTCGAGGCTTCTTCTTTGGCGAAGGCGATGTTTCTTCTCTCGGTCTGGGCCTCTTCTGCTTCAAAAGGTTGGGGAGCGGACAAAGTTCTATACCAGTAGCACGCTGTTGCGCACCATCGAGATATTCTGCAGCTTGTCTGTGGATATCATTCAGAAGAGTGTCGTCAAGCGCTAGCAGGGGATATTTTGCCTCCGCCTTTCGATAACCATCTTGGAGAGCACCTGCGAAATGAGGAATACAATCGCCAACATCACGGCATGTCTCTGAAAGGACATCATCACAGACGGTTTGAAGTTCGTCAACAAAGAAGAAGAACTCCTGGCGTGATGGGCGGCCGACCGTACCAGGGAATGCCAGCTGGAAATTTTTCCACTGAGCATGTAGTGCATCAAGGGAATGGTTGGCGTTTGTCGTGTCCGTGTGATAAAAGAAGATCCAGGTAAAAGCCCACCATACGGATTCGATGTCATGCAGGAAATTCATGCGAAATGGAGGGTGGGACGGGAGGCTTGTACCATGAGGTTTTCTACCAACTGGTCGGACGTTAGAAGTTGTTGAGCGGAAAAGGTACTTCTGTCTTTCTACTTCCACCGCCATGAAATGGATTGTTCCCTGGCGACGAGTTAACAGTGAAAGAGATCATCTTCAAAAACTCTTACCGTTCGAACATCGCGAGAAGTTTGTGACTCTATCTTCTTTGCGTACTCGAAGTCACCCAATTTCCCCATACCCCCGACCCAAATTACGTTCCCGACGCTGAAATCGCGATGAATCCAGCCTGCTTTGTGCATATAATACAGGGCTAAGGCTGAATGAGCGACTGAGAAAAGGAGTGACAGTGATTTGCTCACCCTTAAGTCCGTCGGACAAGCAAGTCAGGTTGTCGGCCAAAGAGGTGACATCCTTGACAGCGACTCCAACATCATCGAAGACAGTGCGAGTATGGACTCTGCGTGGGATGCCGGTGTCATTTCGCGCAATACCGCCCAATTGTGTGGGAAGAAAGGCAGACAGTCGTCCAGAGTCGGGTATATCGCCTGCGCTAGGTAAATGTGGTCTTGCGGAGAGGATGGGCTGGAGATCGATGGACACCCACTTCCAGCTACGATTATGCTCTTCTCCAACCAGCGGGTCCAGCGTCACGTCTGGGGTATCGTCGATTATGACATCCTTCCAAAGTCGGATTCCAACAAAGTACCTCTTGGCATCCGCCAACTCCTCCGCTTGCAGCTTCTCCGCACAGGAAGCCAGGATGCTTTCTAGGATCTCGCCCTCTGATTGACGTTCAACTTCTCTCCATGAATCTTTAATGGCAACCTTCTCCCCCCCGGCGTCCGTGGCTTCGTACACGCGAGTTCCACGCCCAACCATAGAGTCTGCGCCATAGGTTGCAAGTTCACGCGTCGTGGTGAATACTTCGTCCCCAATAATGAATTCATATTGGATTTTCTTCCCGTCACGGATCCGCTCGACGGTGGGGTCCCATCCGAGCTCATTCATAGTAGAAGACGCAGACGCAGATCCAAGAGCGTAAAAGAGAGAGATAACACTGTCGATGTTCTAGATGTACCATGCCTGTTAATACCCTAACACACAACGCGATACGTTTGCGTACCTGAAAAAAGTCGATAGGTTCTGTAACTGCGAGGCACGCACGGTTACTGAGCCACAGTCTTAATTGCATGTCCTCGATTGTGATACCGAATGCAAACCGCCTACAGGGATCCTCCCGCATGATACTGTGAAGGCTCCAGATTATCTTCTGTTCATCCTAGAGGCTTTATGAGCGGACGCCGACAAGATCTGCAAGAACTTACGTCTCGGAGAGACTCGGTATCCTGTTCCTTCTTGAACTCGAATGGTATAGCAATGTCGAACCAATGCATCTTGGCCTCAGTTTGTTTATCGCTAAGTACAAGGTATCCATCAGGCCTGGAAGTATTGTTGCGCTGCGAGAGGGGTGTTCCGTTTGGGTTCGCTAGGAAGGATATTCTGCGATTCGGGACTTCTGCCAAAATTTCGGAGATGATGCGACCGAGGGGCTTAAACACATTCTCTTCGGACCCTTTCGATTTGGCAGGTGGGGTAAAGTCCGTCCATCGCAGGCCACTCTCGTCGTCGGTGAGAATCTTGCTCTCTTTGTTGGTCAAGTTGTTGCGTATTCGCTGCAGATCCTGCTGAGAGGGCATGGCACCGACACATTTCACTAGACAATCGAACGGAACCTGCAGATACCTTCCCAAATCAGCGAGAACAGCAATGCGACCTAGTTTCAGATCCCCCGTGCGGTAATCCGCTTGTGACGTATGACGAGCGAATACAGCTGTATCTGGCGGCAGCATTTGTGACTTCTATGATCGTGGTGTATGAGGAGGGGTGACCATCGTGATTCGATGAGGTAAGTAAGGTCAATTTGGCCTTGGGGAAATGAAACTACACAAGAACAAGACTCTGGACGTTGAGAGCGCAATGTGTCAGTGCCGCGTCAATTTCACCTGACCCGAAAACATCAACACTTCAAAACAGAGCTTATCGGCTATTGTAGTACGTACCGGTACCAAGCTTAAGTACTCTCTCATACACTATTCTCCAGACAACTCGTATACAGCACCGCGTCTTAACAGTTTCCATTTGTTGCGGAATAATGTAAATTCTCTCTCACAATTTCAAAGTACCTTTCAAATTCTAGCTTGTCCTCTGAGTGGAACGGCTGGGACAGGATTACCCCATCGAGTCTGCCCGTCTTTCCATTCTTTGGAATCTGGATGTTTTTCTGAGTTTCTCGCTATTGGGCGATAGCCATCCCTCAGTCGTCTCTTGCAAATGTCAGAAATCGCGGGCCCTGCTGCTGCTGCTCTGGCATCGCTATGCCCTGACGACGTAATTTTCCTTCAGTCACTCCCCAAGGCAGAACTTCATGCTCATCTCAACGGATCTATACCTATCAAAACAATACTGGAACTTGCGCAGAAATACTCGCCTTCTAGTCCACAGACGACCGAGGTCGCAGACATTATCGAGAAACTCAAGTCTGGAGTCATCTTGAATGACATATTTGACTTTTTCTCTCTGATGCCCGCTATCTATACTCTGACATCAACCCCGGAAGCAGTCGCGATAACTACTCGTGCAGTCCTCCAGTTATTCCTGAACCCCACCAGTGATGGCGCGGAAAGTCCTCAGTGCACGTACCTCGAGCTACGGACTACACCTCGCGCGACGCCACACATGACGCGAGAGAGGTACCTCACGGTTGTGCTTGATGAAGTAGAGATGTATCCTGCTACACAGGCCGCCCTGATCGTGTCCGTCGATCGTCGCATGAGTGACTCGGACCTTGAAGAATGCATTAGTCTTGCCATCGAGATGAAGAACAGAGGCAGAAGAGTTGTAGGCATTGATGTATGTGGGGATCCACGTAGTGGCGACATGCAATCCTTCACTCAGCACCTATCAAGAGCAAAGGGTGCTGGCCTTGGGTTGACCGTACACATCGCGGAGGTTTGTGATGTTCACTATGGTGTATGCGACTCAATAATGATGTTCGGATTTGTAGAGCACAAATAATACAACCGAGGATTCTCTGGCACTCCTTAGTTGTCGTCCGGATCGACTCGGACACGCAACATTCCTTTCAGATGAACTCAAGACTTTGTTCTTCGAAGATATCCCGCAGCCTGGGACAGAATGCGGTTCGTTGTCTGAATGTGCAACGGGAACGACAAGCCCTCACACACCAGCTGGACTCAGAGATCCCCTTCACCCTCTCCACTCCAAATTCCAAAATCTCAAAGAGGGTTATTTTCTACGCTTCGTTTCAGATAGCACTGCGTCTGAGGAAGCGAAAGTGCAGATGTCTTTCCGGGCTGATGCAGAGAAATTTTCCGAGCGAGCCGCCATTAAGGATATTGAAGAGATGATCAAACAAGCGGAGTCGCCCAATAACGCGCGCACGAACGGACAATACAAGCCATGCATCGAGATATGCCTGAGCTCCAATCTTCTGTAGGATCGTGCATTGACTCAACGAACTATGAAATCTAATCCTTCTTTTAGATGCAAAACTGTCGCATCCCTCGACGCGCATCATATTCGCTATTATCTGAAGAATGACCATCCCATCGTCATCTGTGTAAGCACGCCATCTTACGCGTGATATGCTCTTTCGTCTGACGCTTTGCATGATCAACAGACTGATGACGCACTCCCTTTCAGAACGTCTTGTCTTGGGGAGTACTCTTTGCTTCTGGCACAGCCTCCGTTAGGCCTTGGCTTGAGCAGAGATGATGTAGCTAGAATCGCGCGGATGGGCATGGATGCTGCATTTTTGAGACCTCGTGATTGAACTATATTCCAATCTTGGGTATGACATCGAATTTAGATGGCATGGATCCTAACTCTAGAATACTGGTCGTGTCACAGAGCAGGACGGCTGATAGCCCGACCTGTAAAGAAAATTACCTGGGCGATACCTGCGAAATTCAAATAAAACAAAAGTGCCACCGGCCTTTGACTTTCGATTTCTAGAGGTCATATCGTTGATGAGCCTATCATTTCTCTTGATGCGCTTGTCAGTAAGAGAAGCGCAAAATGATGCATGCACGTGAATTGTTTGAAGTTTCGATATGTCCTAGCAACGGATAAATAATGCAACTACATAGTTGCCATGACGTAGAATGCGACATTAGATTCCTCGTCCGCCCGTTATCTCCAGCGTATGGCCAGTCACGTACGCCGCAAGCGGTGAGGCAAGGTAGAAACGTACAAAAGCATGCCTCGTCAGCGTGACACCTCCGTCTACCCACGAAAACAGTGACATGGCATTCTGAGTAGCAGCACGCCCGCTTTGCTCTAGGATGAATGCCCAAACAACCTTGTGACCGTCAATCTCAATGGTTGCGCCGTCCTCCTTTATCGTGGTTAATCTGCATCCTGTCACTGCAATAAATTAGTCTTCGTTAACGGTTAATTCAACGTTCTTCTCGATCGAAATGTTGTTTGTGTCTGTTTGTGCGGCACATTATTATGTAAGACAAGTCCAACTAAATGGTTCATAATGGTCAAAGCACTATTCCATCGACGTACTAGAAGTGATGCATCGCGCTTTACTTGTTTCCGAAATTCTCCTGGAGGTTTTCATGTATATTAAAAAAGTCCCGGACCCACATGTGCCGTCTTGCGAGACACCATTGACGCGGAAATCCCTTGCAGCGCTTGCTAGGACATGCAAAACTTTTTATGAGCCTGCAATGGATTTGCTTTGGGCTAAGTTGGAAGGAATAGCACCACTGCTAAGCTGCGTAACGAGGCTATATCCAATCATATATCCCCGCAACTCAGAGGTCAGTGCGGACTATGTTCATCATATCTCGTTCATTCGCTCACTGAGCACCCAAACGCAGTACTTCTGCTTTGATGGTATCGAGCAGCTCAAGCCATTATCTGAGCATGAAGTCCCTCAATTCCTGCATCACGCCTTCCGTGTTCGCTCATTGAGAATATGGAACGGCGGTCACCATCACTTTCTCTCAGCCCTCCCGATGGAGACATGCATGTTTCCGAGATTGTTATCGCTAACAACGCATGCAGATCTGAATAAATACTTGCATCTCTTCCTGTCACCCACACTGCGTCATTGTACCCTACCAGCTGTTCATCCGGATTTAAAATCTGTTCCAATCCTCTGTGCTACTTTGAAGGACTTGTCCATCAAATCCCTTGGACACACAGCAGCAGATATGCAGGTGCTGTATGACAGTATCCGTTTGTGCAAGCGACTTGTGAATCTGACTTGCCCACTACTCGATTGGACAACATGGGAATACCTTTCCAACCTCCCTACCCTTCTTACGCTGGAGATCTGGGACACCCTTCCGTGTCATTCATTAGGGTTGTGTAATCTCAATTTAGCACCTTTTCTCAACGTCACAAAACTGTGTTTCTTTATCAGTAGAGCCGCATACACCATCGCAATCATGCAACACCTAGAATTTCCCTCGCTAAATCAATTTGAGATGGAAGTCTCGGATTTACCTTGGGCAGATACTAAGCCGCTCTTTCATGTACTGTCACAGCACAAAACCCTTTCACACATCACCATCTCCTCTGAACGTGGTTATCGAGAACCTCGGGACCTCTTGGTCAGCCCCTCAATGCCAATCAGGCAATTGTTTTGTCTCACGCAATTGCGAACCCTGCACCTCAAATTTCCTTATTGCTCCATAAGCCTTGACGACGACCTACTTTTGGAAGCCATGTCGGGTTGGCCGCACATCCGAATGCTGGAATTCATTGATCCACGGGTGGTGGAACCTGCTGTTATATTCCACGGAATATTCATTGATCCACAGGTGGTACCTGCTGTTACATTCCATGGACTATTCACAGCGCTCCACCAATGCCCCCGCTTGCATACGCTGAACATACCATTGGATGCCATCGATATCGATATCGATCCTACAGCCGAGCCGTTCCTTCATACCTCCCTACAAAACTTGAACTTGACCTCCTCTGACCTATCAGATGCTGAAGCTGTAGCCCGCATTATTTTCTCGGTGCTCCCTTCTGTCGATCGAATTTTCCCGGCGGGAGACGAGCCCTCTGGTGTCTACCTTGAGGTCCAGAAGCATCTTGAATCTTTTAGGGCATCTGCGGTTCTTAGTCCCCATATCCTCACCTGATCATTATATCACGCATGTCAGGTGTTTTGATATGAAACACGGAACGTTTCACGTACGTACCTAGAGTAATGATGTCTTTACCTCAGAATAATACTGTTACCTTTCCGTTATTCTTCTTTGCTTCTTGGTACTATACAGTGATTCACCATCGTCACTCAGCCACCGCATCATTCCGTCCCACATCATATTAATGGCGTGCACCGTATGTTTGTCTTTCCCTCAGCGTTTGTTCTTACTCACTGAGGTATGTTTATTCTTGTACACGTACCTACACATACTAAATGTAGAGCAGACTCTCTCGTTGTTCTAGCCTACACTGATGCATCGCGCTTTACTTGTTTCCGAAATTCTCCTGGAGGTATTCATGCATGTGAATAAAGTCCTGGACCCATATGCGTCAATATTGTCGTATCGCGATATATCATTGGCGCGGAAATCCTTTGCAGCGCTTGCTAGGACATGCAAACCTTTTTATGAGCCTGCAATGGATTTACTTTGGGCTGAGTTGGATGGAATAGAACCACTGCTGGGCTGCGTAGCGAGGCTACATCCAATCGTGTATCGTCGCGGCCGTGCTTCAAGGGTCAGTGCGGATTATGTTCATGTTATCTCATTCACTCACCAAGCACCCAAACGCAGCACCTCTGCTTTGAAGTCATCGAGGCATTATCTGGGCATGAAGTCACTCAATTCCTGCATCACGCCCCTCGTGTTCGCTCACTGAGAATATTACACGATGACTACTTTCACCTTCTTTCAGCCCTCCCGATCGAGGCATGCATGTTTCCAAGGTTGTTGTCGCTATCAACGGATCGAAATCTGAAGAGATACTTGCATCTCTTTCTGTCACCTATGCTGCGTTGTTGTACCCTACCAATTGTTCATCCGGACTTGAAATCTGTTCCAATCCGCTGTGCTGCTTTGGAGGACTTGTCCATCAAATCCTCCTTTGAAAACACAGCAGCAGATGGGCGAGTGCTGTATGACAGCATCTGTTTGTGCGAGCGACTTGTAACTCTGGCTTGTCCACCACTCGATTGGACAACATGGGAATACCTTTCAAACCTCCCTACTCTTCTTACGCTGGAGATCTGGGACGACCGTTGTTCATTGGGGCCGCGTAATCTCAATTTAGCACCTTTCCTCAATGTCACGAGACTGTATTTCTTTACCAGGAGAGCCGCATACACCATCGCAGTTATGCAACACCTAGAATTCCCTTCGCTAAATCAATTCGAGATGGATGTCTTTAATTTGCCTTGGGCAGATATTGAGCCGCTCTTTCATGCACTGTCACAGCACAAAACCCTTTCACGCATCGCCATCTCCTCTGAACGTGGTGATCGAGAACCTCAGGACCTCTTGGGCAGCTCCTCAACGCCAATCAGACAATCCCTTTGTTTCACGCAATTGCGAACCCTGCACCTCAAATTTCCTTATTGCTCCATAAACCTTGACGACGACCTACTTTTGGAAGCCATGTCGAGTTGACCGCACATCCGAATGCTGCAATTCATTGATCCACGGGCGATACCTACTGTTACATTCCACGGATTATTTACAGCGCTCCGCCGATGCCCCCGCTTGCATACGCTGGACATACCATTGGATGCCGTTAATATCAATATCGATCCTACAGCCGAGCCGTTCCTTCATACCTCCCTACGAAATTTGAACTTGACTTCCTCTGCCCTGTCGGATGCTGAAGCTATAGCCCGCATTATTTTCTCGGTGCTCCCTTCTGTCGATCGAATTTTCCCGGCAGGATACGAGCGCCCCTCTGCCGGTGTCTGTTTTGAGGTCCAGAGGCATCTTGAATCTTTTAGGGCATCTGCGGTTCTTGGTCGCCATATCCTCACCTGATCGTTATACTACGCATGTCAACTGTTTTGATATGAAACACGGAACGTTTCATATACGTATCTAGAGTAACATCAATGTCTTTACCACGTTTGAAAGACCTAAAAACCTTTCATTAAAACTCATACGATGTCGCGTACAGCATCTCTGTAATAAGTTGACTGCTAGTAGCCTGACTATCATATCATGTCTCTAAGCATCGCATCTCATCGGCGCGAGATAACTTCGAGTGAGATTTGTCGGCCAGATATAGCAGTGACATTGGCGCATCGTATTCTGCAAGTTCCGATGCATCACGGAGCTCCATGGTGAAGAAAGCTGTCAAAGGCGCAGCTCACCACACAAGATATCAGCGAATCTCTGAGGCGGCACAGACGGTCTGATCGTCGAGCTGCCACCATGGTGCAGTGAACGGCATACATTCATGCCGGGTTTCGTGTTTGTAGCTCGCAGGTCGAAGGACCCTAGAAAAATAAACTCATCAGTGAGTGGCTCTAAATTATATCAGAACCCAGGGTGACAAACTCGAATGCGTGATCCAGTGGTCACTCGACAATTCTATATGGATGACGGAACCTCTTGAATCGTTTTTGTTGAACCTGCACCACGTGCATATACGCACCTGAGAAATGTGATGGGACCTGCCCTGTTTCCTAGGGCAAGCATTGACGAATCGTGGGCATGGTCGTGGTCCCATAATCTTGTTGTTGTGACCAGGCAAAACCTTCATTAGGAAGTCAAAAAATGTTATTCCGCACCATAGAGCAGACTGATCGCTTGCGCTCGAAGAGTCGTACGAACGATATCTTCAGATGAAGCTGTGTTGAGTAGCAGTCCTGTAACGTCTTGAATCTCGACAAAGGTTTGGGTGAACCGATCTGACATAGCTTGCACATTAGTCCATTCTCCAATCAAGAGATTTTTAGCAGCTGCTCGGGCGATACTTTGTTGAAATTGAGAACAGCTATTACGCATCTCGAATACATATATCAGCGGCATGCCAGGCATGCGACGAGGGATACATTCCCCTTGATGTGAGATTGCTGGAGGAGCATGCAACATTTCGAATAGCCTGGGGAACATCAAGAGATCCGAGAGTGATAGCGCCCCAATCTTGACATCATTTCAAACTTCACAACAGATGCCGAGAAGCAGCAACCATGCTTACCTTGATATATACTCGGTTACATGTGTCACTGGTTTTATCATCGCCCTAAACCACCCGGGGGGCCGTTGCCCTTGCTCATCTCCTCGAGGTGACTTGATATCGCTGAAGTTAACTCCAGGGTCCAGGGTTTGAATGCAAAGACGAGGTGCCTTGTCCCATGGAAAGCGACAAATCCCAAAGGGATCTTAGCATGATAGGTCCAACTGCCTCGGTGGTAATGCAGGCCTGTGCGTCGTCTAACCACTGCAGACAACTCTCATAAAGGTGTAAAATAACGGTGGATAGTGTCAGACGTGTAAAATGTCATTGATGGAATATCGTGCTGTTCCCTTTGTTGTATCGCTGAAAAGGCTCTGATTTTGCTCAAACGACAGTTTATATGCATAATGATGAGTAATCTGAGACGCGCGAGCTCGAGACCCCCAACATCAAATCGTAAACCGAGGCTTCCAAAAATGCTGCGCAGTTTGACGGTGGAAGCCTCTCGTGCCCGAGATATTGAAAGTTGGCCACAGATTTGACAGGCTGTCGTCGTAACTTAGATACTAAAGCTGATCAACAAGATCGACGGTCATTGTGAGGTGAATGCAACAGTACCGTTTGGATACCAACCCGGGTCAGCACCAATTTCCCAGCTGGGACAATCTGTGCACAACATACACATGGGCTGCATCTCAGTGACTCCAGGCTAGCGCTCATCTACCGTTGCCATCCAGTTATGATACTCTTTTTATTTCTCCGGGACGTGCCATAAAGTAGGGGCAGAAACGGAAAATACACGTCCGACCGGATATTAATTACAAGCTCCTTATTGAACTCGAGAAACCTCAAAACTCAAAGAGCTTGGGAAGACACGACAGACATCCCATCGTCAAGGGGCTCCAGATCCGACACGACCAGCAAAATGGGAGGCACGATCAAAGGCGAAGTCAATAACAAAGTAGAAGACGACGAAGCTGCACAGCTGTAGTCATGATGCAATGGTTCCGGTAATGCAGTTGAAAGAGCAAAAACAAACATGTACATACAATTCGGACCGGCTATGACTCGGGAATCGGGATCGTGATCACCGACATAAAAAAAATCGCTCCTGGAAATGACCGTTTTCATCTTCTCATCCTATACTGGACGGCTCAAAATGTGACATCCTGTCCCTTATGCTGTCAGATCAATTGGAATACGTTGTGCCACATTGGATGATTGGAGAACTTAACAATCCTAGCTTGGAAGGTACATTCGCTGCCCGGCTTGAACATCTGCATTGTACACAGACTGACTCGACAGCGTGAAAGCATCTCTCCAATCTCCTCACTCTGCACTGTACACAGTAGCAATCCGTATCAGATTCCTTCACCCGTTGAACTGGTTTCTCCTTGATTGCAGATATCAGGAACTCTTAGGCAGCTTGACGGCGGTCACAGTTTCTTTGCTTCCTCGTTTACCTTGACAACGACCTTCTGGTGGAAGCTTTTTTGTTCGACGCACATCCGCGCGCTGGATCTGACGGGCCCAGACCCCGCGTCTCAGTTTCCTCACCATCATGTTCCAAGGGTCATTTACCGCACTCTATCTATGCTCCCTGCCAATGGTAGTGGATGCTGAGGCTGCGTGTCGATATCGCTCCCAAAGGCAATTCATTCCAACACGACCCCCTACACATGCTGGGTGCTAAAGCTGGCGCTCGGATCATTTTCTCGATGTTTCCCTATTCCCTCGTAGTTACTTAAGAGCACGACAATGCCACTGGAAGCTGCTTCCTATCATGGCTGGTGGGATTCGGATCTTCTGCATTTATTGGTGGTCAGATCACAGGAGTAGTCCCTGGGCTCAGATTTATATGCTGATGTTCGGTGATTATCCCATGGTCCCCGTCAAATTTCGCCATGCGTAGATGGGGCGAGCAAGGGAGGTCATGTCGAGGCCTTGTGGCCTGTACATGTGTTTGTACAGAATTTTTTTCTGTATTACCGTTACGGACTTGCACAGGCCATTCAACGTGTACAAGTCTTGAATCTGCGGGTCGTCAACCACATCTGCAAACGACTTAACATTGGCTTTTTATTTGTGGCTTGAACACCTGTTAGTTCTGGCAGTCACATTCACGTTCGGACTCAGTTTTATAGGTCAAGGTGAAAAGGAAATGAGGTAGTGCCCACTGCCGGCATGAATTGCAATTGATTCCGCTCTGCCGTGGCATTGCTGATGCCGGTTGCTGGCCTCCTTTAGTCCTATTCTATGTTTATTTTTGTACGCACACCAGTCTTCTCTGAGTCGGACGTTAATGTTGACCTCGAGTGTGCATAGGTCAGAAGCACGGAATAAAATTATACTTGCCATAGAGGGAATTCATCTAGCCGTATGGCGCAATCAACATTCAAGGTTCCATACTAGTACTGATCCCTGGCCTGTGCTCGTTGAACTAAGTTAGGTCCGGCCCCGGGTGATGTATACGCGCTATTACAACAACGTTCCATTCTACCTCACCCTGCTCCGCCCGAGATTATTTGCACGCTGTACCACAGCTACCAGGTTAACGTTGGCGTCAAGTATTGGACCCCGAGCGTATTATACCTCAACTTGAAAGTGCCTCGTTGCTCAGGTCAGTAGCACTCGGAGGCAGAAGTTAGTCAACTCGGATCCGTGTCTAGACCTCGAAGTTTTCCAATTTTAAATTCCCTGTCTGGCTGCACAGTTTGTAGGTCGGAACTTGGGGAAAAGGAATCTATCATAAAACGGTCGGACAGTTCTATTCGGGTGGTAGGTCTCCAATTCAAATAAGTACTCTCTTGCTTAACGAGCGCATTTACAAAGCTGGCGCTCATTTGTGGGGATCACAGTTCCATTCCATCAAGTAGTTCACATGCATACTGCACTGCAAATGCGTTTCGCCGTAGTGACCGCTGAAAAACCCTCATATCATACGTTAAGCGCGCACAGGTTCGACTCAGCCGCCCACTCCCATGCATTTTTAACTGTTTGAAAAACTTCTCCCATAACGCGCGGGTCCCGACCGATTGTATCACCCGGCCCCACAATAAAAAATGAGGGACTCTGAACCGTCGATCTACTCGTCGATCGCAAAAGGAATGCATCAGAACATCTTATGAACGCAACCGACCCACGCATGCTGCCCAGCCATAGACGTCAAGAATGGAAGTACGTTGCGAGAAATGAACGTGTCGGTTATTCGGAAATATGTCCTCCCTCGTATGCTCACCTCAAATCAACATTAGCCTCGTTGCCTTTCGAATTCAAGGTATATCCACTTCCTTATTTGCGCTCCTTGCACGATGCTAAGGACACCGACAGGCACCACTTTCATCCCGTCGTAGTTTCCCATTAAAAGGATCCATGGACATTGCATAGACCATTCTTATTGTTGCTGGGTGGAGCTTTATCGGCCGCCTCTGGTGTTTCCAGTACATGGCCTTCTCAAATTGGACGGTCATCGATTCTCGAGCATCCGACAACTTTGACTGTGTTAATCTCCACCGTACTATCCGTGATCACGACGAGGTCAGTTGAAACTTGCACAAGACGACAACGGTATGTTCTGACTTCATGTTGCCCAGCCTACTCACAACGGAGTCTCGTACAGCGACAAGGATGCGAGACTTGATTTCCCATTCGACAAGATGGTCTCCTCCCTGCCGTGAACGATTCTGATTATAGCAGCTCTTCTGTTGCCTAGACCGCATATGGACTTGCCTTTACCAGTGGTTTCATGCCTCAATGTGATAATCGACCTAGGTCGCTACCTTTTTGGTTCCCCTCTCTAGGGTCTTGGAAAGCACTATACCGTAACCCAGTAAGACCCCACCGCAGAAGTTAACTGCTACGAGCGGAACACTTCTATCTACTCTTATGGTGCCTATTCCGATAACTTCAGTTGCATTTCCATTGGACAGTGTTGGCTTGACGATGTGGTAAGTGGTAGCAGAGTATCCAAATGACAAGCAAATTATTCCCTGTAATTCTGAACAAAGCATCACATCTCGTGTTACGGGAAACTATGTCATACGCCACCTTTTTGAATGCGACCACTCTCGAATTGAACCCAGATACTGAAGGCTTTCTTCGACAGTCCGCAGCCAGACTTCCCAGGCTTCAACCGGTACAAGTTCGGTACACGAACAAGCCCGCCCATTTACTATGTGCTCACCAATTCAACTTCTTGAAAGATATTCTGACGACAGATTGTACTAGATATGCATTCCCGCCTACGACCGTCTGCGAGGTCGTCCTGCACGCGACGACAGTGGACGTCATATATGATCAAGGAATAGTTTCGACAGCAGTAGCTGATCGCCGTCCTTTCGGAGACTCGAACATGGTCTTTATTAAGTTCATCGCGAGTGCGATCAATTATCAAGCAGGGAACACACAAGGCTTCCAGACCATTCTTATCAGACTACTTAACGGCTTGCATTGATAGCAATTCAATTGCCGTCAAGTGGTAGGAAACCCGCCATTGCTGTTCTCGGACACAAATAATTTGTTAACTGCAGGAAGGGTAGTGGTAGAATCCAGTGGTACAGTAAGTTGCAATCACCTCTTCTGGCGGACACGCTGATGATGGCTGTGTCATCGGCAGTATTTGAGACTTGGTTTCATCTGCCACCGGCGTTCTTCCCTGGACAGAATCTGAGACTCTGAGTTAGCACGTATGACTGGGAAGAAGGGCGTCTCATCTACCAGCTTTTCTGTTCGTTATCTTTAGAATGTTTTGGCTGGTTACTCTTATTGCCGCCAAATTCAATTTGAAGAACGAACTGCAGCATCTACGAAGAGATGATGTTGTGTTTGACTACTGCGATTGGTGGGCTAGAAGGGCAGCTGCCAGTGTTTGGTCTTGAGCACCATGGTGGCTTGAAGAGGAATGAAGATATCGAGATTCAGCACGTGGTGGAACCGGCGAGTATGGAAGGAAGGAAACGGCTAGGTGTATCAGAACTGCGGCCCACCATGTAGGTGCCGGTGCCGGGACCGCACCCCAATACCTTGCAGCGTAGGAATTACGTTGATGATGGCACAGCAACTTCATATATAGCGATGCATGATAGGTTTCATTAAGCTTCCGAGCCTGGGCCTGGCCATGGAACGTAGCCGGACGGTAGCGTCTGCGCCGACTCATTGAGCTGCTATGACATCTATACTGAGCTGAACTACTGCAAGTCTCGTAGTCACATAGGGTGGGCCAGTCGTAAACCGCTTACATAAGCATTAATCAACACAGAAAGTGTGACACGCGGCGGCAGCCCTTCGGTCTCTTCCACTCACATGCCCCTCGAAACTCGGAGGATGATGTGGGCTCACCGTACGCTGAGCATGCAATTTGCTGCAGGTAGTTGAAATTAAGCGCATTTCTCCCAGTATCCCAGTGACTTTCTTCGAAGTATCCATAGGGCTGAAAATTAATTTTCTCTGCAAAGGCAAACGGTGCTGGCGAGTTTTTGTATACGTATGTTGGTACCATCTATGAATCTGAACCTCCAACAGGGTCACTCCAACGGGGAGGTTGGATCTCACATCTTCAGTATGCCCTTGTCTTCAAGTTCGCCTTCAAGTTCCCGAGGACTTATCCAGGGAGAATCAAAATTTAAGTAACGCAATAAGAGTGGCTGCGTGGCTGATCATCTTCATTGTGTGCATCTTGCGCATACGCAGTATCAGGTTCCGCTCGACTAATTCTAGAGTCCAGGCTGTGTCAGTGGCGTGCATGCAGCAAGTATATAATATTTCTATGCGAGTGAGACAACTGGATTCTGCGTCTACCTCTTCTCTTGTGATGCATCATACTCACTCCAAATTTGTGCACTACACAGTCATCATCGTTAGCCAGATTTTCATTCTGGCATTTGGATACGGATTTCTTGGTGCTGTTGCTTACTATGAGTACCTTGCTCCATCTGATTCAGTCTGCGAGACAATGAAGAACCATCCTGGGGAGGTAACAATGCTAGTCGCATTGATAGCGACTGTGCTATCAGTCATCACTGCTACGTTCGTCTACCGTTTGTTCTTTTCGACTAATCGTTCATGAAATGAGATTTTTCCACCAGCCTTTTCACGCTGTCCGTTAAAGAGGCACTAAGACATCGGATATGCCAGCCCATTTCCCTAATTCAACTGAGCGCTGGTGTCGCTTTAGCACAGGGCTCTCATATTCTCAGCCATCGACACGTGGAATTGACAGTCCTGACGCTGTTTATATTTGGGGTGCTGAAGCTCTTAACGGCCGGGTGCGTCTTCTCTGAAACCATTGTCGAGATCTTCTTATTCGAATGAAGTTATAGGTGGACAACTCTCTTGACACCGACCTACTTCATGTGGCCAGTACAGATGAATGGATCTGAAATTGACATAACTGGAAGCACGTTTGCCACTTTGCTCCAAGAAGAATTCCTGGCAAGTGGTCTCAGTATGTATCTCTACTCCAGTTACCGAGTCGTTTGTAAAATGGGATAACCAAGTCCAGAACGATGCTTTCGAAGTTCTCGATATCGGTGGAATGCTCAGTGGAGTTGCTGCTGCAGGGTTTACCTTCGGTCTTCCTGGGACATTCAATTTTAATGGTGCAAAATACAACATATCCACTCGTACGTCTAGTCTCTCAGTTCACTATAAACTATTTTACGACACTGTGAAACTAGAGGGGGTCGTGCCTACCATTGAGGCATTTTCCGGTTCGGATGGAATTCCGGGTGCTAATGGTACTCCTCTCGGGTTTTCCGGTGGAAATGTCACAGTCAACACAGGAGTCGTACCCGGATTACACTCTCGTGTACCTATTCCTGAAGGTTTTAGCACGAACTATTCGATGTGGCAACAAGGGTTGACAGCGAATGTCAGCTGCCAGGCCATTGACTCGAGTCAAACGCAGTACCTTTGGAACACGAACAACTCTGACGTCATCTATACCAACCCAGCTGCTTCGAGCAACAACTTCATTACTGGCCTTCGCTTGTGGAATATCAGTGTAAACTGTGGTACCAGTAAGTTCGGATATTGGCTATCTTTTCTTGAGTTCACTGACGGCTTCTAGATATCTCGACAGCATACGAATATGTGACCATGGTGGATGCCAATGGAAATGGAAATTTAACAGGGAATGGCTTTCTTCCATCTGTCGTGTGCCTAGGACCAACGGATATGAACCAAAATTATACAAGCTTCAGTGAGCCCTTGGAAAATGCACGTTGGGACTCATTGACCGAATCTGTTTCTGTAGCCATTTTTACGCAAGGGTTTTACAAGTATGATTTCCTTGAAGCAAGCGTGTGCGAAGTGGTTCCCCTGTTGACCACAGTCCGCGCCGATTACTCCAACGAACAAATTTCTTCTGAGATCATCTCATCCACTCCTTTCCAGTCAGAGAATGCCGAGCTACTGTTATTTATCGCTGGAGTCGCCAGGTATCAGTCGATAAACTCACAGGGACTTACGAGCAGCACCATTGGGGATACCCTGTACTCTACCTATTCTTCGACTACTACTGAATACGTCAATAACAATCTCAATGACACACAGGTTTACCTTGAGCTCGTCAGTTTCACGTCATACAATCTTGATCCACTTCTTATGCTTTCTTAGGAGGATTACTGGCGTGGTGTTGTTGAGTTTTCCGCCACGGTGAGATTGCTAGTCCGTTCAATGTAGTCTCAATTGACCTAGCATTATTTTACAGTTTCTTCGCTCCGGGTTCATGGCCACAGGCAGCTTCCCCGATAATATCATCCCGAACAACCTCTCTTCGCTAGTCAACGGGACGATGTTCATATCGACAATAGGCTGGACTCGCTGGACTAAGAACTCGCCGACGTATCTGCTCGCTACAGTGCCGCTCACCATTATCACCATCCTCACTTTCTCCTGCGCGTTGTACAGTCTTCTGGAGACTTTGGAAGAACATCGAAATCACAGTCACAAGGCGCACTTCAATGTGTCAAACACAATTCATCTCGTTATGCTATGCGCTGCTGGAAGTCTCAAACTGGCAGATTTCGGCAATCGCAAGGGGATCAAGAAAAATGAGGTTGTGAAGGTTCACCTAGAGGAACTCCACTCCCCCCGGCTCTCAACTTGAAGTTAGAGCGAGGTCTGGAAACGCGAAGGGGATGCATTGTTTTCAGCCATATCGCGTAATGGTAGTGTCTGTTCTCAGTTGTATGTAAACCTAACTTGGTCTTGTTTGACATTTGTAGTGCACGATGTCGAACTATAGAGTAATAAATGTGATTGGTTTTGGTTTTAGGATGTGACATGTTTGTGCATTCCGCATGGAATAGGGACGCTCTCGGCTACACCGCCAGTTCCGTAAACTATATTGTAGTGAAAATGGTAGAGGTATACTATCACATGATCCGTAATGCACTATGTGCTCACCAAATCAACTTGGAAGATATTCTGATGGCAGGTCGTGCTAAACATGCGTTCCTGTCTACGACCGTCGGCGAGGTTATACTGTACGTGACGATAGTGGACGTCACATATGATCGAGGAATAGTTTCGGCAGTAGTAGCTGATTGTTGTCCTTTCGAAGACTCGATCGTGGCCTCACTGAGTTCATCGCGAGTACGATCAATTAAGGCTTCCAAACCAATGTTATCGGACTACTCGGCGGCTCACGTTGATAGCAATTGAACGGATGTCGACTGATAGGAAACCTGCCACTGCTGTGCTCAGACGCTGATGGCTTTGTCACTGGCAGTTTCTGAGACCTGGTTTCTCTGCCACCAGCGGTCTTCCCTGGACAGAAATACCTTCCGACATGTCTGTTGTCACGAATGGCATCATGTTCCGAGTCAGCACGTATGATGGAAAGAAGGGTGTCTCATCTATGTGTTTCCGTTTGTCATCTTTACGATGATCGGGCTGGTTACTGCTATTGCCGTCGGATTTAGTTTGAAGAACGAACTGCAACATCTATGGAGAGACGATGTTGTGTTTGACGACTGCGGCTGGCGGGCTAGAAGGGCGGCTGTATGGTGGCTTGAAGAGGAATGAAGAAATCGAGACTCGGCACGTGGGGGAACCGGCAAGCATGGAAGGATGGCTTTAGGGGTATCATGCATTCATGTGCGGCCCACCATGCAGGTGCCGGTGCACCCCAATACCTTAGCGTAGGAATTACGTCGATGGGCACAGCAACTTCATAAATCATAGCAATGCATGATGGATTTCATCACGGTTCCGAGCGCCTGGAACGGAGCCGGGTAATAGCGTCTGCGCTAACTCATCGAGCTGTTATGCCCTTTATACTAGTCTCGTAGTCACAGGGACCCTGCCACTGGTATGTTCGGTGCAAGCTGCTTACATAAGCTTCAATAAACAAGGTGGCCGCCTCCTCAACTTGAATCCGAACAGTCACGTCAGGGCATGACACGCGGCGGCGGCCCTCCAATACCATTGAAGTTTACTTTTGAACTCGCATGCCCTCTCCTTCCCCTCCAAGCTCGAAGGATGATCTAGAGTGGTGACCGGCTATTGCTACAGGCATTGGAAATTAAACGTATTTCTTTCGGTGCCCCAGTGAGCTTCTTTGAAGTATCCATAGCGCTGAAATTTAATTTCTCAACAAAAGCAAATTGGACCGGCAAGTCTTTGTATACGTATGTTGGTACTATCTGTGAATCTGAACCTTTGACAGAGTCACTCCAAGGGGGAGCTTGGATCTCACATTTTCAGTATGCCCTTATCTCCAAATTCTCCTTGAAGTTCCGCGGACCAATTGTCTAGGGTGAATCAAAAATTTCAACGACGCACAATGTGTCTGTATCTACTTGCCATGTTCGTAACAGAGAGTGGCTGCGTTGCTGATCATATTCATAGTCCGGGCTGTGTTAATGGCGTGCATGCAGCAAGGATCAAGTATATAATATTTCTATGCAAGCGACAAACAGCATGGATTCTGCGTCTACCTCTCCTCTTACGATATCTCATGCCCACTCCAAATTTGTGCACTACACAGTTATCATCATCAGTCAGATTTTTATCCTGGCATTTGGATACGGATTCCTCGGTGCAGTTGCCTACTATGAGTACCTTGCTCCATCTGATCCAGTCTGCGAGTTGATGAGGAGCTATCCTGGAGAGGTAACGATGCTGGTCACATTGATAGCAACTGTCCTATCAGTCATCACTGCTACGTCCGTCTACCTTTTGTTCTTTTCGACTGATCGTTCAGTGAGATGTGATCTTTTCCACCAGTCTTTTCACGCTTTCGGTCAAAGAGGCACTAAGACATCGGATATGCCAGCCCATTTCTCTAATCCAACTGAGCGCTGGTATCGCTTTGGCACAGGGCTCTCATATTCTGAACCATCGACACATGATATTGACGGTCTTCACACTGTTTGTATTTGGGGTGCTGAAGCTCTTGACGGCCGGGTGCGTCTTCTCTGAAACCATTGTCGAGATCTTTCTTCTTATTTGAATGAGGTCACAGGTGGACAACCCTCTTGACACCGACCTACTTCATGTGGCCAGTACAGATGAATGGATCCGAAATCGACATAACTGGAAGCGCGTTTGCCACCTTGCTCCGAGAAGAATTCCTGGCAAGTGGTCTCAGTATGTATCTCTACTCCAGTTACCGAGTCGTTTGTAAAATGGGATAACCAAGTCCAGAACGATGCTTTCGAAGTTCTCGATATCGGTGGAATGCTCAGTGGAGTTGCTGCTGCAGGGTTTACCTTCGGACTTCCCGGGACATTCAATTTTAATGGTGCAAAATACAACATATCCACTCGTACGTCCAGTCTATCAGTTCACTCTAAACTATTTTACGATGCTGTGCAACCAGAGGGGGTCGTGCCTACCATTGAGGCATTTTCCGGCTCGGATGGAATTCCGGATGCTGATGGTACTCGTCTCGGGTTTTCCGGTGGAAATATCACGGTCAACACAGGAGTTGTACCCGGATCACACTCCAGCGTACCTATTCCCCAAGGTTTCAGCACGAATTATTCCATGTGGCAACAAGGGTTAACGGCGAATGTCAGCTGCCAGGCCATTGACTCGAGTCAAACGCAATACCTTTGGAACACGAATAACTCTTACATCATCTATACCAACCCAGCTGCTTCGAGCAACAACTCCATCACTGGCCTTCGCTTGTGGAATGTCAGTGCAATCTGCAGTGCCAGTAAGTTTGGATCTTGGATATATTTTCTCGAGTCCACTGATGGCTTCTAGATATCTCGACAGCGTACGAATATGTGACCATGGTGGATGCAAATGGAAATGGAAACTTATCAGGGAATGGCTTTCTTCCATCTGTTGTGTGCCTAGGACCGACGGATACGAACCAAACTTATACAAGCTTCAGTGAGTCCTTGAAATATGCACGTTTGGAATCATTGGTCGAATCTGTTTCTGTAGCCATTTTTACGCAAGGGTTTTACAAGTACGATTTCCTTAAAGCAAGCGTGTGCGAAGTGGTTCCCCTGTTGACCACAGTCCGCGCCGATTATTCCAACGACCAAATTTCTTCTGAGGTCATCTCATTCGCTCCCTTCCAGTCAGAGAATGTCGAGCTACTGTCATTTATCACTGGAGTTGCTAAATATCAGTCGATCAACTCTCAGGGACTTACGAGCAGCACGATTGGGGATACCTTGTATTCCATCTATTCCTCGACTACTACCGAACGCATCAATAACAATCTCAATGACACGCAGGTTTACCTTGAGCTCGTCAGTTTCTTGTCATACCATCTTGATCCACCTCTTATGACTTTCTTAGGAGGATTACTGGCGTGGTGTTGTTGAGTTTTCTGCCACGGTGAGGTCGCTGGCCCGTTCAATATAGTCTCAATTGACCTAGCGTTATTTTACAGTTTCTTCGCTCCGGGTTTATGGCTACAGGCAGCTTCCCCGATAATATCATCCCGAATAACATCTCTTCCCCAGTCAACGGGACGATGTTCATATCGACAATAGGCTGGACTCGCTGGACCAAGAACTCACCGACGTATCTGCTCGCTACAGTGCCGCTCACCATCATCACCATCCTCACTTTCGCCTGCGCATTGTACAGTCTTCTGGAGGCTTTGGAAGAGCATCACAAGCACACTCACAAGGCGCACTTCAACGTGTCAAACACAATTCATCTCGTTATGCTATGCGCTGCTGGAAGTCTCAAACTGGCAGATTTCGGCCATAGCAAAGGAATGAAGACAAATGAGGTTGTGAAGGTTCACCTGGAGGAACCCCGCCACTCCCCCCGGCTCTCAAATTCTGTGGGAGAAGGGAAACATGAAGGGGATGCATGATTTTCAGCCATACTACGTTACGATAGTGTCTGTTCTCGGTTGTATCTTCAAGGGTCTTGTTTGGCATTTGTAGGGCACGGTGTCGAATTATAGAGTAATAAATGTGATTGTTTTGGGTTTTAGGATGTGATATGGATGTGGACGAAGTCTTTAGCCACACTGAAGACTGCCATGTTGATCATGTTCGTGCATTCCGCATGAAGGCTCTCGGCTACACCATCAGTTCCGTAAAATATATTGTAGAGCTCTATATATGTGATGTTCTGCTTCGTGTTGCTGATCCGGGCCGGTTACTGACTTCCTCATCTCCGAGTCTAATCCCATTCTACGCGTTTATTTTTGTATGCACACCAGTCTTGTCCCGAGTCGAACGTTGACCTGCTTGTAACGCTACTAACGCACGTAGGTCAGAAGCACAGAACATAATTATACTTACCATAGAGGGAATTCATCTAGCTAGCCGTATGGCGCAATCGATATTCAACGTTGCAACGTTGCAACGTTCCATCAGTACTGAGTGCACTGATCCCTGGCCTGAACTTTCCGAGCCACGTCCGGCTATATTGATATATGCATTGTTACAATAACGTTCCTGCTCCACCCGAGGTTCAAGTTGATGTCCAGTACTGGATCCTTAATTTTATGCCTCGACTTGGAGGCCCTTTCACCGGTGGTATGATCAAAAAAATGCTCAACCCACGCAGTCAACGCTATTATGCCCTGATGGACGACTGCCTCTCTACAGTGCCCACTGCCTAGTGCACAGCTACTATCGAATACAGTGCTGTTTGGCCTTTTGTATGTGGTAATTCACTCTACTATGTAAATGTTGTTGATGTTATCATGACAGTGCCTCATTATTCAGGTCAGTGGGACTCGGAGGTAGAAGTCAGTCGACTCAGATCCGTGTCCAGATCTCAAAGTTGTTAAATTCTAGTGTTCCTGTACATGTATAGCTACTGGTGAGAGATGTCTAACCGGTGCATGTGAACAATAACCATGTGTGCATGTGATTTTTGGCCATATCACCTTATGCTAGTGTCTGTTCTTAGTCGTATATACTTATACCCAACTTCAACGGTCTTGTTTGACATTTGCAGGGCACGATGTCGAACTATAGAAATGTGATCATTTTGGATTTCGTATTATAAGAATGCATGCTCGATGAAAAGGGAGTGTGCACGTTCAACGTTGTGAACTGCGGTGAAACCTTGACAATGCCAGGTACTATTATAATAAAGAGCCCTCAAATCGGGTCGGCCCATCGTGTGATACTTGCCGAGGATAGATCCCACGTTCATTTATTCTCACTGTCAGCGTGCGGGGAAGCGCTTGTTGATGTACCACATACATACGACATACCAGTTCTGACAACTGCAGTCAACGATGTGCTCACACAGTCAAAACCAGAAGCACTACCCTGAACTCAACTATGGATCTGGGGCGAAATGGATCAAGGGTTTAACTCAAAACCGGCTGTCCACTTTCCTTGGGGGTCACTTCGAAAACGTCAACCTGTCTTCTGTCCTCTATACTCATCGCATCGATGGCTCGCATCATGTAGATCTCCAAGTTTGGAGCGCACCAGGTCTTACAAAGCCCTCGTTTCAAGAGGCAACGAAACAAGAATTCAAACCAGCAAAGAAGGGTGATTCATTTGGGCCATCTTGTAAGTCACTTTCATATTCAGCATTCTTCCTGATGCCAAACTTCTCTTTGCAGGGGTATGACAATACTATGCAATCGTATCTGCTTCTCACGTGCATACATTCGTTTGCAGACAAACCACTGGTGGAAGGTCACTCTCAAGATTCCCTCCTATTGGCAACAGTATGAGCGTGTACAATGTAAAGCAAGATTTTTGAACTAGTAAATGAATGCTCAAGTACCCTCAGTTGAGTTTGACCCTGGCTGCGAAGCTATGATATTCTCCACGGATGGTGTCCCGCTCCAAGGTACATTTTACAACCTTTTTGGTGATCCAAACTGAATACCGCTATCTAGGAATTACCGGCGGCTACGGCGGGGATCGCAGGGTTGAACATATCATTCCGCCTCAAGCTGTTCGTGACGGCCACTATGCTGTAGTTATCGAGTCCAGTTGCAACGGCATGTTTGGCGTCCCATGGAATGGCGACACCATCGCGCCCCCAGATGTAAACTTGTTATCTTTCCAGCGCGGCGCAGATACTCATTCCTGTGTAGATGAACAGGTATTTTCAGCTTGCATCCGCAGATTTAGTGGTTCCAAATCACGATGCTTGTATGTTGAAGTACATTCCACCGTATTTTTGGCTGAAACTTGCTGCAGGGCATCTGATGTGGGACTTCACCACTCTTCGCGAGATTGTGGACACCGTAGCTGGCAACACTGCCCTTCAAAACAAGGCACTCGTCACAGCCAATAAAATCATGAATGCATTTAAATCTGGAGATCCCGAGAACGTAAAACGCATGCGCGGAATTGCTGAGGATGTATTTGGAAAAGGTTGGCATGCAAAAGGTGACAAGATATACAACGAAGGCCCCAAAAAGGCTCAGATTGTCGGGATTTCATACTGCCATATCGTTAGTTATTATTTACGGTCGCAGCTCATGTCTAATATGCTGTGCTTCAACAGGATACAGCATGGTTGTGGCCTTATTCAGTCACTCAGCAGAAGACAGCGAGGTCCTGGTCTACCCAGATTGATTTGATGGAACGTTATCCAGAACATAGATTTGCCTGCTCTCAAGCCCAACAGTTCAAATGGCTTGAGGAGGTGCGCTTGACTGTCTCCTCTTAATTCATTTACTCATATCTCTTCATAGCAATATCCTCCACTTTTTCAACGTATCAAGAAGAAAGTGGCATCTGGCCAATTCCATCTCATCGGCGGTTCGTGGGTTGAGAACGATGGAAATATGCCTTCAGGTGAAGCCCTCGTCCGGCAATTCCTATACGGTCAAAACTACTTCGAATCACGTTTTGGAAAGCGGTGTGAGACTGCTTGGCTCCCGGACTCTTTTGGGCTCACTGCGGCCTATCCGCAGCTGATTAGGGATGCAGGCATGAAGTACTTCTTCACACAGAAGTTGAGTTGGTATGTGAATATATGAACCTTATTTGCCGTCATCTTATGGTTCGTGGCAGGAATAACATGTTGGTATAGTTTCGCGGTTGTTGTCTCAGTTTACTAATGATAAAAAAAGAAACGCGTTCCCGCATTCCACCTTCAATTGGGTTGGCATCGATGGCTCACAAGTCCTTTGTCACATGACACCCGTCGGTAATATCATGTCCAGTTGGCAGTCCTACCAATACTAATTCGTTCACCCATGCAGATACTTACACCGCACAAGCAACGGTCGGGGATGTCAACAAGGGGATTACAAATCATAAGGTTTGGGCGACACGATTAGCCACGGGCGTTCTTCACTTACTGTCATTTAGAACCTTGAGTCAGATGCTACTGCCCTTCTGGTCTTCGGAAACGGAGATGGAGGAGGAGGAGCATTGCCCAAGATGCTAGAGAACGTACGAGCATTAGTTTCGGTTCTTTGAGTCTAGCCTAACTGTACTTGACAGCTGCGTCGGATTCGCGCGACGAATAATGAACACAGAGAACTTCCATCTGTTAGTATGGGAAGTTCTGTCGAGGAGTTCTTCGAGGACATCGAAGAAAATTCTAAGGAGGGGAAAACGCTGCCAGTTTGGTCTGTCAAGCCTCCCGTTTTCATTATTTTTTCTGACATGCTATGGTGTGAAGGAAAGGGGAATTGTACCTTGAGGTAAGTGTGCTCAGGAACTGTGGTAGACTCCAGTTCTGAAATTCAGAAACAGTTCCACAGGGGGACCTATACCTCGCATGGTAAGCGGTTATCATCACCTGTCGCATTCACAATCAATATTGATATCATACTTATTAGGTTCCATCAAGAAAGGTAACAGGAAGTGCGAGATACTTTTGAGGGATGTGGAGGTTGGTTTTGCATGACCCACAGTTACTCATATACTAAACGATCCCAGCGCGTAGCTACCCTGGCTTCGATCCTCAAGCCCGGGGGACATTCGTATGTATATCCCAAGCGGGCTATTGATGAGTGCTGGGAGAAAGTGTTACTCAATCAGTGTAAGTGCTCTGTATCTATACTGTACTAATCAGCATATGTACTCATCTTTTTCGCAGTCCATGATGGTAAGCTTTTGAGGTTTTGGCACTTACATGATATCTAAAATGTACATTTCAGTCTTACCTGGATCTGCAATGTGAGTCGCAGTTTTCTATGCCTAGCTGGAGTTTAAGTTGGCTCTGTAGCGGCATGGTCTATGATGACGCAGAGAAGTTATACGCCGAAGTTCACGAAGTATGCACTGGTCTTCTCGAGGATGCATTCGGCGTTCTCCTCCCACGATCGTCACCCCTCCTGTCGAACTCGACATCGGAAACACTAGTTGCGTTCAACACCACGTCATTTGCGCGCCACGATGTTATCAAGGTCCCTCTGTCCAAAGATGCTGTTCGCATGAAAGCGCAAGTTATTCAAACATCCGCAGATGGCAAGCACGGATATGCTCTAATGCACTCGGTGGGAAACAAGGTCGTGTCACAACCCGTGGGGATGCCTTCGGTTTGTACGCCTGCATCTGGTGTGTCTTATATTTCCAGGTCCTCAGTATTGGTACTGAACGTCTGTGATAGTGTTTACCAATGGAACAGACCACTTCGTCCTTAGGAACGCCAACGTCCAGCTCACCATCTCAGAGGGACGAATCACCAGCCTGATTGACGTGAAGCTTGGGTTGGTTGCGTCCTTCTTCCTGGTCATAACCCACTAACTCTACTCTTGAGTCGTGAGCTTATTCCCAAAGGAAGCTCTGGTGGACTAGTCATTTTCGAAGATCGTCCTAATTACTGGGACGCTTGGGGTCCGTTCTTTCATTAAGTTGTTAGTCGCGGACTGAATGTGACTTTACCTTGGGTGTTGCAGATGTCGAAATCCACCACCTCGAAACTTCTACTCCGCTTGCATTTTCTCAAGTTCGGGTTATCGCTGAAGGGCCCCTTCGGGCCGCTGTTCAGACACAAGTTAAATATGGGAAAAGCACAATCGACGTCACGGTGCGTATCTAGTATTTGCCACGCCTCCATTCCTTCGATCACGCTGCCTTGCGAGTGTCTGGTGCTGATAGAATACATCACTTTTTACAGATCTCCCTCGATGTCATCACTGGTAAGAACGCTCCGCAGACCCAGAAACGAGTACTTATAGCGGAAGCGTAGCATCGATGAAAGGAGATTCCCGCTCCTATTTCAATTTCGATGCTGTGGTCGACTGGCGTGAGAGACACAAGTTCCTGAAGTGTGCGTACAATAACACCTCTTACTGCCCTGTTCTTATGCATGACTCCAGTTGAACTACCACTCGACATCAATAACACGTATGCGACTTATGAGTCACAGTTTGGGTTTGTTCAGCGGCCGACACACAAGAACACGACGCTGGATGCTGCCAAGTTTGAGGTCTGTGGACACAAGGTACACATACTTTTTCATCAGTTGGTTCTCCTTCAGGACTTAACCACTAGCTACCAGTTCGCAGATCTTAGCGAATATGGATATGGTGTCGCTTTCCTCTCAGAATCCAAATATGGCTTTGCATGTGAAGGCAACGTCCTTCGTATCTCCCTGCTCAGAGCGGCCACGGCCCCTGACTCAGAGCAGGACCAAGGTTTGACTCTGATGTTGAACTTGTCGCGGTTCATCGATTCTCATATGTTCTCTTAGGCAGGCACGAGTTCTCGTGGGCAGTCATGCCTCATGTAGGCTCCTTCCTCGAATCCGACGTTCCGATAGCTGCCTTTATCTATAATTCTCCTTTGCACTGTCAGTTGGGCTTCTTTGTTGTGTTTTCACTGATAAGTCTAATGATATCCTCAGTGAGAACTGTTCCTGGGCATCACGCGGGGCACGTCGTTCCACCTCTTCCGTTCTGGTTTGAGGGCACACCAAACATCTTTTTGGAGACCATCAAGAGAGGAGAAGACGATTTCAAGCCGAATACTTCCAGCACGACCGTCATCTTGCGCATGTACGAAGCGTTTGGTGGGCATGGATCTATCAAGCTAAACATCGGAAAACACGTACCTGTGAAGAGCGCGTATGTCACGAACATCCTGGAAGACACTAAAGGAGAACTCGGCCTGATGTCCACGACGGGATCGCATAGCACGCTCAAGCTCGAATTCAGAAGTTTCGAAGTGAAAACTGTAAAATTGGTGTTGGAAACCAAGTCTGACATCTCAGCCATCTCGCCTAAGACGTGAGCTCTGTTCTATATCAACCGAGTTTGGCGTGGCTAACATGGCAAGTACAGATCTGGGAAGAGAGATAGCTGGGTCACTGTCAGCAAGGAATTGTAATTTTATTCTTGAAATTGGATGAGCTGACGCGGACTATCCCTTGTATGTATTACATAAGTGATGTACAGTACCTGAAATAAAGTTTTGTAACAGTCAGATTAGGTATCGAAAAGTACTTGTTGTATTTGTGTTGTATCATGGACATCTCCCGCCCGTCGGGTTGGTCCGCATTATGACCAGCTGGCGGGAAATGCCAAAACTATTTGTTATGCCACATGTTGATTTCAAATACGCACACAGCAATTGTAATGTCATACGGCTGTTCCTACGTGTGAACGAAACGTTTGGTCTCCATGCTGCCCCTGTATGTATAGCTTGACGTCGGTTTAAAATTAATCGATTGTCATCCACGGCTGAGCACTGAAAGATGGCCACCCCCATCAGCACAATCCCAAAGGTGAGTACAGTTTGTTCAGCGCTCGTTGCATGATCTCAGTCAGCGGTGAAGATCAGAGATGCCCTTCGAGCGACATTCCGTAGCGGACTGACCCGTCCTATTGCGTGGCGTCAGCACCAACTATACCAGCTTGCGCGCATGGCGCAGAATGAACGGGAGCTCATCTGTGATGCCCTGAAGAAGGACCTCGGAAAACCAAAAACAGAGGTCCTCATGGCCGAAGTAGGCTCCATCATCGAAAGAGCTGTGAAGAGCGCAGAACAGCTTCCAGTGTGGGCCAAGACTGAATATCCTGAAGTAGCTGATTGGCAGAAGCCATGGAAGCCAACGTGAGTGATTGGATGATCAAATTTGGTGCATCGATGTGGCTGATGATTATACCATGTACCAGGCTCTACAAGGCTCCGAGGGGAACTGCGTTGATAATCTCGTGAGACGGAAGATACTGTCTCAATTCCACTTGCTGATATCGCGCTTAAACAGGCCATGGAACTACCCCATGATCCTCACTTTCCAACCTCTCCTCGGAGCGATCGCAGCAGGCTGCACTGCCGTACTAAAGCCCTCTGAGCTTGTCCCCACTTTCTCACAGCTCTTGGATGAAATTGTCCCAAAGTACTTCGACCCAAATGTGTACCGTGTCGTCAATGGTGCTGTGCCTGAAACCTCAAAGCTTCTGGAGCTTCAATGGGACCACATTTTTTATACGGGGAATGGCAGGGTTGCTAGGATCATCGCCAGTGCTGCGGCTAAGCACCTGACGCCACTGACATTGGAATTAGGTGGAAAGAGTCCTGTGATTATCGACTCGGCATACGATATCGATCTTGCCGCAAAGAGGATCTTGTGGGGCAAGTGCAATAATGCAGGACAGGCAAGTTTATGTTGACCGATTTAGGGCTACTCCCGATGTGGTATACTGAACGGGAGTTCTGGCAGATCTGCGTGGCACCTGACTATGTCCTAGTACAGCGGGACAAGCAAGATGAGCTGATCAAGGCATTCCAAAAGCATTATACTTCATTCTTTCCCAACGGTGCGCTAGATTCGCCATTGTTTGGAAGTATCGTGTCGGATTTGCATCATAAACGCCTTACTTCACTTCTTTCCCGCACGAAGGGCGAAGTCGTTCTCAAGGGTCGCTCTGACGCTGCGAGGAGGAGACTCGAGCCCACCATTGTGAAGAATGTTGCGGAAGGCGATTCTTTGCTGGAAGAGTGGGTATTTCCTTGTATTGGAAATGTGATTCTGACTGCATGGTATTTATAGAGAACTCTTTGGTCCGGTGTTACCTATCGTACCCGTGGATTCTCTCAAACAGGCAGTCGACTTTGTTAATGCACGGTAAGCCTCGTCCTATGATTCAACTCGTTAGCTGACTTACCTCACGAAGATCTCATCCACTAGTTTTGTACGTTTTTAGTGACAACGAGAGCGTAAAGCAACAGGGTATGTTTTGCTTGGCTGATGACGGTCGGTTGATGCTAAAAACTGCGATCAAATTTTCTTTGACAGTTGTCTCGGAAACGCAGAGCGGCGGCATTGTTTTCAACGATACCTTCCAACAGCTCGCAGGTACGTGATTGGCAGGTATTGACGTCATGCTTGGATTGGCGCTCATCTACTTTTGCCGGTCAGTGCATGAACTACCATTTGCGGGAGTGGGCGAGTCAGGCTGTGAGATTTCCACTCCACCTGAGAATGCAAAGAATGCCACTGACACTTGAACCCCGTGGTAGACGGATACCAGGTTATGAAGCATACGTATGATACGTTCACACAGCTTCGTAGCTCTATTGATATGCCGAGAGAGTGAGTTCTGCTTCTCGTTACTTTTTGAAGGCTGATCTGAATTTGGGCAGGGCTGAGCCATACCTGGCGATTCGGTATCCGCCTCATTCGGAAGAGGCAGTGCAAGCGCTCACTGCTGCGGTACATACCCTCATTCCATCAAGCCGCCTGTGAGAAGCCATCATGCACTATCTGTGATTCAAATACTGTTGCATATGTAAGGTGTTAGGATCCGACCCATGGATTGCTGTCCTAGAGTGTACATATTGTTATCATAATACCTGCACAGGACATGGGCCATCAGCCTCTGAAGAAGAAACCTTCATTACTGTAGCATGGTCTGCATCGATTCGGAAGGTTCCGTTGATACATTTGCGATGCCATGTGTCTTGTTCATGAAACTGGGTATCCCGGCCACTTCTAGCCTTGCTGGGCGGCTGCAGGAGTCAAGGTTCCGGAACTTCCGCAATATCAGTCGCGACGTGAAACTTGCTGCTATCAACCTCTACGAGCGTTAGCTTTTGTCTCTTGAACGGATTCTGGCTTGTGTGGGCTTCTCTAAAAGAACTTTCTGGTGCATTTGGGATGGTGAAGCCAGTGAAGACTCTAACTTTAAAAGAGTTACCGCTGAGCCGCCCCAGAGTTTTATCTGGAGAGAAAACTGTGAAAAACTCCGCGAACTGGCCCAAATTTCAAATTTAATAATATTCTCCATCTTTATTTTCCTTCTACCTCGTTCCATAGATTTCTGTACCTACAGTATTTAAACTCGCGTAGAACTACTGTTAGGGTAGTTGATCCTTTCCCCGAAGCAACAAGCTTAGTTCTAACAGTTCTCTCTGCTGGACTCTAAGTCGGTTTATAAGTCAACTTCTCGTGTGAACGTCTTTATAGATTCTAGACATCACAGTGACGGCACTGTAACAAATTCCTAGGTACAAATCATGTTCAAACCCAAATTTACAGTGCTTGTCCTGTGTTCAAACTACTATGCATCTTGCACGTCAGTCCTGTATTGTTCTATTACTACCTCTAATACGTTCATCTATGTTGGGTTTCAAAATTCAGATGCAGTGTCAAGTGTTGTCTCACTGCGTCAAGCCTCAACCTCACCCTGTCAAGTTGAATCTACTCTCTATACTCTGCACCACCACTTCAAGCCACTCAAGCCCCAACCATGGCATTGATATTGTCAGAAGCCTCCTTTAGGCTGGGTCAAGCACCACTCACACCACGACAAGTTCTCCCAAACATCTTCGCAGTCTCTGTACTAATATCAACATTCACACTTCTATGCCGCGTCAAGGCCTACTATCAGTGCCGCGTCAAACCTCGTCAATGCCGCGTCACTGCCTCGTCAAACCTCGTCACTGCCTCGTCAAACCTCGTCACTGCCTCATCAACCCTCGTCACTCCCGCGTCAAACCTCGTTACTCCCGCGTCAATTTCACATGGCCCGTAGTATTGTAACTATCTTCTGAGTATCACGGACAGCCATCTCCCACGTCTAGGTCCGCATTGTGACCAGCTTGCAAAACAAAACTATTTGTTATGCCACATGGGCGGCACCGATTGGTTTCAGATACGCACCAGCAATAGTAAGGCCATACAGTTGTTCAAACGTTCACGTTTATCCTACGTGTGAACTAACGTTTGGTCTCCGTGCTGCCCCTGTATAGCTTGATGTCGGTTTAAAATCAGTCGATTGTCATCCATGGCTGAGAACTGAAAAATGACCACCCCCATCAGCACGATCCCACAGGTGAGTACATTTTGTTCAGCGCTCGTTGCATGATCTCAGTCAGCGGTGAAGATCAGAGATGCCCTTCGAGCGACATTCCACAGCGGATTGACCCGTCCCATTGCGTGGCGTCAGCACCAGTTATACCAGCTTGCGCGCATGGCGCAGAATGAACGGGAGCTCATATGTGATGCCCTGAAGAAGGACCTCGGAAAACCAAGAACAGAGGCCCTCGTGGCGGAAGTAGCCTGCATCATCGATATGGCTATGAAGAGCGCAGAGCAGCTACCAGTGTGGGCTAAGACTGAACATCCTGAAGTGGCTGATTGGCAGAAGCCATGGAACCCAGCGTGAGTGATCGGATGATCAAATTTGATGTATCGATGTGACTGATGACTATACCGTGTACCAGGGTCTACAAGGCTCCGAGGGGAACTGCATTGATAATCTCGTGAGACGGAAGATACTGTCTCAATTCCACTTGCTGACCTCGCGCTTAAACAGGCCATGGAACTACCCTATGGTCCTCACTTTCCAACCTCTCATCGGTGCAATCTCAGCAGGCTGCACTGCCATACTAAAGCCCTCTGAGTTTGTCCCCAACTTCTCACAGCTCTTGGATGAAATTATGCCAAAGTACTTCGACCCAAATGTGTACCATGTGGTCAATGATGCCACTGTGCCGGACATTTCGACGCTTCTGGAGCTTCAATGGGACTACATTTTGTATACGGGGAATGACAGGATTGCTAGGATCGTCGCCACTGCTGCGGCTAAGCACCTGACGCCAATGACATTGGATTTAGGTGGAAAGAGTCCTGCGATTATCGACTCAGCATATGATATCGATCTTGCCGCAAAGAGGATCTTGTGGGGCAAGTGCAAGAATGCAGGACAGGCGAGTCTATGTTGACCGATTTAGGGCTACTCCCGATGCGGTATACTGAACGGGAATTCTGGCAGACCTGCATAGCAGCTGACTATGTCCTAGTACAGCGGGACAAGCAAGATGAGCTGATCAAGGCATTTCAAAAGCATTATACTTCATTCTTCCCCGACGGTGCGCTAGATTCGCCATTTTTTGGAAGTATCGGATCGGATTTGCACTTTAAACGCATTACTTCGCTTCTTTCTCGCACGAAGGGCGAAGTCGTTCTCAAGGGTCGCTCTGACGCTGCGAGGAGGAGACTTGAGCCCACCATTGTGAAGGATGTTGCGGAAGGCGATTCTTTGCTGGAAGAGTGGGTATTTCCTTGTATTTGAAATGCGGTTCTGAGCGCATGGTATTTATAGAGAACTCTTTGGTCCGGTATTATCTGTCGTACCCGTGGATTCTCTCAAACAGGCAATCGACTTAGTTAATGCACGGTAAGCTCTCGTCCTATGATTCAACTCGTTAGCTGACTTACCTCACGAAGACCTCATCCAGTAGTTTTGTACGTTTTTAGTGACAACGAGAACGTAAAGCAACAGGGTATGTTTTGCTTGGCTGATGACGGTCGGTTGATGCTAAAAACTGCGATCAAATTTTCTTTGACAGTTGTCTCGGAAACGCAGAGCGGCGGTATTGTTTTCAACGACACCTTCCAACAGCTCTCAGGTACGTGATTGGCAGGTATTGACGTCATGCTTGGATTGGCGCTCATCTACTTTTGCCGGTCAGTGCATGCACTACCATTTGGGGGAGTGGGCGAGTCAGGCTGTGAGATTTCCACTCCACCTGAGAATGCAGAGAATGCCACTGACACTTGAACCCCGTGGTAGACGGATGCCAGGGTTTGAAACATACGTATGATACGTTCACGCAGCTTCGTGGCTCTATTGACATGCCGAGAGAGTGAGTTTTGCTTCTAGTTACTTTTTGAAGGTTGATCTGAATTTGGGCAGGGCTGAGCCATTCCTGGCGATTCGGTATCCGCCTCATTCGGAAGAGGCGGTGCGAGCGCTTACTACTTCGTTACATACCCCCATTCCATCAAGCCGCCTGTGAGAAGATATCAACGGCCATCATGTACTATCTGTGATTCAAATATCGTTGTACTTATATGTAAGGTGTTAGGATCCGAACCATGGATTACCGTCCTAGGTTGTACATGTTGTTATCATACAGGTGATGGGCCGCCATCAGCCTTTGAAGAAGAAACCTTGATTGCTGTGGGCATCGATTCGGAAGATTCCGTTGATACATTTGCGATTCCATGCGTCTTGTTCATATCCCCGGCCACTTCTAGCCTTAGCTGGGCGGCCGCAAAAAACTCCGCGAACTGGCCTAAATTTCAAATGTCCGTGTAAGCCTATGAGTGATTGTCCCGGTCATCTATAACATCCCCACAACACGTTACTCGGTCTCGCATCCCATCAGAAGTTCATGTAAGGTCCGGTCTGGACCATGATTAATGTATTTTTCAATTTCGTTGAGTTACGTTGTATTCTGATCGTGAGACTGGCCTATCAAATGACTTCAACGTTTCCTTCAATCGTTTGCAGTCGTTGGGGTCCTACTACTATCGGAACAACCATGCATAATTGGCAAATCATACAGCAGTCACATGCCGGATAAAAATACAGCAGAAAGTGGGGTGGGCTTTCGCTCCGCCTCGGATATGTTGGACAAACTAACGGCATGGCGCTTGTATAGCTTTGCTCTTTTGGGCTAAGCGCAACGCTATATAATCCCAAGGTTGTATAAGCCGATAGGAGTAAGGCTACCTTCCGCCCTCTTTCCGTACCACGCGCCTACGACTAACATGTCGACCTCCTCGCCTTTGAACGAAAAATCTGATCCGACAGAGCGTCCGGAACATGTTCATCACAGTACATCACATATGGATGCGGAGACAAGAGCTATCGCGTGCGTATGACATCTGTCCTGTGTCAAGTGCCTAAGCTGACCCTTTTCTGCCAGTAACGCCGATGCAAAATTATCAAACCCCTTGCGCGGTATACCTCATGATCGTCTAATGGCAGATATCGAAATTTTTGCGCAGGAGAGAGGATTGACCCATCTGTTGCCTGAGCTGAAGAAAGGGGCGCTTGTTGCACAGGATCCCACTTGTATGTCGCCATGAGATATGTTTTCCCCCAGCTGACTCGAGTTCCTTGATGTGCAGGTTATAATCGTCTGGACATGTTCTCAGAAGACGACAAACGAATTTTAACAGAAGAGGTTACACACAAGTGGCGACAAACACCCATGCTGTATTACGTCGGTGTCACCCTGTTTTTGATTATTTGTCATGACTCATTATTAAAATAGATGGTCGTGATGTCATCACTTGCAGCGGCTGTCCAGGGAATGGATGAGGCTGTTATCAATGGCGCTCAAATCATTTATCCCGCGCAGTTTGGTATCGGCAGTGGCAGCAGTACGTACTTTAAAGCTCGTACATCATTCCAATAATCATCATCTGTGTCAAGAACGCGATTCATGGTTAATCGGTCTCGTCAACTCTGCACCCTACTTGTATGCACATTGATTTGTTAGTATTGCGGGATATCGTTTCTCATCACTCCACAGATGCTGTGCCACCATTTCTTGTTGGATGACACACCCGCTCAACCATTATCTTGGGCGTAAAAAGACCATTTTCCTCACTTGCATGATCTCGTTTTTGACATGTATTTGGTCCGGATTGACAAATACCTGGTGGCACCTATTCATTGCACGCTTCTTCCTCGGTTTTGGTATCGGTCCCAAATCTGCCACCGTCCCAGTGTATACCGCCGAATGTTCACCCGCACCGATACGTGGCGCTCTCGTCATGATGTGGCAGATGTGGACCGCTTTCGGCATTGCTCTAGGAGACCTCATCGACTTGGCATTCTATTTCATTCCGGACACTCCCGGTGTGACTGGTCTGAACTGGCGTCTCATGCTAGCATCTGCTGGTATCCCCGGTCTTATCGTCTGTATGCAAGTCATGTTTGCACCCGAGTCGCCTCGTTGGTTGATCTCCAAGGGTCGCTACGAGGATGCTTTCAATGAACTTTGTCGGCTTCGTTTCTCTCGCGTTCAGGCTGCTCGTGATTTATACTACATTCACGTGTTGCTTGAGGCAGAAAACGAGATGAAGAAGGGTCGCAACCGCATTGTTGAAATGTTCACGATTCCGCGTAACAGGAATGCCGCCCTTGCTAGCTGGGTCGTCATGTTCGGCCAGCAGTTTTGCGGTGTCAATGTCATCGGTATGATATTTGGGTTCATGATTTGGAAATGATTGTTAACTCGATGGCAGCTTACTACTCATCCGACGTCTTCGTACAGTCTGGTTTCACGCAGGTTTCTGCACTGGCTTCCTCCCTTGGATTCGGCACACTTAACTGGTTGTTCGCCATCCCTGCTTTTTTCACTGTGAGTGGTCCCTGCCATGGTTAGGGTTTCCGTAAATATTAAAATTGGAACACTAGATCGACACTTACGGGCGGAGGAATTTACTTTTGTTCACATTTCCTTGCATGGCCATCTGTCTTTTAATCACAGGCTTCTCCTTCTGGAGTACTTCGGAGACAGGGCGTGTAACTGGTGTTAGTATCGGAATATGTACGTCATCCCTTTGGTACTCGATACTGCTATTGATATATGCTCCTTCAGACCTCTTCGCGATCTTCTATTCTCCAGGAGAAGGTCCAGTGCCGTTCACGTACTCCGCAGAGGCATTCCCTCTCTATATCCGTGATATCGGCATGTCCTTTGCTACTGCGACCACTTGGTTCTGGAACTTCATTCTGTCAATCACTTGGCCTTCGCTCGTCTTGGCCTTCAAACCACAAGGTGCCTTCGGCTGGTACGCAGCATGGTGCTGTATTCTCTGGGTACTCATCTTGTTATTCGTGCGCGAGACGAAAGGCAGGACCCTGGAGGAGCTCGACCAAGTTTTCGCTGTCCCCCTTAGCACCCACGCTGCATATGGTCTGCGCCAGATACCCTACGGCATCAAGAAGTTTGTGTTGTTCCAGAACCCTACTCCTGAGCAGCTTTATGAGTTTGAGAGCGAGAGCGAGGTGTCGAGCACCAGGGGCGACGAGAATGCGAAGAGGGAGGTGAAGGATGATGTGGAGAAGACAAGATGAGTTGAGCCATGTGATATGACTGACGCTTCACTTGATGCATGTAAGGTGGATAGATTTATTCACATGCTATCTAATTTGTTACCGATATCACTTACACATGTATGATATTGCCCATCTGATATTTTATGTAATACAAGCTCAGCGCTCAGTTGTTAAGTCGCAAATTGATCCCTAGGCATGAGACTCGAACTCTATGTTCTGTCGTGGAAGTCACAAAGAACACGGAGAAAAGATACTACGGATATTGTGATCTCAGCGGAGATTGCAACAACGTCAGCGTGGATCATACACATCATGGCCACATGTAACTGCCCAACTTTGTCCTGCATGGTTTCGGTACTACGTAGTCTGATAAGTGGGATCTGTCTACTGGCCCATCCGTTGCTCGTAAGCTGCGCTCTATGGAAAGACATTGATCTAACTGCGAGATACTGATCTGAGATCAGGGTCATGCTCAACTGTACAGGGCTTCCTGGTAACAATGATATCGGCTATACACATGATCACATCTCTTGGCTCTGCCGCAGTAACTGCGACTCTTCCTGTATCTTTGAGACAAAGACAAACACGGCATAAGTTTACGCGCCCCTACGCACGATGATCGAACTTACCCAAGGTCTATCCTGTCCACTCACATACTTCCTCGCCGGACGCTTGAAACACGACACCCTCTCCACGTCCTTTGCATCGTAGAGAGGGAAGACAATTCCCAACTCATAGTTGACCACCTGACGGGTCATCAGAAAAAGCTTCGTGGAAAAAGTGAGCTGACTGACGTTGAGCACTGGGTTGAACCCAGAGCCAGAAAGCGTTCCCCATGCTGAGGGTGTGAAATTATGCGAGCCAACATAAGCCCAGCCAATTGGGTCGTTTTGAATTTCGATGTCGTCGGATTCAGGCTCGGTTTCGCTGTCGGACAATTCCTTTCCCTTTCCGTTTGACTGGCTGCTTGTTTCAAATATCGATCTCTTGGGGCGGTAGGTCGCGATAATCATCTGGAGAGCCGAATGGATTAGAGATCTACGGGTGTACTTGTACTGACGTACCTTGGTGTGCATCAGCACTCGTCCGCCAGTACTATTCGAGTCATGGAATAGCTCTCGAGGAAATTTCGATGCTTCCCATTGGTTCGTGCGGCAGAACATAGTTCCACCTCCCTGTCAATTATTTTGAGATATATTCAAGAGTGATCGCCGAAAACACGACTAACCAGTTCACCGAGGACGCTATCACGCACTGTCTTCAGGCTGGGGAACACAATCTTCACAGGTGGCCACGGCAACTTGGCACGTCTGGCTTTTGATTCGTCCAGCCAGTCTTCAGCTGATTCTCCACGTGCTGACCAGTAGAACTCGTTTACCCACTGGGTCGAGTAAGTTCCTATACTCGAGCCCTACACAGGATAAACCTTTCTGCAACGGAGCTGAAGATGTTTGACATACCTGAGACTCGATAAGGAGGTCCTTAGCAGCCTTTCCCTTTCCAGTACGGAGCCCCATGTCACGGACGGCCTTCATCAGCCTAGTATGACCAGTCAAGACGACATTCGGCCATCCTTCATGTTTACCGGCAATGGATGGAACGAGTTTAACCTTCACTTTTGACCAATCCCATTTCATTCGCAAGTCTTTGATAGTTTGAAGGGGTAGATTTGGGTGCTGTGAAATTTGATCAGTAGTGCAAGCAAATGAGATTCCTAACACGACTAACGTCGTTTGCTAGCATGTTTGCAAGCGCCGGTCGAACGTTGACAGCGCGTAAAACGTTTTGCATGATTGACGGGAAGTCATCGATGGCTTTGGGATCGTGTGGTATCGGAGCAGATCGTGGCGGTAGATCTTGCAGCCAAACGGCCTGTCAAACTGTTCAAGAACTCCCATACGTTGAGTGCGGACTCACATTCTCGATATCGCGCCAATCGTGATCAACCAGGTTGGCGGTGGATATGACTACGCGAAGCCGTCCAGTCTTGTAGAATATCTTTGGAGAAATTCAGTCAGCGTTGTGTAGTGATGCGCATGGACTCACGAGCATGAACTATGGGCGATGAAGTCAGCGGAGCGTTCCAGAATCTGCTGCACCAATAGACCTACTTTCATATGCTGGCAACCTCGTCCATTGCGGAGAAAAGGAACAGTCATAACCCAGTTTGGAAGAATATTCTTGATGGTCGGTTGACCTGACTGATCAGGCTGCGCCACAATAATCACTGGAGTAGATGGCGCAAAGAATTCATATATCCAAGAGATAGACATCGCGTATGACGCTATGATAGCAAAGGATATATCAGATTTCTGAAGAACTGCAGCATCACGCATCATGAATGAAAAACACAGGAGAATCAACGCGTACCGAACCCAGTACCTCTGTGAGGCGGAAAGTGGGCTTTCCATCTTGACGAGGTTGAGAATGCTTGTTAGCTGTTGGACGTAGTTCGCCGTTCCAGAACAGTTGTTCAGAGGTTGGTGTAGAACTTATACTAGTGCTGGCTGTTCGTGAACTTGTAGACGAGCCCGAAGGGATACTAGATGACGAAGCAGAAGCAATGTTCGCTCGACCATTAGCATGTCTTTCAGAGGAGGGAATGTGTTGCCTCTTTGTAGGGGGCGATATGCCTCCTCCATCATCTGCATCCTGCCCACGCAACCTCTTCAGCCTCTCGAGTCGTTCTCTCTCCATCTGTGCTCGTTCGGACAAAAAGCTCGCTGCTGGGGTGTTCCGAGCACTCTGAGATGAAGGCTCAGGATAATGGACGGATTGCGTTGCGGCCCGCAAAGATTCGGTCTTGGACGTTCGATTTTCCTGTAACCGCTCAGACTGGAAGCGATCGTCATCATCGTCCTCGGAATCACTGATTGAAATCGCCCTCGAAGATGATGCGTTGACCTGGGACTCTCGGAGACTCAAAGCAAGCGCTCTGATTCATCTTGTGAGAAACCGTAAAAATTGTAACAGATAAAAATACCTTTCCAAATCTTTGTCCATGTACAGATCTCGTTCTTGCATGTAGGTAATTACAATTGAGCATTGAAGTCCAGACAATGCACGCCACCGCGTCTCATTGCAAAGATGCACGTGATTTACGCGTGACCGACGCGACAGCCTGACTCTGAATCGGAGTCCAGTGGTCTGCACCATAGCCTGGTCGGAAGGCGTCGAACGGTGCTTGTCTGACAATGAGGCCAGGTTTTTATAGACTGTCACAGTACCTTGGCACGTTGGGGTGCTCGAGTCAAATCTGGTAGTAAGTACATGACGTCAATAGAACACAGTATCGTAGGCTACAGTATTATGGTCCCAGTTATATAGTACAAGCGAGCACCATCTGCAATCGCATCAGTACTCCCACGCGCAAAACCATCTACGAAAGAAACAATCAAGTGCTACGACCAAGGCTCGTCCGGCAGATCTACATGGGGCTTTTCCCGAAGTTTGGACATTTGTGCCTCATCGATGCTATAAAATTGCATCACCTCAACGATTTTATCCAACGCATCGCTATCCATACGATCCACGATGGTCAATTGATCATCATAATCCTGAATCCGAGTATTAGCTTCTCCGCTCATTGGAGATTCGATGTAGCAGTTGACGGCGAGCTTGATTGCCCTACGAGTGAGTTCCTGGCTTTCTGATATGAGATAAAGTGTTTGCAACACAAGTGTTAAATGGATGATGTATGCCATGAAGCGCTGAAGCACCGCGTGGCTGACAAAGGAGTGTTAATACCCTTTCGTACGCGAAAAAATAGTGGTGCGTACGATATCTGGTATACATCGTAAGCCCATACGGCGAGTACGGCACCTACTGCGATTGGTACTACGATGGGAGCTGCAGGTCCCGCCAGGGCCGATACGATGGCCGCAATAGTGCCCACCATGGATAACCCAAAAGCCCTGTAAACATTCAATGAGATTTAAATTAATCTATCACGTAAGAGATCAGCCTACATGGTCTTGGTGGGATTAGTTGCTGGTCCAACTTCTATCTTATCGACCATGTTCATCATCATTGTCCTGAACTCTTGGCTGTGCAAGTACTATGCACAAATCACGTTAGGGCGGATGCGACGAAGACAAATAAGATAGCCATCACCTTATGGGGGTCACGGAAGTTCCACACGTCGACGATGTCAATGTGAAGCACACGGAGACAATCCCACATCGAACGGTTCTTGAACATTGGGCATGACCCAAGCGCTTTCCAATACCCTGCAAGACATGAAGATTTAGATTGTATTCAGTAATCATGAACACGAAATTGGGACAGACTTTTCTTGCCAACCCTGACACGACATAAATCACGAGATAAGAATGAAGCAAGCAAGACTCACTCAATTGATGCCTTTATTTTGAGTCCAGGATGGACTCGCTGAGCGATGGAGGTCATCACCGCAGCCTCGGGCGCAGAATACCGACCGACACGGCTTTCAGTGATTTCGATCAGGTGGACGAGCGTCTGCTTGTAGTCTGCTTCAGCTATTTTACAATCAGATGCACGCATGAACCTGTCGGAGTATTGGTACACACTAGAGATCGTAACGTAGGGTATATCAGGCCCTGCGAATTGTTTTAGAGGTCCGATGCAGGTATTCTGCAGCTCGGCTTCTGCTTTGTTCTTGACGACTTCCTTGATGGCTTTGTCGTTCAATCCATTGGCAGAGGTTTCATCTAAATTTCGTTCTATGCGACCGATGAGCATATCGTATTTGGTAAGAACGACGATAACGGGAACTTTGATAGTGTGAGCTCCAAAGTAGCAGAGATATGACTATCGAATTACTTACCGTTTCCCAGCTTTCCACTACTTTTCAATTTCAGGAAATCCTCCGTTCCTGTCTCTAGCAGACGTCCGCCTGCACGGGGTATCTCAAAGCAAAGCCTTTCATATATTTGGTCAATCCACTATAACGGAGTGGTCAAGATAGAATCCCTACCAAATAGCATGCAACTGATGTTCCGGAGTAAGCATATTCCTCCGACGGTCAATGAAGCCTTCAACTATTTTGAGGTTGTCTTCATCCCCTGGTTCAAAGCCTTTGCTATCATGGAGAACAAACTTGTCGTTCTCGGGTGAGATAAACTCATGGTCGATGCTGACCTCGCCTGGCTTATAATGCGAGGTGATCTATCGATAGTATGAATAGCTGCACTTATTGAAATGTCGTGTTCAACCCACCGTGTTTTCCACCCCAAATGCGTGGTTGATCACTGAAGACTTGCCGACGCCAGTCTATTAAAAGCACGTTGTCAACACTAGCCTGAGATCGGAGAAAGCCATGTACCTTTCCTATCACCAAAATTCGGAACCTTGGGAGAGTCAACCTCAAGAACGGCACTTTATGATCATCCTGACTCACCGAGGACATTTCCGAAATAATTCGGAAGTGGTAGGCCGAAGCTCAAGGCTTTGGCCGGACGAAATAGACTGTTCAGCCTGCTGATCTATGACTTAGACGGGTTCGATGTCAGACACAAATCCTTACTTCAGTTGTTGCACTTCCAGAAAGGTCGATGACGATATTGATTTTTCCATGAATCTTGGTGTATTCTACACACGTGAGGTTAAATTCGGAACCGATTAAGGCAACTCTTATTTCACCTCGTCTTTCGCTTGCACTATACGCGCGGAACACGTCGTCTGGGTTGAAAGTAATATCTCGATGCTTAGTCTTCATCCCAAGCCATTTCGTGGATTGTATATGCAAGGAAAATGTATCTCCTTGAGAAAGCACCCTACGGTACAACAACACAGTAGTAACTCAAGTGAGAGCACACATTGGAGTCGAGCACTTACATGGGTGGAGAAAACCTGCGTTGCAAACTCCGATTTCCTGCTTCGAGTGCAATTGGTGAATGTAACTTACCGATCCGTACTTCAGCAGACTCTATATTGGTTTTCGGCTTGTTGAAATTGACGGTGATACCTATTGAATATATTCAGCAGGTTGATAATGCTACTTGACAAGAATTGAGCACCAGAGATATGGAGAGGGTAGGAAACCGTTGACTCGGAGGCGTGAAGAGAATCAACCATGCTGATTTGATTTAGGGAAGGAAGACCCTACTCTGAGCTACTGTAGAGGTTAAGTACAAGTCACCGCGTTAGCGCTTCACTGCAAGGAAGCCAGGTACCATCGTGTATGCCTCGTGTTGCGCCCAGTGGATATTAATGGTGTCTAACGTAAAACACCTGACCAACACTTTGTAGATGTTGGTAACGTATCAAATAAAAATACGTCACAACTTACAAGAATGATATAGCTGCCGAGTCGGAGACTCCATGTGCACTGGCATGAATGGTTCTTCTGGTTCAAGGAACTGACTGTCTTCTAGTCGCAAGGTCTGACTATGGGAGACCAAGTTGCGCAAAGTGATGGCGCGGCAAAGACTCGGAGGCCAAAAGCTCACGGGATTCAGTACTCAACTTTTCGGCACATGCCGTGACTAATTTCAAATATAGGCTTCCATAGTAAGGGCCAATGCCAACGCCACTTCGACGCCTCATGATACACAACTATATCTATATACCCATTGCCCACTGAATGTGCATGGCGGCTTCGGGTTGAGTTTTTACCTGGTTCACATTGCACACTAGTACTGCAATGATTATAAGGTACACCAACACTTCTCCGTCACATTTACTAGTACCTTCCTCCATGGATTCTTTTGCTTACCACTGCAATCGCGCATCCTTCCGAAATGGAGAGTGAGTCTGGAGCCTTGCTAGCGAACAACATCACCGATCTACCAATAGGATGAGCTTCGTGATGATCACCGTGTAAAGATACGATCTAGGTTACTCTCTGTGGTTTGTCTAATTGATTACAGATTGTACACACATTTCTCATGTCGCGAATCTGCCAGGCCTCGGCCCTCTGGCTCATCACCCTTGGAGAACATTTTTCAGCTCATTTCTGGTGAGTGTGAATTTTGAGGCTACATCGTGATGAATCTGCTTATCATTGACCATTTAGCTGTTGTCATTATCTTTGAACGCTCTTTCTACATTTAGCGGTGCTATCTTCAGGACCAGCAAACATCTGTTCGCTCCTTTTATGCCGCTCTGGAGCAGTACATTGCATCCTCCCATGCAGCTGCTGTCAGGAAAGCTGTGAGATGTCAAGGACATTTGTCTACTTGGCAAGTCAAGCTATCCTTTGGACACTTCCAGAAGAAAGAAAACGATTGTTTGAAATCACTTAGTATCGCCTGCGTATGTTTGGCTGTTATGTTGTGGCAGCAATTTCGCTGATCGGTTCTCTTCAGCAAGACCTTAATGTTAGGCAATGCAATACAATGTAGATTGTGTTCCGGAGTGAAGCTGACGTGTCTTAGCAGTGAATGTGAGATTCTTGAATGGTCTATTGAGGTCACCTAGTTCCAAGAGTTGGAACTGTACGAAATGGTTGTATGGTCACACAATATACCGCTTTCCCGGTATGGTGTGTGCGTGTTTGAAGTATGTGGGTCACCCTCGGCCAAGACGGTGGTGAGATCGACTGGGTTTGATATATCTCCCTCTGATTCAAGTGCATTGAGGTCAGGTATGTTTCACGTACCATTCTGCTCCACAGCCTAACTCAACTTGCACCGTTTTTTCGTAAAAAGCAATACAGCTTATTGTCGTTTCGGAGTTACATGATATAAACGCATGGAACGTCTCTGTCAACGTCAGTGACACCAGTTAGCGGATGACGGCCTTCGAAATCTATGAACTTCAAGCAGCGGACGCACTTTGATCTTTGAAAGACAATCTGCAGGTTACTACGGCTCTGGATTATAAGTCAGAGGTAGACATCGTCATTTATCATACGTACGCTCTGTGCATCTCCAGGGCCTACGGTTAAAACTGCATCATTCTTCGTTTTCACTAAATAATGAGTTTATTGACCGCATGCATCATTCTTCAGTGTAACCCGTTGCGTTTTCACGCGTATCTTGTTAACGTACGAGAGAGCGTCTAAAGGGGACCATAAGAAAACACTCGCATTTCTGATCTGTTTAACAAACTGATTCCCATGCGAGAGCTTGCTGCGATCGATCGGTTGCTGACGCATTTAACGAGGAAGACAAGCACGAAGATGCCCGTCGTCGAGCTGATGGCGGCGGATGTTTGTACTGGAGTCGCTTGTTAGCTAAAATGAGTGCGAACGTGATTTAGTGTTGGCTACAAGGAAGCCCAAGTATGAATCGTGTATACTTCAGTACGACCGTTACAAGTAATTATGTGTTTAAACATGCCGGCTCGGTTCGGTGCACGTGGATCACGCAGTAGGACGGAGATTGATCTTTAAATTCCCAGACATCCTGTAAGGCATGCTGCGATGACGATGAGCTAGTTATAAGTAATGTATCATGCAAATAATAAATCTCGAGCCAATTACATGTCGAGGCATAAGCTACCTTGCTTGCCCCGACCTCCCACTCCCACATTCTAAGTATTAAGATATCGGATAGCAAATCTAGTTGAACACATACGTATGGAGAGTTCAGCACGCTACAGTTGCTCCTGTGGTACGGCAGCCAAGGACTGCAGAAGACTTGAGAGATTGGAGACGCCTGTTGACCTCCTGCCATGCATACCGGATGTGGCGTCCACTAGAGCCATGGATAACGCTCTCAACCGAAGGGAGCATAGAGAAGAGGATGTAAGCGACAGCTTCACGATCCGCTATGTGAGAGGTGCGCACATCCAATGTTTGTAGAGATGTATGCTGAAACGACTCGGCCTGAGGATCGATATCAATATTCAGAGCATCCATTAATATGTGCAGCGTATGCAAGTGGGGAGATTGACGCAACGCTGTGGATAACCCGCGAAATGTGATAGTAGCTGGGTGAGGATGGGGGTCTTCTAATTTCAGAGAGCGGATGTGCGGCCAACTTGACATGGCTTTCGAAAGGAGGTGGTTGTCAAGGCGAATGCAGCAATGGGGAAAAGCGAGCTGTAGAGTTCTGAGTTGGGTGAAGCCAAGAAATTGGGTGATCGGTGTCAAAGAGCTGTCTGAGGGCTCTGGAACTCTCTGATCACGAGATAAAATGTCGATATGTTGAAGGGTCTGGCATGCCGTGCACTGTGACAGTGCATGAAAAAGCTGCTCAGCATCTTCCCACGGCAAAACACGGGCAACCATTTTGAACTCTGTCAGCGAGGGGAATGCTGAGTTACGCATGACTGCGATGACGTATGAAGCCGTGGTTACATGGAAAGAAAGAGTCGTGACGTTGAGGAAACGTGTGAAAACGAAGTTATCCGTGTCCAACGGGCAAAGGACTTCGCCAGAAATCGCCACTGAGAGAAGGGTGGGGAGGTTCGACAGGTGCTTCCATGCTGCCCAGTCGAGAGGTGGACAATACAGAGTTACAAGCCGCTTGCACAGACGGATACTGTCAGATAACAGGCACAGCTCATCCGTTGTGCTTTGGTAGGGGATCTTGATGGTTAGATCCTCCAAGGTAGCAGCACAACAGGTCGCAATTAATTTCAAATCGGGATGAATGAGCGATAGCGAACAACGACGCAGAGTGGGGGGTAGGAAGAGATGTAAGTATCCAGTTGGATGTACAGCCATTGATAAAGACAGCAATCTTGGGAATATGAATGTCTTGATGGGAAGGACTGAAAGAAGGTGAAAATGGTTGTCGAATGGGATTTGCAATGAGCGCACGCGGTGGGCGTGACGCAAAAATTGGAGGACTTCGTGCTCACATAATGGATTGATGCCTTCAGAGTACCAGGTGTACTGCGTGTAGACACTCAGTGAGCTAATGAACGAAATAGTATGAACAGAGCGTGACTAGTCTGCACTGACCCTTCCGACATGATGATATATCATGGGATGTAGCCTCGTTACACAGCCCAGCAGTGGTACTATCCCATGCATGTCAGCCCAGAGTAAATCCATTGCAGGCTCGTGGAAGGTCCTGCATGTCGTTGCAAGCGTTGCAAGGGATTTCCGAGCCAATGATATCTCGCCATACGATAATGGGTCCAGGATTGTATCGACATGAGCGAATATGTCCAGAAGGATTTCAGAAATAAGTAGAGCGTGATGCATGGTCATATGTGGATGGAATAAGTACAGTGCAGGAAGTCCTACAGAACACGGACACGAACAACCCTGTCCTTCCAAACGTCGGTGACCAAGACTCTGAGCAGAAGCGAATAGAACACGACCTCGAAGTGTCGGTTCAGTGACTATTCGCTCATGCCGGATTGCCTGATTTCTGGTCTATTTCCCAGCCTATCCTCGTGTAGGAAAAATTCAGCCCGTGCACGTTGTTTTGAATTCGAGCCTACTTGGTTCCCGGGTGCGCACTGCGCATGGAAAGTCCCGCATCCACGTGCAGTGTCACGGTGCACTTTTCGCTCTTTTCGGTTCAGAAAACGACCATTTTTGTTCTCATCACGAATATGTGCCATATTTCGATCATTTACATCTCCACCTCGACACTTGGACTTATGTTTGCCCTCTTCGCTAGTCTATCAACCAATTCTTGTCCTGACAGGGGCTGCCTGGTGCACGCTGAGATCATAGTGCATTTTTGTACCTCTGACTCGTGACAGATCATGATGATCTGTCTAGCTAGCAGTTGACACAACGTAGCATATCCTCTCATCAATTATATCATCCAATGGCGCGCATGCAAGTGATAATGGAAGCACGAGACAGATCATAAGTAGAACGTGGTGATGTTATTGGGTAGCGTAGGATAGAAAAAGAAAAGTGCGATGATGAAAACAGCATTTTGGTCAGAGTGGTGCAAAAAACGTACTCGGTCCGTCTCCTCAGACTCGGGACTTCGTGGCTCGCGGCCATTTGAAAGATCGAGATGTCCGTTGATCTCGTTCCATAGCTTCAGAAAGTAGATTTCAAAGTCCCATGGGTCCCATGAGTCTGCCTGGTCAGTGACTTGGTCGATGCGTATCCATCAATTACGCACACTCCTGCGCAAGTGACTACACCGGCCATCTGGGTACCGATTGCATAGAGCGAACCTTGAATGAAACTTCTCGATGAATTGAGCGACAAGGCTATCAAGGTACTCGCCAAGAAAGAGGCGGAAGCGGAGCTGCAGGATATCTGCATTCGACCTCTAGAGCAATTTCTAGGGCCCATGCTACGATCTCTAGTTTGTATCAATTTTGACGCGCTCGCGTGTTTATAAGACACGCATGATACAATAAGAACCGATTGGAGTCATAGCATAGGTAACATCCAACGCTGCAGAAATTCTCCATCGACTTGATACCGACATCCTGGAAGTCAATTTCTCCTTTGTTCCACGATGGCGTCGTATGTCAGTCCCTCTAGAAGAGACCCCAGGTCATGATCCGCACGATCGATAACCTATCATAATGGTGAGAATGAGAATGGGTTTTGACTACGGCATGCACATTGCAAAGGAGCAGCAACACTGAATGTATATAATGCACCTACCTTATAAAACTTCAGAACCGACAGCTATAATCATCTGCGCATTCGTTATCCCTCAAATAACTTCTGCTCACAGCCAGGTCTTTTTAAAGATCTCATCGACATCCATCACCGGTGCACCAGCTGGAGTCACCGACGTTACCAGGAACGTTCGATTTCACGTGTCTACGGAGAGTGTAAGGTCAAAATCACAATAAACGGGATCATTTAACGCACGGGCTTACGACTTGAAAAGATCAAGACGATATCCATGTCACCATCATATTGCTCCAAAAACTCATTGTCGTGTTGTGATGCGACCTTTTGGTATACCGTCCAGAATCGCGATCGCTCATCATTTGCGCCCTTTTCCACGATGTTGGAACTTGGAAGAGTGTCGAGGATTTGCTGCAATAATCTAAGCAAGTTTTCAGCACGAGCACCGGAGAGCACCGGTAAAATTACAGATGACTTATTGCTAAGAGAGTAAGAAACCCAATTACATCATTATCGAGCGTGGACTGGGCACTTGGCGGGGTAAACTTTGCATCCCGTGCAGCAAGGGACTGAGATGATAGACTTCGAGCTCTAAGTTCAATTTCAGATGTATTACAGGTATGTGGAGCGTGCACACTTACGGTCGATATGTGCCGTCTACTTGAGGATAACGCATGTCATTTGGTTCTCTGTGTCTCAGTCAGCTCTAGCGACATCGTGGAAGCAGGTGGACCATACTGAAAGTAAGCGGCCCTACGGATGCTCTTGTCAGGAACGAAAGCACCAGTGTCCATTGAATGACCACAGAAATTGTTCCATTCGTATCGTAACCCACCACCAAAAGCCTTGTCGTGTGTCCACGCATTTCAAGAGTCAGTCGTGATTTTACAAACTTGTCCTGCCACTGCCTAATAATCATTCATGAGAGTTTGTCCACGGCGTGGAGTTTCCAACCACCGTAGACCAAGACACAAGACAGACGAGCACAGCGACACTCCTTTCAATGCGATTTATGATGTGTTATTTTTTAGATTTTGCACCTACAGAATGTTAAGAGGGTAAAACCATCGAAAAAGTACATTCGACGTCTTTGTTTTTGAGACACGCCTCGCGTTTACCATACCAGATGCCGTATTGCATCTTCGCACTCGAGGGGCTCCAACCACGCTGCCGAATGATACTTTATCCTTCGATATGGCCATTGCTCCATCAGCTCTATCGACCCATCATCTAGGCGGATAACACTCCAGACATTCTCGTCGATACGCACAAGCCGCACGTTGGAAAAGCCCTGGTCGATCACGTTGATGACGGAGCGTATCGGAAAGTTTGTCATGCCAATGAATGTGAGAAGGGGAGGGACTCCGGGACGCAATTGCTATGATAGAATACATTAGTGCTACTCTTCTTGTCAATACGGGCGTCATCAACTCACGTTTATGAAAAGGAGAAGGTCCTCTGCAGGCGGTACCATAATATCCATGGTGAGCGCACGAACACTTCGCGGAATAAGCCACCCTGCTAGCGAAGGAGAAAGATCTCTAGGATAAGTGATATAGAGACTGCGGAGGTTCGTTAGAGAAGGTAGTACACCCCAAGCAGACGCGTCAAAACCAATGCGACGATGGTCTCCGCTAGGCACGGTGAGGTGGAAGGAATGAAGATGCTTGCGATCTCTCAAGAATTCCGAGATAGCAGGCACGAGGTCCCTGTCTGTGACATGCCGATGCAAACTGATAATATTCAGAGCAAAATGCGTCAAAAACGGAAGCGAGGACCTATGCAGGCGGAACGTTGCTGATGGAGTGCATTCCAGAATACCTGACAATGTCAATGACTCCAGTTGGTGACCGGTGGACAAGATCTCTGAGAAGATCTGGCTGTCTACGGAAAAACAGCCCTCAAACTCGATGATCGTCAAGTGACGGACGGAGATGGCATCCGTTGGGAATTTCCAGTTGGCGTTCTTGATGGACAGCGAGCGTAGGTTGTCATGACTCTGTGATATAAAGTCGTGGGTGGATGTGCTGTTCCCTCCTTCAGCTGTGATGGAGAAATGTGTAATGTGCTTGAATGGTGGGATATCAATGTCCCCTGAACGATCAACAAGACTGTGCGGAGCGTGAACATGCAGGCCGTTTTGGGGCGAAAGGAAGTATGAAACGACGTACTTGATGGACAGGCTGTAAAGACGATGGTTTGAGGCACACAATGTTTCAAGCATGCGATTGATTAATCCACTGTTGCCTGAACAATGCGCACTGCGAAGGTTGCAGAGCTTAGGTAAAGAGTTTATTAACATTCCTAGGGAGGATTGAGACATAGTAACGCTGAAGAATGAACACAAACCAGTCTGAAACGCCAATGTATGCGACGCGTCTGAAACAACAGCATATACGCTTAAGCTTCTGACCTGCAAGGCAAAGACAGGATCGACGAGAATGCGGGTAAGAATATCTGCACTTCGCTGGTAGTGCCAGGCGTCGAGTTCCTGTTCTTCCTGGCTGCAATTGACACCCCTGTATCTGTTCTCGGCTCTCGGGGGGTCCGGCGATGCCGTGAAATGAAGATCGATCTCGCGGAAGATAAGCTGACTTGCGATGCGAGAGAGTGCATGTGGGACCGATAAAAGAGACTTGAGATCACGTTTGGGAAGACATAGAGCAATTTCTCTCCAAACTTCGGCCGAAAAACGAGGCGGACCGTCAGGTTCCCTGATAAGCTTGATGTTATTTGGTAAATGGACGTCATAAAAGGGTTGCACAATTTACCATTTCTTGTCGTAAATGCTCAGATTGTATTATGGCTTTGACGTCTTGATTTGCAGGATCTGAACCTAACACGGACAGCAAGTCTGAAAGATAGTGATATCAGTACGCTGACGGGACCTAAGGACATGCATGAATTTGACCTTGTTGTGCAGAAGTTCGGTACCCAGCTGCTAAACGGGTTTTGGCACGTAATAAAAGAGCTCTTGCGACATCTGCTGGTGGAACGCCTGAGACTTGGAGAAAGGACTGAATAGCATTCTCCATGACAATTCGGGACCTTTGTGATACACAACGGTCTAGATTTTATTTTATAAACAAGGTAATTGGACGAACGTACCCTTCGGACGGTAAATGCTGCAAAGCGTGGAGAAGAACATCAGCCTTTTGAACGTCAGACAGACACCCCGTCACATCGCGAATGCTAGCATCAAGAATGCGAGGATTGAAAACATTCATGAGGAAATTGCCTGGGGCTACTGGTTGCTCCGCTGGTACGAGGTGAAAATGGGGGGTTTAAGTGCGGTCCAAAGGACTTTGTATGGTAAATATGATATACGCTCATTTTCGTGATTCCTTTCCAGAACCATGTATATCATCGCACGATGGTCGAGACCAGACTACACGTTTTAGGCACATTTTAGGAAGTCGTCGCACAAATATTTTCCCAGGCTCCAACTAGATGCCGCGGTTAGCCGAAGGGCCTATGTGGCTATACTACGCCTTGGCCTGCCCCAGAGTCCAGACCCATCGCCTCATAAAACTCAGGTCCCCGCCTTAGCATGGCCCGTGATAGTCGCTGCCGTGGTCAACGTTTCAACTTTCAAACCTCTGACATGGCTTCGAAGGTGTCGCAGATTCACGTAGGGAACAAATGGTCGCACAGTTTGATCAGCGAGTATAAATATAAAGACTTCTTCACATATGGACTCGAGCTCACAACTCTCTAACACTTCACAATATCAAACCATTAAGCGCTTATCAAAACACTCTTAACAGGCCGCTCAGCACATCTGCGCAAAGTCATCCGACTCCAAGCCTTGTACACCAACGAGGTTGTTCTGACAGCGCGGTTTAAAGGAAATCTGTATTGGATCCCTGGAGAAATTTGCAGAGTCGGACGTCCCACATGTCACGGTCTCCGGTGTGTATCACTACAGTAATAAGCTTTGCTTACTTCGTTCTTATCTGAGAATTCAGGGTTTAACCCTAAGCCCACAAACCTTGATGAAGCTTCAACGTTTCAACTTCCGACGGTCACGATCATATTGATCTTCCGAAATACTTCGGCTCCCCAAAGCTCCAAGGCATATGCAGCGTGTTATACTTAACATGATGACAAGACCTCGAAAACCTCGTCAATTGCAAATTTGCCTGATTCGAGTAGCTGAGTAACTGACAGCGGCGCCAAAAACATCAGGACACATTAATCATTCCTCGCCCTCGCCAACGCTAACAATGATTCGCCCACTGCATAACAGGCGTCACCTAAACCTCAATCAACTCAACCTACAACTCGAGTTGTTCATTACCTATTTCTTTGCATCTGTGCTCATCTAGCTCCAAAGTCAAGTTTCATTAGTGCACGCAGCGGCGTGCGTCCGCTGCCCTCGTCCTTCTTTGATTGAGTGTGCACTTTTAGCGCCCACGCTCTCATATGGCCACCATTGTTCTCCGCGAAGGCGTGTCTTGAACATTCAAGTTACACTCCCGACAATGCCGGACACACTGTCACCGAGTTATCCAATATCGATGTTTCCAGCCTCAACCGCATCTTCCCCAGGTATGGTGGATTGCACTGCTTGTATCTTATTAGCATCATTATCGCCAGGTGTTCCAAAACACGAACCTCCGCCGGTACACCACCCTTGTCAGCCACCATCATCCTAGTACTCGCGAACAGCAGCGATAACTTAGGCATACTGTCCGTTCGTTGAAGTTGGACGAGCTTCAAAAACATAGAGATATGTCTTCTTCATTTTCTCAGACGTGTCTTTTTGTCTCTGTTGTCTTTCTTAGTCAGAGAGCGTTCCCTAAACGACATTCCGCCCAATGCTATGTACTAAGACTAAATAATCACTCTGTCATTTTCTTGGTGCGACTGGTCGAAAGCAGGAAGTGGCAGCAGGGCTTTGGGAGGTCACGTTTTGGCGTGGGGGCTGGAGTCAGCGTGATGTTTTGAGGCTTGGAGGCAGCACCAGGCTCCATGAAGTTGGGATGGAGGTTAGGTGTGGTAGCCTGGTAGGCAGTGAGAGACTGCAGGTCGGGCATTGCGGGCAATAATAGACACGCGGCGGTGCGATAGCAAAGTACTTACCTTATTCACCAGTAGAAAATACTTCATCAAGCGGTGCTGAAGGTCCTGATTGATTGGTCTCTGCTGTGAGGTAACACACGTACGTTGGCAATTTAGGGAGCCAAAGTACTCCGGAAGGGTCCAGCTTCATCTATCGGACGGCATAGAGGTCATTCCAACAGTGGTTGGGCTGGGGCCGACTCGTGTTAGCTCGGTTTGGCCGCTGACAAGATTGCCGCCGGGTGGGCGGGAAACAAACTCGACAGCCTACCTCATGTACACATATGTATACGTGCTGATAGATTGCACCGGCGCAGCGTAGGGAAAAGATGCAAGTAACGATTCACGATGAAAATAGAAAACGGATGTCCCGATGGGGAGATTTGAAAACGCTTGCTGCTTTTTCACATGCGCACGGTTCAATATCTTGAGAGGGGGCCAACTATATATAGGTGCTCAGCGCGTCGAGATGTTCGCCGTTCGTTGAGTCAGCGAACGAAAGGGTACTATGAGTCCTCGACGCTCCACTCTGCCTCCACTTATAATTCTACTCATCATCCACACATGTCCAATGAATTCAGTTTATCTATCAATTACCCAAACTCCGGTGCAAGTGGCTACTGCAGGCCATCTGGGCACGCAACCCCAGTCTCAAGTCCCTCACCCCAGCCCCCTCAGACTCTTGATATGCAAATCAATGGTGCCTCAAACGAAGGCTACCCACAACACCAACAGTCCACATAAGCCCCTGCATCCATGGGAGGGTACAAGCACTCGCTAAATTCGCCCTCCTTGAGCGACAAGGCCATCGAGGAACCCGCCAAGAAAAAAGCGGAAGCGGAGCTGCGGGCTATCTGTATTAGACATCTAGAACAATTTCCGGGGCTTGATATTCCCCATGCTGCGATCTCTGGTGTGTACCACTTTCGACGCGCTCGTGTGTTTATAAGACATGCATGATACCATAAGAGCCAATTGGAGCCATAGCATAGGTGTCATCCAACCCTGCAGAATACTCCATCGACTTGATGCCGACATCTTGTAAGTCAATTTCTGCTTTGTTCCACGATGGCGTCGTTTATCAGTCCCTCGAGAAGAGGCATCTAGACGCCAGGTTATGATCCGCACGATCGATAGCCTATCATAATAGTGAGAATGAGAATGGGGTTTGACTGTGGCATGCACAAAGGAGTGACCAACGCTGAATGTATAAGGGAATGATGCCAATCTACCTTATAAGACTTCAGGACCAACAGCTATGATCACCTGCGCATTCGTTATCACCCGCTAACAGCCAGGTCTTTGTAAAGATCTCATCCATCACCAGTGCACCCTGATGTTATCAGGAACGTTCAATTTCACGCGTCTACGCAGTGTAAGGTTAAAATTATAATAACGGGATGTCTTTTGAGAAGAAAAAATCACGCAAGTTGAGATAGTATAACAGAGCCTCAAGCTTCAAATGGCACCACAGATACTTGAGAGGCACATCCAAGCACAGTTAGCTCTCGCCATGGTCTCGACTGAGGGTGACTGACATTCTCCAAACACGCATACCACACAAAGCGCCATAATACAACTATCTCATACAGTTTCACATCCTGAAATCTACCTCCACAAACATTTCGAGCAACCTTTCATAGCCCAGACACCTCCGTTCCTCTCCGAATCGGACCATCATTGATCATGACGGTGTGTTGCATTTCCCGACATCAAGGTCTAGCTGAAAACAAGCGGATCAGCGGGAGTGCTGCCGCAATGTGATGGTGAAACATACGCAAGCGATGATCTAGAGCGATTTTAAGAACTACTTTGAATAACTCCGCCTTCGCCTCCTGAGAGCACGAAGATTCTTTTTCCTTTGCCTGAGAGCATTCAGAGGATTGCTTCGCCTTCTGAGAGCGTTCAAAGGATTGCTTCGCCTCCTGAGAGCGTTCGAAAGCTTCTTGTGCCTTCCTCTTGAAGCGTTCAATCGGTAACTTCACCATCCAAGCAGGCAGTTTTCCTTGATATGGAAAGACAGCAGTCCTCACAGCTTCTTCATATGCGTGGGTGGCAGTAGCCAAGGCTTCTTCATATGCGTGGGCGGCAGTAGCCACAGCTTCTTCATATGCCTGGACGGCAGCACTCACAGCTTCCCTGACAGTAGCTGCATGCGGTGATGCCATGTACTGCTCGAGAGCGACATGAAATGAGGGACCAGACTTCTGCTTGTCTTGAAGATAGCGCCGCTTGTCGGAAATGTAGAAAGAATGTTCGAAGATAATGACAGCAGCTTAGCGTCCAATGATGAGCGGTTCATTGCGACGTAGCCTCAAAATTCACCAGAAATGAGCTGAACGATATTCTCTAGGGGTGATGAGTCGGAGGCCTGACAGAGTCGCAACATGAGAAATGTGTGTACAATCTGTAACCAATCAGACATACCGCAGAGAGTAACCTAGACTGTATCTCTATACGTTGATCTTCGCCAAGCACGTCCTATTGATGGATCAGCGATGACGTCCGCTAGCAAGGCTCTAGACTCACGAACTGTCAACCGATCAGTGATATCTTCGGTGAATAAGGCTCGAGCTCAATGGCAAATGAACACACTCACGGACTGTCGACGGGAATCAGCAATTTCAATGGTCAGTGGAGCGTCAATTCGACTGCAGGTCAATGCGCTTACATCCTGTGAATGGACGGTCGACGTATTCAGTGGGTATGGCTCGAGTTCGATGATGGATCGAGAAACTCACAATCTGTTAACAGAGCGGTATCGTGTTCGGTCAGTTAGAAGGACGTAGAATCAATACACCCACATCCTAAGAACAAATCAGCGATTGCATCGGTTAGGAAGGCGGGAGATCGGCAAACTCACAAGCTATCAACGGATAGACGATATGTTCGGTCAGTAGCTGAAGGTCGGTGAAGGATCAATGTACCGACCTCCTGGCGATAGATGATGAATTGGGTTGGTCAAGAATGGTTGAACTCGACAAAGAATGAATAGACACACTCACCTCCTGCGAACGGTGGGCAACGACTTGGATCAGCATGGCTCTTGCTCGAACGACGATCGACACACTCACTTCCTGCGAACGGTGGGCAACGACTTGGATCAGCATGGCTCTTGCTCGAACGACGATCGACACACTCACTGCCTGCGAACGGTGGGCAACGACTTGGATCAGCATGGCTCTTGCTCGAACAGCGATCGACACACTCACTTCCTGCGAACGGTGGGCAACGACTTGGATCAGCATGGCTGTTGCTCGAACGACGATCGACACACTCACGAACTGCGAACGGTGGGCAACGACTTGGATCAGCATGGCTCTTGCTCGAACGACGATCGACACACTCACGAACTGCGAACGGTGGGCAACGACTTGGATCAGCATGGCTGTTGCTCGAACGAGAATCGACACACTCACTCCCTGCGAACGGTGGGCAGCGACTTGGATCAGCATGGCTGTTGCTCGAACGACGATCGACACACTCACGAACTGCGAACGGTGGGCAACGACTTGGATCAGCATGGCTCTTGCTCGAACGACGATCGACACACTCACATCCTGCGAACGGTGGACAATGACTTGGATCAGCATGGCTGTTGCTCGAACGACGATCGACACACTCACGAACTGCGAACGGTGGGCAACGACTTGGATCAGCATGGCTCTTGCTCGAACGACGATCGACACACTCACATCCTGCGAACGGTGGACAATGACTTGGATCAGCATGGCTCTTGCTCGAACGACGATCGACACACTCACATCCTGCGAACGCTGGACAATGACTTGGATCAGCATGGCTCTTGCTCGAACGACGATCGACACACTCACATACTGCGAACGGTGGGCAACGACTTGGATCAGCATGGCTCTTGCTCGAACGACGATCGACACACTCACTGTCTGCGAACGGTGGGCAACGACTTGTATCAGCATGGCTCTTGCTCGAACGACGATCTCCACACTCACATCCTGCGAACGGTGGGCAACGACTTGGATCAGCATGGCTGTTGCTCGAACGACGATCGACACACTCACGAACTGCGAACGGTGGGCAACGACTTGGATCAGCATGGCTCTTGCTCGAACGAGGATCGACACACGTACTGTCTGCAAGTAAACGCCCATGTGAATGAGAGCAACCTTCGAACTTTCCAAAAAACTTACTATAATGTGTGGAAACCAGATGCCCAATATCCCCATTAGCCTCTGATAACCCTCAGATGCTGTTGTCTCGGCAGAGTCAAAATGTTTTGGGAGTGTTCTGGACAATATCAGTCGCTGACGCTTGCGGCAGGCAAATAACACCATGGGTAGTTACCTCTGAACTGCATATTTCATGCAGATCTCTAAGTTCGTCTGCTGGGTCGAGACGAACAATTGCTGAAGCACTTCATTGTCTAGAGTTCCCGCCGTGCGTTCGAGAAGTGTTCCGCAATCTGCATCATCCTTGTCCATGTCTAATAGATCAATGGTCATCGTGTATCGCGACTCGACCACGAGCAGGCTTACTAGGAAGGCATACATGACTTTTTGGAGGCCATCGGACTTCCTTGAAAAACTTTAATTGTGGCCCGTTAACGAATGACTCTTCGGCGTGTTCCGGGGCCAGTTCCTTAGCGTCCTTCCAAGATTTTCCTTCCTTCCTCAGCTTTGCGAATTCGACGTCGTATAGGGCGTCAAACTTTGTGAATAATATGATGACCGGTACTGAGGGTTGTGATTCTGCGCATCAGTCGAACGTCAATGAGGATGCGATGCGAAAACTTACTGGTTCCCGTGTCGCACTGAGAGAAAAACTTATTTTCACCTGCAGTGAACGACCTGCTTGCTTCGTCCATGGGAATACAGTACCTATGTTGAAATCGTGAGATAGTACATGTCGCGATTGATCAGTTGCAATTACCAGATGGCATGCAGTTGCTTTGTCATGCTGGTTTCCTTCGAGCGGCTCGCGATGAATGCTTTGACTATCTCAAATTCGGATGCACCGCCTGCCTCGAACCCGCGTGAGTCGTGGAACACGAATCCTGGGTTACTTTGAAAAACCATTTCGTTCTCGATGTTGTGCTCTCCACGCTGAGAGTACGTCAGTTCATGTCCCGAAGTAAGAGTACACCTTGATACCTCTTTAGATGCCTTTAAAACTGCAGGATCGATCTGACGTCAATGGATCAGTACCATCCTCCTACCAGCATTGTGATGCCCACCTTTTCCCCGGCGGTGTTGTATATTTCTGGGTTGTCCCGCGTGTTGCAAACTCTCTCGAGGATGGTGGTTTTCCCTGCGTTCGCTCTTCCTATGACGAGGATTCGAAAGCGACCGATTTTCTCTCTTATCCTTGAGGGATCCATGGGGGGAGTGGTAGTAAATGTGAATCACGAAGAAGCGTTGGTGTAGCCTTATAATCACTGCAGGGTGTGAAACCGGCACATACCCAACTTCGGCAGTTGGGCAATGGGCGATATTGTCAATATAGGAGAGCTGTGTACCATGAGGCGTACGAAGTGTGTTGGCATTTTGATATTAGTCACGGACCACGGTTGCTGTCGCAAGCGTGCCATCAAGTCCCCCACAGTCAGGCCTTGCAACTAGAAGACAGACAGTTCTTTCATTTACCCTTGAACTCGAAACTTGAAGAACCATGTCAGTCCACGTAAATCTCAGTGAGTCTCCCACTGAGAGCTATATCACATACCGTTCTTGTGACACACACGTTTTCTATTTGATAATTACTTAACGACTGCAAGGTGTTAGCCAGGAGCCTGCCAGATAGGCGATATTAATATTGACACGGCTGTGTACCATGAGGCCTAGGCAACCTTAGGCAACCATGTGCAATATTATGCTGAGGCGTACACGACAAGTTCTTGCACATCATATTTGAAATTAGCCGAAGGAGTTGGTTGTTGCAGAGTTAAACTTAGAACAAGGGCTTCTTCGTGCAGCGGCTGTGCAGCACGTGGGTTCTTTTCTCCGCCTACCCCACAGCGCCCATTGGTAGGCTACACTCTAGCAAGCTCCGGCGCCTTTTCTAAAGTCTGCTGCCTTTCGAATTTTCTTTTTTTCTACCAATTCCAGTGAGCTCCAATGGCCTAGATCCTCGTTGTGCATCCGCACGCAATGAAAGCAAGTCCGGCGTGGAAGCCGGCCACGAGTAGAGCTTGAAGGTGCTATGGCACATTGATTTTTCAAGCTTTCTCGCGTGAGTACCGCCCTTGACAACACCTGTTGCCGTGCGCATGTGGATTTCCGCACTCTCGTGGACGCGGATGCCTGTATTGACGCAGACACTTCGAACTTCTGTATTGATGCAGATGCCCGTACCGACATGGATATCCACATTAACGCAGATGGGCCTGTATTGACACAGATACCCGCGTTTATGCTGACGCGGATGCCTTTTTACTACTTTTTCTACTAACCGTCTCCTCATGTAGCCTTACCTCGATGCGTCCAATTGCGGCTCCTACAATTCAGGGATTCAAGGTTTACTTTGGTGCGTCACATTCACTCCTGCTAATGTGGGAATATCAGCTCACCTAGGCTCACTCTTGCACAGGTCGGGGTCGCTATGGTGGCCCTACTTGGAACAAAGCAGACATTTTTCTCGTTCGCACTACTTGCACAACTGCTTTAGAGCAGCCACAAAATCTGTATCTAGGCACTCCATTCATAAATCACGCGCACGGCTCGATGAATATTAGCAAGTCATCATGTCCGAAGAAGATGAAGCAGAAAACTCGAGGCGAATTTCTCCCTCCATCCTTCAATCTCGCCGCCAGCACCTGTGAAGACGAGACAGGTAAAGCGGAAGTACAAGGTTTTTGCTCTCGGCTCGGACGCAAGTGACGATCTGGAACAGGATAGCGATATCGGCGCTATAAAGTTTGAACAGAGAGTCATCGATGTCAGTCATGAAGACGATTCTCCACGCCGACCCACAAACTAGATGGCTCCAGTGGCGCGCATTATTTGTCTTTGCATATTTTCACGATTACGGCCACATAGATTGACCAGGCACAACGATATGTAGCGGTTTGTGCGTTGATATCTTTTCTAGACTGAACATCGAGAAGAGATGGAGGGAAATAACTACGTGGAGCTCTGAATCGAGGAAAAACTTTCATGCTGCAGTTCATTATAGGCGTGAGCAATGGACCTTTTTGGTTGACAATCCTTCTATCGCGACCAACAGCAGTCTCACCTCTCCACCTTTCTCCTGCATTTACCATCAAGTCACCTTTCGTTCTATTGTGGAAAGACGATGACCCCGATGCGTTACATCTTACTTGTCTTTGGCGTTATTGTACGTGTTCATTTCAACTCGACAATTTACCTGGCTTGACACTGGAACAGATTTCAATTCACTACATCATGAGCTTTACGTATGAGGAATACGGAGGCGACATCCATCTCAAATATCGCAGAACAATGGACTGGTTTAAAGTCAAGCCCTCTCTACAAAACACCCGTGGCCGACGAATACTGCAAGCCCGATTCACCTATGCACTTACAAGATCGCAAAGCGAACGCCTCGATCGTCGTACTTGTACGGAACTCTGAGCTTTGGGAATCATGAGCAGTATGAAGCAACTCGAGGATAGGTTCAACAGGAAGTTCCAGTATCCTTATGTCTTCCTCAACGACGAGCCCTTTACGCAGAGCTTCCAGGAGTGCGCCCCTTTATGCTCGAATTCTTGAAGCTGTTGACAGGCTATAAGGTCACATACGGGCCTTAACCAGTGCCACAGTTGAATTCGGTCTCATCCCATCCGACCATTGGCATCAACCATCGTGGATCGATGAAGAACGAGCAAGCAAGTCTCGCGATGACATGATTAGGAACGATGTAGGTTATCTTACAGTTCTAAGCGTACATGTAGCGTGACGATTTCCCAGGTAGCGTTTCGTGCGTATGCTAAGTTATCATCGCTGCTTCTGGCTGATTGCTCTTAGATACCGGAATATGTGTCGCTTCAATTCTGGCGTACGCGATCGTAATGCGTCTTGGCGAAGTTGTCTCACTAGTTCCTAGTTCTTCTATCGACACGAGCTCTTGCAGAAGTACCGATACTATTGGAGAGTCGAGTGAGTAGACGCAGCCGAAGGAGATGCGATGTAGCTTATCTTCCCCAATCAGGCCAGACATCCAGCTTTTCTGCGACGTGGACTAAGATCCCTTTCTCATGATGCAAGACCAAAACAAGGTGTACGGTAAAACAAATTATGCTTTCAATTATACACTCGTCTCAAACGTCGGCAGGCTTTACGATAAAATTCCAGCTACCATCCCAACGTTATGGAACATCGTAAAGTGTAAGCGTATTCGGCATTTACTATGATTTCAACCTTACCTTCCTGTAGCTTTCATTGATGCTAATCCTGACTCCTGGCAATGCGATGGAATTTCTCTCTGACGATGGCGGAGAGTCCCACAGTCTGCGTCACTGTAGGTTACTGCCCATCGGGACGTTTTCCCGTGTTAATGAAAACACGTGGCCAGTCTGGAGCAACTTTGAAATCGCAGATCTTGACTTCTGGCGAGGCGAGGCATATTCGAAATTTTCCGAATATCTTGATGAGCAGGGTGGATTCTATTATGAGGTGAGTCTTGCGTTTGCACGCTTTGGGACGTAGTTTCATTTGGAATAGCATTGGGGAGATGCACCAGTTCATAGCATCGGAGCTGCACTGTTCGCGAAGAAGGAACAAATTCACTTCAATGACATCGGGTATCAACACGAACACTTCGAGCACTGTCCACAGGGAGATGTGCACACGAAAGGGAAATGCTGGTGCAACCTTGATAAGAGTGTCGGCAAGTATCTCTATGCAAATGTTGAACTACCACTGAAGCTGGTTTCTTCAGACTATCAGGTATATTCATGTCTTTACCAACACGACAAGCTATTATTGTAGACCGAAACATCAGCGCTGTCACGATGTTCTTAGCAGTGAGCAATGTGTCCCTATATGACACTAGATGCCGCACTCCACGATCTACCTCTGAGAGCCGTATTCACGATGGACTGTACTATACCTAGTCAATGATGTGGTTTTGACTTGTAGAATTGGTTGCGATGCCATGATTGCTCTGGTTTTTACTCACGGACACTTCTAGTTGTATGACGTGCACGCTCGTTAGTATGCGTCAGTGACATCCAGTAGGACTTCCGTACATCGCCAGCTGTCTAATTTGTCCAACTTGAAGACAAATTTGGCCTCCTGTTTCTGAACTCTGAACGCGTTAACTTTGCCTAGGTGCCGCCATATAATCAAGAAACATACCTCTCAGCTGTTCATCCTCATCGCGTTTGACTTGTCATGACTGCAACTTCGTCGTCTCCTGCTTCGTCATCGTTTTTCGCTTCCTCTTGTTTCGCCGGTCAGGAGCTTCCTAAATATGGCGTACCAAAGAACTTCGTGCAGTGGCTGTGCAGCATGTAGGTTCTCTTCTCCGCCCGGCGCCAACCCCACTGCGCCCATTGGCAGGCTACACTCTAGCAAGCTCCGGTGCCCTAGGTCTGCACCCTGCCTTCTTCCGGATTTTCGTTTCCGCTACAAACTCCGGTAAGCTACAACGGCCCGGGTCGTTGTGTGCAACGAAGGCAAGTCTGGCGTGGAAGCCGGCCACGAGTGGAGAGCAAATACTTTTTAGGCTCGTCCCAGAATAGGTCGCACTGCCGCGGTCAGCCGAAGGGCCAGGAACTCATGTCAAGAGTAAAGCAGATGACGAGTTAACAGAGTCGGACGTCCCACATGTCACAGTTCTCCAGTGTGTATCACTACAGTAATAAGCCTTGCTTTTTTCTTATCTGAAAATTCAGGCAGTGTTGGCGTTGGAAAGATAAGTCTGTTCTGATCATATTGTGACTGATCTAACTTGAAATTGAATAATGAGAGAAGGAGTCAGGAAGCACGGTTGGCTATAGCTAGCGCTCGTACAAAGCCATCATGCTTTAGAGACTAGTAGGTACTGCTACCCTTTTATGCATGGACCCTGTGATTTGATCGAACTTGAAGCCACATCGACGTCTTCGAAATCCTCGTTTATTCCTCATGTTGCATGCAGCTGCGTGACACCTAACCTGATTATGGGAAGGACATTTTTGCTCCCTGCCCTGACCCTAGCCATGGTCATAACGGCCGGTGCACCAGTGAGTCTTTGGATTTGGTGTGATTGATAACTCATTACACATTCACAAAGTTGCCGAGAAAGTTGTTCAAAACATTACAACATTGTCCGATGTGTAACTACAAGGTATGGGACTACTGAGCATGACGGCGAAGCAGGGAGACAGGACGGCAGCAGATTAATATGGTCGGTACATGGGATTATAGGCGTGCAAAACTTAAAGCTGTGGCAACGCATCATAAAGCAGAAGAATTGAAATTCTAACTACAGTAGCGCACTAGCATATCACGATCATGTTCTTCTAGTATAGGCCCTAATCCTTGCGCCCCTTTCGGCCAGCGAATAGCGGAAGAGATCGATACAGGGTATTTGACCTCGTCTTTGCGTCCAGCCCAGTCGAAATCGATCAGTTGCACTTTGCCGTCCTTCGTGATCATGATGTTCGGCTTCCGAAGATCACCAAACACAAAACCCTTCCCGTGGCAGTACTCGATCGCATCCTCGAGCTCTTGGTGAAAGTTGGGAGGCAGTCGCAGTGAACTACAGGCCGTCGTTCCGTCCACATATTCCATTACTACCATCCGCAGCCCGCCATACGATGGCATCCCCTTCCCGACATCAATCTTTCCGTAATACAAAAGCTTCGGCGCAAACCCAGCTTCTGCCATCGCCATGTGAACGTCCTCGCCGTACCTGGTGACGAACTTTACAACGACATTGATCGGGTTGTCCTCCTGCGTCTTCGCCAGGTAAGTCACACACGAAGCATCGTGTTCCAGGGGCCGCTCATATTTGAATTGTACGGAAATCTCGTTGCGCAGATAAGTATCTGGGGTTGGGTAAAAGCGAGAGTGTACAGTAGGACGTGATGCATCGTACGGCGGCTCGCCACATTCCAAGACATTGTCATACCAGTCTCTGAGCTGTGCGACTGATTCCCTAAGTGCATACAGGACGCGCCCAATTCGAAGAAACTGGTCGTCATCGAGTGCAGAGCGGGCTGGGATCCAGATGAAGTCCGTAAGCCGTTGGACTATATACTTCTCCGTGAAGACGGCGCCCAGAACTGCTAGCCAAGGCCCAGCGTGAGCAATCAAGAAGGTAGGACAATTACACTTTGAGCGAAGTTCCGTGGACTGTGTGACGAGTATCAGTGAGAAGAGTAACACGCATTAGAGTGCCGAAACATTGCACCTGTGAGTCACGAGTGAGATGTACAAAGGAGAATGACGCCTGGACCGAAGGGTCTGAATCTCCATCCCCAACCTCGTTCTTCTCCTCAACTACCACGAGGTGTATCGGAATATGGCCATGAACATGGACGGCTACAGCATCGGGAATATAGCCGCCATGACGACTTTTCGTGTGCAATAAAGTTTGTTGGATCACCTTTTCCAGCAGAGGAGTAATATTTACTTTGCGGTCATTCCCGCTGGAATGAATTGCCGCAAATGTAGGCATGAGATTCTGGATATCACGCAGCACCTCATCGGGTACAACGTATTCAGGATCGAACGCTTTGCTTGAGAAGTAGGCGAATGCTGGGTTGAACAGCTGTATCGGTGGTGCAGTCGTATCGGCTGGTTTTTCATGAGCATAACGACCGTCGCATAATTCCCTGGGTCCACGCTGTATACTGCAATATTCTTTGGATTTAGCAGCTGCTGACGGGGAAGGATAGTTGAAGTGAGAAGAAGCGTTCTTGAAGTCTTGGTGTGGAATCCATTTTGAGCGACGAGTCAAATAACCAGGCGGTGTAGCCTCACCTTCGTTGAGCTTCGCCATATAATTGGTTTTGACTTCGCCTTGTGCAACAGCAGATTGTTGTATCACGACATGGATACATCCGTGCTCTACTCCATCCGCGAACGCTTCGGACAGTTTGGTTAACGACTCCAACGCCACGCCTTGGTCTTCGATCGCGTTGAGTAAGTATAGGTCTTTCGGTTTGATATTGACCTTCCAAATGATCAGATTATCAACATCCAATTGTAGGCATCAGATCACTCACCTGCCATAGCTTGAGATGGGCAGCGTCAACATGGTCAAATTCTGGCTTATTCGCGTCCTTGATAGCCTTTTGGAGGGCGCTGACACTCTCTGTCGGTGCAATCTTGACCTCAGATACATAGTCAGGATCATCGAAGACAATGCAGTTGAGTTTGAGCTGGAGCGGTCTGATAACAATATGCAGATGCTCAGGGTGAGGAGCATTGGGAAAAATATTGGTCATTGAAGCCAGAGGTGATAGGGATTTCTTTGTGTCAAGTGTCCAAAATGTCAGATCATAAACACCCAATCATTGGCATCAGATTACTCGCCTGCTCAACACGTTGCCTCTTCACAGTATTCTCCTCAGGTGTTTTATATAGGGATTTCTTTGTGTCAAGCTTAAGACTGCTAAGATTGTGCTCGATCGTTTCGTCGATAGGCAGGTCGACCTTCCACAGTATCAGGTCGTCAACATCCGATGGTAGGTATCAAATCACTCACCTGCCATAACTTGAGATGGTTAGAGCCAACATGGTCAAATTCTGGCTTCTTCGCGTCCTTGATGACCTCTTTGAGATCATGAACAGTCTGCGTCTCCGCAACGTTGACTTGGAAAATACGGCTTGGGTCATAGCCCAAGACATTACAGTTGAGTTTGTACATCTGACGTTGAGAACAAGAGTCTGGGCAACACCATATATGGTGCATATTAGTAACGTCGATAATGACATACCATACCTAGGGGCGAAATCACATGCTGCAGCACTCAGCAGTGACTTGGTAGAACTACAGAGGGACCGGTAGATATGATTAGATCCAATCACATTCCTTTTAGACTCTGCGCAATCAACGCCGCCGCAGTCCCGCAATTACGCCCATTCCAAGCCTAAATATAGTTGACGAGGCTACGTCAGACTGACCGTCTAGATTCGAATCTCAAGCCACATCGCGTTTCATGATTTAAGAAATGAGACGGTACTCTTAATTTTGACAAGTCACCCCATCTTCTCCAGGGCTCTGGTAGCTCAGCGCCAGGCGCGCATATACACCCAACGATACTATGCTTATATCTTTGATTTCACGCATGCCGTTCTTTGCCAACATTGACCATAATCGCAGAGCGGATTCCAACTTGATTCTAGGAAAAAACGGGCAACCGTCAATCGTAAATTCAGATCCTCCAGCAGGACCTGGAGATGCTTCATACAACCCCGAAGGCAGCCGCAGGACGGAATATGCACCACAGCCGGCCACTCAGACCAGTCCAGACCTTGTCAGTGCAACCGGAATGCAGACAGGAGGCCAGTTGACACAGTCCCAGGCGTCGATGACTACTGTCCCTGCCTTGGCAATGTCCTCAGCTACGGCAACTGATACAATATCCTCATCGCTCAGCAGTGCAACGCCAAGCTCTTCGTTTTCATCACAGACACCCACCACCACTAGCATTCCATCTAACTCCTCAAGCAGCACCAGCACATCCGTTCGTCCGACAGCACTCGTCTCCCCCGCTTCTATGCACACGTCCAAACCCGAGCTCTCCGCCCCGTTCTACGTCGCGATCATCTTGGGCACCGTCTGTGTTCTCGCTTGTTGCCTGGCATTTCTGGCATGGTGGCTGCGTTCGCGCGCATCAGCGCGAAAGACGCAAGACGACGACGAGCTTTGGACAGCGAGGGATACACTCGAGGACGGCCCCGAGCCGAGCCTGCAGGTACACACCCCGCACGAAGAGTCTGAGTTTTACCTCCCTGCATCTCTCGTCCAGAGAAATACTGGTGATCCTTTTGCCAGCCCCATAAACACGCTGACAGCTGCGAATTTCTACAAAGCTTATGATCGGGCACCAGGGTACAATCCCTCAAGAACGGTCGCTGGCGACGTCTACCCGCCCATGGAGCAACGACGACCTGTACTCGCGAATTCCGCAAGCGCGTACAGCGTACAGGAAAGCCCGCGCACACTTGGTCGGCTGCAGGTAGCAAATATTGCCCCTGGCGACCTGACGTCTGGTGACGAGTCAAGCCACGGTGGCCCAGCGTTTTACAGCACAAGGGTAGCCGAGTTGGGTCCACCGAGGAACGGTGTCCAGTATCCTACGCACGGTTTCCTGCCGCCGGAAGGAAATGGTCTACCGCATTTTCTCCCCTCGCCTGGCCATGCCCAGCGCACGCCTAGAGAGAGGCTGCAACCGGTCATGGAGAACACACCAGCCATCGGCCCTGGAGACTGGCACGACATACCGCTCCCTGACAAGGCTGAACCCAGGCCTCATGACCCAATAGGAAACGAATATCGGCCCCCGGAGGGTTGGGCCTCCGCCCTCAAGTCCAACTTTATGACCGCCTTCGGCACTGTTGCTGGCAACCGCGCGCAACGCCCGTCCACATATGAAGAAAGCGACATTCCACCGGGATCTGCAAAAAACCATTGGCTACAACGATTTCCGGATTCCGAATACGGCATACCTCCCCCTGGTCACGATCCACCGTCATACTCTGCAGAACCCCAGCTGAACGACGACGACGAAAACGGACTGCGCATTCGTGGACTGGGTGGCCATCTTCGAGACCGAGTTTCCTCCCCCGACGTATCGCAGTCGAACCTGGCTCCCAGCGATAGCCAGGTAACACTTCGCCCGGGCATGGCACCCGTGTGGACACAAGAGTCTCGCGTACCGTTGAAACACAACGCAGCCCCTATAGATATGGATAAGAGCCATGCCTCGCACGTCAGTTCCAGTAGCGTTTACACCTCTGAGTCTATGGCCGCGGCCTCAGCGAACCTGAGGAACTACGGGTATGGGTTTACACAGTCGCATCAGGCGCTTGCTTCTAGTGACGCTCCGAAATCGCGCACGAACACGATGTACTCTGAGCAATCCAAAATATCGTCGCGGAAGAGGGGTGGGCAGCGGAGACGTTCAAGGCCTAAACCAATTCGCCATGAATCATCGTCCGCGTCTTCGATGATATCCTTTGGATCAGACTTGTTACGCCCACCTCAACCTGGTCATCTATCCGGGAGAGAGAGTATGGCAAGAAAAGCGTTGCTGGAAAGAAGACGGAAGATGATGATGTACGAACCTTTGGACGAGTAACCTCCAGGATCGAAATGTTTTAGGATTTGTCGTCCGTGTTATTACAAGGATATATAAACAAGTCGTCGAAACTATGATGTGAATGATCAAGGAAATAAGTATCGGAAAGCGAGGAATAGCTGAACATGGAGTCTACTGTGTAACATAGCACATGCTCCTTCCATCTATATCACTATTTACTGCTTGGCCTTGGCAGCCATCTATATCGACAAGGTCAGAAGGTGAACCTACTGCATACAAATCGAGAATTGAACGCACCAGGTTAAGAGCAGAGCCTGCTTTGAACCACTCGATTTGACCCTCATTGAAGGAGTGAGCAAGAGAAATTTCCTGCAGTCCCGTCAGCACCACAAAATGCCATTACAAGAGCCAGTAACTCACATCCTTGCTACCATCCGCATGCTTGGCAACAAGAGTCAAGTTCTTTCCTGGGGCGAAAGTTTCCAAGCCCAGAATGTCAACTTTGTCGCTGGGCTGAATCTTGTCGTAGTCCTCAGGGTTGGCGAAGGTGAGAGCAAGCATGCCTTGCTTCTTCAAGTTCGTCTCGTGGATACGAGCAAAAGACCGAGTAATAATGGCAAGACCACCAAGGTAACGGGGCTCGAGGGCAGCGTGCTCGCGAGATGAACCTTCACCGTAGTTGGAGTCACCGATGACGACCCACTTGATGCCCTTGTCGCGGTAGTAAGCAGCAGTCTGGGGAACTGGACCATATTCGCCGGTGATCTGGTTCTTGACCTTGTTTGCCTCGCCGTTCTCCGAGTTGATTGCACCGATCAAACAGTTTTCTATCCCAGGGTGAGATGAAAAGTCTAAAGAATTATCAGGCAACACGACTTACGCGAAATGTTTTCGAGGTGACCACGGTATTTAAGCCAGGGACCACCAGCCGAGATGTGGTCGGTCGCTAGACACCATAATGAGGCGCAGTGGGAGGACTCAAAAATGAACTTCACTTACTGCACTTGCCCTTCACCTTGATCAGAACGGGGAGGTCAGACGGTGTTTCGCCATTCCAAGCCGTGAATGGATGGAGGAGTTGAAGACGGTCACTCTTAGGGTCAACTGCGACCGAAACGCTAGCACGGTCTCCAGGAGGGGGCTGGAAGGTGTTTTGGCCGGGGTCGTAGCCGCGAGGAGGAAGCTCATTACCAGTAGGGTCCGAGAACTTGAAAGGCTTGCCATCAGAACCAATGAGGGTGTCCGAAACCGGGTTGAAGGTGAGGTCACCAGCGAAGGCCATTGCAGTTACAATATCCGGGGAGGCGACGAAAGCGTGGGTGGCAGGGTTAGCATCGTTACGGCCAGTGAAGTTACGGTTGTAGGAGGTAATAACTAAAAACCATTAGTTAGAAAATGTAATATAATGAGACGAAAAACGCACTTGAGTTAACCTCGCCCTTCTTAACATCTTTCCTGTCCCATTGACCAATGCAAGGACCGCATGCATTAGCCAGGACGAGACCGCCGACCTCTTCGAAAGCACCAATTTGACCGTCACGTTCAATGGTAGCACGGACTTGCTCAGAACCAGGAGTGATCGTGAACTTGCTCTTGACACTGAGGCCATGCTCGGTAGCTTCGCGGGCAATGGAAGCAGAACGTGACATGTCCTCATATGAAGAGTTAGTGCAAGAACCAATGAGAGCGACCTTAAGTTCTTGGGGCCAGTTGTTCTTCTTGACCTCCTCTGCAAACTTCGAGAGCGGGGTAGCAAGATCAGGAGTGAAGGGACCGTTGATGTGAGGCTCGAGTTCTGACAGGTTCTGGGCACAAAATATCAGTCCGGATGACGAGGACATTAACAACATCACAAACAATTTCGATGTTCTGGTCGTACTCGCAGCCCTCATCAGCCTTAAGGTTGTGTGAAAAGCGCTGTGCGTATTGAGCAATCTCGGAACGCTTGGTAGCGTTGAGATAGTCGACCATGCGACGGTTGAAGGGGAAGAGTGAGGTAGTTGCGCCGATTTCAGCACCCATGTTACAGATAGTGGCCATACCCGTGCAAGACAATGATTCGACACCAGGACCGTGGTATTCAACGATGGCACCAGTTCCACCCTTGACAGTGAGAATGCCAGCGACCTTCAGGATGACGTCTGCGAAGGGTTAACTATGCAAGAGAATCAATTCGAGGACACTCGCACCCTTGGGCGTAGTCCAGCCTCCAATCTTGCCAGTAAGGTTCACACCGATGACATTAGGGCACTTCAATTCCCAAGGAATATCCGCCATGACATCAACAGCATCGGCACCCCCAACACCACAGGCAACCATACCCAAACCTCCCGCATTAGGTGTGTGAGAGTCAGTCCCGATCATGAGTCCACCAGGGAATGCATAGTTTTCCAAGATAATTTGGTGAATAATACCAGAACCCGGCTTCCAAAATCCAAGACCATACTGCAAACTAATGAGCAAATACAAAAACCCTAAGTCACAAACAACCAACTTTTGCGGTGGCGGTAGCCAAGAAATCGTACACCTCTTTGTTGAGATCAACGGCACGCGCCAAATCCTTAGCACCACCAACTTGAGCTTCAATCAAGTGGTCACAATGAACTGTAGTTGGAACAGCTGCTGTGTCCATGCCTGCAGACATGAATTGCAACAAAGCCATCTACAATTACGTCAGCGAGGGGACATAGTAGTGACGTTATGGGCGGACCTGGGCGGTAGCGTCCTGACAAGCTACCCGCTGTTGATAAGGATAGAATGGTTCAGTGGTGACCCGGAACAGAATGTAAACGTCTGGCATACGTCAGGACGGAGCTTAAGGTAGCTTGTGCCTCGGACAATGTCCTGGTTGTGAGGATCGTCCAAGTGTCCGTACACTATCTTTTCCGACAATGTAAGAGGGCGCTGAAGCCTGCGGAACAGTTAGTACATCAGAAGCCAGACTATAAGTCAAGTAAATGGTTGCAATCACCTGTCACGGACGACGGCGAGGTTATCCTCAATACGCTGGTAGTTTATGTATGCACCCTTCTCCAGGAGAGACATTGGTACTTTGGTGTCACCAATTCTCGGAACAGCGGTGGCCATCCCCGCGGCCAGCCGCTGCAGCGAGCGCATCGCATCGCGCGTTGAGGAAGAGAGGATAGGCATCGTCGAAAAGACCGACGAGCAGTTGTGTGCGACGACAAGCAAGTTTGAAGAAAAGCGTGAGCTCGGCAATTTGCGTTCCGATATTTACCAATTTATGCTTGTGATTCATGGGAGCTTGAACGGCCAATCATAGTTATTGATTTGTCAGACTACGGCACTACTTACCGCTTTTGATAGTCCTTGCCGTCATTTTTTACCCAAAAGCCGCTCTTCCGCCGGCTGGCCAGGAACTTGCCCCAGGTATGTTCCCCGGACCAACCCTGATCAACCCCGGACCATCCGATGAGTCACAGGTTTCAGACACATATATCATTCCACAGCATTCAATATCGCCGACACACCGACGATTAACTTAGTTGACGACAGAGGCCCGTCGCACGATAGTATGGGAGTGCCCCCTCAGGGCCAACCATCGCTGCGTGCTGTGGGAGCCAACTACGAGGTCCTACAGCGTGCCGTCAGTTATGGCCGCCGCGCTCACATCGGCCCTTCCACGCCAATAACCGTGGTACTCGTACACGTTGACATTGGTAACGTGGACATATCCGATGAACACCGATTCTTCAGTCAAGCGCGTTCAATGTCATGTCGAATTAGCGGACCAGTAGCAACACTGGCACACTGCCCACATCAAATGTTAATAGAAGCGTATCCAAAGCTAGTGCCTTCCAGGCCCCGGGCGACAAGTGTAAACTGCTGTGCTGCTTCCCTCGTTTTCTTCGGCGATCGAGACCTACTCGCAATCAGTACAGGATTCAGTTCATATGATCAGCATTGACAAACCCAATGATAGTTTTTACAAAAGTTCGCTTCGCCTCCGGGCTTGCCTTTGACTGGACAAAGTCATCCTGCATCCATGTCAGACTTCCTCACAGACCAATAATCAAGGCATACCGCAAACAAGATATCAGTCATCCAGGTTCTCGTCTCTGCGGGGAATTTAGATGCTACTATGGATAGCAATTCAATCAGGTTCTGTGTCGCGGATCTTGGCGCCACACCCGCGAAGCCACATAAGATAGCTCGTAGGATCGGCCGACCATGCCCTTGAATTAGTATCGTACTTGCATCTCCAAGATCATCACTACTGGCTGTTCGCCTTATGAGCGTTTCCTGACATCAACGAGTAAGAGGTGGTGAACATCAGTACAAAACCACAAGTACCAGAAAAGTGCATGTTGCAACAAGCGAATATCGCTCTTGCAACGACAATGAAGTCACAGCGCATTGCATCAACGCATCGAGGGCGCCGGGTGGCAGTCGATAGAATCCTACCAGGAAATGCTTTGCAATCTAATTAATCTCGTTTAGCTTTGCATTGAGTCTCTAATTCCGCACTCACGGTATCCATGCATCCGAAAAAGGCCTGCACGATGTCAGGATTCTATAACAAGAAACCATCAGAACTCGTTCAAAAATAGCGCAAGGTACACCCACAGCCTCCATCGCCCCAGGCTGTCCCAGTACTCCTAGCGATGCTTCCAACAGTATTGGCAATAGAGTCGATATCACCCCCAGAGCCTCAGGACTCGGTGTGGATTTGAGCGTTGAGGTTGAAAACAACGTCGGCGGATCAAGCTGTATGACGAGCATGTTGGCCAAGGACAGCCATACAGCCGTAAGCTGCCTCTGGCATGCAAGACATACGATCTCAAAAATCGGAGCCGCAGGAAGCGAAAGCAGGGTGATATCCGAGGGCAAAGAAGTTATCGAACGGAAAAAGTCACTCAGTGCCTTGTTCAGTGTCAGCCGAAATAATGCATAAAAATAGACCGGAACATACATCCGAGACACCAGCATCCATGGACCAGTACCTTGCTATATTTCTTATCGTGTTGAACAGGTCTTCACGAACTTTCACCATCGTGTAGTCGTCACGTGCTCGTTGTAGACGCTCAGCCTCGGCTCTCTCTTCGGGCGATTCGTCAAGGATAAGCAACGAGTCCTGTGTGCGTGTGAGACCTTTGGCTACCCCTGACAATGTCTGAAGCTGGGAAATGATAATGAAACGAGTTTCGTCCACAAGCTGCAGAAGACAAAACGATTCAGCTTGAAGGAAACCATGTCTAACTCAATACGAACCTGTGAAGGACCGTGCAGGGCTTGTGCAAGTTTTTCGATTACTGGGATAACAATCGCCTGAATGGGTGGAATCTCCTCTTCAGGTGGTAACGCTTGTATTACGCTCGCGATTGATTGAAGAACCTTGCTCTTTTCCGTATCCTGGGCATGTTTGCATGACATTAGTGAAGATACAGACCATGCATGAGTCTCACGGACCGGGATACCACTCAATCCGGCATGCAGCTCCGCGAACGCTCCAATATGGGGCGCAAGCGCAACACGATTAGCATCGCACAGATCACGAAGGGCATTTGCAGCCGGCAGACATAATGCAGGCTCCGGTAGAGCAGCGACGACATAAGAAATGGCGTTCATCAAAAGAGAAGGAGTTGAGGTGGGTGTCGGTGCATTGGTTTGAGTTGTGAACCATGTCGAGTACACCGCTGAACACAGAAGGTCAGGAAGACGATCATGAGAGTGTGCGATTCTCATACCAATCAAGCCAAGCATAGTCCTACGTATTCGATCCTGACCTGAAGTTGGCAAACGACCAAGCACATCAGGTCCAAACAACCGAGCAAGGAAGGTGTTGTCTTCCAGCGGTACTGCTTCTTGAATCGACATGATACAGTGCAATGTGGCTTCAATTTCCTGGTAGTATGTGTTAAATGAGTATCATGTAAACCAAAAGAAGTGCTCGCCTCCCATCCTTGTAATCCATTCGGTTGTGCAAAGCGCTTTTGCATGTCCTCAAGGAAGTAGCCCAGCATGTCATTTCGCAGGATGTAATATCTGGGGATGAATCAACATAAAATACAGCCACGTCGATCATCTTATTCACGCATTGATCAGGGTATCACCGACATCCCTCCGATATCTGCAAATCGTCAACGCCATGTAAGTTGACGAACGTTGCTCTCACTCACACTTGAAACCTGTCGACTTCATCTACAAACGATTTCGTTTCAGCACAGGGCAGGCAAACGTGACATAAATATATCACCTTTTGCCCAGTAACTGAGAGTACGCTGGTCTGGCCACATCACTTTCCTTCTCAGTATCTCTACAAGTTGAACGTATACCGCATTCACGACGGTCCATTGTTCCTTTTCCTTGACATCAAGAAGTGAAGGTATGCCGTCCTGATCCTCAGCTTGGTCTTCGTACTCCACGCTCCACAACGATTCCTGAAAGAGGTACCAAAAGCCAAGAGTCATCTCGCTCTCCTCCTCGTCGACACCGTAATAACCCGATAGTCCGGTATATTTCAAAAGAAGGTGCAAGAACTTTTGCACAAAGTAGGCGCGCCGGTAGGGTGTTCCGGGTATGGGTTTTAACGATGTGATATTGGAGGCGAAATACATGGTGGAGTGGTCTCCCAGGGCAACCAGCAACTTACAAAGTGAATGAGATACACCATCGACTGAACCAGCTGGATATCGGATAATGGTGAGTAGTCACATCGAGTGAACATGCGCAACAACCGAGGCTCACCGCGATCTCCATGGGTATCAAGCCACACAAGAAGCGGCTCTGTCAACGTGCTTGTCCCCGCGCCTCCAGCCAACGAAGACCTTGTCATGATCTCCTGTAAAACATCAGAAGCCACTGAGAAAGTCGACTCGTCAAATCCGGAATCTGGCGCGGGCGTCATTATCGTGATCAACAGTGGTATAATAGGTGTAATGTCACTTGTGCGACGCGTTAAGTTGAAACCTGAGCAAAGCATATGAAAGAACATTACTTGGCCCGTAAGGTGTATATCCATGCTTGGAAGCACTTGAGTGCGGATTGTAGTTCAGGCAATATGAGAGTCGGTCGAGTGATAGATGTTATTACAGCTTGGATCACCATCGGAGAAGCGTCTAGAAGAGACTGGTGCATTTGCATCCTAAAAACGGAATTGGTGATAACGCAGAGTGATTCGATTCGCTGCACTCACTTACTAGACCCTAGAAGGTCGGCTGTTTCGACCTCTTCAGCGACTATGGTAAGGAATGCAAGGAGTTGGTCTGGAGGCATGCCAGAGGAAGAGAGAGAATTGACTGCCGACACTATCCAGTCTGGCCACCTTGAGGGCGAACCCGGCGCGATGCGGAGTGCAAGTGATGTGATCTGCAAACGATCACTAGACAGACTTTAATCTAGAACTTGTACTTACCGCAACAAATAGTTTGCGGCATACTACCTTGCCCTTGCCGGTTAATATCGAGTGCGAGGTCAGCTTGAGCAGTAATTCTCGTAGATGTTCGGCGTTTTCCTCAGGAAATGAATCCCTGCAGTGGCAATAGCAGCTGATCAGTACCATTGCAAAGAGGAAAAGGTAGAGTACATACCAATCACGCATAATCTTAACCTGCGCGGTGTGTGCGCCAAAGAATTGCACATTCGGGTCTGGATGTTCGAGGAAAGGTACAACTAACCCCCATGCCTCGGGTCGTCTCTGAATCTCGACTAGCTCTTGCTGAATTCGCCGTTGATCCACCTGGGCATGTGCACTCGAATACGCTTGTTGTATCAACTGTGGAAGTGTCGTAAGAAATCTTCTCAAAGTGCAGACTTGAAGTACATACTTGAGCTGCTTGTTGCACATCGGGAGGAGACAAATCTGGGAGGAAATTTCCGGACGACATTTGCATACGAAACCCGCAAAGATTTCAAGTGAAGAAGCTGTTAAGTTGCAACCTGTACAACTGCCTATGGGATAGACTTCACTAGCAGCAGATCTCTAAATTGATGGAAGAGAAGGGTGGCGGCGCGTCTATCCTAAGGCCTAAGGACTCGATCGGGTGTCACTGAGACAAGCACAATCAAGATTCAACCAGCGGGCGTCTCTCATCAATTTGCCACTCTCATGATTATATTCTAGGACTCTATGATGCAACTTCATTACGCTACGCGGTTCAAACCATGGCCAGAGATTTGTATGGTATGAACGACAAGCAATGCGCAGATTTGGGACTCCCGGACTCGTCACGGAAAATGTTCACTGGACGTTTGTTCGTGTCCGTGTTGTGTGCTTTAGGACTATCGGGATCCGGACAACACCCTTGGACAGCAATCAATTCCAAGACCGAATCTTAAAGCTCGAATTTCCCTATTGCTGCACCCATCTTGACAATGACCATCCTCCGAAGCCATGTCATGTTGGCCACGCATCCGCTCTCTGAAATTAGGAAAAAACCAGTACATTCCGTGGACTACTCGCAGCGCTTTATCAATGTCCTCATTTGAATAAGTTCAGAATGTTGAATTGACGTTGTGAATATTGACATCAACCGTATAGTGGAATCATTGTCATCTTGGTATATATCCCTTCAACTATATTGGATGTGCGCTCCGCTGATGTAGTGGGTATAGAAGCTGTCGCTCATATGATCGTATCGTCTTCTATGTACTCCCTTCCGTCGACAAAATCTACCACAACCCAATGTATTCCAGCCGTAGTTGACGACTAGACTATTCAGAGCTTATAGATAGCCTGTAGAGCACCTTCAACAGGGGATGACAAAACCAGCCAGCCCGTCGGTGCACGAGACAGCTGGCAAAAGCCCAAAACATCTGCAGCTGATCTTCAGGCAAGGCCAAGCTTGTGCGTCATTATATAAATTGACGTGTTCAAGATGTGTAACTAGTCGTAAGAATGTAGCGTATGACTTCACGATGTTGAAATCAAATTGACAAGTTTTGCACAGACGGACAGATCTACGGACCCGGGCAGCATGGAGACTGCCGGGAACTTGGATTCCCAGATTTGCTGGAAAGTCAGCTGAGGGTAGGTGTTACAGTGCCTCCTGACGAGTTTCTTGCGGACGATATTAATTACTGCACTCTACGGTGTCCACCAGTCTGTTGAACTTGGGAGAAGTAGCCTGGTGCGAACCTTACATCTGGTGATACTTTTCTTCGCTCGCTCGTTCAAACCGAGCCCGACGAACGGTTCTGGGAATTTGAATTGCTAGCAGTCCCGGGCCGGACGGCGACAGAACAAATTCGATATCTACCAGTCAACTTACTATCAACGCGTTCACGTTCGCTCACGGGCATTGAGACTGTCTAGCTCTTCACGAATTTTGCAATAACACGTATACCTTGATGGCCAACACCCGTGGACGAATACCACCGAACTGTCTTGAGTCCCACTGATTCAATGCCAGCAGTCCGACCATATCTAACGTACGACTTTACATCAGTATAAAACAGACAGTACCAGCATTCAAGTGGCCAACAACCTCTCTACAAGTAAAATCAACTGATCATCATGTTTATCCGCCCCTCTACTGTTCTCGTTGTCCTCCTCGGCCTGACGGCCCTTGTCAGCGCTGGAGTGCCACTGGTAAGCCTCGCCTGGCTTTAGATTGTATCATACTCTCATAATACAATGTCTGCAGGCTCGTAGGGGTCCTAGCATCGTGAGTCTCGCATCGCGTTCAATCATATCATGTTCTCATGCAATGTCCCCAGGATGATATTGATAAGCGCGAGGCACCCCCTGTAAGCCTCGTCTCACTTTAAATCGTATCATACTCTCATAATACAATGTCCGCAGGCTCGTAGGACTTCTACCATCGTAAGCCTCGCACCGCGTTCAATGATATCATGTTCTCATGTAATGTCCCCAGGATGACATTGACAAGCGCGAGGCACCCCCTGTAAGCCTCATCTCGCTTTAAATCGTATCATACTCTCATAATACAATGTGTGCAGGCTCGTAGGACTTCTACCATCGTAAGCTTCGCATCGCCTTTAATCATATCGTGTTGTCATGCAATGTCCTCAGGATGACATTGACAAGCGCGAGGCACCCCCTGTAAGCCTCGTCTCGCTTTAAATCGTGTCATACTCTCATAATACAATGTCCGCAGGCTCGTAGGACTTCTACCATCGTGAGCCTCGCACTGCGTTCAATGATATCATGTTCTCATGTAATGTCCCCAGGATGACATCGACAAGCGCGAGGCACCCCCTGTAAGCCTTGTCTCGCTTTAAATTGTAGCATCTCATAATACAATGTCTGCAGGCTCGTAGGACTTCTACCATCGTAAGCTTCGCATCGCCTTTAATCATATCGTGTTGTCATGCAATGTCCTCAGGATGACATTGACAAGCGCGAGGCACCCCCTGTAAGCCTCGTCTCGCTTTAAATCGTGTCATACTCTCATAATACAATGTCCGCAGGCTCGTAGGACTTCTACCATCGTGAGCCTCGCACTGCGTTCAATGATATCATGTTCTCATGTAATGTCCCCAGGATGACATTGACAAGCGCGAGGCACCCCCTGTAAGCCTTGTCTCGCTTTAAATTGTAGCATCTCATAATACAATGTCTGCAGGCTCGTAGGACTTCTACCATCGTAAGCTTCGCATCGCCTTCAATCATATCGTGTTGTCATGCAATGTCCTCAGGATGACATTGACAAGCGCGAGGCACCCCCTGTAAGCCTCGTCTCGCTTTAAATTGTATCATACTCTCATAATACAATGTCCGCAGGCTCGTAGGACTTCTACCATCGTGAGCCTCGCACTGCGTTCAATGATATCATGTTCTCATGTAATGTCCCCAGGATGACATCGACAAGCGCGAGGCACCCCCTGTAAGCCTTGTCTCGCTTTAAATTGTAGCATCTCATAATACAATGTCTGCAGGCTCGTAGGACTTCTACCATCGTAAGCCTCGCATCGCCTTCAATCATATCGTGTTGTCATGCAATGTCCTCAGGATGACATTGACAAGCGCGAGGCACCCCCTGTAAGCCTTGTCTCGCTTTAAATTGTATCATCTCATAATACAATGTGTGCAGGCTCGTAGGACTTCTACCATCGTGAGCCTCGCATCGCGTTCAATCATATCATGTTCTCATGCAATGTCCCCAGGATGACATCGACAAGCGCGAGGCACCCCCTGTAAGCCTTGTCTCGCTTTAAATTGTAGCATCTCATAATACAATGTCTGCAGGCTCGTAGGACTTCCACCATCGTAAGCTTCGCATCGCCTTTAATCATATCACTTGCTCATGCAATGTCCCCAGGATGACATTGACAAGCGCGGGCCACCCCCTGTAAGCCTCGTCTCGCTTTAAATTGTATCATACTCTCATAATACCATGTCCTCAGGCTGCTAGGACTGCTATCATCGTGAGCCTCACATCGCTTTCAATCATATCATGTTCTCATGCAATGTCCTCAGGCTGCTCTCGACTAGGTTGACGTAAGCTCAGCTTCGCACCAAATCACCTTGTTGATCCTACAATGTACATGGCTGAATAACTCGCATGGTCCTCTTGATGTTGTTGACTGATGCACTCGTACTTCACTCCCACCAAACGCACAAATGCCAAAGAGATCATAAATAGTTTTGCCGATTGCTGTTCAATTTCTTGACATGTTGTAATTCCTGGTGAATAACAACTACTATTTCTGTTCCTTGGCTGGTGAATCCTAGCAAGCCTCGAGTCGCGTGTTCAGTCTGACTACCCATGTCAGCGCTAGAACTTTGGTTCAGGTGCACATGGCTCGCAGCATCCGGACGGATTTGCATACCAGACAAGGCAAGTTATCGCGAAACATACCAAGAAATGGCCCTCGGTCCGTGTCCCAGTGCAAACGATGAACGTTCATGCTAACACTAACATAAATGCTAATGCCCCGATTGCGAATAGCAACTATCAAGAGTGATTGGTGATTGAAGTAGCCCCACTCCGAGTCGGAGATGACAAGCCTCAGAAATTTTCAAAACGAACAACTTGCAGGAGAGTCGCAGCATCCAGTCGAATGTCGAACACCTATCCAGCAACCCCTTGGCTCCAACGTAGAGATGTACCCTGTGAGCTGGCTTGCTCACACGAATGACTGAATTTCGTATTACTTACTACCGCGTACTACAGTGTTGCGCTGAGCTAGCGAGGGAAGATGACAATACGCATTTTGCATTTCCAGGTCGCTGATGCCTCAGGATATTCGACACATGCACATCCGCGAGCATCGATTCCATCGAAATACTGGTAGCGAGGCCTGGCTTCGATGAGAACCGATCCGATGCCAAAAAGTTGGTCGATCATTGATTTACTAGTGCTAGGAACAGTGACGATAGCCGTCTATCGTGCCAAGCGCCACGACTCGGACGTTCTCTGCATCCTCACTGGTAAATGCTCTCTTCATATCCACTGCATTCACAGGGCTTGCTGATGACTCATTACAGGATATTACACATGGCGCGGACGGACGGTGGTCAGCGACTCGGAGAAATTTGTTTAGGCTTGTAAACTCTACAAGATTTTCCATTTCTCGTGGTGTCCCCTGGCCAGCTCCGAGTCTGCTCCGTTTCAAGAATCAAGATATGTGCTGGCGATGCGGGTTGATGGTGTCAGCTCCCATGAGAGTATGAGCATACTATTAAGGTTAGTAGTAGTCCGCGAGATCAAGGAAGGTGATACCAGGGGGATTTCGGATTTTATGATGCGGCACGGCGAGATGAGTAGAATTGATCTCTAGTTTTTTCGCGGTGTCCTATGGCCAGTTCTCCCGGTGATATTCCTGTGAGGTTCGAGGCGGAGAGCGAGCGTTACGGGTTGTTTGCTCCCATGATTTCACGTATACTAACAGGAATTCCTCACTCTTCATGCATAAGATCAAGGGAGCTAATAGGGTAAATGGGATATCGCACGTGGACACGTTTCAACTAGAGAAAGGAATGAATTATATAAATTGAATTTCGAATTAGTTCAAACTTGGATGATCGACGTCGTCATAAAAAATCTCACTTTCCCGTATACACCAAAGCACGACTAACTGACCTTCTCAAACGCCTTGAACCAATCCTTCGTAACCTCAAATGAAACCCTCGCAACTTCAACTCCATCGATTGCATGCGACTCTCCGGGAAAGGATAGTACATATACTGTCCTTTTTTCCCTTCCCGGTCTCATTCTCATTCCCACTCCGAGACTCACCCCTCCCCTTGATCGCGGGGTAAAACCAAAAACCCTACCACCGAACGACCCTCAGATCATCCTCGCCTATCAATACCAGCACTGGCGCTGTTGTATTGTTGACGTGCTCGATCGGGGATGCGGTGAGGAGGATGTTGTATGTTTCTGGGGGTCATTGTGAGTGTTGGCATTCGCAATGTGGGGGAGTTGGATGTGGGTGACCTGTAGGAATCAGTCAGTGGAAGAAACCCAGAATTCAAGATAAACCTGATCAGGAATATCAGTCCTCGTTGCGAGTTTGCCTGATAAGATGACGGGGTTGCGGAGCGATGCTACGTTGGGTATTGGCCTATCACTGTATGCGCGCGCGAAAGTGGGCATCAGCATTATCCAGGCGTGTATGTTCGAGCGTGCTTGAAAAACCTATTGTGGAGAAAAAGGGGACATACAATGAGCAGCGACAAACCCACCATGACTGCCTCCCACCATGAGCTGTCTTATTTCCTCTGAAACACCTATTCTAATAAGTTCCCTGACGCTTTCGGCGACGTCTTCGACGTCCATGCTCCCACAGTGCCCGAAGGGTATCTGTTGTGTGAGTAAGTTATGAAGGGTTGTGGTCTGGAAGTTGTGATTTGGTATAGGGGAGAGACAGAGGGACGTGCATCTTTCAAGCGCTGATGCCACAACAGCCGGAACAAACGCAGTAAAGCAGGATAGTGATGCACACTGGTTTCGGGCCACCACCCACAGAAGCTTTCTGAGATTGGATTGGGAGTGTTTCCGTTGGTGCGCAGGCGGTGATGTAATTATGAGAAAGAATTTTTGTGCTCTGAGGCGAAGGCGGAGTTATATGTCGGAAATTCAAGATTCCTAGAGACGTTGTAAAGGACTCTATGATGCAATTTCATTACACTACGCGGTTCAAATCATGGCCAGAGATTTGTATGGTATGAACGACATGGGATGCAGGTTGGATAGAAGTTCTCCTGGCCTGAGGACTACAAATCATTAATCACTTTTCGATCTCGAGCTGATCGACGCGGTGGAGGTGGCCCATACATGTCAACATGCGATTCTAATTTCATGACCGACGTTGTGACTCATACATTCCGTGGACCGCTGTCTTCATTTGTCATTTGAATAAGTTCAGAATGTCGAATTGTGAATATTGACATCAACCGTACAGTGGAATCATTGTCATCTTGGCATACATCCCTTCAACTATTGGATGTGCGCTCCCCCGATGCCACGGTAGTGCTGTTGCTCGTATGATCGTATCGTCTTCTATGACAGAGCAGTCTGTAGCCAGAACTGAGTCATAGGCGAGTAGCACCTTCAATAGGGGATAACAAAGCCAGCCAGCCCGTCGGTGCACGAGACAGCTGGCAAAAGCCCAAAACATCTGCAGCTTATCTTGAGGCAAGGCCAAGCTTAAGGAAATTGACGTGTTCAAGATGTGTAACTAGTCGTAAAAATGTAGTGTATGACATCACGATGTTGAAATCTAACTGACAAGTTTTGCACAGACGGACAGATCTACGGACCCGGGTTGCATGGAGACCGCCGAGGACTTGGATTCCCAGACTTGCTGAGGGGAGGTGTCTCTGAAATGGCCCAAAGTCCGGGAGCAAGTATGGGACAAAGTACATCGGCACCTCCAAGCGGAGTATGAATGTTTCTGTATCCGTCACTGTTTCTCACATTTGCTCACTGTCTGCAACAGCACCAAGGACCGACTTCCGTCACTGTTTCCATGCTGATGTCCCATACTTTCTGCCATATTTTCTCCCGTACTTTGTACCAGACTCTGTCCCAGACTGGCCAAATCCCTGACATTCTGGCTGAGGGTAGGTGTTACAGTCTAAGTGCCTCATGACGAGTTTCTTGCGGACAATATTAATTATTGCATTCTACGATGTCTACCAGTCTGTTGAAGTAGCATGGTGCGAACCTTAGCATCGGGGATACTTTTCTTCCGCTCGTTCAAACCGAACCCGCCCGTTCTGGGAATTCGAAAGTCGAATTGCTAGCAGTCCCGGGCTGGCGATAGAACAATTTCGATATCTACCAGTCAACCTACTATCAATGCGTTCGCGTTCGCTCACGGGCATTAAGACTGTCTAGCTCATCACGAATCTTGCAATAACACGTATACCTTGGTGGCCAACACCCGTGGACGAATACCATCGAACTGTCTTGAGTACCACTGATTCAATGCCAGCAGTCCAACCATATCCAACGTACGACTTTACATCAGTATAAAACAGACAGTACCAACATTCAAGTGGCCAACATCCTCTCTACAAGTAAAATCAACTGAACATCATGTTTATCCGCCCCTCTACTGTTCTCGTTGTCCTCCTCGGCCTGACGGCCCTTGTCAGCGCTGGAGTGCCACTGGTAAGCCTCGCCTGGCTTTAGATTGTATCATACTCTCATAATACAATGTCTGCAGGCTCGTAGGGGTCCTAGCATCGTGAGTCTCGCATCGCGTTCAATCATATCATGTTGTCATGCAATGTCCCCAGGATGACATTGACAAGCGCGAGGCACCCCCTGTAAGCCTCGTCTCGCTCTAAATTGTATCATACTCTCATAATACAATGTCCTCAGGCTGCTAGGTCTAATGTCGTCGCGAGCTTCACATCGCCTTCAATCAGAACCTCATTCCCACATCTCGCAAAAATGCCAAAGAGATCATAAATAGTTTTGCCGATTGCTGTTCAATTTCTTGACATGTTGTAATTCCTAGTGAATAACAACCGTAGAAGTCATGAAAAACCTACAAACTTTGGAGTTTTAGACTGTGCCGGTACACACTTTCGATTATCTTACTCGCTAGTTCACTTCTCGTAGTTTTGAAAAGATGATTTGTGCATAGAATAACTCTTGTCAATGCCATCTTTTCAAATTTTCTAATACTGAGCTGTTAATTGCTATTTTCTATATGTCACGATTTGTAACGTTTTATCACGTGGGGTTTGTCGGTTTTTCATCCTTCTACCTTATTTCTGTTCCTTGGCTGGTGAATATTTGAATCCTAGCAAGCTTATCACGCGCACATGCACGACCTCGAGCCGCGTGCACTTTCCCCGGTCTCATTCTCATTCCCACTCCGAAACTCTCACCTATCAGCGCCGGCGCTTTTATATTGTCGACATGCGCGATCGGGGATGCGGTGAAGTACCTTCAATCTTTAGAATATAAGAAGTGAGAACGAGCAAAGGATATTTGCGACGAATGTTTTTACTGACCATACGTACTCCACAGTTCGAATTTCAGACCACATTGCACAACCGCCAATGACTGGCCGTTTCAAGCGGATCACGAGAGGCTTGCGAGGTCAGCGAGGTTGTTTGTGTGTTGTACAACGTTCTACCGCACTATGCTGTAATGCATCCCCAATAGTGTTTCGGGCTGAACTATTTTGTAGCTCTGCCAGCAGAACGGGCAGACCCTGTCAGAACGATGTTCTGCCAGCGTGGCAGATGGTAGAGTATGTTGTTTTTATTGTGCTAGAGGTACGAATTACATGGATACGATCATTAATTGGTTTGAAGAACTTGAAGCATTTAAGATCCCCTCGTCATCACCCCCAATAGTTGAATATGAATACGAATTTCCGAGTCTGGCTGGATTTGACCGGGTCACTCGAGCGCCAAGTCACTGTGATTTGTATGTCAAGGACCCTAGTACATTGACAAGACTGCCTGTAGTCCGGACTAGGTATTTCAGAGACACCTTCGTGAGTGCAAACAGTTTAGAATCTGGCAGGTCCACGGCGGTCGAGTCCATTGGCAGGCAAGCACAGAGGACGAGAAAGCCGTTTGAGCCATAGGTGAGTAGCACCTTCAGAAGGGGCTAACAAAACCAGCCAGCAGGGCTGCCAGCCCGTCAATGCACGAGACAGGGGAAAGCCGAAAGCATCTACAGCTGATCTTCATGCAAGACCAAGCTTGGAGATCGCTATATAAATTGATGTGTTCAATATGTGCAACTAGTCGTAAAATTGTACTACTGGCATGAGTCGCATGACGATGTTAAAATCTAACTTTGCACAGACAGATCCGGACAGATCTACGGACCGAAGGAGACTACCGAAAATTTGGATTCCCAGACTTGCTGTAAAGTCGGCTGATCAAGGGTTTCTTCAAGTGCCTCACGACGAGTCTCTTGCGGACAATATTAATTACTGCATTCTACGGTATCCGTGAGGTTCACCGGTCTGTTGAACTTGGGAGAAGTAGCATGGCGACCTTCAGACCTAGTAGAGTTTTAGAGTGCGTCTATCATACATTGATCACTGATACATTAAACTGTATGGTCTAGAAGCGAACCTTATATCATATCCAATGGTCTTCGCTCGGGTTTGGTTCGAGTTCAAACCGAACCCGACCGTGTCGGGAATAATTTCTAGCAGTCCCGGGCCGCAGAACAATTTGTAACTACTTTCAACTTGTATTTCGCGTTCGCTCAGCTCATCACGTATCTTGCACTACCACGTATACCTTAATGGCCATCAATGCATCACCCATGGACGAATACCATCGAACTTTCTTGAGTTACTGATTCAATGCCAGCAGTCCGACGGACTCCGACCATATCCAACATACGACTTTACATCAGTATAAAACAGACAGTACCAACATTCAAGTGGCCAACATCCTATTCACTCCCACCAAACGCACAAATGCGAAAGAGATCATAGATAGTTTTGCCGATTGCTGTTCAATTTCTTGACAGGTTGTAATTCCCAGTGAATAACAACAACTGTTTCTGTTTCTTGGCTGGTGAATCCCAGCAAGCTTATCACGCGCACATGCATGACCTCGAGCCGCGTGTTCAGTCTGACCGAGTCCCGTTTACCCATGTCAGCGCAAGAACTTTGGTTCAGGTGCACATGGCTCGCAGCATCCGGACGTATTCGTATACCAGACAAGGCAAGTTATCGCAAAACACACCAAGCAATGGCCCTCGGTACCGTCCGTGTCCCATTGCAAACGATGAACGTAAATGCTAACACTGACATGAATGCTAATGCCCGATTGCGAGTAGCAACCATCAAGAGAGATTGATGATTCAACTAGCCCCACTCCGAGTCGAAGATGACGAGCCTCAGGAGTATTTCTTCGATTTTCAAGACGAAGCCTCAACTCGCAGGAGAGCTGCAGCATCCAGTCGAACGTCGAACACCTATCCACCAACCCCTCGGCTCCAACGTAGAGATATACCCTGTGAGCTGGCTTGCTCACATGAATGACTGAATTGCGTATTACTTACTACCGCGTACAGTGTACGCTGAGCCAGCGAGGGAAGATGACGATACGCATTTTGCATTTCGGGATCGCTGATGCCTCGGACACATGCACATCCACGAGCATCGAAATACTGGTAGCCAGGCCTCCCTTCGATGTGAACCGATCCGATGTCAAAAAGTTGGTCGATCATTGATTTGTTAGTGCTAGGAGCAGTGACAGTGACGATAGCTGTCTATGTACTAAGCGCCACGACTCGGATGTTCTCTGCATTCCCACCGGTCAGTCACAGGGCTTGCTGATGACACATTACAGGATATTACATATGGCGCGGACGGACGGTGGTCAGCGACTCGGAGAAATTTGTTTAGGCTTGTAAACTCTACAAGATTTTCCATTTTTCGCGGTGTCCTCTGGCCAGCTCCGAGTCTGAGTCTCTTCGCTTCAAGAATCAAGATATGTTATGTGCTGGCGATACGGGTTGATAGTGTCAGCTCCCGTGAGAGTATGAGCACACTATTGAGGTTAGTGGTAGTCCGCTAAATCAAGAAAGGTGATACCAGGGGGACTTCGGATTCTATGATGCGGCACGGCGAGATGAGTAGAATTTATCTCTAGAATTTATCTATTTTTTTTCGCGGTGTCCTGTGGCCAGTTCTCCCGGTGATGTTCCTGTGAGGGTCGAGGTGGAGGGTGAGCGTTACGGGTTGTTTGCTCCCATGATTTCACATATATCAGGGATTCCCCACTCTTCATGCTTGAGATCAAGGAGGCCAATAGGGTAAATGGGGTATCGCACGACACCAGATCGCGTTGTTCCGAATATCCACGTGGACATGTTTCATCTAGAGAATGAATTTCGAATTACACCATGTTCAAACTTGGACGATCGTCGTCGATCAAGGGTATGAAAATCTCACTTTCCCGTATACACCAACGCACGACTAACTGACCTTCTCAAACGCCTTGAACCAATCCTTCGTAGCCTCAGACGAAACCCTCGCAACTCCAACTCCATCGATTGCATGCGACTCTCCGGGAAAGGATAGTACGTAACTGAACGTGCATTATCGAGGCGTGCTTGAAAAAGCCTATTGTGGAGAAAAATGGGTCATACGACGACCAGCGACGAACCCACCATGACTGCCTCCCATCAGGAGCTGTCTTCTTCCCTCTGAAACGCCCCTTTTAATAAGTTCCCTGGCGCTTTCGGCGACGTCCTCGACGTCGATGCTCCCACAGTGCTCGAAGGGTGTCTGTTGTGTGAGTAAGTTATGGTCTGGAAGTTGTGATTTGGTAGGGGAGAGCAAGAGGGACGTGCATCCTTCAAGCGCTAATGCCACAACAGCCGGAGCAAACGCAGTAATGCGGGATAGTGATGCACACTGGTGGTTGGATGTCCGATAAGGAGTGTTTCCGTTGGTGCGCGGGCATGAAAGTGCTCTCAGGCGAAGGCGGAGTTATGTCGGAAATTCAAGTTTCCTAGAAGCATCTAAAGGACTCTATATGCAACTTCATTACGCTACGCTGTTCAAATCACGGCTGGCCAGATATTTGTATGGTATGAACGACATGCAATGCGCAGATTACACGTCGGGTAGAAGTTCTCCTGGCCTGAGGACTCGGACTGAAATTCGACGCGGCGTAGGTGGCCCATGCATGTCAACATGCGATTCTAATTTCATGACCGATATTGTGACTCCCAGACTCGCCACGGAAAATTTTCGCTTGTTCGTGTCCGTGCTACGTACTCTAGGACTATCGGGATCCGGACAACCCTTGGACAGCAATCACACAATTTCAAGACCGAATCTTAAAGCTCAAATTTCCTTATTGCTGCGCCCACCTTGACAACGATCATCCTCCGAAGCCATGTCATGTTGGCCACGCATCTGCTCTCTGAAATTAGAAGACAAAAAAACCATTACATTCCGTGGACTACTCGCAGTGCTTCATCAATGTCCTCATTTGTCATTTGAATAAGTTCAGAATGTCGAGTTGACGTCAAGGTACCGTACAGTAGAGTCTTTGCCATCTCGGCATACATCCCTTCAACTATTGGATGTACGCTCCGCTGAGGTAGTGGATACAGAAGATGTCGCTCGTATCATCTTCCTTGCGTCGACAAGATCTACTACAACCCGGTAACCCGGTGTATTTCAGCCACCCGAACGCTTGCGCGAGGTTCGGAACCATCTGGGACATCTCAAGTGTTCCGCAGACCTTGATTGCTAAAATGCAGCTGCAGGGACCTCATCTTGTATTCAGATCTTTTTCTGTCAAGAGATCTTTAGAATATGAGAAGTGAGAACGAGCAAAGGATATTTGCGATGAATGTCTTTACTGTACCATACGTATTTCACAGCTCGAATTTCAGACCACATTGCGCAACCGCCAACGATTGGCCGTTTCAACTGGGTCGCGAGAGGCTTACGAGTGTTTGACTGGTCCAGGTCAGCGCTTTGTTTGTTTCTGTCGTACAACGTAACGTACGTTCTACCCCACAATTTAGACTATGGGTCCCCAATAGTGTTTCGGACAGAACTATTTTGTAGCTCTGCCAGCAGAACTGGCAGACCCTGTCAGAACTATGTTCTGCCAGCGTGTCAGATGGCGGAATATGTTGTTTTCATTGTGCTAGAGGTACGAATTACACGCAGACGACTCTTATTGGGCTTAAAGAAGCACTGCGGCTTCCCTCGTCATCACCCAAAATAGCTGAATACCAATACAAATTTTCGAGTCTGACCGGGTCACTCAAGCGCCAAGTCACTATAATCTGTATGTCAAGGACCCTAGTACATTGACAAGACTATACAGAGCTATAGCCTGTGACCCGAACTAGGTAATTCAGAGAGGCCTTCGTGAGGGCAAACAGTTTAGAATCTGGAAGGTCCACGGCGGTCGAGTCCATTGGGAGGCAAGCACAGAGGACGAGAAAGCCGGTTGAGTCATAGGCGAGTAACTTAACCTTCAAAAGGGATGTCAAAACCAGCTAACCCGTCAGTGCACGAGACAGGCAAAAGCCCAAATGATCTGCAGCTGATCTTCAGGCAAGGCCAAGCTTGGAGATCGCTATATAAATTGACGTGGTCAAGATGTGTGACAGTCGTAAAAATGACAAGTTGTATTATGACGATTTACTGATAAGTTTTGCACAGACTCGGATCCGGACAGATCTACAAACCCGCGCTCAGCCGGACGGAGACTGCCGGAAATTTGGATTCCCAGACTTGCTGTAAAGCCAGCTGAGGGTTTCTTCATAAGGTGTTGCAGTGCCTCACGACGAGTTTCTTGCGGACAATATTAATTACTGCATTCTAGAGTATCCGTGAGGTCCACCAGTCTGTTGAACTTGGGAGAAGTAGCATTTCGATGAGGGTGTTCAGAAACTGGCCTCTTGGTAGAGTTTTAGAGTGCGTCGATTCACGTTATCATACATCACTGATACATTAAACTGCATGGTCCAGAATCATTAATCATGGTGCGAACCTTATATCATCCAATGGTGATACTTTTCTTCGCTCGCGAGTTCAAACTGAACACGACTGTTTCGGGAATTCGAATTTCTAGCAGTCCCGGGCCGGACTGTAACTACTATCAACTTGTATTTCGCGTTCGCTCACTAATATTAAGACTGTCTAGCTCATCACGAATCTTGCAATACCACGTATACCTTGATGGCCAACACCCGTGGACGAATACCATCGAACTTTCTTGAGTCACTGATTCAATGCCAGCAGTCCAACCATATCCAACATATGCCTTTACATCAGTATAAAACAGACAGTACCAACATTCAAGTGGCCAACATCCTCTCTACAAGTAAAATCAACTGAACATCATGTTTATCCGCCCCTCTACTATTCTCGTTGTCTTCCTCGGCCTGACGGCCCTTGTCAGCGCTGGAGCGCCAGTGGTAAGCCTCGCATCGTCTTTAATCGTATCATAATGTCACACGATGTCCACAGAATGCTAGAGCAAAGGCCCTTGTAAGCCGTGCCTCGCGTTAAATTGTATCATACTCTCATACGATGTCCACAGGAGGATGAGAAGCGCAAGACGCCTCCTGTAAGCCCTGCTTCGCCTTAAATCATACTATATTCTCATACAATATCCACAGGATGCTAGAATGACTGCTATCGTGAGCCTCGCATCGCCTTAGATAGTATCATTCTCATAAATGTCTACAGGAGGACGAGAAGCGCAAGACGCCTCCTGTAAGCCCTGCTTCGCCTTAAACCATACTATATTCTCATACAATATCCACAGGATGCTAGAAAGACTGCCATCGTGAGCGTCGCATCGCCTTAGATAGTATCATTCTCATACATGTCTACAGGAGGACGAGAAGCGCAAGACGCCTCCTGTAAGCCTCTCTTCGCTTTAAATCATGCTATATTCTCATACAATATCCACAGGATGCTAGAAAGACTGCGATTGTGAGCCTCGCATCGCCTTAGATAGTACCATTCTCATAAATGTCTACAGGAGGACGAGAAACGCAAGACCCCCCCTGTAAGTCTCTCTTCGCTTTAAATCATACTATATTCTCATACAATATCCACAGGATGCTAGAAAGACCGCTATCGTGAGCCTCGCATCGCCTTAGATAGTATCATTCTCATACATGTCTACAGGAGGACGAGAAGCGCAAGACCCCCCCTGTAAGCCTCTCTTCGCTTTAAATCATGCTATATTCTCATACAATATCCACAGGATGCTAGAAAGACCGCTATCGTGAGCCTCGCATCGCCTTAGATAGTATCATTCTCATACATGTCTACAGGAGGACGAGAAGCGCAAGACCCCCCCTGTAAGCCTCTCTTCGCTTTAAATCATGCTATATTCTCATACAATATCCACAGGATGCTAGAAAGACCGCTATCGTGAGCCTCGCATCGCCTTAGATAGTATCATTCTCATACATGTCTACAGGAGGACGAGAAGCGCAAGACTCCCCCTGTAAGCCTCTCTTCGCTTTAAATCATACTATATTCTCATACAATATCCACAGGATGCTAGAAAGACTGCTATCGTGAGCCTCGCATCGCCTTAGATAGTATCATTCTCATACATGTCTACAGGAGGACGAGAAGCGCAAGACGCCTCCTGTAAGCCTCTCTTCGCTTTATATCATACTATATTCTCATACAATATCCACAGGATGCTAGAAAGACCGCTATCGTGAGCCTCGCATCGCCTTAGATAGTATCATTCTCATAAATGTCCACAGGAGGACGAGAAGCGCAAGACTCCCCCTGTAAGCCTCTCTTCGTTTTAAATCATTCTATATTCTCATACAATATCCACAGGATGCTAGAAGGACTGCCCCTCCTGTAAGCCTCACTTCGCTTTAAATCGTATCATATTCTCATGCAATGTCCTCAGGTTGCTCGCATCACAAATTACTAGGCCGGGGTTGAGGTAAGCCTAGCTTCGCATCAGATCTCACCTTGTTGATCTCACAATGTGCATAGCTGGATAACTTGCATGGTCCTCTTGATGATGCTTGACCGATGCACTCGTACCTCACTCCCACCCAACGCACAAATGTGAAAGAGATTATCAATAGTTTTGCCGACTTTCAAAAATTGCTGTTCAATGTTGTAATTCCTAGTGAATAACAACCACTGTTTCTGTTTCTTGGCTGATGAATTCTAGCAAGCTTATCACGCGCACATGCAAGACCTCTAGCCGCGTGTTCAGTCTGAGTTTTTACCCATGTCAGCGCAAGAGTTTTGGTTCAGGTGCACCTGTGCACATTGCTACCAGATAAGGCAAGTTATCTCGAAGCATACCAAGAAATGGCCCTCGGTCCGTGTCCTATTGCAAATGATGAACGTAAATGCTAACACTAACATGAATGCTAATGCGCCAATGCGAGTAGCAACCATTAGGAGAGATCAGAGATTCGACCAGACTTCGAGTCGGAGAGGAGGAGCTTCAGGAGTATCGCTTCTATTTTCAAGACCATCAACTTACAGGAGAGTCGCAGCATCCAGTCGAACGTCGAACGCATATCCATCATCGCCTCGGCTCCAATGTAGAGATATGCCCTGTGAGCTGGCTTGCTCACATGATTGACTGAATTGCGTATTAATTGCTGCCACGTACAGTGTTGCGCTGAGCCAGAATGTGACGATACGCGTTTTGCATTTCCGGTCCGCTGATCCCTCAGGATATTCGACATGTGCACATCTGTGAGCGTCGCAATATTAGTAGCAAGGCTGAGAACTGATTTGATGTTGAAGAGTTCATCGATCATTTATTTACTAGTGCTAGGAGCAGTGACGGTAAGTCCGAGTCTCCCCGCTGCAAGAATCAAGATAGGTGCCGACTGAGACGTTGCGGGTTGATGGTGTCAGTTCCCATGATCTCGGGCATGATCAAGCATACTATTGAGGTTAGTGGTAGTCCGCGAGATCGAGGAGGGTGATACCAGGGTCTGTGTCTACTCTGAAGGGTGCGAGTACTTCAAGTTGGTGGGATTTCAGATTCTATGACTCCGGCACGACGAGATGAGTAGAATTGATCTCTAGAGTTATTCGAATTTCGCGGTATCCTCTAGCCAGTTCTCACAGCATAAACTCGCAGATTATAGACACGGTAGAATGTAGGAGATGAAAATATACCGGAACATGGCAGCATTCTCTGTCACATCATGTACTACTCACTGCTACACATAGACAGCTGACAAATGGTATAAAAACACCTTCTCGACGTATCTCCACAACCCAAAGCTTGCACGCGGTGATATTAATGCTTCCCTCGTCATCACCCCAAATAGCTGAATACGAATACGAATTCAAGTTTCCGAGTCTGGCTGCATCTGACCGGGTTACTCGAGCGCCAAGTCACTATAATTTGTATTTCAAGGACCCTAGTAGTACATTAATGACAAGACTATGTTGGAATCCGATCAGGACAAGGTACCAGGAGAGGAGTAGCAAGGTACGAGCGCACAATGACGTCGCTGTTCCGTCGTCCCGAACGTTAGGTTTCAAAGTTATATTTTTATCCTATTCTACCCGTACCATAAAGTAACGAGTCCCGACGACGAAACATCTCAGTCTTCCTACGAGAAACTGAGATGTGAGTACATATACCACTTACTTAACGCGAACGAGCTAACAGGTACATTAGTTTATCTACTAGGTACATTGAAATGAAAGAGTCTTCCTACGAGAAACTGAGATTTTATCTACTAGCTCTCCCTCCCTGCGATCTAAGTGCCTCTCATCACCATAGGTTATGAGCCCTGATTCTACCATGGATACCGCGCTCCCCAGTACCAACTCTGCGTTGTTTAACGTCCCCAAATTGGCCGAAGACGGTTCAAATTGGATTACCTATAAGGAGAGAACGTTAACGGCATTAGGTGCACGAGGTCTGATGCGCTATACCGATGGTCGAGCAGTCAAACCAATCCCGTTCGTGATCGATAAGAGCACGCTAGCCGTAACGAAGCCCAATGGCTCGACGCCTACGCGGACCGAGATCGAAGAGTTAGATAACAAGTTGGACGAATTCCACCAGAAAGACTCACTAGTACGGCAACAGATTTTCAGTACTATCACAGACAGATTACTCTTGCGCATCCAAAAACTGGACCGCGCGTCGAGCATCTGGGACGAAATCTGTTTTATCCATGAAGGAAAAACGGAGTTAGTACAGGTCGATCTCAGACGGCGCCTGCAAGACTTACGTTGTGAGGACAACGGCGATGTCAAAGCACATTTCGCAGAGCTGTTGAGACTGCGCGAATCACTCGCCGGAATGGGCTCCACCATCGAAGATCGCGATTTTCACGCGATACTCATGGGCTCCTTACCAGAGACTTATCGACCCATCCTATCCTCGATTAGCGCTGCTGCCCGAATCACCCAAACGCCACTCAGTTCGAATGAGCTCATCACCGTTATAGGTGAAGAGTACGAGCACCGTCAGTTGACGGATCGACGAGGCTCGAAGAAGGGAGCAAGTTCGGCGCTTGTAGCCAAGTCTGGGCCAGGAAGGAGCAGAAGGAGTGCAGCTACCAGCAAAGAGAACACTGACGTCACCTGTTTTAATTGTGACCGCAAGGGTCACTATAAGACAGATTGCTGGAGGCCAGGGGGAGGTAAAGAGGGTCAAGGCCCGAATCAGCGAAAGCGAGGAGGACGCGCACCGAAAGAAGGCGCTAACTCTGCTGCTTCTGACCCGTCCCCCGATAACTACGCCTTCGCGACCTCCAACCTTCGCAATATCGCAGCCCAGCTCACCGTACCAGTCGAACGTCGAGGAGCGATAGTCGATTCCGGGGCAACATCGCATTTTTGCCCGGATAGGTCCAAGTTCCTCAATTATGAGGCGATAGACCCCCAGAACGTCCATACCGCGGACGGATCCACCCTTAGCGCCATTGGCAAAGGGGATGTGAGGCTAGAATTGCCAAACGGCAAGGAGAAAACATTAGTGACGCTAAAAGATACCCTATACGCACCTAGCATGGCCTTCACGCTGATCTCCACTACTCGTATCACAGCCGCTGGACTTGCTGTGCATTTCGAAGATCGCATGTGCAAAATCCTATCTCCAACGCCCCATCGTAGTGTTATCGCTACGATCCCGCAGATCGATGGCCTATATAGCATTACGGGACACGTCAGCCATCACGCGCACCTTGCAAAAGAAAAACGCACCGTACATGAGCTTCACAAGGCCCTGGGCCATATCGCGCAGAATGCTGTAAAGCACGCTATTACAAAGGGGTTAGTAGAAGGCCTTAGCCTCGACCCCACGTCCACCGAGGAATTCTGTGACGCTTGCGTCAAGGCTAAATCAGCACATAAGCCTTTCCCCAAGGAGGCGAATAGGCGAGCGACAGCGTATGGTGACGTTGTGCACACGGATCTGTGGGGACCGTCACAGACAGCGAGTCTTGCTGGATCGAGCTACTACATGAGCTTTACCGACGATTATACGCGGGAGACCCAAGTAGCGTTCCTGAGGCAAAAGAGTGAGGCGTTAGAAGCATTCAAACAATATGAGGCGAGGCTTACCAATCATAACCGTGGACTTCGCATCAAGACGCTTCGATCCGATAGGGGCGGAGAGTATCTTAGCGCGGATTTTGAGGCGCACCTGAAGAAACACGGTATCAGCCGACAATTAACTGTACATGACTCACCTCAACAGAACGGGGTGGCGGAGAGACTTAACCGCACCCTAGTTGAGCACGCACGTGCCATGCTAGTTGCGCGTGCTATGCCAAAGTTCCTATGGGCAGAGGCAGTCAGTTATGCCGTCTGGCTGAAGAATCGTTTACCGTCCAGGTCCATACCAGGTGCAACACCCTATACCTTAGTGCATAACGCACGTCCGAACCTCTCCTCCGCTCACGAATTCGGAAGCACTGTCCTCGTGCATATCGAGCACACTGGGAAACTGGAGTCGAAGGCCGAAGAAGCAATCTTCGTAGGAGTGGATGCCGAAAGTAAGGGGTTTAGGGTATACTGGGAGGGGAAGAGGCGCGTGTCGGTAGAACGCAATGTGATGTTCGTACCCTCCACGGTCATTGTTGCTGATGGTGTCCAGGCCGAGGGGGGGTATAACCCTACACAAAAGGTCAGCATCCAGGAACCACCACAAACGAATCCAACTACCCCCAAAACCCCCCATCTACTCCTCCCAGACCGAACCAGCACCCAGAAACTCCACCTGCGCCTAGAACCACTAGAGTGAGGCCGCCTGTAGGATACTACTCTGCCCTCAATGAGGGACAGGTAGCCGGACTAGCTGCAGAGACCCTGTTCCAACCAGCAGAAGCGGACATGGAGGATGAGAGTGTATATACTCACCTACATGCGATGGCAGCTGTAGAACCAGAGGTAACACTCCAGCAAGCGCTGAACGGTCCCGATGCCGTCGAATGGCAGGAAGCCATCGATTACGAAATAAGTCAGCTTGAAAAACTTGGTACCTGGACGATCGTGGACCCACCTCGAGGCGCGAATCTGATCCCGTGTCACTACGTACTCGCCACGAAACGCGGACCGGATGGTGAGAAACTCAAGTTGCGAGCTCGCCTAGTAGCAAATGGTCAACGCCAGAAGTACGGCATAGACTACTACGACACGTTCGCTCCCACGACTAACATGTCGTCGATTAGGACGGTTCTCGCCATGGCTGCCCATCGTGAATGGCACATCCATCAGGTTGACGTTAAGAGTGCTTACCTATACGCCGAACTCAAGGAGGACATATATATGCGTGCCCCGCCAGGATACCTGAAGCAGGGGGATGAGAGGAAGGTACTTAAGTTGCTGAGGAGTTTACTGGGTCTCAAGCAGGCTGGTTTTGAATGGTCGGAAGAATTAGCTGGCGCATTCGCGGACATGGGCTTCGTTAGGTCCAAGGTTGACCAAGCCATCTACTACAAACGCCAGGCAGACGAACATACCGTCATCACCGTATCAGTTGACGATATGGCTGTTACGTCTAAGCACCTCCACCACATCAAACACTTCAAGGACGAACTCAGCAAGCACTTCGAGATCTCGGATCTCGGGGAACTCACCTGGCTCCTCGGACTCAAAGTCGAACGAAATCGCGCTGCACGCACCATTACCCTGTCCCAGAAGGCCTACGTCAATACCATCCTCGAAAGGTTCCATCTTACCGACGCTAAAGCAGTCCCTACCCCCATGGAAGTAGGCACAGTCCTATCCGATGCGCAATCTCCTGCGACTCACGCGCAAAGCGAGGCCATGCAAGATGTGCCGTACCAGAGAGCCATTGGATCTTTGATGTACGCGGGCACGAGTACCAGGCCTGACATAGCGTTCGCCATCGCCACGTTATCCCAATTTATGCGGAATCCGGGGAGAGAGCATTGGGAAGCTGTGAAGAGAGTGCTGAGATATCTGAAAGGTACCAGCGGTTTCGGACTGACCTTGGGAGGGACGGACGCAGGGCTAGAAGCCTACGTAGATGCCGACTGGGCCTCGCAGGCACATCGCCACTCAATATCGGGCTACATCGTTATGCTAAACGGTGGTCCTGTGGCATGGAGCGCAAGGAAGCAGCCCCTCATAGCCTTATCAACCGCTGAATCAGAGTATATCGCACTCACCACAGTCGCACGCGAGGTCCTTTATTTGCAGCTGCTCCTCGCAGAGCTATATGACATCGAGCACGACGCCACACCCATCTATTGCGATAACCAGTCAGCAATCGCGTTAGCCTCCAGCGGAAAATTCCAATCACGTACTAAACATATCGACCTCAGATACCACTTTGTTCGGTCCCATGTCAAAAACGGCACCTTCACGCTCGTCTATTGTCCCAGCGAGGACAACGTCGCTGATGCGTTTACTAAAGCACTAGCACGTCCCCGCGTTCAGAAGCTTCGCATGCTGATGAACTTAGAAGACTGCGCTCGAGGGGGGGTGTTGGAATCCGATCAGGACAAGGTACCAGGAGAGGAGTAGCAAGGTACGAGCGCACAATGACGTCACTGTTCCGTCGTCCCGAACGTTAGGTTTCAAAGTTATATTTTTATCCTATTCTACCCGTACCATAAAGTAACGAGTCCCGACGACGAAACATCTCAGTCTTCCTACGAGAAACTGAGATGTGAGTACATATACCACTTACTTAACGCGAACGAGCTAACAGGTACATTAGTTTATCTACTAGGTACATTGAAATGAAAGAGTCTTCCTACGAGAAACTGAGATTTTATCTACTAGCTCTCCCTCCCTGCGATCTAAGTGCCTCTCATCACCATAGACTACTACTATACAGAACTATAGCCTGTAGCCCGAACTACTAAGTATTTCAGAGAGGCCTTCGTGAGTGCAAACAGTTCAGAATCTGGAAGGTCCATGGCGGTCAAGTCCATTGGCAGGCAAGCACAGAGGACGAGAAAGCCTGTTGAGTCATAGGCGAGTAGCACTTTCAATAGGGGATGACAAAACCAACCAGCCCGTCAGTGCACGAGAGAGGACATCCAGGAAATGGCTAGTCTGGGGCCAAAGTCTGGGGTGGTCACGTTTGCGAGGTACCATTGTGCATCAGGAAAAAACAAAAATCGTAGGAGTCCTGGTGACGCTTATATAGTACTATATAGTCACCATAGGTCTATGTAGTTCACGTAGCTGTCACTCAGACTATATAGAGCTACAGTGGGCTACAGGAGGCTATGGTGGGCGCTGGTAGTAACCAGGAGTCGCAATAGCAAAATTTCAGTTCGTAGTCGATAGTAGCTGGGTAGTAACAAAACTAATTAATAGCGGACATGCAGAATGTCTTGGACAATGGCATTCAGCCGGAGATGTGGAAAGAGTGTCAAAAGTGTCTTGCCATTATGAGATGATATGCCAGACCACGTTCAAACCGAAGGTACAATGTTGAACATGACCCTCACACAAACCTTAGGAGCAGCCACCTTTCGCTCGGAGGCAACAAACTGGAAAATACAAATTGAATTTGACATCAGATTTAGGTGTACATCGTGAAGGTGTACAGTCTCACTGAAATATCGAATTTGGAGTTATTGGCAACGTAGCCATGGCTGGATACTACATGCGAAGTGGTTAGATGGTCTCAAGAACACTTGACAAAAAAGGGAGAGGACACACGAAATAGATCATACGCCAATATGCACGAACACTATGCGCTGGTCCAAGGGTAAGTCCTTGTCGGAGGCCAACAACTGGACTGCTCAGTGCAGCGCCCAGGCAGCTCGCTTGGAATTCATTGTGCCATCCCCGCACATGTTTTTGTAAAATGCCTCGACTAAGTGCTGCACGGTACTATCATTGGAAAAATTTGCCACCCAAAGCTTTGATTCCGAGTTGAACATGTAGATATGCCTGATGTACGAGTTGTAAAGATGAGTGTTGATGACCAAGCATAGATAATACTTACTTGCACAACACGACATGCGAGAGTGTCGGCACTCTTGACCTAAACACTTTTTGTGCCTTGCTGCCAATACATTCTGAGAAGCTGAGGAACGTATCATTGTAAGTGAAGAACTGGGATTTGTTGGATGAAACCTGAGATGGAACTGCACCTAGATGTCTTCACCCATCATTAGAAGGAAGGAGGGACCGACGATCACACCCCGCCAGAGATTTGAGGGACACCCATTCAGTCGAGGAAGCTATACATCTGCCAGGCGGAGAACAGATAATGACTTGTTCATGGGACGGCTTGCTGCAGGTATGGAACTTGAAGAGTGGGAAACAGATATGAGATGACTGCGCTCGTGCTGATGTTTCCTGCCGTTTTTCTTTTGCAATGTCGCCAATAGAGAGGTACAGGGTTCGAAAACTTCCAAAGTCCAACATTTGTACATGTTTGTTCACGTGACGGTGCGCTCACGTATGATCAAAAATTTTCCCAACTTCGATGTTCTAACTTCTCTGCCCGAGACAGCTGCCTGTTTCTTATTTAAATTTTCATATTGAGGTGTGCAATGATTTTTATTTATCCCAATCTTGTTCTTTCTATTTAAACCAAATTATTCAAGGTCTTCTTCAACACAACACCTGTCTTCAAGTCCCACAAATGAAGCACCTTGTTGTCCGATTTCGCAAAGGTGCACAGTAGTGACAGCCTGTGAGTGTCGATATTCCTTTGAGCTCGAGTCATGCTGATTCAAATCATTGCCTGCCATTCACAGTTTGTGAGTGTGTTGATCTTCTTTCGGGCTCGAGCCATGCTGATCGAAGTCATTGACCACCGTTTGCAGAGAGTGAGTGTGTCGATCCTCATTCGAGCTCAAGATTTTCTCACTCTGACATTGACAGGACTTGATTAATGATTGGCTACTACTAGTACATGCGCACTTATTCTATGAGCGCACTGCGCCTTATGAACTCCTCGCGAGAATTAGTGAATGGAGGCGAGCGAATGGAGCGACGGAGCTAACAGGTAAACCTAGTCTCAGTTTCTGCAAAGAACTCCATTGACGAAACATCTACCTAACAGGTAAGCCTACTGCGTCACATCAATACTGGTAATCAAATAATGAACTAATGTAAACTCACATCTCAGTTTCTGCAGAGAATTGAGACATTCATTCGTCCTTTCGCTAGACTTTATACTGATACTGTAAGTTGTTTTTCTAACTGATATATTGAAATAAAACTTGGAAACTTTTCAGCTTTTGGGCCCGATGTCACCTCTCCCTCGTCCCTGTGCCTTTATCCTTGCACTCGCACCATCTAGTTGTCCTCCTGTTCCTCAGCTTTGGTTCCCTCGGTCTTCTTCGGCTCGGACGTATCGGACGACAACAAGAGTGGCGGGCTTATAGATGCGGATGAAGAGGAGGAGGAGGATGTGGAGGCTTGTAGCGAGAGTGGCAGGTTTATAGGTGCAGATGAAGAGGAGGATTGAGTAGGACATTTATACTATACTATCTCGTGTGTCGGGTACTCGAATTCAGATGCTATTGGTTTTTTTTTGCATGTGATTTAGCTGCTGGTTACTGCGCACTCCGACAAACTATGGGTTCTATATAGCTGCAGGTAGTTGCATGTAGTAGCACTCCTATGAACTACAGTAGTACTTCGTAGCTGCTAGTAGCCTGCTACATGATACTATGTAGTACAGCGCTGACTACATAGAAGGGACTTGACTACGGAACTACACGCACTACCCTGACTATATAGGTCTATATAGTCAACATGTTTTTTCCTGATGTGACCTCTTGCAGGCCGATCACACTGCGCTAGGTGACATCAGCTATCTCTTTGCCCATCATGCACATGGATGTCGGCCATCTGGTCACTGCCATGAATTCTCATTCACATAACCTATGTTCACCTTACCAGTTTCATCCAACGTGCCAGCTTTAGATTTTGAATTTTGAATTTTGAATTTTATATTTGGCTATATACGCTCGCATAAGCTCAGGCTCAACTGGCAATGATGACGAAAACGTCCCGAATCAAATCCAACGTCCGAAATCAAAGCAAAGCTCGCAAACTCGCTGGCAACAGGTATGCATAAGTGTCCAAAGATGTGGATGCCCTGACTATATAGGTCTATATAGTCAACATGTTTTTTCCTGATGCATGGGTAAACGGGACTCGGTCAGACTGAACACGCGGCTCGAGGTCATGCATGTGCGCGTGATAAGCTTGCTAGAATTTACCCGCCAAGAAACAGAAACAGTGGTTGTCATTCACTAGGAACTACAATATGTCTAGAAATTGAACAGCAATTTGAGAATCGGCAAAACTATTTAAAAAATCTTTGGCATTTGTGCATTTGGTGGCTGTGAGGTACGAGTGCATCGGTCAACCAACATCAAGAGGACCGTGCAAGTTATTCAGCCATGTACATTGTAGGATCAACAAGGTGAGATCTGGTGCGAAGCTGGGCTTACGTCAACCTAGTCGAGAGCAGCCTGAGGACATTGCATGAGAACATGATATGATTGAAAGCGATGTGAGGCTTACGATGATAGCAGTCCTAGCAGCCTGAGGATATTTTATTATGAGAGTATGATACAATTTAAAGTGAGGCGAGGCTTACAGGGGGTGGCCCGCGCTTGTCAATGTCATCCTGGGGACATTGCATGAGCACGTGATATGATTAAAGGCGATGCGAGGCTCACGATGGTAGAAGTCCTACGAGCCTGCGGACATTGTATTATGAGAGTATGATACAATTTAAAGCGAGACGAGGCTTACAGGGGGTGCCCTGCGCTTCTCGTCGTCATCATCCTGGGGACATTACATGAAAACATGATATGATTGAAGGCGATGTGAGGCTCACGATTATAGCAGTCCTAGCAGCCTGGGGACATCGTGTTATGAGAGCATGATACAATTTAAAGCGAGGAGAGGCTTACGGGGAGTGCCCTGCGCTTCTCGTCGTCATCATCCTGGGGACATTACATGAGAACATGATATGATTGAAGGCGATGTGAGGCTCACGATGATAGCAGTCCTAGCAGCCTGAGCACATTGTGTTATGAGAGCATGATACAATTTAAAGCGAGGAGAGGCTTACGGGGAGTGCCCTGCGCTTCTCGTCGTCATCATCCTGGGGACATTACATGAGAACATGATATGATTGAAGGCGATGTGAGGCTCACGATGATAGCAGTCCTAGCAGCCTGAGGACATTGTATTACGAGAGTATGATACAATTTAAGGCGAGGCGAGGCTTACCACTGGCCCTCCAGCGCTGACAAGGGCCGTCAGGCCGAGGAGGACAACGAGAACAGTAGAGGGGCGGATAAACATGATGATCAGTTTGTAGAGAGGTGGATGGCCACTTGAATGTTGGTACTGTCTGTTTTATACTGATGTAAAGTCATACGTTGGATATGGTCAGACTGCTGGCATTGAATCAGTGAGACTCAAGACAGTTCGATGGTATTCGTCCACGGGTGTTGGCCATCAAGGTATACGTGTTATTGCAAGATTCGTGATGAGCTAAACAGTCTTGATGCCCGTGAGCGAACGCTAAATACAACTCGATAGTAAGTGATCAAGCGGTTCTGTTGCAGTCCGGCCCGGGACTGCTAAACGGGTTTGAACTCGAACCAAACCCAAGCGAAGAAAAGTATCACCAGTGGATAATATAAGTTCGGCACCATGATTCTAGACTATACAGTTTAATGTATCAGTGGAGTATGATAGACGCACTCTAAAACTCTACTGGGTCTGGAGCCAGCTTCTGAACACCCTCGTCGAAATGCTACTTCTCTCAAGTTCAACAGACTGGTGGACACCATAGAATGTAGTAATTACATCATATTGTCTGCAAGAAACTCGTCATGAGGCACTGCAACACCTTATGAAGAAACCCTCAGCTGGCTTTACAGCAAGTCTGGGAATCCAAATTTCTGGCAGTCTCCATCCGCGTCTGTAGATCTGTTCGTCTGTGCAAAACTTGTCAGTTAGATTTCAACATCGTCATGCCATACCACATGAGCTCATTTTTACGACTAGTTACACATCTTGAACACGTCAATTTATATAGCGACCTCCAAGCTTGGCCTCAGACTTGCCTGAAGCTGCAGATGGTTTGGACTAAGTTTGCCTGTCTCGTGCGTGAATGTCAGAGATTTGGCCTAGTCTGGGGCAAGTCTGGGGCATTTGAAAGTTCGGGGCGGAGTCTGGGGCCCCGAGTCGGCATGACCCGAGCTGAGTTTTAATTGTATTTGGTCACGTGCTTGCTTTGACAATCTCATCCACATCTTTGGACACTTATGCATACCTGTTGCCAGCGAGTTTGCGAGCTTTGCTTTGATTTCGGACGTTGGATTTGATTCGGGACGTTTTCGTCATCATTGCCAGTTGAGCCTGAGCTTATGCGAGCGTATATAGCCAAATATAAAATTCAAAATTCAAAATTCAAAATCTAAAGCTGGCACGTTGGATGAAACTGGTAAGGTGAACATAGGTTATGTGAATGAGAATTCATGGCAGTGACCAGATGGCCGACATCCATGTGCATGATGGGCAAAGAGATAGCTGATGTCACCTAGCGCAGTGTGATCGGCCTGCAAGAGGTCACATCAGGAAAAAACATGTTGACTATATAGACCTATATAGTCAGGGTAGTGCGTGTAGTTCCGTAGTCAAGTCCCTTCTATGTAGTCAGCGCTGTACTACATAGTATCATGTAGCAGGCTACTAGCAGCTACGAAGTACTACTGTAGTTCATAGGAGTGCTACTACATGCAACTACCTGCAGCTATATAGAACCCATAGTTTGTCGGAGTGCGCAGTAACCAGCAGCTAAATCACATGCAAAAAAAAACCAATAGCATCTGAATTCGAGTACCCGACACACGAGATAGTATAGTATAAATGTCCTACTCAATCCTCCTCTTCATCTGCACCTATAAACCTGCCACTCTCGCTACAAGCCTCCACATCCTCCTCCTCCTCTTCATCCGCATCTATAAGCCCGCCACTCTTGTTGTCGTCCGATACGTCCGAGCCGAAGAAGACCGAGGGAACCAAAGCTGAGGAACAGGAGGACAACTAGATGGTGCGAGTGCAAGGATAAAGGCACAGGGACGAGGGAGAGGTGACATCGGGCCCAAAAGCTGAAAAGTTTCCAAGTTTTATTTCAATATATCAGTTAGAAAAACAACTTACAGTATCAGTATAAAGTCTAGCGAAAGGACGAATGAATGTCTCAATTCTCTGCAGAAACTGAGATGTGAGTTTACATTAGTTCATTATTTGATTACCAGTATTGATGTGACGCAGTAGGCTTACCTGTTAGGTAGATGTTTCGTCAATGGAGTTCTTTGCAGAAACTGAGACTAGGTTTACCTGTTAGCTCCGTCGCTCCATTCGCTCGCCTCCATTCACTAATTCTCGCGAGGAGTTCATAAGGCGCAGTGCGCTCATAGAATAAGTGCGCATGTACTAGTAGTAGCCAATCATTAATCAAGTCCTGTCAATGTCAGAGTGAGAAAATCTTGAGCTCGAATGAGGATCGACACACTCACTCTCTGCAAACGGTGGTCAATGACTTCGATCAGCATGGCTCGAGCCCGAAAGAAGATCAACACACTCACAAACTGTGAATGGCAGGCAATGATTTGAATCAGCATGACTCGAGCTCAAAGGAATATCGACACTCACAGGCTGTCACTACTGTGCACCTTTGCGAAATCGGACAACAAGGTGCTTCATTTGTGGGACTTGAAGACAGGTGTTGTGTTGAAGAAGACCTTGAATAATTTGGTTTAAATAGAAAGAACAAGATTGGGATAAATAAAAATCATTGCACACCTCAATATGAAAATTTAAATAAGAAACAGGCAGCTGTCTCGGGCAGAGAAGTTAGAACATCGAAGTTGGGAAAATTTTTGATCATACGTGAGCGCACCGTCACGTGAACAAACATGTACAAATGTTGGACTTTGGAAGTTTTCGAACCCTGTACCTCTCTATTGGCGACATTGCAAAAGAAAAACGGCAGGAAACATCAGCACGAGCGCAGTCATCTCATATCTGTTTCCCACTCTTCAAGTTCCATACCTGCAGCAAGCCGTCCCATGAACAAGTCATTATCTGTTCTCCGCCTGGCAGATGTATAGCTTCCTCGACTGAATGGGTGTCCCTCAAATCTCTGGCGGGGTGTGATCGTCGGTCCCTCCTTCCTTCTAATGATGGGTGAAGACATCTAGGTGCAGTTCCATCTCAGGTTTCATCCAACAAATCCCAGTTCTTCACTTACAATGATACGTTCCTCAGCTTCTCAGAATGTATTGGCAGCAAGGCACAAAAAGTGTTTAGGTCAAGAGTGCCGACACTCTCGCATGTCGTGTTGTGCAAGTAAGTATTATCTATGCTTGGTCATCAACACTCATCTTTACAACTCGTACATCAGGCATATCTACATGTTCAACTCGGAATCAAAGCTTTGGGTGGCAAATTTTTCCAATGATAGTACCGTGCAGCACTTAGTCGAGGCATTTTACAAAAACATGTGCGGGGATGGCACAATGAATTCCAAGCGAGCTGCCTGGGCGCTGCACTGAGCAGTCCAGTTGTTGGCCTCCGACAAGGACTTACCCTTGGACCAGCGCATAGTGTTCGTGCATATTGGCGTATGATCTATTTCGTGTGTCCTCTCCCTTTTTTGTCAAGTGTTCTTGAGACCATCTAACCACTTCGCATGTAGTATCCAGCCATGGCTACGTTGCCAATAACTCCAAATTCGATATTTCAGTGAGACTGTACACCTTCACGATGTACACCTAAATCTGATGTCAAATTCAATTTGTATTTTCCAGTTTGTTGCCTCCGAGCGAAAGGTGGCTGCTCCTAAGGTTTGTGTGAGGGTCATGTTCAACATTGTACCTTCGGTTTGAACGTGGTCTGGCATATCATCTCATAACGGCAAGACACTTTTGACACTCTTTCCACATCTCCGGCTGAATGCCATTGTCCAAGACATTCTGCATGTCCGCTATTAATTAGTTTTGTTACTACCCAGCTACTATCGACTACGAACTGAAATTTTGCTATTGCGACTCCTGGTTACTACCAGCGCCCACCATAGCCTCCTGTAGCCCACTGTAGCTCTATATAGTCTGAGTGACAGCTACGTGAACTACATAGACCTATGGTGACTATATAGTACTATATAAGCGTCACCAGGACTCCTACGATTTTTGTTTTTTCCTGATGTGGCTCGCAGCATCCGGACAGATTTGCATACCAGACAAGGCAAGTTATCGCGAAACATACCAAGAAATGGCCCTCGGTCCGTGTCCCATTGCAAACGATGAACGTAAATGCTAATGCGCCGATTGCGAGTAGCAGCTGTCAAGAGAGATCGGTGATTCAACTAGCCCACTCCAAGTCGAAGATGACGAGCCTCAGGAATTTTCAAGACGAACAACTTGCAGGAGAGTCGCAGCATCCAGTCGAACGTCGAACACCTATCCACCATCCCCTGGGCTCCAATGTAGAGATATATACCCTGTGAGCTGGCTTACTCGCACGAATGACTGCATTGCGTATTACTTACTACCGCGTACAGTGTTGCGCTGAGCCAGCGAGGGAAGATGACGATACGCATTTTGCATTTTCAGGCCGCCGATCCCTCAGGATATTCGACACATGCACATCCGTGAGTGTCGCACCATTAGTAGCAAGGCCTCCCTTCGATGAGAACCGATTTGATGTCCAAAAGTTCATCGATCATTTATTTACTAGTGCTAGGAGCAGTGACGGTAATCCCCGCTCCAGATAGGTGCCGGTCGAGGCGTTACGAGTTGATGGTGTCAGCTCCCATGAGGGTATGAGCACACTATTGAGGTTAGTAGTAGTTCGCGAGATCAAGGAAGGCGATACCAGGAGGATTTTGGACTCTATGATGCGGCACGGCGAGATGAGTAAAATTGATCTGTAGACTTCTTCTATTTTTGGTGTCCTGTGGCCAGTTCTCCTGGTGATGTTCCTGTGAGGGTCGAGGTGGAGAGCGAGCGTTACGGGTTGTTTTCTCCCATGGTTTCACGTATATCAGGGATTCCTCACTCTTCATACATGGGATCAAGGGAGCTGATAGGCTAAATGGGATATCACACGACACCAGATCGCGTTGTTCCGAATATCCACGTGGACATGTTTCATCTAGAGAAAGGAATGAATTTCGAATTACGCCATGTTCAAACGTTAACTTGGACGATCGTCATCGGTCAAGGGTATGAAAGTCTCACTTTCCCGTATACACCAACGCACGACTAACTGACCTTCTCAAACGCCTTGAACTAATCCTTCGTAGCCTCAAATGAAACCCTCGCAACTTCAACTCCATCGATTGCATGCGACTCTCCGGGAAAGGATAGTACCTCTACTGTCCTTTTTTTCCCTTTCCGGTCTCATTCTCATTCCTACTCCGAAACCCCCCCTCCCCTTAATTGCACGATAAAACCAAAAGCCCTAACCCCGAACGACCCTCAGATCATCCTCGTCTATCAATATCAGCACTGGCGCTGTTATATTTTCGACGTGCGCGATCGGGGATGCGGTAAAGAGGATGCTGTATGTTTCTGGGGGTCATTATCGGGAGTATGAGTGTCGGCATTCGCAATCTGGGGGAGTTGGATGTGGGTGACGTGTAGGAGTCAGAGTCGGTGGAAGAAACCCAGAATTCAGAATAAATCCAATCAGGAATATCAGTCCTCGTTGTGAGTTTCCCTGCTGCATTGGGTGTTGGCCTATCACTATATGCGCGAGCGAAAGTGGGCATCAGCATTACCGAAGCGTGTATGTTCGAGCGTGCTTGAAAAAGCCTATTGTGGAGAAAAAGGGGACATACGATGAGCAGCAACAAACTTACCCACCATGACTGCCTCCCATCACGAGCTGTCTTCTTTCCTCTGAAACGCCCCTTCTAATAAGTTTCCTGACGCTTTCGGCAACGTCTTCGACGTCCATGCTCCCACAGTGCCCGAAGGGTGTCTGTTGTGTGAGTAAGACGAGAAAGAATTTTGTGCTCTCAGGCAAAGGCGGAGTTAGTAAACAAGACTATTCTTGAAATCACTTTAAATCATCGCCCTGCGTATGTTTCACCCCGCTGATTTACTCGTCTTCAGCGAGACCTTAATGTTGAGCGATGCAACACAACGTTCTGGTTCGGAGTGGAGTTGAGGTGTCTTGGCTATGAATGGTCTGTCGAGGTAGATTCTCATGATGTGGAACTGTACGATGGTTGCATAATTACGCCATATGTGTCGTAGTATGGTGTGCGTATACATGTTTAGAGTAAATTAGAGAATGTCGGCCACCGAGTCACAGACTCGGATCCTTGAAGCTGTACGTACGGGTTCATGCACATGACCATTCCTTTGATAACTTATTCATATTTACAAATTATCACTATATGTTGCATTGGTCATAGCTTCGCGGCGTTCGTGCGTAAAGGCAGGAAGACACAACAGGTGACTCGTCACATCGGGAAGTTCATGATTTTACACCACCAACGCTGAGCGAAACGGGAGGAACCGAAAAACGATGACAAAACAGAAGACGATAAAGCTGCAGTCACGACAAGTCAAACGCGATGAGGATGAGCTGAGAGAATGTTTCTTGATTATATGGCGGCAGGCGAAGATAACGTTCAGAGTTCAGATCTCAGAAATACTAGGTAGCACAATTCTTCATGTATATTCATTATCTTCAAGTTGGACAAATTAGACAGCTGGAAGTCCTACTGCCGATTGTGGATGTGACGATGCCATACTAATGGTGGTGCACGTCATACATGTACTCAAACTAGAGGTGTCTTTATGATTACGTGAGCAAAAACCAGGCAATCATGGATTATACGTTCATACCTTGCAATACCAATATATTTGCAATCAATTCTGTAAGTCAAAACCATATCGTGTAGTAAAGTTCATCGTGAATACGCCTTTCAGAGGTAGACACTGCAGATCGTGGAGTGTGGCATCTATAGTGTCGTATAGGGACACATCGCTCACTGCTAAGAACATGCGCTGTGATAGCACTGATGTTTCGGTCTACGAGAATAACTTATCATATCGGTTAAGGCATGAATATATCTGATAGTCTGAAGAAATTTCAGTGGTAGTCCAACATTTGCATAGAGATACTCGCCGACACTCTCATCAGGGTTGCACCAGCATTTTCCTTTCGTGTGCACATCACCCTGTGGACAGTGCTCGAAGGGCTCATGTTGATACCCGATGTCATTGAAGAAGTGAATTTGTTCCTTCTTCGCGAACAGTGCAGCTCCGATGCTATGAACTGGTGCATCTCCCCAACGCTATTCCAAATGAAACTATGTCCCAAAGCGTGCAAAGGCAAGACTCACTTCATAATAGAATCCACCCTGCTCATCAAGATATTCGAAGAATTTCGAGTATGCCTCGCCTCGCCAGAAGTCAAGATCTGCGATTTCAAAGTTGCTCCAGACTGGCCACGTGATTTCATTAGCACGGGAAAACGTCACGATGTGCAGTAACCTACAGTGACATAGGCTGTAGGACTTTCCATCATCATCAGAGAGAAATTCCATCGCGTTGCCAGGAACCACGGTGTCAGGATTAGCATCAATGAAAGCTGCAGGAAGGTGAGATTGAAATCATAGTAAATGCCGAATATGCTTACACTTTACAACGTCCCATAGCGTTGGGATGGTAGCTGGGATTTCGGATATTGCTATGGTAAAGCCTGTCGATGTTTGAGACTAGTGTATAATTGAAAGCATCGTTTGATTTACCATACACCTTGTTTTGGTCTTGCATCATAAGAAAAGGATCATAGTCCACGTCGCAGAAAAGCTGGATGTCTGGCCTGATTGGGGAAGATAAGCTACATCGTATCTCCTTTGGCTGCGTTTACTCACTCGACTCTCCAATAGTACCGGTACTTCTGCAAGAGCTCATGTCGATAGAAGAACTAGGAACTGGTTAGACAACTTCGCCAAGACGCGTTACGATCGCGTACGCCAGAATTGAAGCGACACATATTCCGGTATCTAGGAGCAGTTAGTCAGAAGCAGCGATGATAATTTAGCATACGCACGAAACACTACCTGGAAAATCGTGACACTACATGTACGCTTATAACTGTAAAATAACCTACCTCCGTAAATCACGTCGTTCTTAATCATGTCATCGCGAGACTTGCTTGCTCGTTCTTCATCAATCCACGATGGTTGATGCCAATGGTGGGGTGGGATGAGACCGAATTCGACCGTGGCATTGGTCAAGGCCCGTATGTGGCTTTATAGCCTGTTAGCAATTTCAAGAATTCAAGCGTAAAGGGGCGCACTCTTGGAAGCTCTGCGTAAAGGGCTCGTCGTTGAGGAAGACATAAGGATACTGGAACTTCCTGTTGAACCTATCCTCGAGTTGCTTCATACTGCTCATGATTCCCCAAAGCTCAGAGTTCCGTACAAGTACGACGATTGAGGCATTCGCTTTGCGATCTTGTAAGTGCATGGGCGAATCTGGCTTGCAGTACTCGTCGGGCACGGGTGTTTTGTAGAGAGGGTTTGACTTCGGAGCAGTCCATTGTTCTGCGAAATTTGAGATGGATGTCGCCTTTCCGTATTCCTCATACGTAAAGCTCATGATGTAGTGAATTGAAATCTGTTCCAGTGTCAAGCTAGGTAAATTGTCGAGTTGACATGAACACGTACAATAACGCCCAAGACAAGCAAGATGTAACGCATCGGGGTCATCATCTTTCCACAATAGAACGAGAGGTAAATGCAGGAGAAAAATGGAGAGGTAAGACTGCTGTTGGTCACGGTGGAAGCATTATCAGCCGCAAACACCCGTTGCTCACGCCCATATAATGAACTGCAGCATAAAAGTTTTTCCTCAATTCAGAGCTCCACGTAGCTTGTTCCCTCCATCTCTTCTCGATGTTCAGTCTAGAAAAGATATCAACACACAAACCGTGACATATCGTCGTGCCTGGTCAATATATGTAGTCGTCATCGTGAAAATATGCATTACTAGGACCAAGGGCAGAAATAAATGATGTGCGTCGCTGGAGCCATCTAGTGCTGGGGTCGGCATAGAGAATCGTCTTCATCACTGACATCGATGACTCCTGGCTGGATCAAACTTTATAGCGCCAATATCGTCATCCTGTTCCAGACTGTCACTTGTGTCCGAGTCGAGAGCGAAAATTTTGTAGCTCCGCTTTACCTGTCACTTCTTCACAGGTGCTGGCGGTGAGATTGGAGAGGATGGAAGGAGAAAATCGCTCAAAGTTTTCTGCTTCATCTTGACTTGCTAACATTCATCGAGCCGTGCGCGTGATTTGTGAATAGAGTGCTTAGATACAGACTTTGTGGGTGCTCTAAAGCAGTTGTGCAAGCAGTGCGAACGAGAAAAACGTCTGCTTTGTTCCAAGTAGGGCCCCACACAGTGACCCCGACCTGTGTAAGAGTGAGCTGAGGTAAGCTGATATTACCACATTAGCAGGAGTGAATGCGACGCACCGAAGTGAACCTTGAATTCCTAAATTATAGGAGGCGCAAGGGGACCCATCGAGGTGACTACATCATGAGGAGACAGTTAGTAGAAAAAGTAGTGAAAAGGCATCCGCGTCAGCATAAGTGCGGGTATCTGTGTCAATACAGGCCCATCTGTGTCAATGCGGGCATCCGCGTCAGTGCGGACATCTGCGTTAATGTGGAGATCCATGTCGGTACGAGCATCTGCATCAATGCAGAAGTTCGCGTCGGTGCAAGCGTCTGCGCCAATACAGACATCCGCGTCCACGAGAGTGCGTTGATCCACATGCGCATGGCGGCAGCTGTTGGCAAGGACGGTACTCACGCCAGCAAGCTTGAAAAATCAATGTGCCATACTACACCTTCGAGTGCTCTCAGTGACTCGTAGCCGGCTTCCCTGCCGGACTTGCTTTCATTGCGTGCGGATGCACACAAGGATCTGGGCCATTGGAGCTGACTGGAGTTTGTAGAACAAAAGAAAATCCGAGAGGCGGCAGACTTCAACAGGGCACCGGAGCTTGTTAGAGTGTAGCCTAAGCCTACCAATGGCGGAGAAGAGAACTCACGTGCTCAGGCACACTGTGCACAGCCGCTCCACGAAGTAAGTTTAACCCTACAACCTGCTAATTTCAAATATGACGTGCAAGAACTTGTCGTGTACGCCTCAGCACATGGTTGCCTCAAGGTTGCCTAGGCCTCATGGTACACCGCCGTATCAATATTAATATCCCTCATCAGGCTTCTGGCTAACACCCGAAGTAATTATCAAATAGAAAACTGCGTCACAAGAATGGTATGTGATATAGCTGTTGAGTAGGAGACTTCGTACGCCTCATGGTACACAGCTCTCCTATATTAACAATATTGCCCATTGCTGAACTGCCGAATCTAGATGCTGGCTTAGGGTTGGGTATTTGCCGGGTTCACACCCTGCAATGATTATAAGGCTACACCAACGCTTCTCCGTGACTTACATTTACTACCAATTCCCCCATGGATCCCTCAAGGATAAGAGAGAAAATCGGTCGCTTTCGAATCCTTGTTATAGGGAGAGCGAACGCAGGGAAAACTACTATCCTCCAGAGGGTTTGCAACACACGAGACAACCCAGAAATATACAACAGTGCCGGGCAAATGGTGGGCATCACCATGATAGTAGGAGGATGGTACTGATCCATTGACATCAGATCGATCCTGCAGTTTTAAAGGCATCTAAAGAGGTATCGAGGTGTGCTCTTACTTCAGGACATGAACTGACGTACTCTCAGCGTGGAGAGCACAACATCGAGAACGAAATGGTGTTTCAAAGTAACCCAGGATTCGTGTTCCACGACTCACGCGGGTTCGAGGCAGGCGGCGCATCTGAATTTGAGATGGTCAAGGCATTCATCGCCAGCCGCTCGAAGGAAACCAAAATAACAAACCAACTACATGCCATCTGGTAATTGCAACCGATCAATTGTGACATGCGCTATCTCACGATTTCAACATAGGTACTGTATCCCAATGGACGAAGCAAGCAGGTCGTTCACTGCAGGTGAAAATAAGTTTTTCTCTCAGTGCGACACAGGAAGCAGTAAGTTTTCGCATCCCACCCTCGTTGACGTTCGGCTGATACGGATAATCACAATCCTCAGTACCGGTGATCATATTATTCACAAAGTTTGACGCCCTATACGACGTCGCATTTGCAAAGCTAAGGAAGGAAGGCAAATCATGGAAAGATGCTAAGAAACTGGCCGCGGAACACGCGGAACAGTCATTTGCTAACGGGCCACAATTGAAGTTTTTCAAAGAGGTCCGATGGCCTCCAAAATGTAACGTATGCCTTCCTAGTAAGCCTGTTCATGGTCGAGTCGCGATACACGATGACCGTCGATCTATTAGACATGGACAAGGATGATGCAGATTGCGGGATACTCATGGAACGCACGGCGGGAACTCTGGACAATGAAGTGCTTCAACAATTATTCGTCTCGACCCAGCAGAGCAACTTGGAGATCTGCATGAAATATGCAGTTGAGAGGTAACTACCCATGGCCTCATTCACCTGCCGCAAGCATTGGCGACTAATATTGCACAGAACACTCCCAAAAGATTTGGACTCTGCAGAGACAACAGCATCCAAGGGTTATGAGAGGACGATAGGGATATTAGGCGCCTGGTTTCCACACATTTTGGTAAGATGATCGGAAAGTTCGAAGGTTGCTCTCATTCACGTTGGGCGTTTACTTGCAGGTAGTACGTGTGTCTATCATCGTTCGAACAAGAGCCATGCTGATCCAAGACGTTGCCCACCGTTCGCAGGAAGTGAGTGCGTCGATCCTCGTTCGAGAAAGAGCCATCCTGATCAAAGTCGTTGCCCACCGTTCGCAGTTCGTGAGTGTGTCGATCCTCGTCCGAGAAAGAGCCATCCTGATCCAAGACGTTGACCACCATTCTCAGTTGGTGAGTGTGGCGATCCTTGTTCGAGCCACAGCCATGCTGATTGAAGTCGTTGCTCACCGTTCGCAGGAAGTGAGTGTGTCGATCCTCGTTCGAGCAAGAGCCATGCTGACCAAAGACGTTGCCCACCGTTTGCAGAGAGTGAGTGTGTCGATCCTCATTCGAGAAAGTGCCATGCTGATCCAAGTCGTTGCCCACCGTTCGCAGTTGGTGAGTGTGTCGATCGTCATTCGAGCAGGAGCCATGCTGATCAAAGTCGTTGCCCACCGTTTACAGAGAGTGAGTGTGTCGATCGTCGTTCGAGCAACAGCCATGCTGATCCAAGTCGTTGCCCACCGTTCACAGGGCGTGAGTGTGTCAATCCTCGTTTGAGCAACAGCCATGCTGATCAAAGACGTTGCCCACCGTTCCCAGAGAGTGAGTGTGTCGATTCTCGTTCGAGCAGGAGCCATGCTGATCAAAGTCGTTGCCCACTGTTCGCAGGACGTGAGTGTGTCGATCGTCGTTCGAGCAACAGCCATGCTGATCCAAGTTGTTGCCCACCGTTTGCAGGACGTGAGTGTCGATCGTCGTTCGAGCAAGAGCTATGCTGATCAAAGTCGTTGCCCACCGTTCGCAGTTGGTGAGTGTGTCGATTCTCGTTCGAGCAAGAGCCATGCTGATCCAAGTCGTTGCCCACCGTTCACAGTTCGTGAGTGTGCCGATCCTCGTTCGAGAAAGAGCCATGCTGATCCTAGTCGTTGCCCACCGATTGCAGTTGGTGAGTGAGTTTGTTCTCGTTCGAGAAAGAGCCATCCTGATCAAAGTCGTTGCCCACCTTTCGCAGGACGTGAGTGTGTCGAACGTCGTTCGAGCAAGAGCCACGCTGACCAAAGACGTTTCCCACTGTTTGCAGGGAGTGAGTGCATTGATCCTCGTTCGAACAAGAGCCCTGCTGATCCAAGTTGTTGCCCACCGTTTGCAGAGAGTGAGTGTGTCGATCCTCGTTCGAGAAAGAGCCATGCTGATCAAAGTCGTTTCCCACCGTTTACAGAGAGTGAGTGTGTCGATCGTCATTCGAGCAACAGCCATGCTGATCCAAGTCGTTGCCCGCCGTTCGCAGAATGTGAGTTTGTCAATCTTCATTCAAACAAGAGCCATGCTGATCCAAGTCGTTGCCCACCGTTTGCAGGGAGTGAGTGTGTCGATCCTTGTTCGAACAAGAGCCATGCTGATCCGAGTCGTTGCCCCCTGTTCGCAGGGAGTGAGTATGTCGATCCTCGTTCGAGCAACAGTCATGCTGATCAAAGTCGTTGCCCACCATTCGCAGTTGGTGAGTGTGTCGATCCTCATTCGAGCAAGAGCCATACTGATCAAAGTCGTTGCCCGTTCGCAGGAAGTGAGTATGTCGATCCTCGTTCGAGCTCGAGCCATGCTGATCCAAGTCGTTGCCTACCGTTCCCAGAGAGTGAGTGTGTCGATCGTCGTTCGAGCTCGAGCCATGCTAATCCAAGTCGTTGCCCACCGTTCGCAGGACGTGAGTGTGTCGATCGTCGTTCGAGCTCGAGTCATGCTGATCAAAGTCGTTGCGCACCTTTCGCAGGGAGTGAGTGTGTCGATCCTTGTTCGAGCAACCTCCATGCTTATCCAAGTCGTTGCCCACCGTTCGCAGGGAGTGAGTGTATCGATCCTCGTTCGAGTAACAGCCATACTGATCCAAGTCGTTGTCCACCGTTCGCAGTATGTGAGTGTGTCTATCCTCGTTCGAGCAAGGGCCATGCTGATTCAAGTCGTTGCCCACCGCTCGCAGTATGTGAGTGTCGATCCTCGTTCGAGCAAGAGTCATGCTGATCAAAGTCGTTGCCCACCTTTCGCAGGGAGTGAGTGTGTCGATCCTCGTTCGAGCAAGAACCATGCTGATCCAAGTCGTTCCCGCTACCCGAAGCGTGTGAGTGTTTGATCCTCCTTCGAGCTCGAGCCATGCTGATTGAAGTCTTTGCCCACTGCTCAAAGCGTGTGAGTGTTTGATCCTCTATCAAGCGTAGCCTTCCTAAGTCAAGCCATCGCTGCTGATTCGTTGATAGTCTGTGAGTCCGTTGACTCTTTGTCGAGTTCAAGCATTCCTGATCAACGCAATTCATCATCTATCGGCAGGAGGTCAGTATATTAATCCTGCACCGACTTTCAGCTACTGACCGAAGATATTGTCTATTCATTGACAGCTTGTGAGTGTGATCATCATTTGTCGACCTCCTGCCTTCCTTACCGATGCGATCGCTGATTTATTCTTAGGATGTGGGTGTATTGATTCTACGTCGCCCTCACTGACCGAACACAATACCGCTCCGTTGGCAGATTGTGAGTTTCTCGATCCACAATCGAACGCGAGCCATACTGACTGAATACGTCGACCATCCATTCACAGGATGTAAGCGCATCGACCCGCAGTTGAATTAGAGCACCACTAACCAATGACATTGCTGATCCCTGTTGACAGTTTGTGAGTGTGTTCGTCTGCCATTGAGCTCGAGCATTGCTCACCGACTGCATTACTGATCTGTTGACAGTTCGTGAGTCTCGATCCTCATCCTCATTCGAGCTCTAGCTTTGTTCACCAATGGCATTGCTCATCCATCACCAGAAAGTCAGTGTGCCGATCCTCCATCGAGTTCGAGGTTTGCTTACCATTTGAAATCGCACATCCTTCGATAGAGAGTGAGTCTAGAGCCTTGCTAGCGAACGTCATCGCTGATCCATCAATAGGACGAGCTTCGCGACGATCACCGTGTAGAGATACGGTCTAGGTTACTCTCTGCGGTATGTCTCATTGGTTACAGATTGTGCACACATTTCTCATGTTGCGACTCTGTCAGGCCTCCCACTCATCACCCTTGGAGAATGTCGTTCAGCTCATTTCTGGTGAATTTTGAGGCTTCGTCGCGATGAACCTGCTTATTATTGGACATTTAGCTGTTGTGATTATCTTCGAACACTCTTTCTACATTTTCGACAAGCGGCGCTATCTTCAGGACAAGCAGGAGTCTGGTTCCTCATTTCATGTTGCTCTCGAGCAGTACATGACTTCTCCGCATGCAGCTACTGTCAGGGAAGCTGTGAGTGTTGCCGTCCAGGCATATGAAGAAGCTGTGGCTACTGCCGCCCACGCATATGAAGAAGCTGTGAGGACTGCCGTCTATCCATATCAGGGAAAACTGCCTTCTTGGATAACGAAGTTACCATTTGGATCTTTCAAGAGGAAGGCAAAAGAGGCCAAGGAATACTTTGAATGGTCTCAGGCGACAGAAAAAATATCTTTGTGCTCTCGGGCGAAGGCGGAGTTAATTGAAGCTGTTCTTGAAATCGTTATAAACCATCGCCTGCGTATGTTTCACCGTCACGTTGAGGCAGCACTCCTGCTGATCCGCTTGTTTTCAGCTAGACCTTAATGTGGGGCAATGCGATAACCCATCATGATTAATGATGCTGAGGAGGAGAGGAGAGGAAGTTCCTGGGCTATCAAGGTTGCTTGAAATGTTTGTCGAGATAGATTTCGGGATGTGGAACTGTATGAATGAGTTGTATGATCGTGCGATATGGGGCTTTGTGTGGTATACGTGTTTAAGTCACCCTCAGTCGAGGCCGTGGCAAGAGCTAACTGCGCTTGGGCTTGATGTGCCTCTCAAGTATCCGTGGTACGGTTTGAGGTTCAAGGTTATGTTATACTCCACGTACAGTCTGTCTCAACTTGCGTGATTTTGACCTGACACTTTGTGTAGACGCGTGAAATCGAACGTTCCTGGTCAGTGACTCCAATTGGTGCACCGGTGATGGATGAGATCTTTACAAAGACCTGGCTGTGAGCGGGAGTTATTTGAGGGATAATGAATGCGCAGGTGATCATAGCTGTTGATTCTGAAGTTTTACAAGGTAGATGCATCATTCCCTTATACATTCAGCGTTGGCCACTCCTTTGTGCATGCCACAGTCAAAACCCATTCTCATTCTCACTGTTATGATAGGCTATCGATCGTGTGGATCATAACCTGGGTCTAGATGGATCTTCTCGAGGGACTGACAAACGATGTCATCGTGGAACAAAGGAGAAACAGACTTACAGGGCATCAGCATCAAGTCGATGGAGAATTCTGCAGCGTTGGATGTCAGCTATGCTAAGGCTCCAATCGGTTCTTATTGTATTATGCGTGTCTTACAAGCACACGAGCGCGTCGAAATTGGTACACACCAGAGATCGCAGCATGGGGAATATCAGGCCCTGGAAATTGCTCTAGAGGTCTAATGCAGATATCCAGCAGCTCCGCTTCTGCTTTTTCTTGGCAAGTTCCTCGATGGCCTTGTCGCTCAAGGAGGGCGAATGCAGCGAGTGCTTGTACCCTCACATGGATGCGGGGGCTTATGTAGACTGTCTGTGTTGTGGGTAGCCTTCGTTTGAGTCACGATTTGTTTGCAAGAGTCTGAGGGGGCTGGGGTGAGGAACTTGAGACTGGGGTTGCGTGCCCAGATGCGCCTGTAGTAGCCACTTGCGCCGGAGTTTGGGTAATTGATAGATAAACTGAATTCATTGGACATGTGTGTAACATATGTCACTGTGTGGATGAATCGATGATGGGTAGGACCTATAGTGGTCTTCTCAAGATATGGCCCATCAATTTTTGCGTCATGCTGCTTGCGCAACGCGTGTGCATGTGAAATTTTCAAATCTCCCTGCATTGGGACATGCATTTTTATGGAAAGCCGGACGCGCGCGCTCCGTTACATGATGTGACACGCACCAAATGAGGTAGTCACATGGTTGGGACACCGGACACCTCGAACACAAGAAAATTTTATAGTACCATACAGTCCGACGAGTACATTTTGCTGCAATCTAATGTTCTACTTCATCATCGTTCACTTCCTTGTCATTCTCGTCATTCTCGTCATTCTCGTCATTCACTTCCTTTACAAATGCTTTCAGCCCAAAACCAGGCCATTCACAATACTCATTGCAGGCATGCTGGGTTTCAAAATTGCTGACGGACGCCTCGATATTTCCATCGCCGAAAATATCACTCCCATTGCTGACCGACCTATCCGAACATCAGCATGTCAAGGTATTGAGTATCCGAACGGATAAAAAGACATACGGATCGGTCATGATTTGAGGATCCGTGAGTAGTACTGTACTCCCTGAATACAATGTTTCATTCCAGCCGAGCATTGTGTATCAATGAGACGTACCCTGATAGTCAGATATGAATGCGAGTTGGCCGGTCTTGACATACTGGACGTGCTGTGTGAAAGCAAAAAATTCTGCCATGTCGTAGCCATAGTCCAATTCATCGAGCAATGGATTGGCATCCATATTGTGGATGAATTTGAGAAATGTATCATCACCACCCTCAATGAGCTCTTCGAGGAGGAAGGCAGCTCGCATTGACCCCGTCTTCGCTCCAGACTTGCTACCACCCTGACTGTAGCACAATGCGAGGCTGTCATATCCCGCGTTCCGGACCCGGACCTATCACACTCATCATTTCCGGATTTCCGGATCCGGCCGACTTCTATGTATCGTCCGGATCCGACCCGCGTCTAACTTCCGCGCCTTATCCCTTTGGTATTTCCCTTATCAGTTAGTACGCTTTATTTTCCGTTCCTCATTCATCTCCGTCTTCATTTTACTAAGTTCCGATAGACTAGTGATAGTCGTACCATATGTTTTCTTCATAGCTTTACATAGCTTCGCACTGCACTTACTATTCTCCGTTATGTCCTCAGTAGTATATAAACCCCTGTACAATCTCTGTAGTTTCCTCAGTTCGAATATCATATTAGACTCTGCTCATTCTCTCCTCCGTCCGACTTGAGTTTCTCTCTCGTCGACCTCCGCTCGTCTTAGGATCGACTCCTATAGACTTGACACCTCCGCCTCTACCTCTGGTAGTCCTCCGCTGTTTCCTTTCTAGTTCGGACTTCGTCCGGATTAGTCTTATCTCTTGTTTCCGAACGTCCGCCGGAATTCCCGCGCATCGGACATCGGACTCCGGACATCGCCCGACGCCCTCCGGACATCGTCCGGTAACCTTCGGACATCGTTCAACAACCCTCGGAAGTTAGGGGCACGTACTCGGGTAAGGGGCGCAGCGCACGAGCTGAAGCCAAGCCCTTCGGATCCGACCCTTGAGCACGTTCTTAACAGTATATTCGAACTCACACCTTACCGAGTATACTTACATCTGACTTCATGGCACCTACACGGGCGCAGACCGCTCTCAATGCAGCGGGTGTAGTAACCGCCCGACGCGACTCTACTCCCATAGTCGATGCCTTCCTCAGTTTCTCACAGCGTCGCGCTAGTGCGCAAGGCGCTGCCTCCAGTATCTCACAACTCATGAATCGCCCACATCCGTCTACCCCCACCCCCACACCCGCCGGAAATCTTCCGCACAATGATTCCGACGATGAACTTGCCCTAGGCGGTAACCCGCCAGGAGGAGGTGGCGGAGATCCGGATGATGAACCTCCGGAAGACCCGACTGACGATGAAAACGAAGGTCTAGGTCCACAAGACTTGGTCTTCCTCCGGCTATCCCAAGCCATCAATAACCTGGCGCGTAACAACCGCCAATCCTCCGGATCCGGTGATCCCAAAGTCAAAGTCCGAGAACCGGATACCTTCGATGGCACTGAGCCCCGGAAACTCCGGGCGTTCTTTGTCCAATGTGAGCTTAACTTCCAAGCTAAGCCGAAATCTTTCCGTACCGGCCGAACTAAGGTCAACTTCGCGCAATCATACCTCAAGGGCATGGCCCTTGAATGGTTTGAGCCGGACCTCCTTTCGGATGATCTAATGGATCGTCCGGACTGGATGGACGACTACTCCGAGTTCATGTTAGAACTCCAAACTAACTTCGGACCTCATGACCCGGTCGGAGATGCGGAAATGCAGCTGGAACAGCTCTATATGCGCGACGGACAGCGCATCAACAAGTACGTTGTAGAGTTCCAGCGGCTAGCTTCCCAAGTCCGAGGTTGGGGCGACGGAGCTTTGCGCCGTCAGTTCTACAACGGACTTCCGGCTCGCATCAAGGACGAAATCAGTCGTCAAGGAAAACCCACCACTCTGTCCCAATACAAAACTCTCGCCCAGACTATCGACGCTCGATACTGGGAACGCAAGGGAGAAGTCTCCCGCGAAACCAAACCCTCCGCATCCGCGCCTCCTGCTAAGCAGTCAGCTTCCACTTCCGACCGGAAAGAGTACTCCGGCGGAAAATCCGGAAACGCTTCGGCTTCCTCCTCCACCAAACTTCCGGACTTGACGTCCAAGCTCGGAAAAGACGGCAAACTCACCTCCGAGGAACGCCAGAGGCGCATGGAGAGGAAGCTCTGCCTCTTCTGCGGCGGACCCGGTCACACTGCCCGGGACTGCCTAAAGTCCACTTCCCGTGCGGCCAAAGGTCGTGCTAGCACGGTGACTCCGGAAGCCAAACCGGAGGTCTCGGAAGAGACAAAAAATTAGTCCGCAACCCTCCTGACTCCGCGCGGGACGAGGGTTGCGTTGACTCAACCCGTGCAATGGAGCTACGTCTCAACGCTATTTCCTTTTCCGATCCGAACTCTCTAGTACCATCCGTTTCAATTTCTACTTTTCCCGATATCTCTCCGTTTCCGGCTCTTGTAGATTGTGGATCGTCTCATTGTTTTATAGAAACCAGATTAATCCGAGAAAATAACATTCCAACCTATGCAATTCCTCCGCTTCCGCTCCATCTGTTTGATGGTACTTCTAATGCCACTATTACTGAGGCAGTAGATTTACCGATCCGGTTTCCGACCGGCGTGGTTACCTCCGAAACATTTTATGTTACTCCGCTGGACTCATCCTGTTCCATCGTTCTAGGATATAGCTGGCTCACCCGACACAATCCGTTGATTGACTGGGTAAAGGGCAGCATCGATTTCCGTCCGATTCCTCATGGAGTGCCTCCGACCCCTCCGACCTCTTTTCCGCCGGCTCCGGCGGAAATCCCTTCCTCAACCTCGCCGAGTCCCTCCGCTGATAATGCCGGTCCTAATATTTCCCTAATCAATGCAGTTGCCTTTTGCCGGGCCTGTAAATTAGAGGGATCGGTTCAGTTCAGTATTTTTGTTCGTCCGTCCGGTGTCAATCTCCGCTCCGCTACACTCTCCTCCGAACCTCCGAACCTATCCGGAATTCCTTCGGAATATCACGAGTATGCGGATGTCTTTGATAAGGGCAAAGCAGGACAGCTCCCTCCCCATCGTCCATATGATCTAAAGATCGAATTGGAAGAAGGAGCGGCTCCGCCCCTTGGCACCATCTATTCCCTTTCTCCGGTTGAGCTTGTAGCTCTTCGCAAATTCCTTGATGAGAATATTGCGACCGGACTTCTTCGTTCCTCATCCTCTCCGCACGGAGCCCCTGTCCTATTCGTCAAAAAGAAGGACGGCTCCCTACGCCTCTGTGTAGATTTCCGAGGACTCAATAAAATCACAAAGAAAGACCGCTACCCGCTTCCCCTGATTTCCGACCTTCTCGATTCTCCGAGCCGCGCTAAAGTTTACACTAAAATCGACCTCCGGTCCGCTTACCATCTAGTCCGGATGGCGGAAGGAGACGAGTGGAAAACTGCTTTCCGGACGCGCTACGGCTCGTATGAATGGTTGGTTATGCCGGAGGGTCTCACCAATGCTCCGGCGGCTTTCCAGCGCTTTGTCAACACCATCTTCGCCGATATGCTTGACATATGTGTTATTGTTTACCTCGACGACATCCTCATTTATTCCGCAGACCTTGCATCCCATAAAAAACATGTCCTTGAAGTCCTCCGACGCCTCCGGAAGCATCGGCTATATGCTAAACCGGAGAAGTGCGAATTCCATTCCGACTCCGTAGAATACCTCGGTTACCTCCTATCTCCGGCCGGACTTACAATGTCCTCCGACAAAGTCCAGACTATCTGCGACTGGCCGGAACCTCGGAAAGTCAAGGATATTCAATCGTTCCTCGGATTCGCCAATTTCTATCGTCGCTTCATATTTAACTACTCCGATATTGTAGTTCCGCTTACGCGGCTCACTCGCAAGGATGCTCCCTGGAATTTCTCCGAGGATTGCCGGAAATCTTTTGAAACTCTCAAGAAAGCCTTCACTACCGCTCCGGTGCTTACGCACTGGATGCCGGATGTTCCTATCGTCGTTGAGACGGACGCTTCCGACTACGCTATCGCCGGAATACTTTCTATAGTATGTCCGGACCAGGAGCTCCGCCCGGTTGCTTTTTACTCCCGAACCCTTTCGGCTCCGGAACTCAACTATGACACCCATGATAAGGAACTCCTAGCTATTTACGAAGCTTTCCGGTCCTGGCGACACTACCTTGAAGGCTCTGCCGAGCCGATAGACGTCGTCACAGACCACAAGAACCTTGAGTACTTCGCTACCACAAAACTCCTCACCCGCCGCCAGGCCCGCTGGTCGGAATATCTTCATCAGTTTAACCTCGTTATCCGGTTCCGACCCGGAAAACTCGGAGCAAAGCCCGACTGCCTAACTAGACGTTGGGACGTCTACCCCAAAGAGGGGGATAAGGACTACGCTCAAGTGAATCCACACAACCTCCGGCCGATATTTACCACAGAACAGCTCGCTTCGTCCCTCCGGGCATCACACCTAGCAATTCCGGTGCTCCGGGCAGCTGTACTGATGGATGTCGAGCAGCTTCATAAGGACATTCTGTCCGCCCTCCCTAATGACCCTATCGCTTCCTATCACCTTCCGGGTCCGTCGGACCCGAGATGGACAGTGGACGAGAGTGGTTTCCTCCGTTGCGACAACCGTATATACGTTCCAGAATCCAATGACCTCCGTCTCCGAGTGCTCCGGAATACGCACGACCACCCGCTATCCGGACATTTCGGTCAGAACCGGACCCTGGAAGTTATCCGTCGGGAATATACCTGGCCCGGAATCCGCGCATATGTGAAGGACTATGTTAAGTCCTGCACGACCTGCGCCCGAGCTAAAGTTCCACGACACAAACCATACGGATTATTGAAGCAACTCCCCATTCCCGAAAAACCATGGAATTCTATATCCATGGACTTCATCGAACAACTCCCTGATTCCTCCGGCTTCACAGCCATCCTGGTAGTCATAGATCGACTATCCAAGCAATCCATATTCATTCCGACCTACGACACCATCACCTCTCCGGACCTCGCCCGGTTATTTCTCCTCCATGTGTTTTCCAAGCACGGAGTTCCGTCCCATGTCACTTCCGATCGCGGTACGGAATTCGTTTCCCACTTCTTCCGGTCGCTCGGAAAAGCACTCGACATGATCCTCCATTTCACCTCCGGATATCATCCGGAAGGCGACAGACAAACCGAGCGAGCCAACCAAACCCTAGAACAATACCTCCGGATCTACTGCAACTATCAGCAGGACAATTGGTCGGAACTGTTACCCTTGGCCGAGTTTGCGTACAACAATGCTCCGAGTGCTACCACCGGAGTTTCGCCATTCTTCGCCAATAAGGGTTATCACCCGAACATTTCCATACATCCGGAGCGTGATCCCTCATCCGCCCGTGCCCGGGACTATGCCATAGATCTAGACGAGCTTCACCAATTCCTCCGAGAAGAAATGTCCCTTGCCCAAGCAAGATATCAAGGACCCGCGGACGCTAGACGGAAACCCGCTCCGGACTTCAAAGTCGGAGATCAGGTCTTCGTCAAAGCAAAATATTTCTGCTCAACCCGACCATCGAAAAAGCTCTCGGAAAAGAATCTCGGACCATTCGACATCATCGCTCGTCCCGGTACCCACTCCTTCACCATCCATCTTCCGGACACTATGCGATCCGTGCACCCCGTATTCCATGTCTCTCAGTTAGAACCCGCAACTCCGAACACTATTCCTAATCGCATCCAACCTCCTCCGCCCCCGGTATTAGTCGACGGAGAACCGGAATACGAAATCTCCGAAATCCTGGACTCCAAGATCGACCGCCGGAGACGTCACTGCCAACTACTATACTTAGTACGTTGGGCCGGATATGAAGGGACGGACGAAGAAACTTCCTGGATACTCGCAACCGAACTCGGAAATGCGCCGGAACTTCTATCGGATTTCCATTCAGCATATCCGGACAAGCCGGGACCAACTTCTAACAAAGAGTAAGGAAAAACATGCATATATGTACATTATTTAGGCGTCCGACATCCGGACTTCGGATCCGACGACCTAAGAGTCCATCTCCATGTCTCCGCCGGATCCGCCGGCCTCTTTTTCCGCCTCCTCCTCATTTTCCTCCTCCGGAGCATCTTCTACATGCATCCGGAAACCGCCCCTCAGACTCTCCATGAAGAGAGTCTGAAAATCCCTCTGCTCCTCCATGAACCGGAGCATGGTCTCACTCACCCGGTCCATCGCAGCTCTACTTCCCTCCGCCGCTGCAATACCCCTCTCCATCAGCCCATTCGTCCGGGCCAGTTCCGCAACTATGTTGTTGGCGGCTGCGACCCAGGCCTGGTCGTCGTACTCCGCCCAGTCTTGATCCTCTCCAATAACCGTCCGGGGATTGGAGACTATTTCTATGTCGTCGTCGATGTCCTCCGGACTGCGCTGACGTCTTTTTCCTTTGCCCTTGGGGCTCGGAGATCCCTCCGGACGCGCGCGTTTCTTGCCTTTGCCTTTGCCGGCCGGCGCCTTGACAGGCGGATTTCCGCCGACGCACTTTTCCTTGGACGCGCGGCACTGGTCACACGTCCGGATCTTTCGGAAATCATCAGTAGTCATCCGGATCCGGACAAAACAGAAAAACTCACCCTAGGCGTCCTAGACGCTACTGCCCAGGTGCAAATCTTGCGCCTAAGGACGCACATCTCACACGCAACCTCCGGATCCGCCGGACCGGAGGACTAAAAAATTGTTAAACTCCGGAAAAACGCAAAAAACCTCATCCGACTCACCTCCGACGCATTACCCATCCTAGCCTTTGCCAAACGCTCCTGCTCGCGCTCCGCCAACCTCTTCCGAGTCTCCTCGATATCCTTCCGTTTCTGCTCCTCCATCCGTTTCCGTTCCTCTTCCGCCTCCTTGCGCTTGCGTTCCTCTTCCTCCGCCTCTCTCCGAGCGTCCGCCTCAAGCCGCACAATTTCGGCCGCCATTTCCGCCTGTCTCTCTTCGAGAACCTGCCGGGCGGTCTTCTTGTTGCCGGAAGTGGAGTTAGACATGATAGAAGCAGTAATAGGAGTTAAAGGGAAAGTTTTAGACGTCTCATAGGCGCCCCGGCCTACTTATATGCTCAGTGCTATTTTTACGAGCTCCGCCCATCATCTCGCATTCATAAAAGTCCGGTCCGGACTTCCGAATCAGAAGCCTCGTGGGCTCGGCCCTAAAGGGGGGATACTGTCATATCCCTCGTTCCGGACCCGGACCTATCACACTCATCATTTCCGGATTTCCGGATCCGGCCGACTTCTATGTATCGTCCGGATCCGACCCGCGTCTAACTTCCGCGCCTTATCCCTTTGGTATTTCCCTTATCAGTTAGTACGCTTTATTTTCCGTTCCTCATTCATCTCCGTCTTCATTTTACTAAGTTCCGATAGACTAGTGATAGTCGTACCATATGTTTTCTTCATAGCTTTACATAGCTTCGCACTGCACTTACTATTCTCCGTTATGTCCTCAGTAGTATATAAACCCCTGTACAATCTCTGTAGTTTCCTCAGTTCGAATATCATATTAGACTCTGCTCATTCTCTCCTCCGTCCGACTTGAGTTTCTCTCTCGTCGACCTCCGCTCGTCTTAGGATCGACTCCTATAGACTTGACACCTCCGCCTCTACCTCTGGTAGTCCTCCGCTGTTTCCTTTCTAGTTCGGACTTCGTCCGGATTAGTCTTATCTCTTGTTTCCGAACGTCCGCCGGAATTCCCGCGCATCGGACATCGGACTCCGGACATCGCCCGACGCCCTCCGGACATCGTCCGGTAACCTTCGGACATCGTCCGGTAACCTTCGGACATCGTTCAACAACCCTCGGAAGTTAGGGGCACGTACTCGGGTAAGGGGCGCAGCGCACGAGCTGAAGCCAAGCCCTTCGGATCCGACCCTTGAGCACGTTCTTAACAGAGGCCAGCTTCCACAAATCGAACACGTGGGACCACGAATGGCGGGGGTTCGGGTGAAGATGTGATCGAACGATCAATAAAGTCGTACGTGAGCTGTAATAAAGATTTGGACCAATATAAGACGTTGGCTTCCCTGAATAACTTGGGTAGCTCGTCAGCGAGTGCATACCGGCCGACTTTATAATGTCCAGCCTTCACGGCAGTTGGAAATACTTTATAGAATGGATGTTTGACCACAACCTTATGACGAGGGACTGATCCGAGACCGGTCCTGGGAGAAGCTGTGAGTGTAAGCCATCCGGCATGCGCAGTCTTGAAGCCACCAATTCCAATGAAGCCTTCCGTCGACATATCAATAGTCAGCTGTCCAATGGACGACTCGGCTGTGTCCACCGAAAACGAATGATACTGTGCGTTTCGCAAGAGATCGGTAATGGCACGGGTAGGGATGTGGTGGAATTGAACGTTTTCGTTCTGTAGTCCAAAAACTGTAAAATAATAGTAAGCGCTCGCCGCTGACACAATTTGAGAAATTGATGAATGTATGTACCTTTCTTTACATTTAAGTTGGCACTTCCTCCGATCTTCAAGACTTCTTTGAGTCGATCCCGATCGGGTGAACAGAGAGCTGCAGGAGGTACATTCTTCTTTCGAGGTGGAGAGGAAGCACCACTGAGACCGCTAGAGCTTTCAGCACGCTGGTGGGTTCTCTTGGTAGAGACTGTCGTAGAATTGTCACCGGTGGTCACCGAGGGCAAGAAAAGCTCATTCTCGGCTAGCGAAGTCGTTGCTGATGAGGGAACATTGCAACTGACGGCTTTGTGAGCAGTCGTGTGCGCAGTGGCGTGTTTGCTAGACTGCGTACAGCTTGTTCGGGTAGCTTCTGCTTCCTGGACCACAAAATCATGGTTAGTGTTGGTAATCAGACAAGACAACATCCAAAATGCGTACCATTTCGGCACGAAGTTCCAACCAATTTTCATATTTGTTCCATTGAACCTCCGGGACAACGACCATCAGCGCAAATTGTTTAGACTTGAAAGTTGATTTGGTGCCTTTGCGAGACGGCTGCAGGCATTGATCGTAGAAATAAGGGACAGATCGCGGGTGATCGGATAGATCCACCCATGCAGCATCTCAGATGATGAACTCCTCGACACGCCAGATAAATTCTCCACCGAATTTGCGTAACTTTGGAACAATGGTCTCCAATGCTAGCTCAACGAGCCTAGGCGCATCGATTTGAGCGTCGATGTCCTTCTTACCCTCACATATATTCTAAGCTGAAGTGTAAGCAAGCCACAGTATATTTCAAATGTAGACATACTCCAATAGTGACTCCGCCTTTTTTGCGAGTTCCAGCACCTTCATGAACCGCAGTAATTTTAAGCAAAATTGTCTCTGCTAGAGACGAAGCATATGCGATTTTGCCCCAGCAGTCACGCTCAGCAGCGTAGAGAACATGTTGTGATGAATACCCAATGGCACCGGCACCCGTAAACGGAGTTGTTGATGAACCGTTCCATGATGTAGGAATTCTAACATCTGGCCCTCCAGTGCGAGAGCTGCCGGGTACAGCAACCACCGGAGGCGGATTAGGTGTTGCTGTTATGATATAAATAAGATCACCACGGTAACACAAATCTGTAGCTTACATTTGCGTTGCGCTGCATTCACAGATTGCTGTATAGTACGTGGATCAGGAGGGACGCGGTATTGCAAGGTTCGACCACCTAAGTCAGTAGTCCGTAATCCAGCAACTTGTCGATTGACGGTGATTGCGTACCAGTAGGTCTCACCGAAGTGGCTTGTTTCTTCTCGTAATGCAAGTGGCAGGATGCGCACACATAGCGCCCACGTTGACCTGGCTCGATTGTCGCAACATAGAAACACGGCTCTCCAGTCCTAATATTAGCCTGGCAAGACGGACGGTCGCAAATTCGGTCTGCTTTGGCATAGGCGTCCTCGGTGTATTGGGTGAGAAGTTCATAGTCTGACATGGTGCTCTGAAGGCAGCATACTAAGTGGATGCCAGGCAGCTTAAATATCGGGCATAAGTATGAGGTACCGCGGAAATTTGGAGTAGCTCAGGAGTAGCTCAGAGTTGAACTGCGGACTGGGAGGTAGTAGTAAACATGAGGTACTGTCAGGAATGGTAAGCAACAAGCAACACCGTCACGCCAAGTCAGATTTCCTTCAGGTGACACCAAACAACTAGCAAGTGGAGGACCCTGTCCGTCACGCCAAGTCGGATTTCCTTCAGGTGAAGGACCCTGTCCATCACGCCAAGTCAGATTTCCTTCAGGTGACACCAATCGCCGAGTCGGATTTCTTGGATAGTGAACATGCTGCTAAATAGGTGCGTCAGTGGGCTGCACATGAGTTCAGACATAGGACGCACTATCAGACTCTTTGTTGAGCTCTTGTGCGTGAACCGTTCGGACTCTTCACTCAGACTCTTCATTGAACTCTTGTGTGAACTGTTTCTCTAGTGAGTCAACCTCATATGAAAGTCAACTTGGAAGCGCGCACCTATTTGTGATCTCCGTCCATTCCACACCCGCGCTCAGGCAAAGTACTAGCTGGGTTCAGACTTGATGATGTGGGGCACGAGTGAGGCATGAGTTTGTCCAGAAGTAGTGTGCCGTTTGGGACAAGTCCGGGCATGAATTCCCATGTGGCTGCGGCATGTACCTCTGAGGCAGCGATCTTAACGTGAACGGTTTTGGGGGTGGGACCAGGTGGGTCTTAACCTCGTCATCTTGCTTCTGAGTCCGGGATCTGTTGGCTGCGGTGTGTACCTCTGAGGCAGCAATCTTAATGGTAAGAATCGCTTGGAATCCATATGATAGATGTGCGATGAAATTTTACCTTGAAGTCTTCAAAGGCTGGTTGAGTTATTTCCATTGCACGGATGATGTTTTCTTGAGGGCCAGACACTAGCTTGCGAAATTCCACTGGCGTCGGTCGCGGTATGGTGAGATGGTCGGTTCAGACTTATGGCAGCGGGGCATGAGTGGCAAAGCCAGAACATTATTTGGGAGTTTACAGAACACCAGATTCAAGATCCACATGCGCATCTGCAGCTCGCAAGGCACGAGCGGGGCATGAGTGGCAAAGACAGGATGTTTGGGACAAGTCCGGGCATGAATTCCCGTGTGGCCGCGGCATGAACTCCTGGACTACTGAACTAGGTAAGCCCAAAGCAAGTCACTACTAATATAAAGGTGACAATGCAAGCCTAGTTGCAGCCAGTAAGCGTGCTGCAATGCCCAACCAGAACAAACCTACACGTACATACCTTTCAAGTCACTCCCACTAGTGTAACTTCATTCTGAACTCTAAGCAGCACCACTGGATGAAATCGCACCCCATATCCTTCGACTGTGGAAGGCCCGCCAGACTGATCGGCAGATCATTCAGGAATTACAAAAGCATATCGACACCAATCGTTATGGTATTGGGTGAGCAGTGTTTTAATTTGAATCTCGTTATTTACGTCAAATGATCATACACTAGGCTTACCACACTTCTCAAAATTCGCAAAACCATGGGTCTTCAACGGACCCGCAAACAGGGTCACACGGTTGAAACTATTCGTGATGCGATGCTTGCTTTACGTGCTACCTATCCGAATGCTGGAGCCCGCGAGATGGTGAGCTTGCTATATCATGAAAGAGAAATGAGTGTTGCTAGGTTATACATTTATCTATACATCGCTGATTGCTGACCTGTGCACCTTAGGAGGGTTGTGACAGAATACTTTGCTTTGTATGAACCGGAACTTGTTCGTTACCGTAAGGCTTGTCGCCTTCGAAGAAGACGCTTCTGGGCAGCAGGCGTGAACGACTTATTCACGGTCGATCAGCACGATAAGTGGTTGAGATTTGGTCTCGGGTTGCACACTGGCATTGAGCCTTTCTCCGGTCGCATAATGTGGATTCGGGTATGGCATTCCAACCGAAATCCACAACTCATTCTGAGTTACTACCTCGACACAATCGAGGCTCTCGGTCATAAGTGTTTCGTAATTTAAACTTTAAAGCATGAACCTAGATTAATACAATATTAGATATGCCGATGGTCACTCAAAGTGACCCCGGGTCTGAAAATTACGGGATCGCGAACGCCCACACCATGCTGCGACAGTGGCACGACGAAGCCTTGCATGGCACACTCCAGCATCGTTGGATGCGAAGCAAGAAAAACGTCATGCCGGAGATTACATGGTCTCAGCTGCGCCGCCTGTTCACACCCGGATTCGAGAGTCTTCTAGATCATGGCGTTAATTCTGGTTGGTATGATTCCGGTAATACCCTTCAAGTGTGCGCCATTTTCCTTTTCTTCGAGTGTTGGTCATAATGTTCATCTGCAGGATGGTTTTCCATTGGGTGTTCATACCGTGGCTCCAGCAGGAGCTGGATGCATATCGGGATCGTGTTAACAACACGGCCAAGCGCCGTGACCGTAACAAAGTATGTGCCACTCCCACAAGTATCTTTGCATTGACGTGCCATCTAGATTCTTCCTCATGGAGTACCGAATATCATCTACCATTCAGCTGAGGACTTTGGTGCTTTAGATTTCAAGGTATGTGTTACATCAATTCGGCCATTGTCAAATAGTACTCTAATCTCAACACTATCATAGATTAAAATCGAACACGAGGCCCTAGTTTATGTCCAAAACCTTTACATCAAGTCTTCTCATTGTGTGTTTGACCTGGTCCCAGAGGCTTTCGGCAAATGCATCCAGCGTCGTTATGACGATCTTGGTCGCCCGGTTGTCACGCGACAATCAGCCTGGGACACATATCGGCTTTTACTAGATGCACTCCGTGTCGCTGACGAGTTGCCAGGCCAGATTCAGCCGCTGGATGATGAAGACGAAGACTTTGTTCCACTTTTAGACGACTATCAAGACTTACCTTCTCGTGAGGAGCCTGATGGCGCCTATTACATGGGCGGTGTGGGAGGAGGCATTGGCCTTGGTTTGTCGTCTCCAATCTCAATGGTGCAAATGCTGATTTGGATGTTTACTAGATACTGAACACCTTCATCAACTAGATATTCTTTCGTCTAATGATGAGCCGCCTGATGTCACACTCGGGACTGATGAAAACTTGGTCGGTCTTGATCATGCCGGTTTGGTGATTTGGGAGTTCTCGGACTGTGAAAGCGACGATGAAGCAGATAAATGGTGATTTTCCTTCCGTTGTGTACATATCTCGTGTATATATTTAGTATTCTTGGATGGCGGTATGCGGAGTCCTACTGCCCGTTATGGATGTGTGACGCTTATTAATGAGCGCGCGCGTCCAGCTTTCCATACATTTTCTATTTTTATCGTGCATCGTTACTTGCATATTTCCCTACGCTGCGCCAGTCTCATCAATTCACTGATGAGTCAAGGAAGTACCCCAACATGTCATTTCGCAGGATGTGATATCTGGGGATGAAACAAGGCAGGAAAACGTGATATATATACTGTGCGGTAGAGGTGAGTGCAGAGTATCGTGCTCTGTTCATCTTCCTTCGTTCATTAGTATCTCACCAAGCACCTAAACACAGCGCACCTAGTATAACCCTCCTTATTTTGACGATATCGAACCATCACCAGCGAATGAAGCTTGCCAATTCTTGCCTCACGCTGGCCATGTACGCTCAAGAACGAACATTCGACTAGGATTTTCACCTTCTCTCAGTCCTCCCGAAAAAGACATGCGTGTTCCCGAAACTGTAGTCGTTATTCACGACTCCATGTCCGACTAGATACCTGCAGTCTCCTGCTCGTTATGTTTTAGGGGTCATTGTTCCGGATCTAAAATTGATTGTGACCCGGTGTACTGCTCTCGAATATTTATCCTTGATGCACACCGATGCACTACAACAGATAAGCTGCCCATTCTATACTATGACAGTGTCATTTTGTGCAAGTGGCTTGTAACTCTGTCTTGTCCACCTTTCGACTAGGCAACATGGGAGCACCTCTCCAACTTCTCACAGTCACGGTTCGTATGAAGAATAATCCCTTCCGTATCGGACAATGATATGACCTTCGGACCCTTCCTCAACCTCACATGTGAGCTCTTTCTTTCCTGGCAGAAACGGCTGCATACATCATAACACTCATCCCTTCGCTGAAAAAAAATTAGACCTTTGTTTCTTTACATTACCTTGCGTAGACGCCGAGCGGCTTTTCCAGGTCATATCCCAGTGTAAAGCATGCCAAACCCTTGAACACACTAGGATGCAGTCCTGCAGATTGGGAGGTCAGGATCCGGACAGCTCTTGGACAGCAATCACACGATTTCAAGACCGAATCTCAAAGCTCGAATTTCCTTATTGCTGCACCCACCTTGACAACGACCATCATCCAAAGCCATGTCATGTTGGCCACGCATCTGCTCTCTGAAATTAGAAGATAAAAAAGCCATTACATTCCGTGGACTATTCGCAGCGCTTCATCGATGTCTTCGAATAAGTTGAGAATATTGACGTTAATCGCCATACGTACTTCACAGTTCGAATTTCAAACCACATTGCACAACCGCCAACGATCGGCCATTTCAAGCGGATCCCGAGAGGCTTGCGAGCGATTGATTGGTCAGCACTTCAGCAAAGGTTGTTTGTCTCTGTCGTACAACGTTCTACCCCACTATTTAGACTATGGGTCCCCGATAGTGTTTCGGGCAGAACTATTTTGTAGCTTTGCCAGCAGAACGGGCAGACCCTTTCAGAACTATGTTCTGCCAGCGTGACAGATGGCGGAATATGTTGTTTTCATTGTGCTAGAGGTACGAATTACATGAAGACGACCATTAATGGGCTTGAAGAAGCATTGCTTTCCTCGTCATCACCCAAAATAGCCGCACAAGACGGGTCCGGAGACTGCCGGAAATTTCAAATTCCCAGACTGCTGTAAAGTCAGCTGATCGCATATAGGTGTTTGCAGTGCGTCCACGACGAGTTTCTTGCGGACAATATTAATTACTGCATTCTACGGTAGTATCCACCAGTCTGTTGAACTTGGGAGAAGTATCATGGTGTTCAGAAGCTGGCCTCCAGACTTGGTAGAGTTTTATAGTGCGTCTTTTCACGCTATCATGATCATACACCACTGATACATGGTCTAGAAACATAGTGCGAACCTTATATCATCCAATGGTCTTCGGCGTTCGCTCAGAACCGTTTGGTTCGAGTAACCCGACCGTTTCGGGAATTCGAATTTCTAACAGTCCCGGGCCGCAGAACAATTTGTAGCTGCTTTCAACTTGTATTTCGCGTTCGCTCACTAGCACTAAGACTGTCTAGCTCATCACGAATCTTGCACTACCACGTATACCTTGATGGCCAACACCCGTGGACGAATACCATTGAACTGTCTTGAGTCACTGATTCAATGCCAGCAGTCCGACCATATCCAACATACGACTTTACATCAGTATAAAACGGACAGTACCAACATTCAAGTGGCCAACATCCTCTCTACAAGTGAAATCAATTGAACATCATGTTTATCCGCCCCTTTACTATCCTCGTTGTCCTCTTCGGCCTGACGGCCCTTGTCAGCGCTGGCCCAGCGCCAGTGGTAAGCCTCACGTCGTCTTTAATCGTATCATATTGTCACACAATGTCCACAGGATGCTAAAGCAAAGGCCCTTGTAAGCCGCGCCTGCCCTTAAATCTTATCATTTCCTCATACAATGTCCACAGGATGACAAGAAGCTTAAGACTCCCCCTGTAAGCCGTGCCTCGCTTAAAATCACATTCTATTCTCATACAATATCTACAGGCCGCTTTAGAGAAGGCCACTGTAAGCCTTGCCTCGCCTTGATCATATCGTATGTTCATATAACGTCCACAGGAGGACCAGAAGCACAAGACTCCCCCTGTAAGCCCCGCCCCGCCTCGCCTTGAATCATACCATATTCTCATACAATATCCACAGGCTGCTAGAAAGACTGATATCGTGAGCCTCGCATCGCCTTAGAGAGTATCATGTTCTTATAAATGTCCACAGGAGGACGAGAAGAAAAAGACTCCCCCTGTAAGCCTCGTCTCGCCTTAAATCGTATTACATTCTCATACAATGTCCATAGAAGGACAAGACTACAATCGTGAGCCTCCCATCGTCTTAGAGAGTATCATGTTCTTATAAATGTCCACAGGAGGACGAGAAGAAAAAGACTCCCCCTGTAAGCCTCACCTCGCCTTAAATCATATTACATTCTCATACGATGTCCATAGAAGGACGAGAAGGACAAGACCATCGTAAGCCTCGCATCGCCTTCCATAGTATCATGTTCTCATGAATGTCCACAGGAGGACGAGAAGAAAAAGACCCCCCCTGTGAGCCTCGCCTCGCCTTAAATCGTATTGCATTCTCATACAATGTCCATAGAAGGACGAGAAGGACAAGACTACCATCGTAAGCCTCACATCGCCTTCCATAGTATCATGTTCTCATAAATGTCAGCAGGAGGACGAGAAGAAAAAGACCCCCCCTGTAAGCCTCGCCTCGTCTTAAATCGCATTACATTCTCATACGATGTCCATAGAAGGACGAGAAGGACAAGACTACCATCGTAAGCCTCACATCGCCTTAGAGAGTATCATGTTCTCATAAATGTCCACAGGAGGACGAGAAGACAAAGACCCCCCCTGTAAGCCTCGCCTCGCCTTAAATCGTATTACATTCTCATACAATGTCCATAGAAGGACGAGAAGGACAAGACTACCATCGTAAGCCTCACATCGCCTTCCATAGTATCATGTTCTCATAAATGTCCACAGGAGGACGAGAAGAAGACTCCCCCTGTAAGCCTCGCCTCGCCTTAAATCGTATTACATTCTTATCCAATATCCATAGAAGGACGAGAAGGACAAGAAGCCTACTGTAAGCCTCGCCTCGCCTTAAATCGTATTATGTTCTCATACAATATCCACAGGAGGACGAGAAGCGCAAGACGCCTCCTGTAAGCCTCACCTCGCTTTTAATCGTATCATATTCTCATGCAATGTCCTCAGGCTGCTCGCGTCACAAATTACTAGGCCGGGGTTGAGGTAAGCCTAGCTTCGCATCAGATCTCACCTTGTTGATCTTACAATGTGCATAGCTGAATAACTTGCATGGTCCTCTTGATGATGCTTGACCGATGCACTCGTACCTCACTCCTACCAAATGCACAAATGCGAAAGAGCTCAAATAGTTTTGCCGACTCTCAAATTGCTGTTCAATTTCTTGACATGTTGTAATTCCTAGTGAATAACAACTACTGTTTCTGTTTCTTGGCTGGTGAATCCTAGCAAGCTTATCACGCGCACGGCCTCGATCCGCGTGTTCAGTCTGACCGAGTCCCGTTTACCCATGTCAGCGCAAGAACTTTGGTTCAGGTGCACATGGCTCGCAGCATCCGGACGGGTTCGCATATCAGACAAGGCAAGTTATCGCGAAACACATCAAGCAATGGCCCTCGGTCCCTGTCCCGTTGCAAACGATGAACGTAAATGCTAACACTAACATGAATGCTCGTGCTCGATTGTGAGTAGCAACCATCAAGAGGGTGATTCAACTAGCCCCACTCCGATCCGAGTCGGAGATGACGAGCCTCAGGAGTATGTCTTCGATTTTCAAGACGAACAACTTGCAGGAGAGCTACAGCATCCAGTCAAACGTCCAACGTCGAACACCTATCCAGCAACTCCTCGGATCCAACGTAGAGATATACCCTGTGAGCTGGCTTGCTCACATGAATGACTGAATTGCGTATTACTTACTACCGCGTACAGTGTTGCGCTGAGCCAGCCAAGGATGATGATGACACGCATTGTGCATTTTCGGGCCGTTGATATTCGACATATGCACATCCGTGAGTGTTGCAAGATTACCAGCAAGGCCTCCCTTCGATGAGAACCGATTTGATGTTCAAAAGTTCATCGATCGTTTATTTATTAGTGCTAGGAGTAGTGACGGTAAGTCCGAGTCTCTCCGCTCCAGATAGGTGCCGGTCGAGACGTTACGAGTTGATGGTGTCAGCTCCCATGATCTCGGGCATGAGCACACTATTGAGGTTGGTGGTAGTCCGCGAGATCAAGGAAGGTGATACCAGGGTCTGTGTCCACTCTGAGGGGTGCCGGTGGCCCGATGAGTACTTATGATGCGGTACGGCGAGATGAGTAGAATTGATCTCTAGACTTGTTTTCGCGGTATCCTCTAGCCAGTTCTCTCAGTGATGTTTGTGTGAGGGTTGAGGCGGAGCGTGAGCGTTACGGGTTGTTTGCTTCCATGATCTCGGGATTCACCATTCTTCACGGATCGGTTGACAGGATTTCGAATGACAGCACAATACAGGATCGCGTTGTTCCGGATATCCACTTGGATGTGTATGATCTGAAAGGAATGAATTTAATCTCTAATTACACTATGGTCAAGGGATGGGCAGAAGTGCGAAAAGGGTCTAGTCCAAGTTGTTTAGGCCGCCATCGGAGAACCGGTGAGAAGATACTGGACGGTTTCGAGCCTTTGTTTCAGCTCCATGAAATTTTCTTTCATTTAGTAAGATAAGCACATATATGCCGCGATGCCTGGCTAGCTGGTGTTATCTCGTCGCCGTTTGAGAATGAAGAATAAAAACAAGGACATAAGCGACGACAACATCGTTCGATAAGAAGACTCAATATTGATGTGCAGCCAGTGCGCGAGGTGACCGTGTGCCGTGTGACGTAATACGAGAAAACGAGGCGTTTAAACTTTAAAGCGCATGATATAAAAGGAAATGAAAAGAAATGCATCCGTCGCTATTCGCATCGATGAAACATACGGACAATTGCTGCGTCCTACATCGTGAGCTTTTCGACCGAGATTTGGCATGACTAACATGTCACGGTACAGTTCTACGAAGGGATACAACTGCCAATACCTGTGATACTTGTAGAGAGTTGAGACGAGCGGGGGACACGCGGGACGCTAAACGATGATGATAATCTCAGTATCTTTGATAGAACTCTGTGTGCTACGTGACAAGTACCTAAACGATGATGATACTAAGTCTTTTGTGAGTTCGTCGTAAGGTAGATAGAATCAGATATACGTACATCTCAGTATCTTTGATAGAACTGAGATGTCGTGTCGTTCGTACTCGAACCTTTATACTAGCGTGCATAGGAACGGAAAATTTCAGTATCATAGGAATATAGTGGAATATAACGAAAAAGATATCGGCCGACGTCATATGCGTCACTCGCTCGACTCGCTAGTACGTTGCGCTCGCCTATACTCATTCCTCTTCTTGATCGGCCGTTTCGGATCCCAACACTCCCCCTCGAGCGGAACCTAGCGCCATCGATGCTCTCAGCTTCTGGAGGCGAGGACGCGGGAGGGCTTTCGTAAAGGCATCGGCTACGTTGTTCTCTGTTGGGCAATAGAGCAACGAGAACGTGCTGTTTTTGATGTGCTGGCGTACGAAATGAAAACGAATGTCGATGTGCTTGGTACGGGCGTGGAACTTCGGCTTGGAAGCAAGGGCTATAGCAGCCTGATTGTCGCAGTAAATGGGAGTAGGGGTACGGGGCACGTCGTAGAGCTCCTCGATCAGAAGCTGCAGGTACAGCAATTCGCGCGTGACCGTAGTCAATGCTATGTACTCTGCCTCGGCGGTGGACAGTGCTATGAGTGGTTGCTTGCGGGCACTCCACGCAATGGGTCCACCATTCAGCAAGACGACGTACCCGGAAATTGAGTGACGATGCGGCTGGGACGCCCAGTCTGCATCAACGTACGCCTCTAACCCTCCATCTGTCGTGCCTAGGGTGAGTGTATAGTCTGCTGTCCCCTTCAAGTAGCGCATCACGCGCTTGGTTGCTTCCCAATGCGCGTGCCCGGGGTTCCTCATAAATTGGGAGAGAGTGGCTACCGAAAACGCGATGTCTGGCCGCGTACTAGTCGCTGCGTACATAAGCGAACCTATGGCGCGCTGGTACGGGACGTCGCGCATCGTGTGGTGCTCGGCTGGGGTCGAGGGAGATTGGTCAATGGTCAATACAGCGCTGGTATCCATGGGCGTTTGGGACGATTTGCAGTCGGATAGGTTGAATCTTTCGAGGACAGTGTTGACATAGGCGTTTTGGGAGAAGGTGATGGTGCGTGCGACGCGATCCCGTTCTACCTTTAATCCGAGTAGCCAGTTGAGTTCGCCTAAGTCCGTGATTTCGAAATACTTGCGCAGGTCAGCTTTGAAACATGTGATATGAGTGAGGTGCTTTGAGGTAACTGCCATATCGTCGACGGACACGGTGACAACCATGTGTTCGTCGTGGTCCCGTTTGTAAAAGACGGCTTGATCGACCTGTGAGCGCGTGAAGCCAATTTTTCGGAACACACCAGCAAGTTCTTCGGCCCACTCGTACCCTGCTTGCTTCAGCCCCGGCAGACTTCTCCTCAACCTCAAAATCTTTCCCTCATCACCTTCTTTTAGGTACCCTGGGGGTGCACGCATGTACACCTCCTCCTTCAGCTCCGCGTATAAGTAGGCGCTCTTGATGTCCACTTGGTGGATCTGCCAGTCATGCTCCGCGGCCATGGCTAGGACGGTCCTGATGGTCGACATGTTGGAGGTAGGCGCGAACGTGTCGAAATAATCGACACCTTCTTGCTGACGTTGGCCGTTAGCCACGAGGCGAGCACGGAGTTTGAGTTTCTGTCCATCCGGACCGCATTTGGTGGCAAGGACAAAATGGCATGGGATAATGTTGACACGTGAGTGCGGACTTACTATTTCCCATGTGCCTAACTTCTCCAATTGGCTGATTTCATAATCAATCGCCTCTTGCCATTCAACAGTGTCTGGACCGTTTAGTGCCTGCTGCAGTGTTGGTTCCGGTTCGGCAGCCGCTAAGGCCAGATGGCAGGTGCGTGCTTCTTCCTCGTTGTGAGCTAACTCCTCTGCTTCCAAACAGGACTCGGCAGCCAGACTTACGCTCTCTCCCTCATGTAGGGCGGAGTAGTAGCCTATTGGCGGACGCACGCGGGTTGTCCTTGGAGCCGGAGGGGTCGTAGGTCTTATGGATGGCTTTGGTGGAGTGGTGGGAGGTGCTGGTGGCGATGTTTGCTGAGCGCTAGGTGCGTCAGCAATTTTAACTGCGCTAACTGAGTTGTTAGGCTGGGACTCCCCCTCGTTCGGCATATCATCTGCCACCATCACGTCCGCTGGAGCAAACGTCACGTTTCGCTCCACGGACACTCGCCGTTTTGACGGCCAGTACACGCGATAGGCTTTGCTCTCCGTGTCTATCCCCACGAAGAGGGCCTCCTCCGCTCTGGCTTCGAGCTTCCCCGCCTCCATCAGGTGAACGTAGAGCCTGGACCCAAACTCCCGTGCCTTCGTCAGGTTCGGCTTGGCCCCACGTACCAATTCGAATGGAGTTGTCCCTGGGGTGGACCTCGACGGTAAGCGATTCTTCAGCCAAGCAGCGTAATTGACAGCCTCCGCCCACAAGTATTTTGGTAAGTCCCTTCCCAACAGCATAGCCCTGGCATGCTCAACCAGTGTCCGGTTCAGACGTTCTGCCACTCCGTTTTGCTGAGGAGAGTGATGCACGGTAAGCTCCCTCTCTATTCCCTGCTGCGCAAGGTGCTTATCGAACTCTTCGCTGAGGTACTCCCCTCCTCTATCGGACCTGACCTTCTGGATACGGGCACCGGGCTTCTGCCGTGCCACCCACGCCTCGTAATGTTTGAAGGCCGCTAAGGCTTCGCTCTTGGCTCTCAGGAAACGTAAGGTCGTTTGCCTGGAATAATCGTCCGTGAAGCTAATATAATAGCTGCAGCCCGCAATGCTCATTGTCTGGGCTGGACCCCAGAGGTCCGTGTGCACTTTTTCGCCATAGGCCTTCGCACGGTTCTTCGTCTCCTCGGGAAATGGTCTCCGAGTTGACTTCGCCTTGACGCATGCGTCACAGAACTCTGGGTTGGAGGTAAGGTCAAGTTCTACTCCCTCAACAGTACCCTTCTTTACAGCCTCCAGGACAGCGGCATGCGACACGTGACTGAGTGCACGATGCACCTCGCTGATGGTGAGTTTGGACTTTGCCACGTTCGCATGCTCTTCGTGCTGATTTCGAATGCTATAGAGTCCCTCGATTTGAGGGATCTGGGCAATGACGTCGCGTTTCGGACCTTTCGACAGGATCTTGCACGTTCGGCCTTCAAATAGGACGGCAAGGCCGGCAGCTGTGATTCTGTTGGTCGATATGAGAGTGAACGCCATCTTTGGCGCGTAGAGAGCATTTTTGAGTACAACGCTGGTGCGCTTGTCACCTAACGGTAAGTCTAATTTGACATCACCACGTCCTACTGCACTTATGGTTGTTCCATCGGCTGTATGCACTGGCTGGGCAGGTATGGCCACGAAATTCGAGAACTTGGACCGGTCGGGACAGAAATGGGACGTTGCCCCCGAGTCCATTATTGCACCTCGTTTGCTGACAGGTACGTTCAAGTCCTTCGCTATGGTGGCTAAGTCTGACGTGACAAAGGCATATTGGTCCTGGGGGTCTGGGTCAGTAGCGGCAGAATTTGCTGCTTGCTTCTGGCCCTTTTCGCCTTTTTCTCCTCTCTTCTTCCTTTGATTTGGACCTTGACCCTCTTTTCCCCCTCCAGCGCGCCAGCAGTCACTGCTATAATGGCCCTTTCGGTCGCAATTGAAGCACACGATGCTGGAATCCGTTCTGCTAGTGTTGGAGCCGGAGGTTCGGCCTCTGCCCGCGGTTCCCCTCGCAGAGAGGGCAGCATTTCCTCCTCGTTTGGTCGGACGCCTATCGGTGAGTTGCCGGTGCTCATATTCTTCGGTAATGATGGTGATGAGTTCGTAGGGGGATAGAGGTGTTTTGGTGATCTTAGCGGCAGCATTCATGGATGAGAGGAGTGGCCGGTAAGATTCGGGCAGGGACCCTAGGATTATTGCGTGGAAGTCGGTATCGACTACCGTGACCCCCATTCCAGCCAAGGACTCTCGTAGGCGTAGAAGTTCGGAGAAGTGCGCCTTTACGTCGCCTCCTTCATCACATCTCGTCTCCTGGAGCCTTCGCCTCAGGTCTATCTGGACCAGTTCCGTTTTGCCCTCGTGAATCTGACATATCTCTTTCCAGATTGCGGACGCGGACCCTAGTTTTTGGACCCGCAACAGAAGCCGATCTGTGATCGTGCAAAATATCTGTTGCTTAACAAGTGCGTTCTTTTGATGATACTCGTCGATCTTTTCGTCGAGCTCATCGATCTCTGTCTGCGTAGGCGTTGACCCGTCCGCCTTTGTAACAGCCTTCGTCGTAGGATTTACAGCGAAGGGTGTTGGCTCAATAGCCCGACCATCGGTATATCTCGTCAATCCTCGCGCACCTATAGCTGTTAACGTCCGTTCCTTATAGGTTATCCAGTTCGAGCCGTCTTCGGCAAGCTTCGGGATGTTGAACAGGCTGGAGTTGGTGCTGGGAGTCGACGAGTCCATGATCGGGTCAGGGCTCATAACCTGTAGAGAGTTGAGACGAGCGGGGGACACGCGGGACGCTAAACGATGATGATAATCTCAGTATCTTTGATAGAACTCTGTGTGCTACGTGACAAGTACCTAAACGATGATGATACTAAGTCTTTTGTGAGTTCGTCGTAAGGTAGATAGAATCAGATATACGTACATCTCAGTATCTTTGATAGAACTGAGATGTCGTGTCGTTCGTACTCGAACCTTTATACTAGCGTGCATAGGAACGGAAAATTTCAGTATCATAGGAATATAGTGGAATATAACGAAAAAGATATCGGCCGACGTCATATGCGTCACTCGCTCGACTCGCTAGTACGTTGCGCTCGCCTATACTCATTCCTCTTCTTGATCGGCCGTTTCGGATCCCAACAATACTTTGTACTTGCGGCCTTACCGCGGCCGGGACTTAGTTCAAGGTTCTTCCGAGTCTTTGACTAAGTATGCTATCACAGCCGGTAGTCTCATTTCCCGTCGACCGGCTGTTTGTCCTTGATCTGAACGAAACGTGTTGTTTTTAAACTGCTAGCCTTTTTGGGGCCTGCAACTTGAACTTGACTTTCACTTCATCATCCATTGTTCTGCGACTCAAAGATGTCGACAATCGCTACCATCCCAAAGGTAAGTGCGGTCTGTTCAGCACTCGTCGTATGATCTAAACCGGCGGTGAAGATTAGAGATGCTCTTCGAGCGACCTTCCGTAGCGGTTTGACGCATTCCATACCGTGGCGTCAGCACCAGCTATACCAGCTTGCACGCATGGCGCAGAATGAACGGGAGCTCATTTGCGACGCCCTACAGAAAGACCTCGGAAAGCCAAGAACAGAGGTCCTGGGGAATGAACTGGGCAGCGTCATCAAAAGAGCTCTGAAGAGTGCAGAGCGGCTCCCGGAGTGGGTCAAGGCTGAACATCCTGAGGTGATTGATCGGCAGAAGCCATGGAACCCAACGTGAGTGATACGATGATCCATCAATATAACTGATAATCATATGTACATATTGCAGGATATACAAAGCTCCGAAGGGCACTGTGTTGATAATCTCGTGAGACGGAAGATACTGTCTCAATTTCACTTCCTGACATCTCGCTTAAACAGACCATGGAATTTCCCTATGATGCTCTCTTTCCAACCTCTCACTGGAGCAATCGCAGCCGGCTGCACTGTCGTACTAAAGCCCTCTGAGCTTGTTCCCACTTTCTCACAGCTCTTGGAGGAAATTGTGCCAAAGTACCTCGACCCAAATGCGTACCGTGTCGTTAATGGTGCTATACCTGAAACTACAAAGCTTCTGGAGCTTCAATGGGACCACATTTTCTACACAGGGAATGGCAAAGTCGCTAGGATCGTTGCCAGCGCTGCGGCTAAGCACCTGACGCCAATGACACTGGAATTAGGTGGAAAGAGTCCTGTCATTATCGACTCAGCATACGATATCGATCTTGCTGCAAAGAGGATATTGTGGGGCAAGTGTCACAATGCAGGACAGGTGAGGTCCAATTTCGAGCTACTCCCCGATGCGGCGTACTGAATTGGAATTCTGACAGATCTGCGTGGCACCTGATTATGTCCTCGTACAACGGGACAAGCAGGATGAGCTGGCGAGGGCGTTTCAAAAGCATTATAACGCATTCTTCCCCAAGGGTGCGCTAGATTCGCCATCGTTTGGAAGTATCGTGTCAGATTCGCACTATAAACGCCTCACCTCACTTCTTTCCCGCACAAAGGGTGAAACCGTTCTTAAGGGCCGCGCTGACGCTGCGAGGAAAAGACTCGAGCTCACCATTGTCAAGAATGTTGCGGGCGGCGATTCATTGCTAGAAGAGTCAGTATTCCCTTGTGTTAGAAATGTGATTCTGATGGCATGGTATCCATAGAGAACTCTTTGGTCCGATATTGCCTATCGTGCCCGTGGATTCGCTCGATCAGGCGGTTAACTTCGTCAATGCACGGTAAGCTCTTCTCCCAAAATCTAACTCGTCGACTGATTTGTCGCACCAAGATCTCATCCACTAGTTCTGTATGCTTTCAGTGACAACGAGAGCGTGAAGCAACGACGTATGTTTCACTTGGCCGCTGATGGTCGGTTCATGCTAACAATTGCAATCAAATTTTCTACAACAGTTGTCTCGGAAACACATAGCGGTGGTATTGTTTTCAATGACACCTTCCAACAGCTCGCTGGTATGTTATTGACGTCATGCTTGAATTGGCACTCACCCACATTTATCTGCCAGTGAGTGAACTGCCGTTTACGGGAGTTGGCGAGTCAGGCTGTGAGATTTCCATTACACTGGGCTAGGATCGCCGCTGACGCTTGCCCATGACAGACGGATACCAGTTTATGAAATATACATATGATACGTTCACGCAGCTTCGTAGTTCTATTGACATGCCGAAGGAGTGAGTTCTGCTTTTGTTTTGGTTACCTTTGAACTGAACACGATGATGATGAATAGGGCTGAGGCGAGCCTGGCGGTGAGGTATCTGCCTCACTCGGAGGAGGCGGTGAAAGCCCTCACTGCTGCTGTGTATACGCCTATTCCACCAAGCCGCTTGTGAGGAGGGATGATGTGGGAACATTGTTGCATGTGTAAGATATAGGGGATGCGCACATGGATAATTCTATACCTTGTACTATTTTACCAATACCCGACGGCCAATGTCACAACATTGTCACAAACTCCCATCGAGATTTAAAATTCGACTATTGTCGCTTTTCACTACGAGAAACCTTGCATGGCACCAGTCTAAGTTCTCTGATACCCAAAGCTACCTGGGTCCTGCGTTGTAACTCAGGAAAGGATCAAACCGAGACATGTAAGTATTTTGGCTACGTTAATCGGTACCCATCAGTGACAAATTGCGCGTCCGAAAGTAGATTGGATTTGGGAATCGTATCACAATTGAGACAACATACTCAGTCTATCCAGTGATGTCGTCTTAAACGACGCCAGCTGTGGGTGAAGCTACTTCATATTCGATATCTTCAAGCGCCAGAAAGATATCTTCGGGTTCCCGTCTAAATGTTGATCGCGCTGTGCAGAACGGGCTAATTCTTCTCACTCTCCGAACGAAATGCACAATATATATAGACCATGGTGATTTCCGGTCTGTACTTATGATTAGACGAGATAGACTCAACACAATCGATCTTCAATCCTCGTTGTGCTCACCATGATGGATTTCCAAGGAGATGTGTTTGCCTACTGGGGTCGAAACATTATCGAAGATTACAATGACGCTCTCTTTCAAAACATTTCCCTCGCCCCGACTGATTTTGAAGAGACTTCGCAGCTACCTGCACTATCCAAACATGGTTATGGCCCGCCGGGTACAGTTGGAATCCTAGGCGCAGGAGTTGGCGGTCTATACACCGCCCTCATCCTAGATTCGCTGGACATCAAGTATGAGATCTTGGAGGCGTCGGACCGCACCGGTGGACGCCTCCATACCTACGACTTTCCAAATGGTGGCGAATACGACTACTGCGTATGTCGTTCATTCGATGCGGCTGCGCCAAAGATACTGACCATGTAAACTTTTGGCTTTCCCGCTAACTAGGATATTGGCGCCATGAGATTCCCCCTGCCGAAGAAGGACGCTCAAGGCAATTACAAGATGGGCGTCATGATGCGCTTGGGGGAGTTAATCAACTACTCAAAGCTCAACAACATCGACGCTGTTGAACCAGCTCCTCCGTCGACAACTGTAAACCGTAGGCCATTCACTTGGGGTTCATGCAGGGCACCTCTAAACTCCCACCTTATCGATTATCATATGACGTCAAAGAGACAAGGGCATTTCCTCTACTTTAACAATCAACGTTATCGAGTCTCTCAGACATCGCACCCTCCTGACTTTCATGCCCAGGAATTGGGTGTGGATCCTCAGTACATTGCCGCAGGAGCTGAGAATATTATCAAGGACGTTATTAGTCCATTCGCTAAGGACCTCATTAAAGACTTGGAGCAAAATGTCGATTCGGGCTGGAAAAACTTGAGGGAGCACGATGCATACTCCCTTCGCTCGTTCATGTCATTCAAGTACACTCCCACCATCAGCCTCCAAATTCCGCGCACGTCTCTTTCCACCAATACTATCAATTGGTGCGAAGTACTCAATGGCTGCACGGGATCGTTTGACGTAGCCTTAACTGAATGGGTTGTTGATTCGCTGGCATTTAACGGTGTCGAGTCGCAGACCTTTGGACAGGTAGAATGGAAGTGTTTCAAGTAAGCGCGTTTCTGTCTTGGAACTCATACACAACCTCACACATGCCATTACCGTACACAGAGGCGGTTCTCAAGTTCTCATCAATTACATGGAGACATACCTTACTGCTAACGGCACCGAGTCTCTCATCCAGTTCAATAAGAAGGTCACGAGCATCTCTCAAAGTGGAGACCTCGCAATGAATGTTTCTGTGCGTGGCGAATGTAGCCCGCGCACATACTCACATGTTATATCGGCTATCCCTCTGCCGGGCCTGCGGCTGATTGAACTCGGAGGTGCCGGTTTAAACGTGATGCAGAGAAATGCGTTGCGTAAACTGCGATACGATACTTCGGTCAAGGTTGGCATGCGCTTTCGATCAGCGTGGTGGACCGAGCTTTTCGATATTATAGGAGGCCAATCATCCACAGACCTTCCCATCCGAAGTATTGTCTACCCCTCTCACGGTGCTGAATCTAGCACGCCGTCCACAGTACTACTTGCGAGTTACTGTTGGGAGAATGATGCAGAACGCTTGGGAGCGCTCATCAACACCGGTAAGATAGAGTGCGAGGAACAATTAAAGGAACTCGTGCTGCGCAATCTCGCAGAAGTGCACAACGTGGATTATAGTTTCTTGTTGGATCAGTACGTAGACATGCATGCATGGAACTGGGGCGACAACCCGCTCACCGCGGGTGAGTCTCTGAATATTGATGTGAGCCAATTAATTCTCACTCGCTCTGCCACAGGTGCCTTTGCATCCTTTGGGCCCGGGGATTTTTGTGATTTATACAAGGCTCTCACCGTGCCGAATGCCAACAAGAGGCTCCATTTTGCTGGAGAGGCCATCAGCACCCGTCATGCGTGAGTGAAAAGCGGTTGGGTCGTCTTGATGATTACAACGTAAAATCAATGTAACTTGCAGGTGGATCGTCGGTGCATTGGACAGCGCATGGCGCGCGGTGTATGAATACCTGCTCGCATCCGGGCAGCAGGAGAAAATCCAAAGATTCTTTGATCTGTGGGGTCAGAACGTCGAGTGGACATGTCAATCCAAACATGGAAAGCACGATCCAACTGATCCGAACACCATTTTACGAGTTCACATGGGATGCTCATATGCTGGTGAACTCGCTGGACAGGTGAAGTTTTGATGATTAGCTCATAGGAACTGGTACATGTCAGCATCCGTTAAGTGCTAGTTCTGGCAGACCCTATTAGAATAAAGACAGCTGCTCCTTTACATACAGTATCTGCTGGTGTTGTACTAAGTGTATATGTACGATGTTGGTTATCTTACGATTTAGATTTCTCACTGCAGATCTAGTAAGGATGGAAATTCTGGAAAGGATGTTCAAACATGTTACATCTATTATATATTACGGTTAACGTGATCCGCATCCTTAACATTGTGTGACTGCAAAATTTGTGCTCAACACTCTCCACAGTATCGCTGTTGCGTAGGGGTATCTCAAGACACCTGCTGTCTCGCACGAATGAGATTCGCCAATGTCGGGGTGTAAGAGGAAATGCAAATTTGAGGTTTCTCTTTTTCTCGTAGGGTCCCTGCGGCATGTAGAGGAAGTAGTATGAATTCGGCAGTGGGACAACCATCAGATACGTGAGTTACGGCCAACTTTTGACTCGTTAAGGGCTTGGACCACGGGGTCGACAATACGGTCTCAAAGCTTGCAAAGGATGTTGACAAACTCGTTTTGATGATCAGATGAACCAAATTGCTTTACGAAGGACTGGAACTTGAAGGACGACTCGGAGATTTCGGCCTGTGTGATATCGAGAGGAACATGGACAGGATCTTAGGCCCACAAGATGATTAAGGCATCACAGCCGCACTGACTAGCATTGACGATGATAGCTGGACCTCCTTCAGCTGCCCTCTGAAGGTCTGAAAACGGTGGAGGTAGAAGAAGCCGAGAAAAATGAGGGAGCATGCGGATCGTGAGACGACATCATCATAGGCGTTACGAAGGTCAAAGCTGAGCTGCGTAATCTCATTCGCTAAGGCTGCGCCAGCATCACCTGACATGGGTAGTTCATAGTGGGGTGCGAAGGCATGCTAACTGGGTCCAAAATACACCACGGCCTTGCTCGACCAGTTCCACGGTAGTCGTGAGAGAATCGTGACGAATACTGCATGAAAAAGCATCCATAGCAGAGGAGGAAGTGGTCTCTCCGAGGACGTCAACGTAGCATGAAGAAGACGGCGACAAAAGAGTAACATACTGGTCCAGAAACTTCAAAGAAGTTGCGGATGAATCTTGAACATCTCATCCAGGTCAGCCGAGGCGTCCCGCATCTGAAAAAAAATCTAGTTTAAAGGTCGATGGCAAGATTGTCGAGAGACACCGATCAGGATGACCGAGGGGACGGAGAAGTAGTGCAGTACCGCCAAGCTCATCGATGTCAGACGGGACGTACTGTTGCGGAGGTCTGTCTCTCAAGCCGGCAGAAAGATTATTGAAAGACATGGATCGATCAGGGTGACCGGGGGGACGCAGTAGTGCAGCTCGATGGAGCTCAATGATCTCATCTCAGTCAGATTGGACACCTGTGATCTGGCTCCGAGGCTAACGGCGAGATTGTTGAGACGTGGACCTACCAAAATGACATAGGAGCAACTCAGCTCGATGGTGCTCGATGTCCCCATCCAGATCAGATGCGGCACCCTACTGCTGGAATCTGTCTCGAGGGCTAAGAGCAAGATTGTCAAAATACATGGATAGATCATACTAAACCAGAGGGTGGAGGAGTGACACAGCCTGATGGAGCTCAATGGACTCATTGAGGTCAGATAGGACACCCCACTGCTGTAATCTGTCTCAAAGGCTGTCGGTGAGATTGTTCAGAGACGAGGATAAATAGGAGTGAGTAGGGGGAAAGTGAAGTAGTACATCCCGATGAAGTTCAACGAGGTCAGACGGGTCACCCCAGTGCTTGAATCTCTCGCGCAGACTATTGGGAGTAATGCGGCCCGATAGAGCTCAGTGGCCTCATCAATGTCAGACAGGGAGCCTCGCTGCTTAATTCTGTCGTGAAGGGCTATGGAAAGATTGTAGAGACACTCTGATCCACGATAGTGACTGGGGGGACGGAGCCGCAGACTCGCGAGTGTCCTGCTGTATTACTGCCCAGGACAACGACTGTTTCATTTTACTGCAAATGGTGTTGGAATGAGTGCGAAATCGAATCAATCAGAGTGAATACGCACACAAAAAGTGGAATTCAACTAGGACACTGACACACGACCTGGGAGGGAAGTAAGATGGTCGGTTTCGAGGTAGCCCAAGCCTTTAACAGCAAGCCACAAGATCGCGTTGAGGCTGAGGCAGTGTCTGGACTCTGCATGAGGCCGAGGCCTGAAGCTGAAGGCCTGATGCATGATGGGATGTGAAATGTATTTGCCATCAGTCACGTGTGGCAAAATGAGCTGGTTCTTTCTTGGGTCCGAACCTCGTGCTTGCTCAATGAGTCTACGCATTCAATTAATGTCGCATAGGGTCGGGTGGACCACGGTTGATTTCTGTGCCGTCGCGGTACTGGGCAATGAAAACTCGACTTCCGCTATCCTGACGCCCATCGAGTTCTGAGGAGGATCTAAATTCAACAATGCAAGATCTCATTCATCGTGTTTGGGGTGTGTACCATACTACCACCGGAATCCCTCCTATGATGATGCAATTGCCAGGACTCTTTCAGACCCTCATGTCTCCTGCCAGCTCCTGGCGGATGACAAGCTGCTGATCGTACCCTTCTGCACATCTTTCAAAGCTTTCAAGAATAACTATACGTGCGCCTTATATCACCGTTATTTCGTTGGAGTTGATTATCTACACAGGCTGTGTTCAAGTTTCATTAGCGCAGAGTCGCAGCATTGGTGCAGCATTTTTTTAGTGTCCAGGTGACTTTCAAAGCTTCACCTCGAATGTGTTGGACAACTGACGACGTATAGCTCTACTCTTTTGGGTACTAAACGCGTCGCTATAATCCCGAGTTTGTGACAGCCGATAGAAGTAAGGCTGCCTTCCCTCCCATCTTTCCGTGCTGCTCGCCTATGAGTGAGATGTCGACGTCCCCAACCTCGAACGAAAAACCTGATACCGCGGTAAAGAACCCGCATGATGTTCACCGTCAAAGGTCAAATATGGACGCAAGGACAAGAGCCATCGCGTACGTATGAGATCGCCCTTGTATCAGGCGCCCACAACTGACGCAGTTTTTTCTGTTAGTAATGCCAATGCCAAATTGTCAAACCCCTTGAGCGGCATACCTTATGATCGTTTAATGGCGGATGTCGAAATTTTTGCCGAAGAGAGAGGACTGACCCATCTGCTGCCTGAGCTTGAGAAAGGGGCGCTTGTTGCCCAGGATTCCACTTGTATGTCATCATGGGAAACGTTTTCCCTAGCTGACTTGAGATCCTTAATGTACAGGTTATGATCGTTTAGACATATTTTCAGTTGAAGACAAGCGGATTTTAAAGGAAGAGGTTACGCACAGGTGGCGACAAACGCCAATGCTGTACTACGTTGGTATCACTATATTTTCGACTATTTGTCATAGCTCATCATTGAAATAGATGGTCGTAATGTCATCACTTGCAGCGGCTGTTCAGGGAATGGACGAGGCTGTTATCAATGGCGCTCAAATCCTTTATCCCACACAGTTCGGTATCGGTAATTCCAACAGTGCGTAAAAGCTCTTCTATCATTCTAATGATCATCACTCATAGATTGTGTGTGCAGACCGCGATTCATGGTTGGTCGGTCTCATCAACTCTGCACCGTACTTGTGTGTGCTTTGTTTGTATAGCAGAATGTCGCTCCTCATCACTTCACAGATGCTGTGCCACAATTTCTTGTTGGATGACGCAACCGCTCAACCACTATCTTGGGCGTAAAATGACTATTTTCGTCACTTGCATGATCTCGTTCTTGACATGTATCTGGTCTGCATTGACAAACAGCTGGTGGCACCTTTTCATCGCACGATTCTTCCTTGGTTTTGGTATTGGTCCCAAATCTACCACTGTCCCAGTGTATACCGCCGAGTGTTCACCTGCACCAATACGTGGCGCCCTCGTCATGATGTGGCAGATGTGGACCGCTTTCGGCATTGCTCTAGGAGACCTTATCGACTTGGTATTCTACTTCATTCCAGACGCCCCGGGTGTGACTGGTCTGAACTGGCGTCTCATGCTAGGTTCTGCTGGCGTCCCCGGTCTTGTTGTCTGCTTGCAAATCTTATTTGCACCCGAGTCGCCTCGTTGGTTAATCTCCAAGGGTCGGTACGAGGATGCTTTCAATGAGCTTTGTCGGCTTCGTTTCTCGCGCGTCCAGGCTGCTCGTGATTTGTACTACATTCACGTGTTGCTCGAGGCGGAGAACGATATGGAGGGTCGCAACCGTATAGTTGAGATGTTCGCGATTCCGCGTAATAGGCATGCTGCCCTTGCTAGTTGGGTCGTCATGTTCGGTCAGCAGTTTTGCGGTATCAATGTCATCGGTATGAGATTCGTTTTCATGATTTGAAATGATGATTAACTTGATGGTAGCTTACTACTCGTCCAACATCTTCCTGGCTTGTGGTTTCACGCAGATTCCGGCATTGACTTCTTCCTTTGCATTCGGAGCACTTAACTGGTTGTTCGCCCTCCCTGCTATCTTCACTGTGAGTGGTCCTTTTTACAATTGGGGTTTCCGTAAATATCGAAAGTTGAAACACTAGATCGACACTTTTGGGCGGAGGAACTTACTTTTATTCACATTTCCTTGCATGGCCATCTGTCTTTTAATCACAGGCTTCTCCTTCTGGAGTACTTCAGAAACAGGGCGTGTAGCTGGCGTCAGTATCGGAATATGTACATCATCCTTTTGATACTTAAAACTACTGCTGATATTTGCTCCTTCAGACCTCTTTACGATCTTCTATTCTCCAGGCGAAGGTCCAGTGCCGTTCACGTACTCCGCGGAGGCATTTCCTCTCTATATCCGTGATGTTGGCATGTCCTTTGCCACTGCAACCACTTGGTTTTGGAACTTCGTTCTGTCAATCACTTGGCCTTGGCTTATCTTGGCCTTCGGGCCACAAGGTGCCTTCGGCTGGTATGCAACATGGTGCTGTATCCTCTGGGTACTCATCTTGTTATTGGTGCGCGAGACGAAAGACAAGACCCTGGAGGAGCTCGACCAAGTTTTCTCTGTCCCCCTTGGCACGCACGCCGCATACGGCCTGCGGCAGATACCCTACGGCTTCAAGAAGTTCGTGTTGTTCCAGAACCCTGTCCCTGAGCAGCTTTATCGGGTTAAGACCGAGACTGAGGTGTTGAATGCCGGGGACGACGAGAAGGCAAGGAGGGTGGAGGAGGAGGATCTGGAGAAGGCAAATGCATGATGAGTTGAGCTGTCATGTGATGATGGCTGACACTTCGCTTGATCTTCATCTAAGACGGATGTGTTTGATCGATTTATTTGCATACCATCTATTTATTTGGCATTTGTTGCCGATATCGCATGCGCGTGTAGCGTTTTGATACAAGCTCTCGAGGCTCAGCTGTTAGGTTGCAGAAATAGATTGACCACCCACTTTTTCTAGGCATGAGATTCGAACCCTGTGTTGTATAACTGCCTCCTTTTGTGGTAGAGGTCATACGGAATATGTAGAAATCAACTATGGTCATTTTATCAGACGCGTGGTATCGGAGAATGTTTAAATTAGGCCGGTATAGAGAAACCGGTCAAGTATTCATTTCTGTGTCATGTCAGAAGTATATGCAGCTATGTAGCCTTATAGAGATACACGATAATCATTTCTTCGAGCGTCAGTAAGTATTCCTAGGATATGTGTGACACAGTGCAGCAATATTTCAAGAAGTCGTTGCCCACTGTTCGCAGGTTGTGAGTGTGTCAATCCTCGTTCAAGCTCGAGCCATGGTGATCAAAGTCGTTGCCCACCGTTCGCAGCTCGTGAGTGTGTCTGTGGCACGAACCGGATAAGCCCCATATTTAACAAGTGTTGCCATGAAGTTGGGTTTGTTCCACGGGAACGCAGGCATTGGCGCGGGCCACTCGTGGTGAGATCCTGCAGGTAAATGCTTCGACATCGTGGAGTGCCGGAGAGTTGTAGGTTCGAGTCTATATGTGAAGAAGTCTTTATACTTATATTCACTCTGGGCGCTAATAAAAGTGTGCGGGAGGTGGGCGGCAATGGAACTGGGATCGTCGAATACTTTGAGGCTGCGTTACAAAACAATGGGAGTCAAAAATTCTCCATGTTGTATTGATGGTTGACTGTAGATGGGACTTGACTCATATGAGGGAGGTGCGGTGGCGATGGAACTGCTATCGACGGATACTTTGGAGGCAGACATTGATGATATGCGCCACAAAACAGTCAAAACATTCTGTGTCGTGTTGTCCATTGGCGATATACCCAGCAGTCCTCTATGTGCAGGCCACAGGAACCACGTCGACGAGAGGAAGGTTTAGCCGGGCTATAAACGACGAGCTAACTCTGGGAGTGGTGGACGTAAAAGCTGTTCGTTGATGTCCATTATACGGCGCTAAGTCACATGCGGCCCATCAGTGCAGATCAAGTTGGACGTAAATGCTAAGAATCAGCCAACCTGCGGGAGTCAAGTCAGGGAACACGACGCTAGTGAACACCGGGAAATGCCGAGTGGGAAATGATTTGTCATGTTAGTTGTGGATGTACGATGTTCGAGTGAATTTCGCACTTTGAGGATTCTAAAAAGATGATGCTGAGAGAAAAGGGACTTGAGGGATACGTTCCTTTTTAGGAAACCACCAACCTCGTACCCACCTCCCCATCACCATGTCTGAAGACGTAGTAATGCAAGAAACTGACAATACAATTGACCAACCACCACCTTCAAAGAAATTAAAATCTTCTTCATCATCTTCTTCATCAAAACCCGCTTCTACAATAAAACCAAAATCAAAGCCACAACGTCCCCGTTCTCCTTCTCCAACTCCGCCACCTCCTCCGCCACCCCCTCTACAAACTATCAGACTCCAAATAAATCTAGGAGGTCCAGATAATTATGAAGTCGATATTGCTACTCTGGCAAAGACAACAGGTCAACGTCAACCAACACCACCTCCTCCAAAAGCAGACACATCTGACTCCGAAGGGGATGATGACGGCGAGCCGAAAAAGAAAAAGGTAAAATCTCACACAACATAAATCACCCACATCATCACTGAATAAGGCACCAGAAAAAACATGCTACTTCAGAGTATTACGACGTAAACGACCCTTTCATCGATGACTCAGAGTTGAACATCGATAATCGCACGCATTTCGCTCAGACAAAGCAACAAGGCTTTTACGTCTCTAGTGGCGAAGTCGCTCTTATGAAAGATAGGTATGGTCCAGTCTGATCACATGTCCTGTGTCCTCATTTCCTCTCCGCAGCAGAACCCCCAAGAAACCTAAATCGAAAAAGGTCCCTGTTGAGGGAGGTGCAGCTGCCGGACCTAGCAAGACTGCTATCAAGGAGGATGGGACAAAGGAACATCCTATCAGTTTACTAGGTGAAGACAAGAGCAATAAGAAACGCAAGAACTATACAGTCATAGAGGAGAACGGGAAAAAGAGAAAGGTCGTCGATATCGTACGTCCCTGAAGTCCGCCCAATGCCCATCCACTCACTCCCACCAGCGTGACTTCCATCCTGAGCTCCAATTAGCTATCGAAGACCTAAAGTCTGCCATTGCTAAAGGTCCGTGCTTCTGCATACCCCCGCTTATGACCTCACGTTGTCATAGAATCATGGGACGTCAAGGGCAAGTTCCCACCCTCTATCAAACCCCTACTCGCAGACTTTGCCTTGAAAGCCGTCAACCTCGGTGAATACGATGACGACTTTTTTAATCTTATGCCAGTGCTGTTTCCTTATAACCGCTATACCATGACTGTACGTCGTCTTACATATACTTGAACGCGCTCGCTCACTGAACGGGTCGACCCACAGAAACTCATCAAACGCACGATATTCACAGACCACCTCAAGATCTTAACAGATAGACAGGACGAACTGCTTCAACAGCTTGCGGGGCTTACGAAAGAGGGGTTTTCGAAGGCACAGGAGGAGTGGGAGAAGAGTGTTGTTGCTTGGGGTGCGTCATCTTCATCTTTCTTGTCCAACGTCTTGTCCTTTTGTTCGTCTGTCCTTGTATACTACTCGCGTATACTACACTTTTACCTTGCATTCCATACCTCACATCATCACTAACACCTCTCACAGAACGCCGCAAAGAAAAAGCCAAGAACGAAAGCGAAGCAGGCGCGGCATCAGCCTCGACGCCCAGTGCAAGTGTAGACGCCGCACACCCCGACGATGGCACAGTGAGCGGTGTCGATGGTGATAACGCCCGTGCCGACGGCGACAGATCCCTCGCCGACGGTGCAGGCACAGACGGTGGAGGACCAGGCCCAGATGGCGACAACGCCCCAGGAACAAATAAAGCAGACGGAACACGTGACGCACATCCCCCTGCACAGAAATATCGGTTGACGGAGGCGATGAAGGTGATTGTGTGGCAGCTTGTGATGCTTAGTAATGAATGTTGTAGGCTTGAGAATGAGAAGAAGTGAGTCCGAGTTCTTTTCTTTCGTTATGGAAGTGGCTGCTGATATGAACACACAGTGACTTAGACGGGAGTAATGCGCTTGTTAGCGAACAGGGGACGAGAAAGATTTTGTATCAGAAGGTGTGTTTTCTGTTTTGATTAGTATGATGAAAGTGTTCATTGGGCGGTGGTAGATTGTAGCGGCATTTCCTAGTGGATGGTTGAATTCGGGTCAGTTATCACGAGAAGGTGCGTTTTCCCCACCCCCCTGTCCTCATTCCTAAACTGACGACGAATACAGTGAGCTCTCTAAAGAAGAAGTACGAGAAAGAGACGATGGAGCAAGAGAACTGAGTTGGTTCTGTTTATGTTATTTGGTCATAGTTATGAACTCAAGGACGTTTGAGGCTGTTTTATATGTGGTTGGTATCTTATTCGTCCTGTCTACTTTGGTCCCTACTTATTTTGATCCACGCGTTTCGATCCTCACTTGATATTTGCTCCAGGTTTCGTTGTTATGTCCACCTAGCTTGAAGTACTTAGCTTACGCTCTTACTATTGACAACATTATCCTCATTTATTGCTTTTATGCGATTTCGAAACAGCTTAACGCTTAGTAATAAATCTGAGTGCCCGTTGTCAGTTCTTCTATCGATCTCGCATCTTGAACTTATGTGCATGCATGTCTGACGTACATTGTCTGCAAGTTCGTGGTCGGGATTCCTATTGGTTGATAAGTGTAACCTCGCCCACAAACTTCGGGACGCACGTTGAGCAAATTTCTGATTGATCGACGAGTCCTTTAGTTAAACCGTCCAAGCACGCCGAGACGTCTCTCAACGAATCACCTCCCGAAATCCAACGCCTACTTCGACGTCCCCTGCAACTCCAAAGCCTTCTCCACGCCCCTCCTCAACGTCTCGACATCGACCCCATCACCCTGAAGCGACCCCGCTACTCTCTCAAACACTCTCGCGAAGCCCATAAAGACATCTGCTTCTCCCCCTCCTACGAATTCTGCGAGGCCTTCCATCTCTGCTACGAATCGGTAAGCTTTGGGGATTCCTTCTGGGACTGTTTGGATAAGTCTGGACATTAGGGCTGGTTGGGAGATGCTGAGTTCTTTCATTAGGGCGTCGGCTGTTGCTGGTGAGGAGCGGTGGGCGGCTGGGGTGGTTGTTTTGATTACGAGGTGTGAATTTGGGGTGGAGAGCAGAACTCACTCAGCATCATCGTCATGAAGAGGCCTATAGAGCCTTTCTTCATCATCTGTCACCACCACGACCCTAAGCCCCGCTCTCCGTATTGCAAAAAAGGAACGACTCACAGACTCGCAGAGCTTCAAAGAACTCGCATCGCCTATTCCAGCACCTTCGCCTTTCAACAGCGATACTTTAAGTCCGTACTGGGACAGCGCAGCAAACTCCTCCAACACGTCTTGTGCTCCTGGTTCCGAACAGGCATAGAAAGTGGGATCCCATCCTTCTCGCGGCGGTGTCCCTACGATCCCCGCATCGATGAATCCCACAGGGGTCCCACTAAACAGTCCCCCGATGCGTTTCACCGTTTCGGGGTTCACAGCGTTACAGTCGACAAAAGCTCGCAGGGGAAGGGCGGAACCGGAATGGGCGCCGAGTGTGCTGCGAATCTTTTGCGCGAACGCGAATGCTTCTCCTGGAGGCACGATGCTTAGTATGAAGTTTGATTTGGAGAGGAGGCTTTCGATGGGGAGGTTTATCATTCCTGCGTCGAGGGCGCGTTGGTGGGCTGCGGGGGAGCGGTTGTCGAGGTTGGTGTAGACTGTGCATCCGGACTGGACGAGGCGTTTGGCTATTGCGGAGCCCATTGCTCCTGCTGAGATGACGGTGATGGCTGGCATTGGTGGGTCGGGGTCGTTTTTGGGAGGAGGGCTCAAGTGGTGAGGCTGTCGAGCTTATTTATGGCCAGGTTCGTATAATCATCGTTCCGTGATTTACACTGCGGAGGTCCGTACTGTGGTTATTTTTTATTTTGGTTGTGTTGTCTTGATTTAGACGCAGAGTCGTTCTCGTGTATTGAAATTGACATAGACGCCAGGAGTATTTCGGGAATAAGCGGAAATTCTACCATATACGGTTACCGGTAAGTAAACAACGAACAAGGTAAAGCTTGGGGCTATGTCTTCATCAGTCACATCCTGAATTCTGTTCTTTATTGACGTTTCGATGCTGTAACGATTTTGTATCAACCAATCGTTGTCTCTGAATCAATCTAATAGAAGGTCACCAAGAGAAGCTGATCGGCGTGGGACAAAACAGGCGAAGATCACGATGCAGTCGGATGGGATAAAGTTCAAGTTTATGTCTACTGCCATACTCCGAATGGGAGGTCCACCTTATTACCTGTTTAACGTCTGCACCTAGTATCTGCACGCACTTGCGTCGCTGATACTTGGTATGTCGGGGACTTGTGTATCTTGTCGATTGAATACTTGCTCAGGCTGTTGCGTGCCGACAACTAGTACATCCCCCCCTTCAGCGCACTGGAACCCCTCGAAAAATGCTTCAAAAAACACGCACGATGGATTGTTTGCTCCACGCGCATGTTACATCATACATGGCATGCTGGTCATGATCCACATCGTCCTTGTTATCTTTTTTGTCTGTCAATTAATAGACTATACAACTATCTCTTTGTGGCACATCAACAAACAGTGATTTCTTGTCTGCGGTGCTTAGTGCTTCACTGCAAGCGTTTTACACTGTACGTGTCCACGAAATCTGCTGGTATCCCAACAATATAGTAATGATATGACTTGATCCAGATATACACTGCTGTTCTGCTCTTCCTTACCCAACGGCTTGCGATATCGAGAACGCTCGTACGCCGCGTGAAACTGACGGCTGTTCATGACATCTCTGGCGCATGGGCGGGCCTTGGCTCTGCACTCACTAGCGTCTGGCGACAAACTGACATCTGCGCCGCACGGTGGACAACCTCTGCTGTGGCAATCTACCTTGCGAGCATAACCGTGCTGCATGTCACCTCTTCCACTCTCCTACAATTTCAAACCTCGGAGTCACTTACCAATATGGGTAGGAGTGCCTCGGTGCCTACAACACTAGGATGGCCAGACGATTCATCGTACGGCAATTTCACAAACTTGGGACCCATTGCTGCATCCCTACCAGTCATCAATCATTTGACTGGACTGGCGTCTGCAGGATTATCAAACACGACACTCTACGACACCCTTATACTCTCCGGCAGGCTTACATCCTACGACAACCTTTCAAATGGTCCAGTGATAGGAACTTCGATTGTGAATGCGACAACAGTAACCTCGAGTTGTGGATTGATTCCAAATGTGACATACTCTGCGAATACCAGCACAGCAATCTTTTCGTCTGGGCGAGATTCTTTTGTGCTTAATACGAGCATTCCGAGTCTTTGTTGGTAGTTGTGGTTGGGGTAATATCTTATCATGCTGAAATCTCTACAGGGCCTGACCAGATACATATAATTCCATGGACGGAATATGAAGATTCTCATGGTGACTCGGAAGACTCGGAGGTAAGCGTTCACTAGTTCGTGCTCACTATAGAAGCTGAGTAGCATTTTGACTCTAGCTCGATGGTATCTATATTATGGTCTCCACATTATTGGGGATCGACCCTTCAGTACAAGATGAGGTCGCCGTAAACATGACTTGGGGTACGTTTGCTTAGTTGTAATACAGTTATGATAACAATATGTTCTGCAGCTATCCCCGACATCGTCACTCCATACGTCATCCAGGTCTATTTTGTATATTGCTCGTTGTCGGCGAACACTTCACATGAGGAGATCGATGTGCAAACCAACAGTCTACTGAGTCCCACGTCCACATCGCAGCCATCCATGCAATGGGAAATGTACTCAGACTATCAACTTGAATTAGGGCGGTCGAACACTAGTGGTTGGAAAACACAAGTGCGTTATACGGCGCTCATTTTGAAAGTTCAATGTCATACTGTCAATTTTAGATCAGCAAGGCTTTGGCTACGAACTACAGCAGCGAGATGGTGTTTGAAGGTACCCGCTCACAAATCATCGAACCCTCTATTGTGGACGAGTAGGCCGAAAGTTTTCCTTGAGTGCACTGCCGCATGTCTCACGTACGGCTTGAACTCTAGGTATATCATGTCATTGGTAGGCTTGAATCTCGCCGAGGAATATATACAATTCCGAGCCCACGGTGCTCTTCCGATTTCTAATTTCACTTTGAGACCGGATGAACTAGAATTTGCGGTTGCGAAAGCAGCTGCACAACTCATCTGGCTAGGTAAGGGATACGTTCAAGTATTATTTCATTCTTATTCACTCTGTGATACGTGCTTATCGGGACACATGGGCACAGCCAATGGAGGAATTGACCCTGGCAATGGGTTGGCTTATGCCACCCTAGTAGCCGCATTGTCCACAACTACCCTACAACTCAATGTAAGTGAACTGCATAAATGCTGTTTTCAAATGACTGATGGAGCATTGTAGATCAACATTCTTCCGGTGAGTTCGTGGTGGTATACATACGATAACCATTTATCGAAAATTGTTCTAGTTGGCTTTCGCGGCCTCTGCGTCGGTGATCATGTTGGGACTGGCTTTACATATGACCCGAGCATTCGATGCATCGCACGACAAACAGGCCCGGGCTGCTATCCCAAACATAGGTGTACTGCAACTCTTGTGGTTGGGTCGTCGTTCAACCTCTATTAATGAAGTCCTGGAAGAAGTGCAACATCCGACAGAAGCCAATCTGCGTCGAGCAGGCATGATAGATGTCTGTTTTTCCAATATAATACCCGACGAAGGAGAGGTAGAGAGTTCAACTGCCACCGATAGTCTCACTGGTGATGTCGACCACCGTCGTGATGATGAGGAATGATTTGGATTTGAGAATAGAGGGGTGGAAGGCTGCTGCTTGTTTATATTATATGTTGTGTTTTTCCGTGGTTCATACTGCTCTGGTGCGGTGGTCCGTATCATGGTTGTTTTGTTTTTGGTATCATCTGTCAATGTATTTCTCTTAATAACGACTACTACATGGTGGCAGAAATAGGCGTGTCACAGATATCATTATCATGCGGATGGCGCTGGCTTGCTCACCTGGCCTTCCCAATAAGTAGCTTTACTAATACTGGGCAGTTACGTGCTTCGTCAATTACTAGAATGGTCACTTGCACTCAAACGCCAACACCAGCCATAGACCTTGCCCCAAACCCTGCGCGTCCTTAGGTATATCTATGTATAAGGCGCGGGAAAGTTCCGTTCTGTGCCGTTTCGTCGCTAATCCTTCCGCCCCGTTATATGAACTGTTCCCACATCAGTAAAACCTCGAATTACTTAATCAGCCTTTTTTGGACTTTTCGCTGGTTTTCACTTCTTTTCAAAAATGAGTGGCCTTTGTTGCAGTTATTTTTCTTAATTCACTGCCTCGTCCCAACTTGAATATCTGGAATAGATTATTATTATTATTTCATGCAGTTGCAATGGTTGGAGTTCACAATTTGTAAAGATTACCACCTCAGGAGAGGATTTAAACATAAAAATAATCAGTACTCTGTGCCACTTACTGGTACCAAATTTCTGTTTTTATATTTTTAAGCATGTCTCTTAGGTTTATAAAACATATTGGAACTATTCCTGATACTCAAGTTAGGACCAGGCAATGAATTAAGAAAAATAACTGCAACAAAGGCCACTCATTTTTGAAAAGAAGTGAAAACCAGTGCAAAGTCCAAAAAAGGCTGATTAAGTAATTCGAGGTTTTACTGATGCACAGGTTTCCCTTCCCCTCCCTCATCGTTGTCTGTGATCTCGAGGCTGTTAGAGCTCTCCACTGATATGTAGGCTTGGTCCTGGACATCGCCCTTGATGGGCTTACCATCTTTTGTGGACTCATCTCCCTTCAACGCCCATTCCTCTCATCATGGAGCTCACCGTCGTTGAACCATCCTTCAAACCTGGTGCTGGCAAGGTATGTTCCCACTGGGGATTAATGCTAAGTACCTACTGACTTTGTATTGTTTTCAACAGTCCTTTCTCCTCCTCCGCTTCACAGATGACACGTACATTGAGAGTTATATCAGCACTATTGGTACGTCGCTACTGTGAGGCCTATAGCTAACTATCTACTGACTTAGTATCGTTCAACAGTCCTTTCTCCTCCTCCGCTTCACAGACAACACGTACACTGAGAGTTATATCAGCACTATTCATCAGCAAACTAGCCGGTACCTGTACAATGCTGTACAAGCCTGTACAAGCCTTACAGTCACACAAGAAAGTCTCCCCTTTACAGTCTTGTCACAAGGTCTCACAATGTATACAAATGTTACAGTCTGTGCCTTTGTACAGACAATACACATGATACATGTTGTGTAGGTGGGACATGCTATATAGGTCAGACATGTTGTATAAGTTTATGCAATCGCTGGACATTATACAGGCTTGTAAAGGATGCAAAAACTGTGCTGATTGTCATGAATTACAAAATGCTGAATGAAAGAGTATGCTATATTATAAGATGATGTTGACATTGTCCATATCACTGCCTCCCATATCGCCCTTGTCAAAATAAAGGTCACCCACCCCAATCATAGCCCACTGCTCCAACATCTCCTCGAGCTCCGCACAACGGTCAGGATTTTCTAGAAGCGCATCTACAGACCTCTGCAACAAGTTGAAGTCAGCCCTGCATTTATCTGCTGAGAGGTCAGGGACTTTGTCAGTGCCGGTCTCGCAAAAGCTGGTGAGGACACCCTTCACCTGTTGATTCGTCAATGACAAAATAACACAAATAAAATAAATAACAGGGCGCACCACAGCGCCCACAAGAAGTAGCCCATTAATAGGTATTGTACGTCGAAATTCATCTGTGTTCTTGAGGGCCTTCTTGCTATTGCCATAGTAGAATTCGAGGCAGCCATCCCTGAGAGCTTGTGAGACAAAATTCTTCCATTTGCCCTATAAAAGTAATAGTGAGTGGCTGCCTTGGGAGGCGTAAACAAGTAACCATACATTAGATGAATCAGGAATATGAAGATAATCACTGGTCTTGAGTAACTTGGTGGCCTTCGTGACGACACATCTCTCACAAGATCATGTCAACTTAATGCATTATATAGTGTAGTTACAAGAAACATGTTGTGCATTAACGAGTGTAGCTACAAGGCATAGGTAAATGCATTAGTCAAGTGTAATCACAAGACACTAAGATAAATGCATTACACTATGATGTTCGGTCATATGTTTCAGAGTTCATGGCCAAATATCAGAATATGTTTTAGAGTTCGCAGCCAAATATCAAAATATGTCGTGATTTCAACAATTCTACCATAGTACATACTACATCAAGGCGGAGGTAACTCTGGTATAGAAAGATCAGGAAGGTGTGTTGATACTGGATCAGAGGATGGCTCACAGATATCAGTAAGATGTTGTGCCCAAGAAAGCTCGAACTTAGCAGCAAGATTACGAGCCTGTCGAGTAGCATATGCAATGAGTCCCTCTTTTTCAGCACCTGTGAGAGTGCGCAAACACACTGTATTGTCCCACCAGTGCACATGCCATCGGAGAAATTGGAGAACCCGACACATTTCTTCCCACAGCAACTCAATTTCTTCCTCCCATCGCATCACCCTAGCACGAGCTTTGCACCACTCAAGCCGAAGACCTGTTAATCCGATAAGTGTTAAATTTCACCTGGATGAGAAAACAACCATACTGTCCTGGACGACTTTGTCCTCGTCATCTCCAACTCCCTCCACAAGCCAGATCCATGACAACTTCCTCCTTCCCTCACTTTCTCCTTTCTTTGGTGCTGACATCCTGCGCACATCATCCTTCTTGTTCAGCAACCGAAATCTGATGTTCCAGCCCACCTTGCTGAGAACAGGCGCAAGGACAGAAAGTGCTGCATGGGAAACACGATACTTTTCAGCTGCCATCATCACCCTTGCCTCCACCCGGCTGATTGCATTTTGTGCGTGAGTGTTGGCACTCTGTCCATGAACCCAGCTGCGTTTAAAGGAGTACATGTAGTCACGTAGTCGAAGGCTTTGTCTGATCTCATCCAGAGTGTCGCCCGCCTGTGCAATCCGTAGCTCCCACTCGATCGTGAGAAGGTGAGTGCTGCAAGACACAGTTTCTGCTGTAAGTGAGGATGGTAAGAGGAGTTTGGCATCCTCTGGGTTGTCTGGATTGCTGACGGTTTCTATTCGGGACGACAAAAGTTGTGCTGCTGGAGTGTAGAGTAATTGAACTTGCTTCCATGCTTCAATCTTGCGCCGGAGGGTGTTCTGCTGGTGCACAACAGCTGCTTTCTGTCTATCTGTTGGATGCACTCCTTGGAGAGCAATGTCTGACTTAAAGCGGCGCCTAAGGCTATTTAGTGATGTCTGAAAAAAGATTGATAGTTCTAGTACTTACTGTTTGCTTTCAAGGTCAATTCCGATTGCTATAAACACGCTAGGTGATATATCCAGGTGCAGCGACATGTCGGTTCCGTCCTGGAGTTGACATGCTTCCATCTCGGCCAGTTTGAGTCGAACAGCAGCCTGCGTGATCGCTATTGAAAAATCAGGCATTGTAGAAACCTTTGTAGATGCTTGACTTACTGGAAACCTTTGCGTCAAATGGATTAGGGACAGATGAGTCATTTGGGTTTTCCTCCCAGTGCTCAACTTCTGCTCTCCACACCATGGTAATCTCTGGCTCTAAGGCTCCATTCAGTTCTTCGAATGCACTTGCGTGAGCTTTGTGCTCATCCTTAGCCTCGTCCATTTTGCGAAGGAGTGTGGCACCTGAATACAGTAGCAGAAGGTGAGTAAAACACTGACACTGCGATACTAGAGCAGACACATACCAAGACCAACTAATTTCTTCCAATTCCAATCACCGAAGTGATCATCCAGCGTGTCTCTTCGAGATCCTGGGCCCATTTCTTTTGTACTTGATGCTACAGAATTTATATTTGACCAACCTCATCCAGGAGCCTCTCCATCTGTATGCCCAACATTTTTTGAAAAATTGAAGGAGAACATCGACTGACACTTGAGTATGTGGGCGGGTAGATGAAATTTAGGAACAAAGAACTGGACAAATTTATTGGCGTGTTCCAGTTGAAGGTTAGGCGGCATTGTTGACATGTGTTGCCATAAGTGCTTGTGCCATTGGCAGGCAATATTGTATGAAACATTGAGAACATCAACACAGCGTCGGCGGAGCGTCGAGAAAAACAAATAATCCATGCTTGTGTACCTAAGTATGAACATAGTCAGCATTAGTGGTCATTCCTCGTTTTTGCAAGAGGCTTACCTTTCACCTTTTTGCAGATCTCCAACACCATTTGGTAACTTCATGTTATGCTGTGCGCAATCAATTGTCCCAACACCGGTCGCAGCAAGACCTTGCGAGGCCTTGGTGTCCGCCATATTAACAGCATTGTGAGAGGAACAAGTGCTTTTCTTTCGACAAGAGGTCAGACATACGAGACAAGGAAATAACGAGACAAAATCTACCTCTTGTGGTGTCCCACTGTGCTGCCCCAAATGAGACTTATAGGCTGTTTCATCGACAAAGTAGGCCCATCCCCGACTTAGCCCTGGGTCGGTGTCTTCCTTGGAAACAGCATGTCTCTTAAGACGGAAATTAGCATCTATGGCAATGAACAGCGCATATACCCATCTGATATAATATTTGAGCAATCAAGGTCTGTTATATGAAAGTGAGCTCGAAGGAACTTACCACTTGTCGTTTGGTGCATCCTGCCAATCATCTGGCAAGTTCTTACCAGGTTGTGGGCAAGCAGGACATAAGACAGCGCACTCCCCCTCACCCGTTCCCTCTACACCATCTGGATCATGTCCACAACCAGCACATTTAAGCATTTTGAGGTGGCGCCACTCTCGAACCATCCGTAAGAAGGCTTCATACCGATCCTATTGACACAGTTCGTGAGTTAAGAGGCTGGAATGATATTAGAAACATCACACACCTTTTGTGGACAAAGACCGGTGTTGTCAGTGAGCCATGCAATCACATGATAAAACTCATAGCCAGATGCCTTGGACTCAAATGACAACAGATGGTACTGTTCGAGAACCTGAAAAGTAGCTGCTGTTCAAGGGTCCAATGTAGTTGCTGGGAACCAAGCTACATGAAGTAGCTGTTTTGTACATGTCTGAGCAGTGCCGCAGCCACAATAATCAAGACCAATTTTGTGTATACCATTTGAATGGATCAGTGTAAAGTCGTCATTAAATGCCTGTTCTGGTAGTGAACATGCCTCTCCGATTGGATGGCCAAGTTGCACACATAACACGAGCTGTTTGAGTGACAGAGCGGCAAATAATGAGCCTGTCCATTTCTATGCAAACCTTAGTATAGCTGGCATGATAAATACCAGCCAGACTTACCTGAATACGATGCAGTGGATTCCTGGTATGTGAAGTAACAATGCATAGTGAGCAAAACAACTCCCCACTGAAGCAATCAATGCAATGGTATTCTGGAAGGCCAAAATGACAGGCCTGGCATATATAAAGGTTTGCATAGTCACCCCGACCTTCATGCTGGAGAAGTTCAAGTAGGAAAGTGTCGCGTTCAGTTTTCCATGATAGAAGAGGGTGATCCTATGTATGAGCATTAGAAGAGTTGCGGCACAGTGTGAAATTGGCGACTTACACCAGCTGTGCACTTGCGTTTACTATGATCTTCCAAGTCAGTCCCTGGCACATAATCAGGCTCTACATCTATCCCAGTGCAGTCGGAAATATCATTATCAAAGTGAGCTATTAACGAGTCCCTTGTCTTGACTGAAGATACGCCGGCAGCCTCGGGTTGAATGGTGACACGAGACCCGTGCGCTGTGAACCCTTGCTTTTGGAAGACAAAACTGTATGTCTCATGGACATTCAGTGCCATTGGGTTGTGCGGGAAATAAGTATTCAGCTTTTTCCGCTTGGCTCATCCATTGACATTCTTGAATGAAAGATGTCGAGGGAGTTGTTGAACTTCATAAGGAACGGTTCCTGGTGTGTCTTGCATAAGACTCAGAGGCAAGCAAAACAGCAATTTAGATACAAATTTGAAGATGAGTAGTAACAGGTGCTAATGGTATGTGGTATGTACTGCAACCGTGAACACACTTGACGGTCAAGTTTGGAATGTCACGGCAAATACTGCAGCAGCCGGCTCGACAAACGGCTTGGCCCGGTTACCCGAGATGGTGCAAGGAGGTCGAAAATCTTATGTGTGCTATCGACATTGTGTAGCGAGCCAAGATTGATCTTATTCTGTGAGTCACGTATCCAAATTTTCGGTGGTCCATCAGCAATCTGATGCATGGGATCTGGGTGCAGAACCGATGGTGCCAGTGATGCATTACTTAATAGTAATGTATCTATCGTCACGGTAGTATTGCATTACTATCAAAGTAATGCATCAAGCTGCGGCAGTATTGTATTACTTGCTTTAAGGTTACAAGAAGTAATGCAAAACTCCGCTCCTACTTATAATCATTGCAGCCCCAGACATCAAATCACTGCCTTCCCCCTCATTCATTATATCTCATGTCATGTCTTGACTCGGAGATTCACCGGCACCCACAGCACAGTCGCAAGAACGTTCCCGTGCCATTATGATGCCTACCAATGTCTGTAAGTGTCCTCATTAGTCAATTACTTCAGCTTTTATTGATCATGGACATGTCCTATAAGTAGTGTTCAACCACGAGCCCTCTCCCACTGCTGAGATGAGCCTAATTCGACTCCCAGAAACCTTGCCTTACAACACTACTCCGCATATGGTTCCAGACTCAGAGAAATGGACTACCTGGGTTTATCGGCATGAAGCCGCATACCCGGAGATTGTTCGGTCAATGGCTGACGAGTGCGACCTTTACTTGTACCGAGGTGTGTTGTATAACGTACCGGTTAAGCCAGCACCATCCCCACCATATTATTGTGTCACACGCGGACGATACATTGGAATTTTTAATCATTGGTAAGTTATTACTCATAGCTAGCCTGTATTTGAACATTGATATGTTTTTCTATATTCTAGGAATGATGTCATGGAAAGTATCAATGGCTATTCGACCACAGTTTTTGCGGCCACTTCGCTTGACGTTGGGGTAGACCTTCTCTACCTTAGTATTGACCAAGGAAGAGTGGTGCTTTACTATAACTAGAAGTAGTAGGGCGACCGGCAAAGGTTCTGGATGGACAAATGTAGCAAGGTGATACGTGCAGGTTGGTGCTGTGCATGTCCCGCATCCTGTGGCACCTTCCCTTGCCCTTGTAGCCTGAGGCCTGAAAACGATTGAGTCAGTCAGCGGTGGGTGCACAGAATTCAATGTGCATGAGTATATATTTTGGTGGCGGGCCAATCAGATGTGAGTCCTTCACCTCTCAAACTTTATCTTGACGAAGCATAAATACCTCCCCAGATCCCCGCTCATCGTCATCTCCCTCTGTTCCCACTCTCACTGGTAGCTGTCCAACTTTACGACCAATGTGCACCGAGGTAGTAGGGTATGGGACTTGAACACTTGCGAAGATGGCATGGATGCCCTCGTCATACTAACTGAAAGAATAACCAACTGGAAAGTGTAATGAGCCTGAGTGAGATAGTTCGAAATTTTTGGCTCACTGATGCAACAGTTGTTGTCCAGACAGATGCTTTCGTCAGGCCAGGGTCGGCCCATTCTACTTGCACCTGAATAGATGGCACCCGTTGTGCAGGAGTTATGCCCGGAGGGCCATGGGTAGTATCTAGTGGAGGAGGGCTTTGTTGAACACAAACGAATTGGGCATAGTTATTTTGATGCGGTCATGACACGGCATGACGCAGATGTGATGCGGCACTAACAAGCCTTGACGCGGCCAGACGCACCATTCCTATATTCTATATTCAACTTCCAGATCAAGTTGGATGAGTTCACGACCATTCCTTTGTTATTTTATTTGCCTCAGAGCCATGTACAACTAGGTATAGATAAGCCAATGTCTATTTTCTTTTCCTCCCTCTCGGCTGGAAGATAAGCTATTACATTGCCTGTTCTATTTGTCAAATCTGAGTTCACAAGGAGAGTATGTCGGATGACGCACCTGAACGGTCATAGTAAGGCATGAGGTCCCCAAAACTCAGCAGCGGACCTGGCCGATCTGGATAATTTTGATTCTCTGTCTCGTTGTGATAGAAAAAGTTTGATTAATTCCTAAAAGATGGTTATAACAAGTCTACTCCGTATTTCAAAGCACTCACAAAGGCCATGATATGATTTACAAAAGTGTGATGTAGAGACTCATGCCTCTCATTGCATGATATGGCAGTATTCACTAGGGAGTACATAGCACGAACTTGTAGCATCACTCTGTGTGCTATCCACAGCTATTCCTATACGAGGCGCAGCTTTCCCATGCAATGCGCAGCATGTGCGCACAACTTCCCACGCTTTACGATGTATACGCGCGTGCGCTTTCCTGCGCTTGATCGCCCTATAGCGCCAGCCTTCTGGAAGCATCCATCCACTGTCCACCAAGCTCTCTAGTGCGTGTATTTCCATTTCCCTTATTTGCATATCATTCCACCTTTATTTATATCATGGACCCTTACTTACATACATATATCTTTACATACCTTACTCGGTAGCGATTCAGCTCTGCATGACAGCGCTTAGGCGCCATATAAGCGCCAGCATTACCTACCAACTGGACTTTTACCTCCCACTTACCCACTTACTACCTAGCTGAACATAGTAGAAATCTATTCTGTGACACCTCGCGCTCATATCTCTTGTCTTGCATCATATCACCACTTAAGCAAACTCACTCTTACTCTCACTCGTTCCGCATACACGTGCGCACATTCCCGCACCTCGCGCGCACCTGCGCGCTTTCTCGCGCTTCGCATTGGCCAACCAGTAGCGCCTTCAGCACCTACTTCTAGATCCTTGCTGCACTCGCTTCCCCTTTAGGGTCGAACGCACTTGTCGTCTCAAGTATAGCAGACTAGGCAACGCACAACCTCACAACATTTACAGATACAGTAAGTGAATCCTCAAGGTACAATCTCAGCCTTGATATATTTGTATTTTTCCTCATTCCCCAGGTCATTAGGATGAAACTTGCAAGTTTGATGTGTAATCTGCTCTTCTTCTCCTTCTTCAACAGAGTCAAGACCTTTAGAAAGAATTAAATTGTTCTTATGCTTATCCTTCCAAGTTTGCATCAAGATTTTGGTCATATATTGAACTCTGTGTCAAAAATACTCGCATTCACCTAGCAAAAAAGGATGCATGAAACCAACAGCAATGTCAATCAAGCTTGAGATCATCAGTGTTTGCTTGCTATACATTCGTGTGGAAATGTGAAGGTGTGATTTCATTATTCATACAATAAAAATAAAATTGTTATTGTCAAGGTGTGTTTTTATGGAAAATAAAATTCATTGTCGGCAGGTTTCAAACCTGCCCATTCGAAGAGAAACAGATTTTGACTCTGGTGATCACTTGACAATTTGATCTTTAGCAGGTTTTGAACCCACACAGACAGATTTAGATTCTGTTGTATCGACTGCTTGGCTAACACCAGTGAGATGCACTTCCAATAAACTCATCCTTTACAACTGGGTCATGAGTGACAACTGACAATGGAAGGATCACATATGATTGGACTTAAGGAGGATGTTGGAAATTAATATCAGAACTGACAAAATGCAGATAAATGTACCTTGAGTATTCACTTCTGAATGGGCACATTTGGAGTACATCCAACTGGTCTTAGCCAAGCAGTTGATACGACAGAATCCAAATCTGTCTGCGTGGGTTCAAAACCTGCTAAAGATGAAATTGCAAGTGATTATCAGAGTCAAAATCTGTTTCTCTTGGACTGTGCAGGTTTGAAACCCGCCAATGATAAAATTCTTTTTTTTATGAAACCACACCTTGACATATGCTCATGGTTGGTGTAAAGAGTTGATTCTGTGTAGGCGCTACAAATGTTGTTACCTTAGAACTCAATGTGCAAGTGTGATGTTTGTCCCAAATAGACTGCCTATAGAATTATCTCTTGATATCAAATGCAAGGGATGTCTTGTTAAGATCGAAGATGAAAGAAGGAAAAGTCACCCAAGGTGCATTCAAAGTTCCCAAGATGTGTCTGAAGTAACAAAGCACTTGTCTGATGCGAGCGAAGGTGGTCCAAAGTCAAGAAACAAAGGTCCAAGGTTGCATGAAGTGTCCAAAGAGCTTCCAATGAAACAGCAAGGTTTCCAAGAGAGAATACAGTGGGTGTGTCGAAGTATGTCAAAGTATAAGACTTGCAGAAGTACTGAAGTACAACTAAGCAAAGCCTATCAAAAGAACTAAGAAATAGCGAGATGCGAAATGGCAGTGGTCAAGCCAAACAATCATTCCGAATGAACAAAAGATTGATCGCGCAAAGTATGACTATCCGAAGTGACTTTACTAACTATGACTCATAGCAAGGGAAGTGAAGTGAAGTGCGAGTAGCTAGTGAGCCAGATTATATCCTACAGCATGAAAGTTTGGAACCTGTGTAGGCAAAAGTAGTAGCGAGATAAGCTATCCAAAATGTAATAAGACTCAAGGCAAGCTGCTGCAGAGATATGCATGTAATAGTGCATGAGGCGTGCAGCTATACATATTAATCAAGCTTTTCGATGGGCCGACGACGTATGTGTTTAGCCAAGTGGTCGTTTTATGAACTTCAATGTCTGAGATGCTGTCTATGAGCAAATGTTCAAGACATATTCTTGTAAGGCTGATGTTTGAGTTTGAAGGGGAAAGTGAACAAGGATGAGTTTTTGGATAAAAAAAATGAGCGCAAATGTTATGACAAGGATGAGCCATTTTGAGACTGATATATTTGAGACTGTCTGACATTCTTGGAGTGGGGTTCTGGGTATATGATTCACTGCTAATACAAAAGTACATGAGCTGTATATCAGTGCACAATGGCAAGGGTCCTCGGTTAGTTTCACTGAAACGATTAGGATGCAACAGATGCAGAAGGGAGTGGCATTGAGCCTATGATGTTTGTAATGCCTTGGTATTAATGACTGGGCCCATGAGTGACAATTAACAGTGGAAGGATCATATGGATCAGCCTAAGTGGAATTTCATGGCTAGGCTAAAGATGGTGATGTACAAATGTAAGTATCAGGCCCAGACATCAAATTCTAACTCATCCAACTAGGCCTGATCCTTGCATTTGTACATCACCACCTTTGGCTCAGCCATGAGATTCCACCTCATCGCACTAGGCAAGTAAATCAATTTCTGACATCACACTTAGGCCCAACCATGTAATCATGCATGGTTCAGCAAGTACAACCCTATGACATGGGATATGAAGCTATGATCTTATTTCCAATAGACAGCATCTCAGACATTGAAGTTCAAAAAACGGCCACTTGGCTAAACACAACTCTGATGAGCTTGTAAGCAAACCGACCATGAGCATATGTCAAGGTGTGGTTTCATAAAAAAAAAGAATCTTATCATTGGTAGGTTTCAAACCTGCACAGTCCAAGAGAAACAGATTTTGACTCTGATAATCACTAGCAATTTCATCTTTAGCAGGTTTTGAACCCACACAGACAGATTTGAAACAGATTTGGATTCTGTTGTAGCAACTGTTTGACCAACACCAGTTAGATGCATGTTTAAAGAAAACATTCAAAAGTGAATCTGCAAGGCAGGTGTACCGTTCCCTGTCACTCGCAATGTTTTCCCTCAGCTGAACAGATGAATTGAGTACAGAGTGCAATACAACATTTTCAAAAAGCGAGAGAAGAGCAACATGATGATGAAAGGTCTTGAATACAGTACACTTCAACCTTATACATAAGTGAATGGTGGCCAGATGGTTCTTTTGAATCTTTGCCTTAAATCCCAGCCTTGACACATGTGTATTCTTCTTCATTCTCCAGGTCATTAGGATCAAACTTGAAAGTTTGATGTGTAATCTGCTCTTCTTCTTCAACCAAGTCAAGACCTTTGAAGAAATCTGTCTGTGTTTATGATTGGCCCAAGGACTGTGTTCAGATGCATATTCAGTTTTGGTCAGCACTACGATCACACCACTGACATCACTTTCCTGACTCTATACAACCCCAAAGCATGATTTGAGGCATTTGTGCTTAGGATGCGGAGCCACGTCACAT